TAAGTTTATTATTATTATTATTTAAAGTATTTTTTTTATCGTTTTAAAATTATTTATTTATTTATATATAAATTATATTCCTTTTTTAATTTTATTTTTTCTTTTTTTCTTTTATATAATTTTCATTATTTTAATATTATGTTTTTTTAATATAACTTTAACTTTTTTATTTTCTTCGCCCTTTTTTTTACCGCTTAAAAAAAAGGTAATCTTTTTTTTACCTTTTAAAAAAAAAGGGGTTTCCTTTTATTCTTTAAAAAAAAGATTAATAATTTTAACTTTTTTTATTTTTATTATTTTTATTTTTATTCGAAAATTTATTTTTAAATAATGTTAATATTAATTAGCCTTTTTATATTATTTATACTTTTATTATATTAAAATAAAACTTTAATATTTACTAATATATTAAGTAAATTTATTTAAAAATTAAAAAGTATTAATATTATTATAATAATAAGTTTTATTACAATAAAATAAATAATATTTATAACTTTATTATTATACTTTTAACTATTTAATTAAGCTTTACGTTTTATAAAGTTATTATAAATTTTACCTTTAAAATAAATACTTATTTTATATATTTTTTTTTTTAACTTAATTATTTAATAAAATAAAAACAAATATTTAAAAATAATTAAATTATTATAAGAATATTTATTTAATAAAATACACTAATTATACCATGATTATATAAAATCTAACCGTTTAACTTAAACGTTAAAAAAAATTAACGTTATTATTATTAAATAATTAAAATTCATTATTAACTCATTTATAAATTATATCATTTCATAAATATTATATATATATATATTAATATATATTAAATTTATAAATATATATATTTTAAAATAGCATATTTATTCATATAATTAACGTTAATAATATAAATATAAAAATGGAAAATATAAAAGAAAAAAATAATAATAAAAAATAATATATAAATGTTTTTTAATAATATTAAATTTTATATAAATGACGATATATAATAAAATAATTTATATAATATTAAAATAATATTTATAATATATAAATAAAACTTATATTATAATTTATTTATTTATATTTATCTTTATTTTTATTATTAAAATTAAATAAAATCGATTAAATATCAAATAATTTTATAAATAAAATATAATAATAAATATTTAATATTTTTTTTTTTATTAATATTTAACTTTCATTAATTATAAATTATTATATAAATATTTATTATTATTAATATATAATTTTTAAATATTATATTACGTTAAAAATATAATTTACGTAACACATTATTTAATTAAGCTTGTTTTTTCTTTAATTATTTTAAATTATTTTAATTAATTATTTTTTTATTTCGTTTTAATGTTTTAAATTATATTTTTATATATAACGTAATTAATATGTTATTAATAAGCGTTAATGGCGTTATTATTACGTTTAATAAATAAGATATATTCGAAATAATTAACGTTTTTTATTAAATGGTATACGATAATATATAATGTAATAATATTTTAAATATATAAAATGTTAATATTTATCTTTTATTCGTTTATAATTTAACTATTTTGTTAAGTATTATAATGGATATTTTTTCTTTCATTATTTTATTACGTTTTTGTATATTATAATATTTTATATATTTAATAAAAACATTTTAATATATTTTAATAATTTTAATATTTAATAAATTTTTAAACTTTTTACGTTTATTTTAATTATTTTTAATTAAAATATTTTTAATTAATTAATTAATATTAAATAAAATATTTAACTTATTAAATAATTTAATTATTTTTTATTAAATTTTATTAAACATAATTATAAATTTAAAAATTTTCATTTAATAATTTAATATATTATATATTTATTAAGTTAATTTAACGTAAAAAACGTTAAATTCTTATTAAATAAATTATTAAAACGATATTTTTTTAAATATAATATTTTTAAATATTTTAAAAAAAAGTTTAAAGAATTAACCGAATTTATAATAACATAAATTATAATATATATTTCGAAAAATAATAACAACTTTTTCCACGTTATTTTTTATAAATTTATTTAAAAACTTTAAAACGTATTTTTTAAAATATATAATATTAATAAAACCATATATATTAAAATATATTATTTATAAAACTTTTTAACGTTTTAATTTAATTTTAATTTATTTAATTAAATTAATTAACTTAAATTATTTAAACTTTAAATTCATTATAAATTTATTATTTACATTAAAAATAATTAACGTAATAATTTTATAATTTATTAACATAAACTTTATATAAATATACGTTAAATTATTAAAAATGTTATTTACAACCGTTATCACGTATTATAATTTACTTAAATTCTTAAATAATTTCTTTTTACATTTTAATTTTAAAAGTTTTACTTTATTAACTTTTAATAAATTAAAATATTAATAAAAAAGAAAAAAAAAACAATACTTTAAGTTTTTCCGTTTTTAATTATTCGATTAAATTTTTATAACAAATTTATAAAATTACTAAAAATAATAACCTTAAATTATATTACTCATTTTACATTTTAAATATTCATTTTTATACTAAAAATTACCATTATTAATATAATTTAATAAAAAAAATCCTCGTTTATAAAATTATTATATATTTATTATTAATTATTTAATTAAATATTTATATTATATCATTATATAAACCATTTAATTTTAAATAAAAATAAATTAAAATTAATAATTTATAATATTAAATAATAATAAATAATAATTAATTATTTTTTATTATTTATAAATATAATAATTTTATTAATAATTTAAAAAACGTTACATTTTATATTATTAAATAAGAAAAATAATCGTTAATAATCTTCGTAAAAATAACTTTTTTCTAATAATTACATAATAATAAATATATTAAAACAATTAATAATAACTTAAATAAATAATAATTCATTTTAATTAATACTTTATTAATAAAAACCACTTATAAATATTATAAATTATTTAACTTTTTAATTTAAAATAATAATATATTTAAATTATAAAACTTCGTAAAGAATTAAAACTTTTAATTAATATATATTTAAATAAATAATTCGAAAATCTTTTTATTAATATATTATATAAAATTTATTAATAATTATAAACGTTAATTTTTAATTAAATTTAACATTACGAAAAAACTTAAAAAACTTATATTACGTAACTTATTTTAAATTAAAAATAATATAAATAAAAGTTTTTTTAATTAATTTAAATTATAAAATATTATTTTATTAAATAATAAATAATTTTTTATATATAAAAAAAAATATATTAATTTTTTTAATTTCATTAATAATTAAAAACAAACGCGTATTAAATATTTTAACAATTATATTAAATTAATTTTAATTTAACTATTTTAAAAAACATAATTATAAAATTATTATACTTTATATAATAATAAATATAATTTATAAAATAATATTTTTTTTATATTTAATTTAAGTTATAAAAATAATATTTTCGTAATAAAATACCGTACATTATATTAACTTTATTTAACCGATTTTTAATTCGAATTTTAATAAATTTAAAATATAATAACGATTTAAAATAACATTAATTATAATATATATAAAATTATATTTTAATTAAAAAATATAATTTTAATTAACTTAAAACTTTATTTACGTTAAAATATATTAAATATAATTATAATAAAAAATATTAAATATAATTTAATTAATAAAATTATATAAAGTATTTAATTATTTAATTAACTTAAATAATTTTTTAAATATAAAATTAATAAATAATTATTTTATATTTAAATCTTAAATTAATTTATTCATTAATAATAATATTATCATTAAAAAATAAAAAAAATAAATTAAAATTAAATAAATAACGCATATTTATTTTAATTAATAAACTTTATAACGTAATTAATATATAATTAAAAAATAATTAAATTATATAAAAAAATTAATAAATAATTTTATTAACTTTTTATAAAAATATTAATATTATATTTTATATTATAAATAAATAATAAATACTTTTAAATTAAATATTAAAAGTTAAAAATATAATAAATAATAACATATACCTTTAAGGTTAAACCAAATTAGCCTAAACTACATTTTATTAAATATCGCGCCCAGCCTTACAGATACATTAGCACAAGCCACAGCTACCGTGGCTAAATAAGGCGCTATGGCGTTTAACAAAATCGTAAGCTGAGCTCGCTAAAATAATCCTTATAGTCCGCCGTCGGGATGCCATTTTCAACTCACGCTCGGGTTTAAACACAATCCAATTACCGATTTAGCTTAATACAGGCCAATTTAAGCTTATTTTATTCATGCAGACCTAGGACTTCCATAGGCATGCTCAGATATCTGATGTAGGACCTAGGTAGGTAGGTTTAACAACGAAATTGCCATTGGTCTGAGGTACGAACGCAGTCTCAGTCGTGCAGGGGAGAAGACTATTACAAGACCGCTGAGTGCGCGCGCGTCTAGCTTCTAGGTAACAAGATTCCGAAGTCAACGATTGGAGGCACGTTACATCTTTATAGAGCTATAGGTTATTAGTAGCTCGCTATGCTCCCTACTACCTTAGTCCTACCACCTACTAGGTAGCTACTGCGTCTATATTTGGAACTAAGTCCACCAATGGCGGCGGTATAGTCACGCCGTAGTGGTAAAGCGGAGGTGGCTATGATCTTAATTAACAGCTCCAAGACAGTAAAATCCGACCGACAAATAAGGCGTAAATAAAATCACTTGATCCTGCATTATAACACTTGCCTATTTTATCGAAATTGTTGAATGAAAGGGAGACAGGCCAAGTCACGCTGTTTTAGTTAGCGATGTGGTATCAATGTCAGCATACCTAGGTCCTAGGCAGGTATACATCGCGCTGTGATTACCTACTAGGTATATAGTAAAATTGTCGTGGCTACCGTAGGTACTACCTATTTCGAAGATTGCTTTGTGAAGTGGAAGAATTGTGAGAAAAATTCGTGCCGTTAGATATGAAGTTACACTCGACTATCGCCTACCTTCTCGTAGGCGTGACAACCTGTACTGTGCGTCCATTTTGGCACTCATTATTGCTCTCTCTTCTCACGATTGCTAATGCGCATACATATAGGCATTTCCAGCCGAGGACTCCGCGCGGGCAATAGCGGGTTTTGTAACACCTAAGATAACATGGACAGGTCAAGTCAAGCCTGGGGAGGATTCTGTGTCAATCACAGGCACCGCACAAGTAAGTTCGTGTCTAAAAGCTCAATAGTCGATATATGGTCTAATCTAACGTCTCCGGGTTCGTAGGAAATTTATAAGCGAATCATCGAAATAAATCCGAACTATGACAATGAATTAGGCCTGAATAGCAACCAGTCAACTATAGCGACGAGGGGCCTAGAACCTATCAAGAAACGAGCGACAACTTCTGACGTATAGCTACCCCTATTTCTAAACTGCGCTACTAGCGACTGCTGTGACATATTCTCTTCTAATGCGCAACTTCTCCATAGGATTGGACTTGTGCATATGGCAACGACGTGAATGCCGAGTCGATTGGCGAAGGGGTCAGATATCTGTACAGAATTGTCAATGCTGACTGTTCAGCTCCCCCAGGGAGCCCTGGCGCCGGCGGCTGCAGCGTTAGCAGCTGTAATTCGGGCGCTGGCATCTTCTTGTGCAACGACTCTAGCAATACAGCACACATCCCCTGTACCATAATCGCAGAGTATGTTCCCCGCTGTAAGGCACCTAATTTACAGAACATTTCTGACTTAGTGGGCCTTCTAGTAACGCCGTCGAAGTCCTAATTAACTGCCAACGAACTACCTATAATGGTGGCAATACCTGGACCACCGTCACACATGGACAGGTAAGACAGTTGATCATCCTAAACGCTACCACTGATACGAATGGGCTAACATGTCACTATAGATATTTTCCAACGATCATTCTTGGAATGTCATACTCAACAAGTGCTAGCACAACACATTATGTTCTCCAGACGCAGAAAACAAGCTCCCAGGTTACCTACACGATATTAAACTAGTTCGATTAAGTTGATATATCAGATAACGTGGCAAATACTAATGGATATGATAATTCTAATAGTGTTTTAAAACCTAAATCAAGAGTTGTTTACTTCAGGATTAGTTTCTATACTATTCAGTCAACTCCTGAATCAGTTTGTTTGTTACCAGCTATTATTCTGCAACCAATTGGGTGCCGATTCTTATATCGAAACTTAAATCTTTCTTCATGCCATTATGTTATAAAAACCTATGATATTTATTGTAAAGAATATCTGCATGGCTCGTATCTCTTCTGCTGCTCTAATTGGGGATCGGGAGGCACAGCACCTTAAGAATCGATGACTAAATCTGGCCCCCTTTTCTTATCAGTGCCTACCTACCTACCTACCTAGGCACATAACTGATCATCCTCTTTAGTCGTCTTACATGCCAAATTCTAACATCATATTTTTTTAAAAAAAACCCTCAAATTAAATTGACAAGATGAAATTGATTATTTCGGGAGCCACGGGCTTCGTGGCTAAAGAAGTCATACGACAAAGTTTAAGCAGAAGTGAGATCACATCGGTGGTGGCCTTAGCCCGCAAGCCGATAGCCATCCCCGAAAAGCTTGCCGATGGCGCGGATCCCTCGAAACTTAGGAGCGTTGTCGTGAAAGACTATGATCACTATTCGGAAGAGGTCAAGAAGGAGTTTGCTGGGGCGTCAGCATGTATATGGTAAGACTACGGCGGACATAAGTTTTAAGTCCGGATGGGGCGCTGACGAAAACCAGGACTGTTGCCATTACGCCGTCGAAATCTAAGATGTATGATTTCGAGGAAGTCAAGCGTATCTGCCAGACATGCACCTTGGCAGGTTTTAATGCCATTTGCGAGTCTGGTGTCTCGAAACCATTCCGGTTCCTGTATATGAGCGGGGCGACTACCGAGAGAGATCAGACAAAGACTCCGCGATTTCTCCCACAATACTCTCTCATGCGAGTAAGTGCTGAGTATATACGCCATCGCTCACCGAGATGAAGCTAATGGAACGGTTTAGGGAGATACAGAAAACAAGGTACTTGCGTTGGCTTCCGGGCTCGATGGGGTCGAGGCGTGTGCTGCCAAACCAGGTTTCATCACCGCACCTGGCGAGATACTGAAATCTATCGCCGCCACCATGATACAATTGACAGCAGGAGTCCCTAGTATTAGTGTCGTGGATCTTGCGAAAGTGATGCTGGATCAGGTCGTCAACGGTTTCGAGAAAGAACCGTTAACTCCTGAAGATTTGGCAAGGATCGCGAAAAAGCTTAATAGCTCTTAAAAAGGAAGTGACCATGATATGGGGTTTCATTATACGAAACGTATTAGTTACCTAACAATAGTTTTACAGTTCATGTGTTGGACTCGCCGGAGAATTAAAGAGGGATTTAGGTGAAATTCATTTATAGTAGGTGATCATCCCGTGATCCCTCAGGCACTCAAATAAAACAACCTAGCAGCTAACATATCTAAGGTATACATTCTAAATATATATGATATGTCCCTACATACATTCTTTCTCCTCGCTAATAGCCGAAACGTTAAATCTAGCCATTCTTAGATTCAGAAAACGTGGGGCGGCCAAGCTGTAGATAATAAGTATTCGTGAGGAGAAAGGAGAAAGCAAGCATGGGACTTAAGCTCCCAAAGCTATATCTCTGCTCTTAGTTTACCCCTTTAGGCCAAAATAAGTCCATCTCTAGATTCCAAGTCGCATTTTAATATCTGCGGAGTCTTCGTGGGGCAGAAATCAAGCTGCAATATTAACAAGCAATTTTCCCGCTGATTCTCCCGGGACCGGGAATGGTTTTAACTATGACAGGTCCTGGGGTAGCAGTAACGGCACTTGCTTTTGAAGATCGATCCAAGGCATATACTTATTACTAACGTGTCCCACTATACACGAACCCGTTCCCTTCTCCCCCGGATCTCGAGTCAAACCCAGCGATCCACCAAGGGCTTCACCAACACCAGGAAACAGGAACCACACCATGCATTACCGCGTCTTAAGCATCTGCGCCGCCGCCATCGGGGCCCTGCTGCCCACAGTGACAGCAGAGTGCAACCGAACGTACATCCAAGCCTTCTCCGACGAGTACGTCAAAGCGCACGAGAACGGACAACTAAACCAGCTCGAGAACATCGCGGACAACTTCACGTACATGGAGAACAACAAGACGCGGGAGATCACAGGCGGCATCTTCAACAACGCGTTGAAGATCGACCACCGCCACACCATCGTCGACACCGTCGACTGCGCCTCCTTCACCGAGCTCATCATCACGCACAACGCCTCCGGCGAGCCCGCGCCCTACGTCATCGGCACCCAGATCCGCCACAGCCCCGGCGACCACAGCGTGTATCTCATCGACCTCATCGTCTCGACCACCGGGTCCTGGCTCTTCAACGCCTCCCGCACGCTGGAGTACGCGTCGAAGGAGAACTGGAGCTTGATCGACGAGGACAAACTCGATACCCGCGAGGCCCTGAAGCAGGCCGCTGACGCGTACCTCGATATGTGGAATAACCGCAGCGCGATTGACGCCGTGCCTTGGGGCACCCCGTGCGTTCGCCTCGAGGGCAGCGTGTACACTGGCTCGGGCTCGCCGACGGATTCGTGTAAGGTCGGTATCCCGACGAATAATAACCAGGCGCCGAATTCGGGGCGCAGGTATGTTATTGATCCTACGTACGGCTCGATTAGTGTGTTGTGTATCTTTGAACACTTGAGTATGGCGCCCGATAGTCATGAGTTCCGCATGGAGAATGGGAAGTTACGGTATATTCATACTATTACGCTGGCTCGAAGTGGGTTTCTTAGGGCGGAGGAGTTGGAGTCTGCGCAGCGGGTGAGGAATCGGAGACGGAGAGGAGGCCGGCTGGGTGGCTCGCTTGAGTCGTAAGGTGGGAAGGCAGATGGTTTCCTGAGCTCCTTTTATCATATGTTCTTTGGGATATGAGGATATGTAAGCTCAGGTTATCCTGGGATTAAAAGTAGCAAGAATCCTAGTAGCTACCAAGACTCCATTTCTAGTGTAGTGATCACGGCTTTACGACACCCTTCATACCTTACGGTAGTATTTTAGAATCAGTCTTGTGACATTGGTACATGATGAACTCATTCCATTACAAGGTAATCCTCAAGCGCCACCCTCGAGCAGTGCTTTCATTACATTAGGGGTTAACCCTATACAAAGAAAAGCCTTGCCATCCAGTATTACATGTGTTCGTAGCAGAGCAAAGAAACAAGTGTACTCGAACATATCCCTTCCACTTTCTCCGTAACATCTTCCAGTCCTCCTTTTGTCCATGTACATATTAACTCAAGCAAGCCGTAGTTGCACAAGCGAAGTTTGGTACAAAGTACTGAACATGTACCGACAGAACGAACGGAGTTATAGCTCCATGAAGTATCCCGGAGTTCTGAATCGTAGGCGGATATCCAACATAATCTTGGATGCGTCGTCATGTAAGGGGACTTCGTCGTGGTCCCGGATCGAGACAAATTCATCGCCACAGAGCGCGTATTGCTTTCGTAGACGCGACTCTCGGACCTGGTTTATCACGCCACGGAAATGTGGGCTGCGCAGGAGCATGTAGAACTCGATCTTCTTACGCTTAACATCAAAGCCAGCATCGGGCTCTAGCTTAGTCGCTGTAGTTTTGGCCTTGGTCAGAATAACTACCGTGATCTTTCCGACATCGTGCTTATCGGTATATTCCAATACCGTCTCCGTAGCGTGGGCGCCATCATCCTGTGCTGTTATTTCGGACATGGTACCAGAGCCTGGTTCGGTATCGTTGGCTTTGGGTTTCTCCTTGAGGTTTCGTCCTGCCTCCACGATCTTGCAAGCCTCGCGTCTGAAACGTATCTCGTCGCCCATTAACTGATCCATCATAGGCATCCATAGGAATGATACCTCATGGTTTTTCTGGTCCGCCACAAAATCTTCCATCACAGGGTCACTGATCGCCACATCCTTCATCTGTACCAAGCTCATAGTGCCGTCTTTAGGGCGGTATAGGGTATATGGTTGTTCTGGAATATTGGGATATGCTCTGGTTATAAAGAGGCTGTCCGAAGGATCCGTGTAAAAATATGCTCGAAGTTTAGCGTCATCCTGTGAAAGTCGAGAGAACAGTAGGTGCCCTCCACCGCCAGTACGTGGGTGGTTGATGACGACCTTGGTTCGAGGGAGGCATTTTTCTCGAAAGATTCGTTCGATCTCGGCCTTCCACGACTTGCATACGCGTCGAAAGTTGCACCATAAGTATGGCATCATGTAGTCGGGCAGATTTTTGAGTAGGATAATGAATACCTCGGGTGGGAGAGGTTGTTTGTAGGGTTCTACTGCGACACTGGCAGAGATTTGGTCCTGGCTCAAATCCATGGAGACGTGAATCGTGAAAGTAGAAAATGAAGAAGGGACGGTAATATAGCTAAAACGATGCCTCAGACAATGGAGCAATATAAAAAAGCCCTGGGTAGGAGCTGAGGATGTAATTGTGGTTGATTTATCACCTCCCCAAGATTTGCAAGGTGTGTAAGGTGACGAGAAAGGTTTATTTTACGTCTCGATATTTTTCTGTTGTGGTTAAGGTAAAGGTAACGACCACATAGGAAGCTAATGGTGGATGTGTACGAGAAAGTGGGTTGATTTCGAATGGCACCTAGGCACTAAGGCTGTCGACAGAGGTGCTGTCAGTGTGAATATCTACAACTGTCTTTCCTCCTATAAGGTTAGTCTGAGATTGGCTGACGGTCCACACTACGACTTCAAGAGTCCCATCAAGGAACGGGTGATATGGCTACGAAGCTTACTGATATTGTCAATTAAATAAACATTGTCCTGTACATAGATACAAAAGAAACCCGCCCCTTCCCCTCCCCTTTTCTTGAAATATTAAACTCGATAGATTCAAATATCCTCATATTTGATTTGTTAGATGTTCTAAGGAACCAGATACTTGTAGGCTACCTATATAGATACAGTAACTCATGTAGCTAAAGCTCCTAACAGTAGCTAGGATACTCAACATACCATGTACCCAGGTACTTATATACCTATCTGTAGTCACGCCACGAGTATATGGGAGGTTATAAGACGACAAATTCTCACGAGTTTGAATTTTTTCCTTTTAAGAGCCTTTGAAAAGTGATTTAAGAAGCCACAGAATCTCGTGCCTTGATCATTGACAGTGTGAAGTCGAGAAAAGGGATATAGGAAAGACCGGTCGCACCAATGACTAAATCCGAGTGTTCCTTCCGCGTATCAGGATAGACCGGGTTACGTTAGCTGCGGACCGATCCGGAATCGGGAAATATGGGACTACCAACCGGCAGCAAGATACGTACTCCTTAACGTTGTGCCTTTTTTTTACTTCCATGAATACATGCTTCAATCTTCTACAAATGACTCATTTTCCAATATCCTACTTTGATCCCAGTTCGTACACATTTGCATATATCACAGGTTCATAATTGGTGGTAATACTATATTTTTTTTTCGTAAAGACATGAGGGTATAAAGCTCACACAGAAAATCCTTACTCATGCATCACCAGCCAATATCCGATATCAACAATTCGTAACCCTACGTTACTCAGCTAGCCTAGAATGGCTGTATTACGACCCATATAACCCACCACGATACACTTTTGACAGATTTATAATAACATGCTAATTCAAAGGGGATATTAAACATCAGTGCGCTTCTCTTCGAGAGCGGCGGTCGGTACTACATCCTCCGGTCTCTCATCACTGTATTTGAGGTCCGTCTCGAGAGAAGTAGTATCCTCTATCTTCATGAAGATGATCGGGGCGGCAACTAAGAGAGAGCCGGCGCAGACAGCCCACTGTCAATGATGGTTAGCTAGAGACCTAAATCTTGTATAAAAAAAGCTGCAGTGTAGACTTACTGTAACGGCGAAGAGAGTATTATACTCAATGTGAACACCGTCCAAACGCCAAAATACAGCAGCACCGGCTGACTGGAGACCCTTGTAAAAACCAGTCATATTGGCGGTTCTTCGGCCAGAGTTGGAGAGCGCTCCCATGTACCTAGCAAAGAAGTTAGATTTGATTTATTCAATCGATCAACGATTTTTGTACTTATGAACGTACCAGTAGATGCATGTTTGCCAGCAGGCGTCGTAAAAGCCGTAGAAGATGTAGAGGAACATGGGTCCAAGGAATTTAGGGTCGGTCCAGTCAATCTTTTCGTTCTCATATGATTCTTCCATTGTGACTTCTCGCGAAACCTGTTGTCTCTGCCACGCGTATCCACCGCCCCAGATAGCGAAGGTTAGGGCAAAAAGCGCAAGAAAAGAGATCTTGGCACGCATTGATCGTCGGATCTTGGGGTAATCGAGGGCGTATCCGAAGATAACGGCACCAAAGATCTGGGCAAGCCAGTAAAGCAAGTTGTTGAGCGAGCGAGCCCTAACGTTGAAGTGGGCGAGGTTGAGCCCATTCTGCTGGTATGTGTAGAAGATGTTGGATGAGAAGAACATAGGGAACAAAGCAACAACCCAGGGGCTAAGAGAGATACACTGCCAAAGGCCGATGAATTCACTCTGCCAGGTTGGGTTCTTCATGACAATGACCTTGGAGCCATCGTCTCGAATAACCTTGTCGGCGTTGACGAGGAGGAAAGTGACAGCAGCACCAACTACCATCAGGACAATGAAACCAACGTAGGTACCGTCCGTGACTGTACCACCAGTGTTGTTGACATTCTGGCCGAGAGGAATCAAGCTACCGATGACAGCGCCGAGGTTGAAAATGATCCAAAACCAACTGATGTATCGACCCTTAGACTCCTCGGGTGGGTAAGCCATCATGATAGCACCCTGCGCGGTCCAAAGCAAACCGGCGCAAAGACCCAGTAAAGCACCAGCAAAGATAACAAAACCAACGTTCTTCGTATGGTTGTAGCACAAAAGACTGGCGGAATAAATGCAGTAACCGAAGCCGCCGATACCCAAAGTTGCCTTGATACCGAGCTTGTTGGCGAAAGAACCGGAGAAGAAGGCAACAACGGCGAAGACAGAGTAGAGGGCAGTAGACGCATGATCCTGGACTGTTCCGTCGACCTGACCACCACCACCGAGACCACTCAACGCATTATACATGCCAGGGCATAGGAAACACACCAGAGCCACCATAAGAAGTTGCATCTTCGGTGACGCATACCATATTTCCCTCCTGCCGACCTGGAAACCCTTGTATATCCAACCATCTGGGCGCGGTTCCAGGGTGTGGGTGCTAAGATTGGAATGAGGTTCGGTCTCAGACCCGACTGTCCCCTTTGCATCTGCCATTTTGAAGCTTTTTGGTAATCGCTCAGCTACGTGGTCGTCGATCGATTTTTTTACGAGTCGAAATATGGTCGAAGCAAGCTCTTTGACAAGACCTATGGGTGTTTTAGTGTCAGCTTATGATCACCGCAAATCCTGTAATGCGCAAGCTTTAAGAGAAACATTCCAGAGACATTCTAGAGACAGTTTCTTTAAAGGGAGTATTGTATATTGTATAAGTGAAGGAGGCTAATTAACATACCTTATTCGAATTGCTAATCGCCGTCGCGGCTAAATTAACTCGATCTTTGAAGTTGACAGGAGATGGAGGAGACAAAAGAAGGTCGAGATGCGCCGAAGCGGGCAAGGAAGATAATATAAAATAATTATTGTACCACAGTACAAGGGCCTTCACTAGTCAGATAAGGCGATGTTTTTATTAATACGATGTATGGCACGTGTGAAATAAGAAAATAACATTACCTGTGCATGTACCAAGCGATGTACCGCCTACGGAAACCACGCCAACCAACCAACAAAGGAATGGCATTTCTCAAGCCGCACCTACCTTAACCTACCTAACCTAGCGCTGATCGGATGCTACCTGGAAGCTTGGGTACATATCTGAATACTTGGGTACATGCTACATAGCTGGGTACTGGACGTTCTAGCCTGGATCTTCTCAGGTCTGGTTTGGGATGGAATGGAACACAAGCTGACATGGTAACACCATCAGCGCTCAGCCGAATCTCTCCAGCTCCGGAGTCCATTTCCCCTATCACAAGTATGATTTGCGAACGTCGCTCGAGACGATGGTTCAAGGTTACGTGACACTCCCGGCATTCGCATAGGTGTATCTTTGACATCTCGTCCGCAGCACGGGACGAGACGAAAAAACTACCTAGGATTCAGGACCCTCCACTAATAAGATTTAGGGTTCTGGGGATGCTGGGGCGCGGAAAATGCGCTAAACGGCTTATGGCCGAATAAAAGTGGGTAGATTTCAGATGATCCTTCGCGAGCTCCGTACCCTTGGTGATAAGCCTATCAACTTATTGAAGCCGTACGATGTTATCGTATATGTATATGTATGTAAGCTAATCCGTGATGCTATTGAAAAGGAATCTCGTGTTTCTTCAAACCGTTTCTAGAAATAGAAAACTGATGCTACTAGATAATTGCCAGTGGTAGTCACAGATGATCCGACGTTCTCGTCATTGCGAATAACATGTCTTTGCGCATTTAAGCATGGTCCATGTGGAAGCTTAATTGAAGAGCGAAAAATAGAACTGAAAGGCCCTTACATGACAAGCATGGCAAAAACCTTGAAATTCGTCTAGGCTTCACTCCCTAATCCTTAGAGCACCACACACTAAGCAAGGATAAAGACCGTCCGGACCTGGATAGCTCGCGAGATAACCGATAAGAATAGAGATAGCGGCGGACCGAATATGGAAATCATGCCGTCTCTGATTGGGTATAGTGAATCCTAAATCACGGGTCGAACTATGTACATGACGATTGGGCATTTTCATTGGCTAGAAACTTAGACATGGCTCTGTCCGGGGAAGGAAGTTACTTCTACTATGGTATGCATTTAAGTTTGTATTTGGAGAAGGATTCATCATTAATGTTCGGTTAGACAACACTTTCCTCTCGTTGGTCACTTGTGCCTCTGTCATATGTAACGTTGCCCAACTTTCCCTCTTCTCGCTCACCATTTCCTTCGCGGGAATAATCATCAACGACCAACTTCACAAGATGCTTTTTTTCAGCCAACAAATATCGCTAGTACCCGAAATCTACACTTGTACCTCGATTGGTAACTGACTGTTACGATGCGCATCATTCGTCCCGACGCTCTGGTAATGTTACAAAGATAACAGATCCGCTGGATCTCACAGTACCTAGTAGTATATGCGAAGCTATCAGCTTTGAGATAAACCTAACTTTACTTGACTTAAGCATGTTCGATTGAACTCTAGGCCGAAACGAAACAAGTAGGCCACGAAAAAGCTTACCTTATTGGCGTCAACTATTACCTACTTCCAAGAGAATCTCACCCTTATGTGAGACATCAAACCTACAGTCGCATTCCGTGGTAACACAAGGAATCTTAGGTCCGAATTGCCTTCCATGGTTCTTGCATGATGCCGTCGTATGCAAGCGTGCGAGGTTACATCCCACGATTCAACACTCGATCATACGTCCGCATCTCTAAGAGTACATCATGTACGATTATGGCGGACTACGATTCCAGATCATAATGATCCCAACATCGACTAATAACAGAATAAGTAGAGTCATGATTGTTTTTACAAGCAACGAGTCTCGTTTACTATTATGTAATCAACTTGATTGCCCTACAGCTACATATGTGCCTAGCAGTAGTACCGGCTCTCCGGTAAGCACAAGAAATTCTCAGCTTTAAATATGCAGGTCAACTTCTCCCATGGTAATCCATTTTAATTAATTGCAGGGCGAATAGCTTCCACAATATTCTTATGGAATATACCTGTGGCATATTTGAGTACTACTTATCTAGCAATAAGCTAAGAAAACTCACTCGAGAAAATATTTCTCGAAAATGACACGATCGCAATTGAGTAAAACGGGTTGGTGGTTAACCACACACCTCTCACCATTGTACAAGTCAAAATGTGTTGGTGAAAGTCATAGATATAGCATGGGTTTCTTGTATCACGCATATCACAACGAAACGGCATCTTGAACAACATTGGTAAATCTCTATTTTTCTGAAGGGGAAAATAAGTCTCACCATGTTCATCGTCAGGTAATCTCTCACTACCTACTTAAACTCCTTCGTTCTCTCTTCCAAGGTTACCATCATGATTACCTTGGTAACACATGTTAACGCCACCTCGGAAGTCGGATTCAGCTGAATTCATTCTGCATGGTATCGCGAGGCTCACAGAGCCGCGTCATAGTAAGATGAATGAGCAAACCTAATATATTGGTATCTATGGTATCAAATTGGGTTACCTAAGCCTCTCCTTTTTCTCGACCCGCTCGCAACGTTGTACGATATCCCCAAGCATATCCGGGGTACATATGGAAAATACGACGGTACCTACCCCAACTCTGCATATTTAAAAGTATACCTACCGTGGTATCTGTATAGCGCCTACATATATTTCGGATCCAATTCTGGTCTCGGCCGGATATTCTCTTGAAAGCTCCGTTGCATTTTAATGGTCGTCTGATTATTCGCAGATTTGGTAGCTAGGTAGATGGTTACCCAGTTACATACTAGGTATGAAACGTAAGCTTACCTGCTGCCAACAGAGTTGCGATAGCTTATGTATGTGACACAGATACACATATGAGAATATCTTCTACAATTCCCTGTTGTTTTACTTTTAATCTATAACCATCACATTGGTTGGCTATGGGTCGATGAGAGGGACCCTTCCTATGAAGTGCTTGGTCAATCCTCTTAGTACTCAATAGATCTTCTATGCATCCTAAAAAAGCTTAAAAACGCCAAGAACATGTTTCTATTATGTAGTTAGTTGCTATTTAGAAACTACCATTTGCTTGGTACCTACCTGCTTGGGTATCCGTGAGTCCTCAAATACTCTAAATGACCACGCAAGCAATTCCTAGAGGAATTGCAAGGCAGGCAATCTTCCCAAGTGTTAGGATCTTACTGCTTGGTTAAATAGCATACCTGCCTCATCTAATTCCAACCTATATCCTTCGTTGGTGAAGACAGTGGAGGAGATGAGCCGTGCCACAAGAAGCCATACATGCGCCGCCTATTACCACCCCAACCCCACTAACAAGCAGCTTGCACAATCCTCCCATTGACCGCCAAATTCCCCTGAAGCTACACTAAAGCATTATGGTAAGATAAGAAATTTAAAGGCTTGGCTGTAAGCTATAATATTGAATGGGGACCAAATTAACTGAAAATAGTGTTGACAGCGGCGCCTTGTGCGTGTGTTGAGTTGCTTCTCATAGCATATTGTAAATACCTACCTAATTATGAGATAAACATATTATGTAAACGAAGGCAAATATAAATTCTCACTTGAAAACGCCATAGCTAAGAAATTAAACAAAAACGACATTTCAAATTTGCGTTTTTGTGGTTGGCTGTTAGGTGCCTAGTAGTATCACAATGTACTATGCTTCGAATCTCCTCTAAGTACAAGGTAAGAGCAACGGCTCTTCTGAAAAAGTGTACAGCAAGTTTCATCTAGCTATACACTATGTCGGCGACAAGGGAATTGGTCAAAGATAGAATTAAGCATCTCAATAGATGGATAAAGTATCACCATGGTATTCTGACCTGGAAATGGCGTAAGCCCTAACGTATCACACATGTACTTCACTTCTCTAAGCAGATTCAAGTCCAGCAATGATATTGTTCTTTTGGTCAATACGTTTATCCTCATGGCGTAGCATGCATGCTAAGGTAGTACATCCATATCTGTCTGGACCTCATTCAACCTTATACAACAGGTTCTTCCCAATGCGACAGGTGGAACCGTGGACATTTCGTATATCCCCCCTGATATTTCCTGCCGTCCCCCCATCATCCACGTCAAGACCCAAATGCTTTTCCCGTTGTCCTGCGAATGCTGCTTCCAGGTATGCCAAACTCCGCCAACTTTTTAATTCAATCGTGCAATAGCGAATAATCGAGCGCTCACTGAGGGGGATCTAGCTCCGTGAGACTCGTTCGCCGGGTGGTATGTGTGTGTGAATAAACAATATGTGTCGATAATAGAAGTAGTAAGGTCATTTCCGTTTCCCTGCCTGTAAACGCCGGTGACCAGTGTGGTGTCGAATGATGTGTAAACCGATGGACCAACCGTCCAAACCCCCCAAATGCTTCATAATCGAATAACAAAAACAAAACGATAGGGGTATCAATAGATAAGATGAAATGAGGAGTCAAAAGGATAGTAGTAATAAGCGGCGGAGGATGGTGAGATGATAGCAACAATCATAGGATGATTGCTACAACGGGAGCTTGGGTGTTATCAGGTAGAGACGGTGTTGTTGTTATGATGTCGATCTCTTGACATCCAGCTGAATAAATCAGCTTTCTGGCCAGCTGGTGTAGTGACCGTACCGTCAATAGGGGTCTTAAGGAGGTTTTCTCGGGGCTCAAGTAGCAGACTCTTTCGGTAGTAGCTGACTTGAACATTACCCTGGTCTAGTTCTTTAACTCGGGTAACTTGTGCTTGGATCCATTCCTGCATGTCGGGGATTTCTGTGAGCCTGTAAGGGATCTGAAATCGCTGAAGTTCACCGATAATCTTGGCGGTGCGAGTATGCTTGTCAAAGTTGATTACTGTCAAACCACTGTCGGTTGCACCGGCACTGGGCAGTTGCTTTGTAGGCGGGTTGCCAATATCAACAAATGTGAGATCAGTTAGGAACATGCCGAGGAAGGGTAGGCACGGGGGGACGTGGCCCTGAAGGCGAGCTCGAAGCACCTTGTTATTGTTGGCTGGTTCGACAACAGCTTGTAATGACTTCAGCATTTCTCGGCGTTTCGGGCTCACGAGGTCCCACGTCTTTCGCAGGCGGCTAATAATCGAATTATTTAGGCTGCACACGATAGACATGAGACCATCATAGTTGTTCAGCTCGAGGCATTGGTGGGCAATCTTAATCCATTGCTTGATAACCACAGCCCGCTTTTTAACTTCTGGGTATTGGAGAATAGTATCGGCCACGAGGTTAGATAAGTCAGTGGAGAAGCTCGACATAGCTTTCACATTGGGTGAAGATGCGCCATTTTTCTTCATCCATTGCGACCCTAATAACTCTTCCGGCATGATTGAGCAGAAGATACTCATTTGCTTGAGGGTTAACTGACGCGCAACCTCAAGAGGCTCAAAGTCAAGGAACGACGGGCAGCTCCCTCCTGACTTCCAGTTATTGAGCAAACCATGCTGGCTCTTGGATAGAGCAGGATTTGGCATCGGTGTATCGACAGGCACGAACTGAGAGATGGACGTGTTTGTCTTTCCCATAGATGATACTAGACGAGGGACAAGCGAACCGTCTGTAGAAGAAACTCGTTGTGAAAGTTCCATGATGCGTTTGCCTGCGGAAGGAAGAAGAGACCCAAGTTTGAATTCAGCGAAGTGCTGAATAAGCGGAAGCGCTTCGCGATCGGTTGAATCACGCCAATGTGATTCCAGCCATCCTTTCAAGACGTTGTAGACACGTAATCTTACTGGGCTTGCAGTGCTGGAATTTTCGCCCACGTAATCGAAGCGTTCAATAAGAGTTTCAACTAACGCGGTGGGAGAGCAAAATAGCCTAAATGTGAGATAAAAGGCGGACACAAACATGGCGTCTGGTGTCGCTTCGTGGGTTGTGAGCCGCTCTACTAGGGCTGGTAGTGAGCCACCAGTAACCTGGCCCTCCTTGTTGAACATTAGCTCGTGGGCGAACGTCTTCTCTAACAATTTCGACTCCAATTCGTCAACTTCTTCGCTTACACTAGAACTAGCAGTAGTGCTCATATCTGACAAAGAGGGTTGGGTCTTAGGTACGAGTGAATGATCAGGTGTAGTGGCACGTGTTGAAGTATCAGAGACCATGCTAGCTTCTGAGTCACGGCTAAGATAGGTGCTGTTGCTCCCGGAACTAGAAGCGGTGCCTGTATCAGACCGAAATGAACTGTGATATTCACCATCGTGCGATGTCTCAGTGGCTGGGCTGTATGGCTCATCTACAGAAAGGGAAGTCGTGAGTCTCGGAAGCGCAGGAAGTGAGGGCCGGAGAGAGGATACAGAAGATGCCATGCTTGAAGCCGCATCATCCGTAATCATAGATTGAGGTCTGGATGCCGGTGGAGAGGTGTGTTGTTCGGTGCTTGGGTGTCCCTCTGTTGAGTCATTAACTGGTACATCGGGTAGAGGTTTATCCATAGAAAGATGAACTGAGTGGGTGGGCCTGGGCGATGGTTCAGACGTCTTTGCTTCCGAAATTGTTGACTCGGCCGGCGTGCGAGGCCTACTTTCGGACACAGCCTCGAAAACGCCCAGGTCAATGTCCAAGTTTCCATTCTCAACCTCGAATTCGAAATCTCCAATCCGCTCCAAAACCCACTTAGTCTTTGCAACACATTCACCAGCTGCCTTGACACATCCAGTAGCAGCGAGAAGAAGTCTGCTGTTGTCCTGGGGAATTATAAGGTCTTCGCCATCTGGTCCTCTATTACCTAGGATTTCACGCGCGGAGTAAACTAAATCCCTAATGCGGTCGTACATAGCAACGCGTGACTGTCCTAACGTCTCCGAAACTGACGTGTTGTGGTCGCATATCGCGTCAACTACTGAGAAAAGTTGGCCACCAGAAATGACGGAATGCTTGATGGCGAGGGCCAGTTCCGGTCGAGATTGCGATTGGACGTGTAGCCGACCAATGAAGGATCCAAGGTGCGACAAGAAAGTATCGTGACAGGAGTTGAGCCGCTCCGAAACAAGCTTCTGCGATTGCGACAATGGTGAAGGGCCGGCCAGAGACACTCTGTGTGATATACTAGCCGATAATCGATTCCCTTGTAGTGGATTCATCTGAGACATCCGATTATTCGCTGCGTTACCAGACGAGTAAACGCATGACAAACGCTTGTTGGCTGATTCACTCGTTTGTACGCCTTCGGTAACTGGTGGCGCCAGACCTTTGGTGGGTCCCGCTTCGATGTCCGCCCGGGAAGATGCAGATTGGTCCTCTGCTTGGCCGTTCTCGAATGCCGTCGACTCCAAAGGTGGCGTTGGTGGAACAAACGATTCTTCGACAACAGTTGCCATTACTGTCACTGCCGGCGCTCGTAACTGCCTATCTTCTTCAATTAAGTCAAGAAATCGTACTCCCTTTACGACAATTTTGAAAGCTTTCAAGATCATCTCATCGATGATGTCGTTAACATCGTCAGCAGATTGCGTTAGACCTCTCAATGTCTCCTGTAGCCTCTTCGCGGTCTTGACCAAAGATGACAGTTCAGAAAGCAAAGATTTCCTGCCTCGTCGTAGGCTTTCGCTTCTCTGTACTGTAGCCGACTCACGAGTTAAACAATGAGTGCGTTCCTAAAAAACAGAAAATAATTAGTCACATAAAATCAAACCTATGGACCTGATGAGGTTTTAGCCTACCAAGAGATAGCGCACACCCGCAATGATGCCCTTCATAAATTCCTGGTTACCAAAAATGTCCCGGTCATTTGTTGCTGTGCTTCGTAGTAGATCCCAGAAATTCAAGAGTGCGTTCAATAAATTCCTCATCTCATCTGGGTCGTATGCTTCACAGTAGTTCGTCGGCAGCCAACCTCTTGCGCCGGATACAAGTAAAGTTCCGTCAGCCCATCCATTGGTATGGATCGAATGAACCAAGACTACATCTCCTTCGTTCAGTGGTAACGTCACAGTCGAATCGGTCATAGCATACGTCGGGTGAAACGGGTAGAAAGCTCGCAGAAAATTGTGGAAGATGGGATTTGATGGCGTCGGTTGGGGAATTAATTCTTCCTGCGAATCATTGGGCGTCGAGGGCGGAGTTATCTGAGATTGAGAATATGGGTTTGTGGATGCTGCCGACTCACTTCCATCATCCGAATCCTTGGCTGCATTTTCGGTCCGGCTTTTATTGATAGTGAGAGGCGCCACTTGGAGGCTCGCTCGCATGGGTTGGTCATCCAGCATCATGATTGCTGCAGAACTGAGCTGTAGAGAACCATGGGAACAAATTGTTGCTGTTACTTTCGCAACAGCCGAGAACTGTAGAGGAGATATCTAACCTCCTCAGAATGCAGATGCTCTAATAGGCCTGCTTCGTGTGTTGGGCCTTCCTATAATATTTCGAGGTCCGATAACTTCCTAATACCATAAACAACAGAATCGGGTAGGCGGCTCCTGGGAAAGTTTGGCGTGATATTGGTGTCAAGAATCACTACCTTGCTAGGTAGGAGCAGCGTTAGGAGGCAATCAGAAGATGCTATGCTAAGAAACGAGGGATATGTTAGTACGCGAGCGTTTGTTGTTTGTAAGTTTGGCTTGGAAGGCAATCCGAGAACATGAAGGAATGAAGGGAGACCAAAGTAAGTGGTATCGGGTCCTAGGATGATGGGAGGGGTCCAAGCTAGGAATGTCGAGATTGTCTAGGCTTAGCTAAACAATTTCAGGGTATGTTCTCGACGCCGAGTTTCAGGCCTTATTCGCTATGACGAAGCCCCTTCCACTAAGCCGGTAACATGCCAGAAGTACCTAGGAAGATCCTTTCCTCTGTTCCACCATGCGCAATTGGAAGTCGGAAGGGAACTATGCCACTATGCGTACCTCGTGGGTTTTGATGCAGCAACCCGGCAAACGGAAGACCATCACTCCCGATCTTTTTCGTGTAAAGACCAGAAGATTCAAGAATATCGTATAAAAAAAGAACGCAATTTACCTTTGCTGCGGCCCTCCACTGGCAATTCAATTAAAGCTTTTCTTTTTTTTCGAGAAAAGGCTAGTTGGATAGATACTCGATGTTAGTAGTAACAATAATGGTTCAAGGCGGTTCCACCAGTCTGCCAGAAGGTCCGAATTATTTTTCTTTTCGGATCGAGATGTCTTTAATCGCAGGTTATATACTCCTGCTCTCAAATGCGATCCAACTATTTCCAGGACCAATTAAAAAGAATAGTCGAGAAAGTTAACTGGAGTACTCTTGATGGATGAATATATCGAGAGGTCGAGAGAAGTATTAACAGATCAAGTGTGGATGCGTGCGCAAGATGTATAGATGGATAAAAGACGGATGCGTCGTATTGTAGTACTCTCGGATCCGTGCGATGGACCTTGCGTCGAATCCTGTGCCGCCGCGAAGAGTTGACTTCTAATGCAAAATGTCAAACCGAACTTGTGTATGTATGTACGTGCGTGGGTGCGTAGGTGCGCGTATGCAAGTGTTGGATTAGGATATATCTGTGTAAGTCGTGAGTATGAAAAAAATGGTAAGACGAAACGCAGATAATCAAGGTAGGTTAAGGCAAGTAAGGTAGGGGGATGCAGGAGAAAAAATGGAAGCTACGAAGTAGACCAGTACGCTCCTGCATGTGCTGCTATCAACTATTATCTTATTATCCACGTTATTGGACCTGTCTGCTACTACCCCCCCATGCAGCTATGCCTAACAAAGACTGAGGTCGGCAACGTTTTTATTAGGCATGATGGACCTGCGAGCCGGGAATATGTACAATATACGTACATATAAGGCATGTACCATATAATTTACATTGTACTTACCTACAGTTGAAGGCAGGGGAAAAGAACCTAGACCGGGGGTGCTTTCAGGAACGCAACCTTGAAGGATTGGAGCAGTTTAGGGGAGGTGCAAGCTCCAGTAGTCTAGCACCACTAATTGGAGGGTTTTGGGCGAGCTCTGGTTAGAACGGCTGCTAATTTGACACCCACTGTGACCTAGCAGGGATACAAGCTTAGTGGTGGGACGACAGAATACAAGGATTAATCTTGCAGGTGCAGGGTATCCGGGGTTTCCCCAGTGAACAGTCACCTAACCTAATTCGACCGTAGCAGGGGTAGTTTGGTCGTACAGTAACGTACACTGTAGCCGAAAACTTCAAGCTTAGCTCAATCGTTCGCGGGAGTTTCCAGTGGCGTTTACTCAGCCCATTATCAGCTAAAGTCAAAGACTTTTCACTATTTTCATGCGAAATCCATCTCATGACGTCTTTTTTCTTCTAAGGCATCTCATTCAATGTTCGCCGATCTCGAAAATACGTAACTTTCTTAAGGCTTACGACCGACACTCGTCAGTGATCACATACGCTCATTCATGCAGCTTGGTGTCGGCGCTAATTCTTGGGTTCTGTCTAATCGTTAGGTCTTATGTATGATGGTAAGTAAACCATCCGATGCTATTGGCAACCTAGAACAACACGCGAGATTTATTGTTAGTGAAGGTGCGAGTTCCAATAAAAATTTTAAGTTCTCTTATTTTTACAGTACGTACTAGTATGGTACTCATTTGTTAGAACTGGGCCAACAAAGGCTCGTGGGGAAAGGTATCCAATAAGCTTAGATCTCGATTGCCGCGATGTTAAGCTTTGAATGGATGCATTTCTATAATTGCTAAACCTATGCAGCTATCATACTCATCGTCAATACATGTTAAGCTGGTGGAAATCTCTTTTCTTTCTGCCCTCTCCTCATACAATGCGGTATCCAAGTGCTTAGCTTAATTATCTACATATATGAACTGAACGTCCGCTTTGGACAATTGCGGTGGAATACAAAATATTAAATGATGATAAGTAGCACAGACTGTATAATGCCTTTAGATCTGTTTGTATAGTCGGGGATTTTGGGGTTAGTGTACCAAGGTGATAAGAAACATGGACCGTCGTAAGCAACCTGGCGGATCGTACCGTTCTTTGAGAAATATCGAGATGGTAGATCCCCCCTCTAGCCACACAGAGCTTACCGGCGGAATAAAAGTCCTAGGTAAGAATTTTAGTCGTCTGTATTCCGGTTGGGAAATGAAAATGGAACGCCGGCTTCAAGGGAAGTGGACAGTTGAATGCCCAGGTGTTGATTGTTAAGTTGGATGTGAGGTTGGAGGTTAACATGGGGGGAAACAATACTACGGATCAGATAATACGCACCACATAGCAACGGGTATGGTTGCCTGAGTTGGAATGTCTCTTTATAGAATTGATGTTTTTAGTTTACATGCAATTTATATACGTACCTGAATATGTACTAAAAGATAAATTATATGGTGCTTCTACATACATACATACATACTTCATCATCGTATTTAAACTCATATTTAACGACTTGATAACTTCTTCTCTAGTTATATGTCATTTGATAGAATACTTAGTAGTACTAGGAATCAGAACCGACCTAGGTAAATAGACTAACTAAAGTGTCAGATGTAAGAATTCTTTAGATAAACCACGTAAAATAACTCTGGAAGTCACACAACATTGCCAACAGTAGTAGCAGCAAAAGTCTAGAGCGTGATTATCTTTATATGTACATACATCGATATCACATCACCAACTGGATATGTACATATGGTATAGACCAATAGAATTAGAGACCAACCCACGCCGCGTGCATTTAGTGCAACCTTATATCTCTATTTGCTCATTGGATTCTACAACATATTTTTTTTTTCGTCCACGCTAAATCCACCATACATCACACACCATCCACCACCCGTTACATTACCACTGCTGAAGAACGACATTTTCATCCCGCGTCCCGCATCCCGCATATATCGTTGTTCCAATGATCTTCAGGAACAAACCATAAGGGTCCATAAGACAATGAATTGTTCAATAGAATCGTTCCCGACCATACGCGGCATTAGTCGCGCATACATCGAATATCAACCCTACCAATCACATTTTCGAGGCTTTCTTACAGCTCAATTCAATAAGACATAACCCACTCCGAAACCCTACTTCGCATAGTCTTCTCCTCCTCCTAAGCCACAGCGCACACCTATAGGCACTTTTAAGGAACTTTGATTAGTTACGAGTCTCCGAGGCTTGCATTATCACTATCACCAACTTCTATCGGGACGTCCTTTTTAGGTATCTCCTCACTTACACCCGCAAGATCCAGCCCAAAGGATTTAGTACGTCGCCACTGGGTCTGACACTATACAGAATGTCAGCTTTCATTAGGGCAGCCCAGTCGTATTCAGATGTAACACATGCTATAGTCGATATAATTGGTCTTGGCCACCTTACGAATGATGGTCGTTGCCACAGTGCCACACGAACCATACTAGACTGATTAGACAAAAAGAAAAAGCGACGGAGAGCGTGCCCTTCGGCCGCTATACCGTATCCAGAGATATTCTGATACTGTCGGCTGCAAGGGGTAGGCGGCATCCACGCAGAGCTCAGGGATTTCCCTGTGACAATATCAGGACCCTGCCTAGCCTGGCGACGCCTCGAGTTGCTAATGCAAGCCTCTCTCATCCTCTCCCGCGTAAGCTCATTGCGACATGTGTAAACTAGGAACATCCACGTTGGCCGAGTTCGGGACCTCGCCAAAAAAGAACGTGCTTCCGGATCATCGCCAACACTAGATTATGCGAAAGGACCGGAGCTTCACCCGGTTCACCTGCTTCCGAATTCGATCTTCTCCAGATCAGCAACATTATTCGGCTAAGATAGATCGACTCTTCAGAGGAGTCTAATCCTTCGTACTTACCAATACCTATTCCACTATTCCGCGCAAAGCCACGGCGCCAAATATCCAGCAAGTACAATGACCGCCGTGCATCGCTGCTACCGTATCCTCGAGAGTTAGATTGCTTCTTCTAAGTCGAGCAATTAGATCCAATTAACAGCGAATACGTGAGAATTGCCTTAGCCTTAAAAGTTCGTATCTGCACCAAATCCAAAGCCGCAATCAGGGTGTTGCTTTCCCCCAATCGTGGACAAATACGACTGGCGACAGCTAGCTGTGAGATTTATCTCGTCGGAATTATTGACTATTGCCTGCGGTCTGCGGAAAATGTCGTGTAGATATCACGAAATGCCACGCCCCGCGATGCAGGCCGACTTGGCGAATATTCACCGTGTACTGAAGTACCACTTCTGCTCACGCTGCGAAGCTCACAATGATGACACGAGCCCGTTGACCCGAATAGACATAGGAACTCATTGCTAAGATATTGACCAAGCTACCAAAGAGAGCTGGAGTACCAAAAGAATTAAGATTATGATTACGAGCGACCAGCTCTTTGCCATGTTCGGATGCCAATCTGGGGAGTAGAGCCGAGAACCCCCCCTAGTGTCGTCACGAATCTCGACTGAGTCAACTTTGGTTGCCAAGGCTACTGTGTAATTTGTACATGGGCTGACAGAGTTAAGACAAGTGTGTTATTCAGCATCAAATACCTATCTAGGTCTTAATAACGTCACATACATACTTGCGTTACCAAAAGACAAATAGGTATCGCACCGGAATTCCTCAATATCTACTCAGACGCAGGTACCTTAGATACCTTACCTAGCAGCTTTCTAGCAGCTACCGGGGTTACAGTATTTTCCTAGCTTGCCACGAGGAGAGGTCGTCCAAGCGCGTTTAAAAAAGGAATCATTCTCAGTCTTTCCAACAGACGATATTTCGACAATACCATAACGTGCCAGTTTACCTACCTAGCTACCTACATAGGGTACCAAGCCTTACCAAGCTCTACCTTAGTTAGGTACGATGGTTCATAATGTGAAGCCAGCGTCGGGTCAATGTAATCCTAAAAACCGATTCCCACCACCTGCAAGATTAGAGAGACCCCACCCAATGCGTACCGTAAAGTCCGCTTCTAGAAATGAGCCAGGTTGCTAGGGAGCCTGTCATGGACCAACGGACAAAGTCTAGAATACTGAAGGATTCACCCTAGCCTAGCTGGTCTGTAGCGCACGTCGTCAATTGCAACGCGTGCGCAATGGCCACTTCACGACCCAATTGTTGAATTGCGAGCTCTTTAGACGCCGACTATCTGCAGAACACTATCGATTCATCGTCGGACAACCTCGGCATGCGAAGATCGACCTGTCTGTGCACATTCTTACTGATACCCTCCAACAGTTCAGTCGAAAATTTGCCTCAGCCATTCATTCCCAAAGAAAGGCAAAAGCCTCAAGCTTCCCCACCTATCTTACCTGAGGCTATCTTTAGCTGCATACATACCCAAGATCAGTTTTCAGAAGAGTCCCGCCCATGCTGACCCGGGAGCGTTCCGGAGGTACATACAGAGTAGGAAGGTTGGGTCATAGACCGGAGAAATCCTGACGCAATTTCGAGGGTCAACCCTTGGAGATCTAAATGGAATCGCTACAACCCGAATACATGCTATGCGTACTGCTATGCGTACCTATGTACGTTCGCTTGTCATAACGCATATCTGACATGAGCAAGGGTCTCGACGACGTCGATTTCAAAGTTACCAATCGGTGCAGAAGGGCCTACTCCTAAGCACGTACTCTACAGAGGTTTCTCCTAAACCGATTGGCAAAGATCTTATTGGTTAAATGCTGGCTCTCACTATCGTCAATGACCTTGCTTCGCTACAACTCAGTTGTCAACCTATATGTGAAACAGCAATCTATAAAATGTTAACTAACAATAAAATATCAAGGCGTGCATTAGGTCAGTCTAGCAAACTTGCACTCTAAAAACTCGATTATTCGATCGATTCGCCAACTTGACTGAAGTGGCCAACACACTTACCTAGACACTGTATAACTTGGTGCCTTAGTCAATTGTCATATTTACCAACTGTCGATAACATATCATTTCTCTTCTTCTACATCAAGATACCATACATATCTACACCATGAGAAAAATTTCAGGAGTACGCCCGAGTTAGGGCCAACCGGGCTTTCGGGACCGTCCTACTTGCAGAGGTGCCGGGATGATGTTCGTGTTCTACGATATAGGATTGAGATCCACTCCTCGAAAGCTTCCAACGGTCCTTCTAAATAAAACGTCCTGCAAGGGATTTCTCTTGAACCGTACGAACGGGTACCGACAAATCTTTGATGTACAGCAACAACCAAGCGGACGGATTCCAGCTGCAGCAACCCCACTAATGGGCGTCGCCAGCCAGCCAACGTACCTTTACATCCGTTATTCCTATTCCCAAAAAAAAACATGGTCAAAATCGCGTGTCATATTCCTTCGGGACAGAATGTCTCGCTCAGAACGTGTAAATCACGCGCCTCAAATTCTACAAGACGTTGTACCATGAATGCTAATCGACCCATCGACCTATTAGCGAAATTTGATTTTAACACCTGCTAAGATGCTTCTCCAACGGGATTTTTCACTTCTCTGTTCTATCCCATACTGTGGTTCTTCACAATTGGTATTCTCAACTCCTGCAGATTCAAACGAGGAACCGTTCTAAGAATCCTTGCGCCCCTCTGGTTGTCTAGTTGTCTCCAGTCAAGTCTGGCGTAAACTAAAAACTTCAATTTTCCTATCCTTTCGTGTCTTAGAACGAGTACGAGGTTAGTTGGATTTGTGCAGCCGCTTTGATCATGCCATCACCATGGTCATTCATTTAGCTCATTCGCTAGTTGTTAGAGGTTAGATAGCCGGCATTGGCAATTGACCTTTGGAACATGGCCAATGAAATCCAATGCCGACTACCTGGCGCAAGCCACACGGCTTCTCTTGAGACATCAAATAGAACATGTAGTTTCTCGAAGCCAGATTATCCTTGGATAAGCTTCAGCGGGGCGTTAAAACAAGACAAGGCGACGGCTCGAGGCAAGTTGCCGTGATTATTTAGAGACCGTGGCGTAGCCTAATGTGCTTAGCCGAAGATGGCGTCTTGAACCATTGAGATCCTTTGATAGGTTGCTCCGGCAATCATAAATTTGCAGGAACCGTTGGTCCTTGCGAACCGTTCGCCTGGGCGTCCCCAGCGCTGGTCCGGAGCCCTACCTAGTAGCGTTCAACTTATTACATTATGGATATCATTACTATGGTAACCAATCGCGAATCTCAGCCTCGTCATCCGCTCAAGGAACCATCTCTCGCGGAATTGCCGTTGCAAATATTTGAGTGGACGCAAATATCAATTCGTGTCAGAAACCAGATTAAGTTAGATCTCGCGGATGCGACCTCTATGAAGCGGTGACACCCCAAAGGGCTGAAAGGATGATCGCTCCAGGGGTATAACAACTCGACATGGAATTCGGATCTGATCTGATTCCGGTCAGTGCATAAACATGAGCACGGGCTCAAGCATAGAACAGTTGGTTTCGTCACGTAACAAAACGAGAAATGATACCGGGAGTAATTATATCAATTGTCATTCCCTTTGATGCCAACTTCTAGATGCAGGGCGAATCACGAAATCTCATTTGTCGGGACATACGGTAACGTCGGAAAGCCACTTACCTCATGGATACCAGTATGATCCACCAACGATAGATCTTGGCAAAGAAAATATCACTCAAAAGGCGTCAGCAATTGTATTGGTCCTACTACCGGCACTTCCGATCGGACTATGTACGTCCGTACAGAGCAGCAGTCTGTCCCGTCCTGTCCGTCCTGAACGGCAGGTATCTGAATTGGGAAATAGGGATGCCCATCTCAGGTCAGAATCGGGTTGATTTAGAAACATACCATCCCATATCGTACTGTATCATACCCAAACCACACGCCGTCGCACTACAAGGCTGAAAATGCTTATTCCTTATTCCGGAAGCCACGCGAGCCACGCAGGTACGCGAATAGCCACGAGGGATTCCTAATCTAATTATAATTGCCTAACCTACCTCGATACCTACCTATTTCGTCCCTTCTACGCTAGAAGGGACGGAGACGACGTGGCCGCGCCCTCTGCGACCCCCTTCCCGTGTTCTAGGGGCGGGCCTCGCTGAAGATCTGTATCTGCCTGCATCTTGCAGTGCCGATCCTCCCTCCTTCACGTTAGAATGCCGCGCCCAAGAATCTCACCAACATCAGTCCGGCAGTAGATATTCCCCCCATTTAGGCTGCTACGACGACGGTATGATGCCAATCCTACCTAGTCGCGGAGTTCTAGATGGTTTGGATTAGGCAGATTGGCGAAAAAAGTTTAACCAACCCCTTTTTTTCTCTAGGCTTTGCAGAGTGCAGACTATTTGGACTTTACTAGCCGCGCAACGATGATGACGCTGTGGGGAGTGTAGGTAGGTAATTATGGATTATGTATTACTAGTACTGCTGCTATGTACAATGTCGCCGAGGCCAAAAGCCTAAGGCTTGCTTACTGCGGCGCATATACGAACGCCAACTGGTCCATCTCATCTCCGTCCTGGCCTAGGAAACCGACGATGCCCCATCCAGACGGCGCGGTGTATGTCGCGCAGTCAGAGGTTGAGGTGCCGGCGGAAAGAGTGCGACCGCTGCTCGTGGTCGCCTTGATGTAGAAGTTGCGCGTCTCCCCGCTCTTCTGGCCCTGGCAGAGCTGCGCGCTGGTCCAGCGCTCGCCCGAGTTCAGCGTTAGCGATGAGACGTCACCGCCGGTGCCGCCGTGCGTGAATGTAGTTCCGTCAGTTAGAGTAAGGCCGACGCTATCGAGACGCTTCGCGCCTCGGAAGGTGAGGACGCTGGCCTTGGGCGAGGTCTTGGTCGCGAGCGTGGTGACGTCGCTGAACCAGGCTCCGTGCGGGCCGCCCCAGAAACTGGATTGCCGCAGGGATGAGCCGGCCGACCAGGTGAAGTTGACGGTGATCGGGTTGTGGTCGGACAGGATGCTGCCGTTGGCCTGGAGGAACTTGTTGCTCTCGTAGTTCCAGTATGTCGCGGCTAGGCTCAGGAGCGGGCTGCCGCGGTAGAAGACCTTGTCGACGGTCTCGCACGTGTTGGTCGTGCTGGGGTTCGTGCAGATCGTCTCGACGGTGGGGACGACGCCGCCGCGGATCAGCTCGACCCAGGGGTCCTTCATGCCGTTCTGCGTGGAGAAGATGGTGATGCCGTCCCTGGTGCGCGTGTATCGGCTGTTGGTGTCGCCGTAAACGAGAACCGCGTTGCCCTTGCTGTTGGTGTCGATGGCATCGGCGACTTGCTTCAGGTTGGAAGAGCGAGCTGCCTCATCACCGTCCTCGGTACCCGCATCCGCGTGTAGGTTGTACACATCGACGTAGACGCCGTCATCGATGATGGCGCGCATAAACGTGTAGCCCTTAGGAGTCAAGCAATCGCTCTCGGAAGCATCGCTGCAAGTTGCCCACTTGACACGGTCGAAGTCGATCCAATTGAAGTTGGCCAGGGTGTTCAGCCCGGAGCCGAATGGCACCCCGCCGGAAGTGGCCGTGCGGTACGGGTGCGTGTCGGTAGAGTAGATGTAGGCGTGATAGTTGAAGTCCTGTGCTCGCTAGATTTTAGTCCCAAGATCTTGATTGTCCACAGCAGTGAATGCTCGGACCTCTGTTTCAACGAATGGGGGTGAATAGCACAGGGGTGCGGATGCAAGTCACAAGGATTTTAATGGGTTTCAAACCTCAACCGCGTTCGCAAACCTTTGCGTATCACGAATGCAGGGAGGATGGGTTGGGAAAGGGAGTAGGTATGTATGAAATGGGCGTCGGCTTACCTCCTGTACGTGAATTATGTCATAATTGTACTGGGAGAACTTGGTACCCATCTGCTGCGAGTTGCTGGTCTTGTCTCCAGGGACCTCGTTGCCGTTGAGGATCTCGGGCAAGCCTGCGACGTTCATGCTTAGGATGCTGAACTCGCCGCTGGTGGCTGCCAAGGCACCGCCGGCCGAGATGGCAAGGTTGACAATCTGGTACTTCATCTTTTCGGTGCGGTGCGAGAAAGGCGATGAGGATGCTACAGTATCTTCGTTATCGAAATGTCGATCCCATCAAGTCCTTTTATGTTATCAATCTATTTACCTACCCTCGGCACGAATTCCGAGTGCCCATATTGTTCTTGGTATCGATTAAGACCTGGGTTGCGGGAAGGTCGCATCTTCATCTCGCGATGTCTCCATTCGCTCGGTCTCCGATTCCACAACGGGGAGCTCGACCGGCGTTGTTCTTCGAAAGCCCGTGGTCGATGCAACGCATCTAGCTATCTAGCTGCTAATAACGGCTATTGCCGCTGAGAACTTGGTCAGTTCGTTCAGCTCATGTTCTCAGCCACTACGATGATTGGCCTCACACCTGCACTAGCTTACGTATACCGCGCTTTCTATTGTTCAAGATTGCCAAGATAAATCTTGGAGTTTCTTAGATCTCCAATCGTCATCGCACGTGAAAGGAGTAGAAAGGTTCACGATGTCCGGCATTTAATTTCAATCGAGCTATAGAACCGTCATCTTATTCTTCCATACCGCTTACTACGTTAGTAGTTAAAGATCTAGCGTTAGTTCTTAACTACCCATCGTACTATCTCATGGCGCGGGCCATGTCTAGTACCTGAGCTACGCCAGATTCATGACCGAAGCCGTGTTAGCAGCAGATACAGAACACTAACGAGTCCCTGTTCCCCGCAGTCAAAGCTTCGAATCGTGGTAATACATATCGATATTAAGCAGTTGCCAATGTCAAATATCATCATTAATTACCTACACTTCTTGCCTGTCTATCAGTTTGTCAGTCTAGTCTGATCTATCTAGTCACCATCTCCGTAGTTAGGCACAAGTACACCGTCCGGTGTAGCATGTCGGATGACGCTACGTCGAGAAAGGCTTTCTCCGTTGTCTTGGTCAGAAACAGCCAAGCATCCGGTTCACGATCGAGGGTGCCAACATCCCCCATGCAAGGACCGCGCACGTTCTCTGGGCGTGAGGTTATCACCAACACAGCAAGGCCAGGCTGAACCCGTCGCGCCGGGGTAGATTTCAAGGGCGAAGGAGATCTTATGGTGATCCGTCGCAAGGTTTGCCTTCAACATCAGACTCTGTTAGTTTCAGGCTTCAAACACGCACGTCCCTTCGCCACGTGCACTTCCCTACAGCAAACACAGGCACCAAGACGAGAGGTTCTGGACGATTTGATTTTATGATGTTTCCAAGATCCGGCGAAACCAGAATCCGAGTCTCGAATGAATAACGTTTTCCTACCAACGCCAAGTCTGTCCCATCTGTATCGTTCATCACGACCTAAGCGGTACCTAGTAGCGAAGTGTGCACGAATTGTATGCCTGCAAAAGGACTTCAGATGGTCTCTAGAAACCCAGAATCTTGGACGTTATCTTTCCTCCGAGTGGTGGGAAATCATTACCTAGTAGGTAAAAAGGTCTTACCATGCTGCGAATATCAAGATAATTGTCTAAAATCATTGTCATGAGATATGCTACGAAAGGTGGCGACCATAGTGGTTGCTATGATAGCATAAGTGCTACTATGCATATAACGTTGATCAAGGAATCGATGTGCTTTGACCCTATGTAATTATGTCTCTCCCTTCACGGCATCACATGCCCTGAAATTCAGTTGTTTCCTTCGTGAGAGCAGAGCTCAAGACTTTGGCGAGTTCCCCGCATATCTCCCTAAGGTTAAGAAGGGGAGTGATCGTCAGTAACAAGGGACTGTCCTTGGCCTTCGTCACCCCACTCAGCCCACTCTGCGCATTTGCATGATTTTGCCCGTAATGTGATAAGATGAAGATTCCGAAAACGTGTTATATTTCCGCGATACCTATTATATCTCATGCAGAGTTGATCAAACCTTAGGTGGAAGCTTCTATCTCTCCCTCTTCTTCGAATAAGAAACAGAAAGACTTATGCTTTAGAACGCCAGAGTCTCTTACCTTCTAGATGGGAATAACGGCATAACGGTGACCAGATGATCTCGGGAGCTTGGCTACGGGTTCTGTTCCCGTATACCCCCAATCCGCCAGCCAATATTGCGATATCGGTGTGATGTGATGAGGCTCGGTTTGCCCATAATGGACGATTCCTTCAGCGTCTAGACAAGCCATAGATCACACATCGAATTCCACCGGTCTCGTGGCGCCATTTCTCCTACTGTCACACCGCTGAATTAATGATTCGCCGCTTACATTGCATCGAGAAAGCCCGAGATCTTGCTGTAGATTGACGAAAGCATAGACAATACCTACTCTATCTAACCGTCATAACCGCAACCCGATCTCATCCTCAAACCCCACACTATCTGTGTGATCCCCGAAAGCTTATAGGTATGTCTCTATATGCCTATGCGCAAGCAAAAGCTTGTAGGTAAGTAAAAAAGGTATGGATGAAAGTACAATGCGCATGTAATAATGGTACCCGCCCCTGCATTAAGCATCTACACCCGCCTCACTCACTGACGCTTGGGACCAAGAGAGGCCAGTCCAGTTGGGAGAAAGCCCTGAATTGTCGGTCCCCTGCAGGGTGTGTGGGTGGGCTGGATGCGGGGGAGCCTGGGTGGCCTATCCAGAGCGACTCCATGTGCGGTACTCGACTGCTCAGCTAGTAGAGCCTACCCGACTGGCCAAACTCCAGCGCTGTAATAGGTAACAGAGTAGCATCTCTGGGCTGCTGGGTAAGAATTTCGCGCAGTGTGGCGGCAATCGCTCAGCTGTGGACTGCCCAAATAGATGCTAACGGCAGTGCTGCAGCACACTATCGAATTGCTGAGATCCACCTGTCATCACTTTACTGCTACTACGCAAATACCTTGGCACCGTCGACGCGGCCGCGGCACTAACAGAACAGAACCCACCTGTCAAAATATCTAGGCTGCTTCTTGTTTTTTGTACATACAGCCATCGTGATGGGAAATATATGTATCCGTTTTCTTGCATAAGTATACATACACACAGATACTGATACGCATGTCGCACGTACTGTATACCTTTTACAGGTATGATGCTCGTCGATAGAGGCTCTCAGACCCCTAACTCTATCGACCCGATCCTTGCAAGCCCGGTGACATATCGTGGCTCTTGTGGGGGACCTTGGGTAGGTTGGGTCTTCAATGGGTGTGTACCTATGTAAAGAGTACCTACCTATGCGAGCTGCTAGATGGGCCATCGTGAACAAGGTGCGTCAATCTACTTGGATCGGACGGCGACGCCGTCGGTAGTTTTGTTTACCGGTCAAAGACATGATACAACTTTTGTGAGGACCGCTCTTGGCATTTGGTCGTAGCGAAACGAAACATCTGGGCAGAAAAGATTGACGAGAAGCAATCGCATCCAAACAGTGCAGAAATTACATAATTGAACATATGGAAAGTTGCTGTATCGAAAGAGAAGAGAATGTGGATTTCACCCGTAAGTCATCACGACATGACTTACAACATAGTTGTGCTTGTGGTTCGTACTAATGTGTCTTGCAGGAAGTACAAAGAGACAGACGTTGCGTTTAGATGCCCAGAGTTATGGATAGTTGTTTCTTCCACTGCCTGCGCATGAAGCATACTAGGTACTCCAGCGGTCATGTTCTTTATCTACCTAGTAACAAGGGCGTTGCGATTCCACGATGGGCCCAGCCCCCTGCTGAATACTTCTTATGGCAGCTAATGATAATTATCTACAAATGTAGGAAATAGAAAGATATTCCCGTGCGAATAACTTCTTACAGAATAGGAGGTACGTTGAGAGATGTTGCTATCAACGAACAGAACTTCCCATTTCGTTTTCTAGTTCTTCTCAAGGGAATGTGTCTGTTCACAAAAAAGTGTTCGAAAACCACTGCTCTTGAGTTATACTAGCATGATATAGTAAATATAAGTAGTGATATGAGGCTCGTTGTTAGTCGTATTGGGTAAAATATTTACCTTAATAGTAGATCTATCTCGAATGTGAGAGATGATAATTGTAAAAGGGGGGAGACACCACTCTTCCAAATAAGTGATAAAGGGGTTTAACAATACCTACCTACCTAGTCATACAACAAGCTATAGGTGTGTATGTGTTCGTGATGAATCACCTTTATTGGTGTAAGTGAGAATTCCCTTGATTAATATTGGGTTCCTACCTAAACAAGGGCAACCTTGATGATATTGGTCAAGCACTTGCTGAGGAATATAACCGCTACGACCTACAATGAAACTATTTGAGGCCCTTCTTTATTTGTACTATCAACAGAGTGCTTCAATCACTAGGGGATGTATCTTACTTATCATCACAACGTAGCCGTACTAGACCTACACTTCAATGACCGCCCATAACTCACGAAGCATTACATATTAAGATTTCATTAAACCAATATGACACAGAACAATATTGGAGAGTTTCATAGTTATTCGATCTAACTCGGATACTTAGATTTTAAAAATCATAGAGATAGCTGCTAATAGCGATATATTTGAGTTAAGTCCCCGTATTTAACACCTCAACATTAACCTAACTACGTAGCTTTTCGACATTGCGTATACGTTAACATTTCAGGGTAATTGAGTTTTGAATCTGATACAATAATTAGCTAACACTTTCTTGTCTCAACGAGGCGCTGAAGGTAATCGAGTCCAATTATGTTGATTTTTTTTTGCTACCTACCTGACCACCTCCTTCGATTTCGGCCGAGTCACATATATCTAGAATAATTATACGAAAATAATGCGTAGGCATTCTTTTGCTCTTATGCTCAATTAGCTCCTATTCAGCTCATGTTTGCCTCGTTTTAATGGCGCGCATGAGGAGGCTCTTGGAAGCACTAAATTGTGGTCAGCTGTGCGGCGTGGTCCAAGATGCGTGGAGCCCAAGACTTTGGGACCTTACTGATCATTTGAGGCCTATGATATTCCGGTTACTGGATGATGAAATACGACTAAGATATTTCCATGAATCGGCATAGGTCTAGGCTGTGGACCTTACCAAGTTCGTATTTGGAGATGATCCTTGATTGGCTCGGCTCAAGGCCCGGGGTAGCAATGGGAGATCTTGGTTTAGCGGAGCTACTCGGCGGAGAGCATAGCGAGGAATTAACCGGTGAACCCGGGATACAAATATATAAACAAATAAAATTTACGTAGACATCGGTGTGTAAATCTTCAGCGCCCTCATTGATATATCGTAGCCAGCGAACATGGTGTTCTGTGAACGATTATTGGCCGGCTTGGCCATTATTTCGGTGCCCTACACCATCTCTGTGTTAGCACAAGATTCCGGCGTTAAGGAACTTTCGCAGGTTGCCATCTTCACTCCACCTTCAACTTATACGGACCCAAGGGTTCTATATGCGCGTACGGCTCAGCTTCCAAATAATGAAATCCTAGCAACATGGGAAAATTACAGCCCGGAGCCACCCGCGGTCTATTTCCCCGTTTACAAATCCAGTGATAAGGGGGCTACGTGGACAGCGTTATCCAATGTAACAGATCAATCGTACGGATACGGACTCCGATATCAACCTTTCCTCTACGTGTTACCGGAGAATTTCGCGGGATATAAAAAGGGGGACGTACTATTAGCCGGCTCATCGATCCCAACGAATCTCTCGAGCACTCATCTTGAACTCTACGGGTCTAAGGATAGCGGGAAGACCTGGAAATTTCTCAGCCATGTTGCTGCTGGGGGCGAAGCTAGGCCTAATAACGGTCTGACCCCTGTGTGGGAACCATTTTTGCTGCTTCATAACGGCAAACTCATCTACTACTATTCGGATCAGCGAGATCCGGCGCATGGCCAGAAGATGGTTCATCAGACCAGTACGGACTTGATTAACTGGGGAGACGTGGTGGATGATGTTGCCTATCCTACTTACAGCCAACGACCTGGCATGCCTACCCTAGCATTGCTTCCAAATGGCCAATATATCTATACCTACGAGTATGGTGGTGGACCGAACCCTGCGAACTCAGGAACCTTCCCGGTTTACTACCGTCTTTCCAGCGACCCGGAGTCAATCAACAGCGCCACTCACCACCTACTGCGAACAACTGATGGCACAGTCCCTACTGGCTCACCGTATGTCGTTTGGTCGTCAGCCGGTGGGGTAAACGGAACCATCATCGTGTCTTCGGGCTGTTGCTCTGACATTTACATCAATACGGCACTCGGAGCTGAGGGTGCGTGGAAGAAAGTATCGACACCTGAAGGAGCCTCTTATACGAGGTCCTTACATGTGTTCCTAGAAGATCAAAGCCAACTTCTGATTGCGGGAGGCGGCCGTTTACCTCCGAGCACGACGAATAAGGTCACTATTAGCGTCATGAAGGTTCCATCATGATCTGTTACTAGAAGTTGCCCATATAAATTACATAGAAACTTGTTAAATAAGAAACTCATTCGGATCTTAGGTATATTGGAGTATCGCCTTATGACTCGCTCTTAGCGTTCTGAATGTGTGCCTAAATACTAGGTCAATTATGTTATAACTCGGACCTACTAGCTAATATATACATTGAATGGAACTATACATACCCCTATTATGCCCTATACCCACCTCCTAGGTACCTAAGCTAGTAGGTAATTGATATAGCGTCAGACCGGTTGGGACGTCCATATCATATCTTGTCCAGCCATTCCCCCCACTCAAAGCTGACTCCATCGATTCGACGGCAGCTCCGCTAACCTAGAAGTATCTGATATTTCATGCCGATTACCATCCGTAGCCATCTCATGTCTATTATTCGAAGTCTCCAGCTCTTGCTGGTGCAGCGCCCACATTTCCGCCGGGGATTTCGTAGCTTCAGGGTCTGCGGCATTGATAGTCGTTTCGTTTGCCTTCTCTTTCGCCTTTCTATGCCTCCACCAAAACCCTATGCCGACCACTGATCCAATTAATATCAGGAGGAGACTTCCAAGTCCCGCGCCAACTCCTATTCCTATTCGGGCGTTTGAACTTAGTCCCGTATCTCCGCTAGCGGGAGAGGTGTTACTTGATGTGGGTGCGGATATTGAGTGGATAGAAGACGAGGAGGTAGTCTCGGAAGTCGTTGTTGTATCGGTTTTGGACGCGGTGAAGTCGGTCTGCTGCCAACGCACGGTGATAGCTGCGGCATTTACCATTATGTGGGAGAGCTGGGTGACCTTGCTGGTCTGGTGATTATCATCCGGGACCGTTACATTAGTCAAAGTTTCTACAGCCGAAGAGCATGAAAGTGTCGACCATGTGTCTGTTTCGTCTGCTGCTTGCTTACACGTGTATCCGCTGTAAAGCAAGATATAGATCAGAATTTATCGCATGTTAGCTTGTATAGATGTAGAGATGTTGACATACAGTGGACAGCAAGTAGCTGTAGTCTCGGTGATGGTCTCACTGGCAATGTAAACGGAACCGCATGCCGATGACCAACCTGAAGGGCATCTCCCAGGTGAGTAAAAGGCGGACATGACTTCGAACCCCGACGGGTAACATTTTGATGTATCGCTCGGCCCGAGACTGTGATACTTATGTGTGGTAGTATTACCATCGGTTCCAGTCTGCGTAAATATGATACCGGAGATGACTTCAGTACACTCTGGCGCCGGTGTGAATGTTGTTGTCAGAGGCCCGAGATTGGTGGTCATCGTTCGCGATGTACTATAATGTTTTGTTTGGAAGAATACTTTTGCTACCAGGTTCTAAAAAGAAATGTATTAGATTCTAGGTAGGTAACTATGGTAACACGGGGTATCTCAAACGGTTTACTCACAGTACGTAATCCATTATGACGAGTGTTACGACGTATTCCCCTAGAGAGTATGTGAGAGATGGATAGAATATTGTATTTAACATAATGATTACTTGGGAACTATGGTATGAGGGAAAGCTTGATATTTGATCATTAATCCCCGAGGCCAACCTGTCAGCCTTAGCGAAGGGATGTCTTAAACAGCGCCCGAGAAGTCTGTACGCCATCACGAAACCTGGCCTACATAGATGTTGATCTTTCATTGGCACCTACGTATATGCAGGAATAATTAGTGGAAAACATCTGATTGGCCTAGTTTCAGCCCGCAACTTGGTGGCGTCTGCTCGGTGTGTAGGACATCATCTTGTATACGGCGTTTGCCCCATGCGTGGTGTAGAAAAGTCGGATGGAAATGAGATGCTACCTACCTGATATATGCCAAGGAAAGGGGAACTGGTGATGAGCCTTCCATAGCTGGATAATATTGTACCGAATTAAATACTCGTAGGTCACAATAAGGTACAGGACTAATATAAGTCTGATTTCTATATCTATCTAGTTACCTAGGTAACTACCTAGATTAGATCCCCAAGCCCCTGAACACATCCCACAGCCCTACGTAACACAATAGATGTCGTACCTAATTCAGCCGACCCGCAAATCCCCAACGCCAAAGCAGCCAAAACATCTAATTCGGCGAGACATGAACCTGCCAATACCTCCTCCAGCCCTCCGTTTCCGTGTCCCCGCGTCCCTGTCCCGGCTTCCACACGCCAAATCCTCTACCCTCATCATATTGCGGAAACTCCGCCTTCTCCCTCAGCAACCCCCTCTTCTCCCCCGTTGTCAAAAACCAGAGAAAGTCCTCGGAAACATGCACGTACTGCCTCAAGCCCTCATACACATCGATCCTCGCCCCGGTAGTCCAACTCAATAGCAACGGCTCTAATAGCGGCGCGTCTGTGACGCTGGGATGCGAAGTCCCCAACGACGTCGCGAACCAGCTCGGCATGCCCCTTAGCGCGTTATTCTCGACGATATCCCTGACGGAGTCGAAGTGCGGGCGGCCGTAAAACAGACTCACGCTACTACTCCACGAATTGCTATGGACGACTAGGAGAGGGACCCGGATGTCATCGTTAAGGCGACCGCTGTGCTTCCCTGGATCGAGGATGACGGCACCTTTGAACGGCCGCTTGGCGCTCGGCCCGCCGTGTAGCGCTTGCATGGCACCCGTTGCGCCATAACTATGCCCCGCGACGACCATGTCGTCTGTGTTGAGGCGACCTTTCCAATTTTTGAGGTCCGCCCCTTCTCCTCTAGGATTCTTCTTGAAGATTTCGTCGCCTTGGCCCTCGTTTATGAGTTTCAGGACTCGGACGGCTTCTTCGATCTCGGCCTCCCTAAAATCGAGCTGTGCTCGTTTGAACTCGGGTATAGTGAGGTCCTTCCCTGAAGCGGACTTCACTTCGGAAACGACGAAGAGGAGTTTGGTTTTGTCCGGATCGCCGTTTTTCATGATGATGGATCCGGGACAAGAGCCGTCTCGATGTTCGAGCGCGACGACGACGTAGCCACGCGACGCGAGCTCGCCGGCGTAGTGGGTGTAGCTAGTACGACTACTCGACATGCCATGCGAAAATACGATAACCGGATGACCACCGTCCGCGATTTGTATCACTTTCTTGACTTCCTGAATGTCATCTCGAGTCTCCGGAATTTCCGTAACAGCAGTTACCAAGTCGGCCAGCGGCACATCGACTTGCGCAGGGATCCGTATACTCCCCACGAGAGCACCTACTGCTCCGGCCAGGAACTTGTTCACGATGAAATTACTGATATGTGAGAATTTGGCGTATCCCTCAGTTGTCGCAGAGAGAGGCTTCTCAATCCAATAATGTTTCGGCTTTTGGCTAACAGCGTTCTGTGCTGCGGGATAATAAATCGTGAATAATACCGTCTCTAACTCAAATGCATTTTCTTTCGTCCCCTTAAGCCGCGCCGTATCAACGACACGCGGAGACGCAACGGGGACCTCGATATCGACCGCCCCAACTGAATATGGACCGCTGTATTCGGGAAGTAGATGAGCGAAAAGGGGTAACGAAAACGTATAACAATACACGACGTAGCCTGCGATCAAAGAGCAGACGGCGTACCGCCACGATAACCTCCGTCGCCGAGCAGACGGAGCTCTCGGCTTAGTTGGCGGCGACTTGCCTAAAACCCCAACTTCCGGAATCTGTTTCATCGTGATCTTCGAACCTAACGATATGTGTATTTCTTTCTTGTAGATTACTTCAAAATGGAGGAAGTGATAAATACTAACATACTACCGATTCAACCAATCTGCTCATCCAAGGCTAGAGAATGGCTATGATGCAATACTCGGTATGAGACCCACAGGTTACGCATGTGGCTGTGGTCGATTATCCTCGTTTGGGCGATCTGACTAGCATAGCTAAGTTCTTTAAGTCCTAGATGTATCATTCCAGAATTACTGAATTTAAGCGTGTACATGAAAAAAAAATGAGATGCAGAGGAGGCGTTTGTTACACACTTGACGTCATCCTTCCTCCACCAATCGCTTCGCTGTAAATCGGCAGGTACCCGGTACCTAGGACTCAGCTACAAGCTGGAAGCCACTACCGTTAACAGGCAACATCGCGAGAATAAAATTCATCAAAGTCCGAGTTAATTAACATTATTTATTAACCGACGCCGATATGTTAGAACATGACTTGATCCAGTTCTAAACACGAGGTGCTTACTTGATAGTAAACATTAGTCCTGCCGAAAGGCGTTATTCTACTTATACAACGATTTGCGTAGATACTAGGTGTACACGATTAAAAGCCACTCTCTGTCCGATAGCCTCCGTTGAACCGCCCCAAGAAAGCCGAATGACCTGATCCTTTTGTACTCCGGCAAACCCTTATATGTCTATGCTACCAACCCTTAGTTCCCAATGCTTCGTTATCGAACCCAAGCAAGTGCGACTTGGAAATCCAGGAGCTTGCTCTCTCTATCGTCACCTCACCACCATTACACCGAGACCCCTACCCTTATCCTTTGCGGGTAGCAAAAAAGAGCGATCGCGTCATCATAAATCTCGAAGGCATCTTAGAAACCATTAGATCCTACCCCTATCGACCACTTGCCGACCAAGGACTTCGATTTCGCCTGACTCTGAGGTGCGGCGTCTTTCCATGATCCATCGTGTTTCCCCGCTGTCTTCTTCTTTCGTGTAAGAAATGCTATCTGCACTTCCCCTGTGCCTGTGTCCCATACCCGGCCTCTTCTGTGAAGGCATACCTACGGTCGGACTCATATTCTCCGAAAAAGGTCTTTGCGTTGTGCCTGATGCCGACGTGCTTGCGCTCCCTGCTCTAGGTTTCCTCTCGTCAAGCGGACTTGTCTCTTCGTCCTCAAACACAGGCGGGCACACTGAAGACGTTTGTAAGGGAGAGAACACTGGTGCACTGACAGGAGATGCGGCGGAAGTCGGGTTTGGGATAGATGGTACACTGAGAGGTGGAATCGCATGATTCGGTATGCCCGGCATCGACATCGTTAATGTAGGGCTACCTGAACCACTTCCCGCTCCTGTCGAGTCCTGACTGAAGATAGAAAAGGCCGAATTCTTGCGCCCATGCGAAGGTCCAATACCGAGTGGGTCATGTCCCCACGGGCTTGTAGCGCCATTTCTATCGCTGGGTGACCCGTCGCGGGAGCTTACGAGCGACGCTTGTGAGCCGCCCCATGCTTTGGAGCGTAAACGAAGCAGGGCTGACAGTGACATGTTATCATCATCAGCCATCATCGCCAATTGAGCCAAGCCGGGACTCTGCAACGGCCCGTTAGGATTCGCGCTTTGAGGTACGCCTAGGCTCATAATCGAATTCCGGTTCGAATACTCAGAGCGTTCAGTAATAGGTGTCAAATTCGGCTCACGGGAGACGATACGACCGGAGGTAGAGCGATCGACACCGCTTGGTCCGAAATAGCCCCCATGGGAGTAGTGGTAGATATTCTTCTCGCTTAGGATACTGGGACCATGGTGGACATGTAGTGGTGTTGGTGCAGAATAAAACCCAAATTCTTGCCCATACCAACCATCTGAATCATTAGCAAGAGCACTGGCATTAGCTTCTGCGATAATATCGTCGTCATCAAGTTCATAGTCATCCAATCCTGACGATAACTCGTTGTCATACTCGTAATCATCAACATCGTCCGGATGACATTGGGAAGATCCGGATGTTGTTGGGGACGTTATGGTTAACGTCGCAGTTGGTGGAGGAGAGGAATTCCTTCGAAATTTCCCAGAAGCAGCGGCTTGATGAGCAGCGGCTGCTAGAGCTGCTTGGTACGCGGCTATCTGATCTTGTTCCGCAGCCGGCAAGTCCGAAATCGATGACTGCCGCTCTTCTATGCGCGGGATCCTTTCTTCATTGACGTCTAATCCCATTGGTTTATGTTGTAGATCAGCACTGAGCGAAGTGTGAGCAGTAGACTGCGAGAGTTCAGATTGTGCCGACAACCTAGACGTCATATCGGATTCTCGTTTCTTTGCCTCTTGGCCAGCTTGTCTTTGCGATAGCGCATTGGCAAATAGCCCAGGAATGGGTCGACCATACTGGTCTGTATCGTCTAGGTCAAATATAGACTCATCAAAAGCTGAGCCATCGCCCTCTCCGTCGAAATCGTGGATAAGACCGTCGTTGAAATAGAGTTCATCATCTTTGGAAAGAGGCTTTCGCGTTGTATCCTCTTGTCGTTGCTGCTCAAAGGACATTCGCCTAGGCATCTCATTAACAGCTCCGAGTCCTTGGATACCTAGGCCGGTTGGAGTATCGCCCTCTGATGGCTGCGTCGTAGGAGCCTCGCTTCGGTCGTTGGCGGGAATATTCAAAGGTTGTGGGATATCCGACAAGTCTTCCTCTTCAGTCATCGCATAACCAATGACGTTGCCGCTTTCATCCCTGGGTGTAGGTAATACCCCGGCACTACGAGGGCTCGTTAACTCTGATATGGGATTAGATCTCTGGAAAACAAAGCCTGAAAAGTTTTCCTGGTCATTATCTGGATCATCAGCACCGTAAAATTCTTCCTCCTCATAATCGGCATTTACACCTGGTATACGTTCTTCCAGACCATCGTCATAATCCATCGCATCATAATCAAATGCATCTTCATCAAAGTCATCAAAACGAGAATCTCGCTGATCGTGGGTCTCGTCTGCCTTTCTATCCTGCTGTCGCTGTCGGTGTCGCTCTTCAAGCAATTTTTCTTGCTTCGCTGCACCGATCATATCGAAACTAAACCGCGAAGACGTGCTTTTCATATGTCTAGGCAATGACGAGAGAACATCTCGAGCGGATGCCTCTGACACATTACGGGATAAGGACATGAGTGAAGGTGGGATGGAGCTCTTCCTCCTCTGGCTATTTTGGCCAATTCTAGATCCGGCGCTAGGAAGGCTATTCCTGGAGCCTTGGGATTTCTGCAAAGACGCAGTATCAACTGATAGCGTCCGAGAATAAGTGGAAGACGACCGAGCAGACTGGGAACTGTCGTCCTTCGGGGGGACTGGAGGCGCCTCTGTAGGGGAGTTATATTCCATGGTAGGTGATATAGTGTCTGGACGAGACTTCTCGGCTCCCAAGTTGGTCGACTCATTAATCGTCACGACTTTTCTCGGCCGTGGAGCACTAAAATCGTGAACTCGGGTTCCTCTAATACGAGGATCGTACGAAGGTTCTTCATCGTGACCACGCAATGGTAATGTTAGATCGGGTACATTCTGACTAGTTTTCCTCCGCAATAACAATGTCGACATAGGATTCTTGAGGAAGGGAAGACTCTTCTTTCCCCTAGGCGCATCAACAGCCATGGCCTGGTTCTGCGAAACCTGTGGTTCCGGCGCCATTTTCGCACTCGTCGATCGTTTACTCGTCGTGGTAGCATTCTGAAGCGAGGAAGGCGAGATGAAGGAGGAGGCAGCCTTCGCATGTCTAGTAGGTGGTGGCGGACGATTTGAAAAGTTGGCTACGCTAGAATGTGTCCCAAACGAGACGGAATCGGACGCATTTATTGTATTTCTTTCCGAGGAGACCGGCTTTAGTGCCTCTTGTTCTCGGCGGTAATTCTGTAAGGCTAGCCCGCCAATAAAGCCGGTATCTTCATTGTAAGGCGATCGTGGTAGAGGTTTTAATTCTTGCTTGAATTCTTCGTGTTGTTTCGGGTCGGAATTAACGAGGTCTATGGATAGATCGGATTCAGCCGAGGAAATTCTAGCGATTGGAGGCAGGACTGGTGGTTGGGTACGTTGCAAAGGTTGCTGCTGCTGCTGCTGTGATAGAGGCGAGGTGGGTTGAGATGATTGCAAAGGCGGCTGTCCATGGGTATGAGCGAAGGGAATAGAGGCGTCGGATCGTAACCGAATCTCGGGAGTCGGGACACCATCTTCGGGGACGAGCTGGGCTGGCTGAAGGGCTGCACTATCCCAAGGGCTGTTTTCGGGTATGGGAGACGAGGGATTGGACGGACCCCGTCTGTGGAAGCGAAGGTGTGAAAGCATTCCGACGGGTTGGATCTAATAATTTAGATCTGGCAGGACAACCCCGAACATGACTCGGATAAGATACCGTTAGATTTCCTGAAGACAGCTGTAATGTGTCAACAAGGATGAATGTACTACGCGACAGACGTCTAGGCGTTGAAAAAACAAATTGTTTGTCTGCAGTGCTGTCTTGTCGCATACGTGGATACGTAGAAGAAAAATGGATCGTCGAGATGTCAAGGATCGACACGATCTTGAGAGGTGAGGCAACGTAACGTTTGTATATATACATGTAACGACGATTGCGACGACGTAAGAGATTGGTAAATGAACGTAATACCAAACTGATTGAATCAAGTTGAGGGGTTACGAAAGGTGAAAATATGCGCGTTCTGAAATTTTATGTCATTATTAGTTACGAAGAGAAGATAGAAAAAAAGTTGAGCTTGGTTTACTTTTTTTAAGCTTTCGAAGCCTAGAAGGTCGAGTCTTTTTTTGACTCTCTTTGATGACACCACCTCACACGGGTAGGACCTTCCAAGGTTTCCAAGGTTCTATGTCCTTTTCCTGCCGCGTCCACTGTCACGGCCCCACCAAGATTAGTCCACCTACGATTTACACGAAATCAAGACTTGGCACGTGCTCGGGACATTAAACGGTCCAACCTGCCAACGTCAAAATGTCTAAACGGTTCCCGCCCTGTCGGGTCACTCAATCCATATTATCCAATAAACTCTAATTTGAGAATACAGGCGATCGACCAAAACTCTATTATCAGCCTTATTCGAGACAAGGGACTGATTTTAATATGGGCATGTGAAAAGCGTTTATGGGGAAAACACCCCTAGCATTACGGGTAGGTGCTGGTAGGGGGCTAGTGCATTGGTGATAATATTATCGATACATTATGCCTACCCGTGACCTATCTACTCACAACGGCTTACGTTCCACGAAGTAATGTGAATCATGTTGACACAAGTTTAAAAATGAGACAAACATAGGTAGTGAGGTATTATTATAACTTCGTATATACCTAGGTAGGTAGGTATCTATTAAATAAACAGTATCTAATTTTATATACAGCCCCAGCAGTTTTTTTCCTTTTCATGCGCCTTACCCGATATATGCATGGTTTACATCTCTTACGTCAGCAATCATTACACCCATTCTTTAGGGTTCTTCAGAACCTCGACTAGTCTCTGCTCCCGACTCCTCGGCTCTGGCTCATACATGTACCGCCAAGATGCCGTCAACGGAAGACTCATCAGAATACTCTCGACCCTAGAACCGGGGACGTTCAAACCGAACGCTGTTCCACGATCATGAACCAAGTTGAATTCCACATATCGACCTCTTCGCACCTGCTGCCACTCCTTTTCCTTTGCGGTAAAGGGCATATCCTTCCTCTTTTGCATAATTGGCAAATAAGAAGGTAAGAAGCTCTTAAGGCAGTCTTGGATAAAGGCAAATGTGTTGTCGGCATCGGCCACGGTCTCGTCTAGATCATCGAAGAAAATTCCACCAACACCCCTGGATTCACCCCGGTGCGTATTGCTGAAGTACTCGTCGCACCATTTCTTGAATCTGGGATAGTAGTCTTTGTTGTGCTTATCACAAGCCTCTTTCAATGTTTTGTGGAAATGCACAGCATCCTCGTCAAATAGATAGCTCGGGGTCAAATCGCTGCCTCCACCGAACCACCAAGCTTGTGGTGTACCGTCCGGCAGCATTGTCTCGAAGTAGCGGTAGTTTAGGTGCACGGTTGGTGCCATTGGGTTCTGGGGATGCAGGACCATACTTAAACCTAGCGCATAGAAATCGAGTTCATCTGCTTCGGCAAGGTTTTTGTGGTTGACCCTCATTTTTGCAATAGCAGGCTTCGGCAAGGTCCCATACACGACACTGATATTCACACCAGCCTTTTCGAACACGTTTCCCTCCTGCAAGACACAGGAGACACCACCGCCCCCCTTCTCTCTGGTCCACGTGTCCTCACGAAAGCTCTGGCCGTCCAATTTCTCAAGCTCGAAAACAATGGCCTTCTGCTGTTCGCGAATGAACTGTTCCATGCGCAAACGCATAGGCGAATTCTCGTCAACGCCCTTTTCGCGCTTCGTCCGCTCGTCGAGCTCGGCGAGTGTGCGGGCATCGAACTTAGCCGGTTTCTGGCACGTCTGAAGCACGCGGGTTTAGTCAATTGGACGGCCTAGGGCTACGGAAGGGGTCTGGGGCCAACATACCATTGCGAAAAGCAAACCCGATAATGAAATGACAGCAATAGCAGCTCCGTTGATCCAGCGTGAGCTATTGGTCCTATCTGCGCCAACTGTGAAGGATCGTCGAGGAGGGGGTCGACTTCTTAGAAATTGTGGCCGTAAAAAGACGGATGGACCGAACCGCTTCGACATTGTGCAACACGGAAACGAAGACCCTTTATAGAGATATCATATAACCAATTGAGAATCTAACGAAGCAAAAAATATTGATCGTAAGTTTTACCACAAGGTCATAAGTCGTAAGATTTAATTGGAACCTCCCGACTTGATGTTTGAATAGTTCGATATCGCGGCGATAACCGGTAAGCTCGGTGTGCCCCTCCTGTAGCTAGCTGATCTACGATAGCTGTAGCCAGCTGCCAGCAACTGTTCTTCTAGAACTAATATAGACCCACAAATATTCATCTGTTAGAATGACTAAGCAAAAATACATATCGTGGAAAAGGGGTAGGCATCTCTCGCATACAACACTTCAAAGGCGATTTCTGGCAAAATCTTGTCTTCAGGTATATTTATGAGTATATTATAGAGTAATTAAGGGCTAACTTAAGTACGGCATCATCCTTAGATACGTAGTTCCTCAAAGATATTTACATTTGAAGCCTTACCTATCTGCTAGATGTTGGCAATACTACTAGAACTTCAAGTTGTCAGATCGGTAACCCCAAGTACTTGGAGGATAATATAATATAATCAAATTGATTAAAAGGCTCCACAATCCTAGGTAAGTATTTGTCATATGTCGTATATAGTAGAGCGCTAACCAGTAGGTGGATGGTATAAAACGCTACGTTTCGATGGCGATAGACCTTGAAGGTGAAGTCCCACGGAGGCTTACGACATCCCGCGCATACGGATACCAGGTCGGCCTCCCTGTAGATCATCTCTTCCCGTTATCCGAGAGAACAAGGTAGAAAATGCTACCGCGCCAATGATGGGCTAGTACTGCTCCTTCATATATCCCAATATAGAACACCTGGAATAGACAGCATCAAAACCTCTGTCTTGTGCGATATCTATTTATTCCTGCCCAATAGAAAAGGCATCTCAATATTTCAAGGCCATTCGGAGTTAATTATTCCCTCGGTCAATTCTATTTCGACCACTTTCTTCGGCAATTGGTTGAAGACTGGGCAAAATGCACTTTATCCGGTGACCCTGCCACGACACCCTTAAAGGGGAATTCCGTCCGACAGGCCGCTAGATATATAAGATTCTATTATTCACCCTGACCTATCCATACTGCCCCTTCCGATCAACAGTTCAGCTCAATCTTATCTTGTGTAGACCAGTTTCAGCTGCTTCTCCTCCATCAACATGCAGTGGAAGGCCCTCTTCCTAGCCGCTGCGGCGATCCCGCAGCAAGTCTCTGCCCAGTATGCCACAGCGGCGATGATGCGTTTCCAATGCTCCAGGTAAGTCGTGGTAGATATCGGGCTCTCGGCCAGAAAGATAATGCGTGAATTCTAAGACGGAAGACAGACTAGTTGTTGAGCGTGTAGACCCCCTCGTGTCTCCGGGTCTTATCCAATCACCCCACATCCACCAAATTGTCGGCGGAAACTCCTTCAACGCGACTATGGAGCCCGCGGCATATGATCTCCCCTCAGAATCGACTTGCACAACATGCTCGTTCAGCGAGGACTTCTCCAACTACTGGACAGCCAACCTGTACTTCAAAGCCCGCAATGGGACTTACAAGCGTGTGAAGCAGATGGTAAACCTTGTACGTTGAGGTATCTCAATCCTAACTTTTAGGGTTTTTTGACACAGCAGCAGGGCCTTCAAGGCGAGGAAGGAATGACCGTCTACTATATCCCGCCTTATGACGGCCGTACCAAGGTCACCGCCTTCAAGCCAGTAAGTTTACCGACACATTGTTCCACCTAGGTATCCCCTAATAAGCGAATAGGGCTTCCGAATGCTCGTCGGCGAGGCCATGTTGCGGACATCCCAAGGCCAACAGAAGCAGCTCTGCCACCGCTGCTACACCAACGTCAACCAGACGCCATTCGGCGGTGCTCCCTGCGCCGACGGCCAAATGGACACTTCTGCGTTACCAAACAAGCAATGTGCCGGAGGTATCCGTGCTACCATTACTTTCCCAACGTAAGACACCTTACTATAGTCGAGAATGACAGGAATCCTGGGAATCTATTAACCAATCCCTTTAGCTGCTGGGACGGCAAGAGCCTCGACAGCCCCGACCACAAGAGCCACGTAGCATACCCATCGAGCGGAAGTTTCGAGATGTCTAGCGCTTGCCCGACGACGCACCCCGTACGCTTGCCGCAAGTGATGTACGAAATCATGTGGGACACTCGCGAGTTCAACGACCCGTCGATCTGGCCTGCCGATGGTAGCCAGCCCTTCGTGTACAGCATGAACGACCAAACTGGCTACGGCTGGCACGGCGACTACATGTTCGGTTGGAAGGGGGACACCCTACAGCGCGCATTGGATGCTCGCTGCACTAACGACAAGTGCTCCCAGCTGCAGACCCAGACTCCGGCCCAGGCCACGGCCTGCAAGAAGGAGCAGACCATCAAGGAAGATGTCGACGGATGTAAGTGCCACTCTATTTAAGCTAGCATGTTTGAAAACCGTGTAATTGCTGACATCGTATCTTTTTCCATTTAGGGCTGACTGAGCTGCCGAGCGTAACTATGTGAGAAATAGCAGCGCGTGTTGTTTAGAGGATTCCCCTGTTTGAAGCTTTGGAGATGAGATACCACTATAGTGTACCGGGGTTGAAGATAAATTGATTATCCATTAGATTCCTGTCTTAGCAGTTAGTAGCTAATTGACCTTTCTGCTAATGAATAATTTCACTGCCCAACACATATTTTCGTCATGATTAATGCCACTAGATTGTTTGAATGAACAGTTAGCCATAAATACTCATACCCGCTAAAACGGTTCCCTTTCTTCTGAGTGTAGATTCTTAGGATGTACTTTTACCAGGACAAATTTCAATCGCGCCAACATGAACCTCGAATTAACTCCGAAATAATGACACTCGATACCACCCCTCTTCGCGAATATCGAAATTCAACGTCGGGGAATGACATTTTAATATGTGAGATATTCCTACACGAGCCAGAGCTTAAAAATGTATATGATCATCCCCGCATAACTACTCCGAAGCTCTGGTCGCCGTTGACGTCATCGAGATTACCGGAAAATTGAGCTGGCGTTTCCATTCCGGAATCAAGGAGCCTTCCGCATACGACACGTAGATTCCGTCCTACACGGACCTCGACTAAAACATTTCTTTCGGCAGTCTTGAAGTCTGTTATGTTGAGGATTTGTAACTTGGGGGTTCTCAAGCGCTGACGGAGTTTATCCACAGCTTGCATAAGCCAGCAAAGAGTGGGGTCATTCTTGTCTGGGAGGATAGCATAACCAGCTCCGAGTTGCGAGTTCACGGCCAGGACGCTATTCATCTCGATAACGGGGAGGACGGATTGGTCAATCATGTGTTTTGTCTCTATTATGAGGATATCCGGTTGTCGCTGCCAATGGGACTGAGACCATTTCGGAGCCCAAAACATACCCTCTAAGCTACCGTTTCTTTCCAAAGGAAAGCTCCAGACGTCTTCCCTCTCCTGAAGATTGATTAAAAGAGCTTGCACCCCTGTAGCGTTGTCTTTGGCCTTCTTCTTCCAAGCTTGGACATGGTTTCCAATGTCCTCGAGTTTCGCGAGACATTCCGGATATGCTTTAAGAAGTTCCTCGTGAATAGATCTAACCGTCTTCTTCTCGATAGCGCCGGCCTCTATGAAGCGTCGTTGCTCTTCGGTCAACTTTCGGTGCTGCACATGCTCGCTGGGGTTGCTAGATGGAGGATGGTTATGTTCTGGAACGGTCACGGCGAAATAGACACCATCTTGACGTTTATTCATGACACAAGAAAATGGACAGTTGGTCTTTTTAGTGGTAGTCTTCTTAATCCCGATTGTTGCTTTAGATTGGAAACTTCCTGATTTATCACAACGGATTAAATATCTGATATATTCGCCAGTACGTTTCGATTTGGCTTTTGCGTGTAAAACTACGGCATAGCCCTCTGCTGCAGCGTGAGCTTGTACCGCTCTCTCGCAATCCTCTATTGTAGGAAATATGCCTTCTGCGGGGGGAGCTAGAGGCATCGTTGAAGAAATAATTCTAAAGTATTATGAATTAAACCAATGGTTCTTCGTGTAAATAAACAAGCTAAGGAGCCAAGGAGATATGGGAGAGAAGAGGAGATAAGAATGAGTAACAACCTTGGAACATTGAAGGGAAGCTGCAGCAGTGCGCCAAGGAATATCTAATTCTGGTTACATAATCAAGCGGGGTTAACTCTACCCCACTAACCGGTCTTCTGAATATTCCGTCTTGTCCGGAATATTACATAATCATCAATTTATCTATGATTCTATGTATGTCGCTATTCCATTCAACACCCTTTTCTTCACCGAATAGAATTAATTCGTCCTTACTTTAATATGGATGATAACTCTATATGGTAATAAATAATTTATCATCTAGGAATGCTGTCGGGCTATAGAGAGTAGCATGGCTAAGGTGAGTATACGAGACTGACTAAATTGGATGATGATCATGCTTCTATATTTATTAGAGGGAGATGTATGGTAATTAGATAACCGGAAAATGTATAAACTAAAGAGATTAGGTAAGTCGTTTGAACACTAACCCTTCTTGAACAGGATAAAGAAAGGAAATATAGGATCAGCCACCACTCCGAAACATTGCATCGTGGATTAAGAATTTCGGGTCTCGGGCTCTCCACCAGGTCCTCTACGCAGAGAAGACAGTGGTAGTTGGGCCTTCCTGACCCACTCCTCATCCATTTCCATGTGACGCTTCAATAGCTTAGCCGCCCGTTTTCCAATTTCAAAGATAGTCCGCCGGCTAACCGTGAATTCAGTCTGAAACAAATGCTCGTCGGGTGTATTACACACGCTCCATCCATCGCTCTCCGTGGCATTCTCAGCACTACTACTGTTCCCGCTAGGAACATCATTCCTCTGGATGCAAGGCTTCCATATTTCTGTATACCCCTCTGCTGCCGCCATCGATCTGAGCCTGTTGCGATCGACAAGATCCGCGTTCCGCAGCTGATATTCGATGATGAGTTCTTCGATATAGCTGGATATATCATATGATATCGCTTCGCGGCGGGCAGGCGGGATAGGAACCCCATTCAAATTCGCTTTCTTCTCTTCCAAGTCCGGAAGAGTTGTCCATTCATTAAGCATGTTCTGGATTACCTTATCCCAATGTTTAGTTAGAAACGCCGCGTTTCGCAATTGTTCGGCTTGAATGTGTGGCGGCGGAGGCGTGAAGCGGACGCTATCAAACCCAGGTGTCATAGATATGTCGAATGGTTTTGGTATAAATACGCGAAAAGGGGCTTGGGGTAATGAATGCTCTCCTATGACGTGCACGGTATCTAAACCCATACCAGTGTAGTAGTCTGAGAAAGCAACTGAATCATTCTTGTGCGCTTCTTCGTAGAGTATTTCTACCTGCGAGAGGACATGCTGCGCTTCAGTCTCTATAAGTCGTGTAGCAACTTTGAGAGGTAATGCTGATAAGCTCCATATGTCCCAAAACCCAACATTGAATATCCATAGCGTCTCTCGAGGCGGCTTTAAGGGCATGGGACTGGCTAGGAAAGCTTCAACTTGGTGAAGAAGGTCTTTATGGGGAGGGACTGGATAGTTCCGGGCTAGCCAGGAGTAATCAAGTCCCGCAGTAGTGTCATTGCCAGCTGTTGATGTACGGGCCAGAGCAGCTTCGAACAATGAATTCGACACGAAAGCGCCTCCGTCGTCGTCTGTGAGAGGTATAAATGAGACATAAGGGTTACAATTCAACTAAATCACTAACAATTAGCATCTCTAGCGTAACCTCACTTTGGATATGAGTGTTACCTGTAAACAAAGGATATCCGTCCAAGACGAGGTAGGGCCATCTGCTCTCCACGATGCTCGATTTGGCGTAGCAATATCCCCGCCCCCAAATACCACGATCCTTAGCCCGTGGCCGCCCGTATCCCCTTTTATAACCTCACCAGTTTCCAATGTGATCTTGTTATGATCAGGATTCACCGTGCGACTGGCGAAGTGCGATGACCAGAGGTATGATCCAAATAGTAATATAGTAGTGCCAACTGCGATTTGTGGGAGAACCCTTGAACTTCCTCGAAGAACTTTCGCCGTGCTGAATGTCAGGAGAGCTTTCAGTGTCAATAGCTCAAATAGGTTATGTGTACCATGAGGTTTCTCCAAAACATATTCCATCGTTGCGTTACCTCGAGTTGGAAATATTCGAGAGATGATCTAAGATTATGATGGGTATAACAAAAATGAGACCTGATGCTAGGAATAACGGCTGTCAGTTAGGAGGTTCACTAACGGCGAAATACTTGGATTGAGGGGGCAGGCTTTCAACGGCGGCGGTAAAGCTAAATCTAGGGCTGAGTGTCGCAGAATCAAGCCTATTGTGATTGCATTCGAAACAAGTATGAGCATTTCGAACATAGCGTGAGCTAAAGGTCTTAAGCCACGCTAAAGTTGTGTCGTTAGCACACAGGTCCAAAGCAAAATAAGAGGAAACACAGACCTTGGAGCAATATGCAATACCTGCGTAGCTTTATTAGAGTATTCTAGTCTAGTTTGAAGTTCCTTGGCCTAAATCTAATAGAAGGTATAAGAGTAGAGATTGATGGATAGGTGGATGAATGGCGGATACTAAAATTTATATCCTTCCTAGCACGCCCTTTGAGGTTGAAGCTTTTGCTGCGAGTGCGATAAAACCTCCAAATAAAACAAGTACCCCGCTGAATATAGACATTTGGGAATAGCCTCCATATTTGCTTACAAGCACTCCGCTCACCGGAGGGCCTATCAAAGCCGCGAAAGAGCTCAGGCCCATTCCCATCCCTATGTAGGTACCGAGGTCTCGAGGGTCATTTGAGCATTCTGTGAAGGCCGCGGAGGCTCCTGAGACGACTGTCCCAGATGCAAATCCGATAGCAATAGAATATACCACCAATTCTGCAGTGGTTTCCGCTTTATCCCAACAGAGTATCACAATTCCGGCGACGAAGCCACCAAATGCAAATATGTTTAATCGTCCAAACTTGTCCGCCAAAATGCCTGGGATAACGCGACCGAATGTAGATGACGCATTTATGATGGCAAGAAGGTAAGATGCGAGCGTCGGGTCCATGCCCCTTGAGACGGCGTACGTTGGAATGTAGAATAGCGGGGTGAACGCGCCGAGAAGCATGAAGAACAGCGCAAGCGTCAACAGGATAAATTTCGGCTCCTTGAAAGCCCGCCAGAGGAAGAAGGTCGCTGTCCGTGGCGGTAGGCGAGATGTGACAACTACACATGCGAAGCCGAGGAGGGGTACCGTAATAAATCCCACGATTCGAACTGACCAGCCAAACCCGATAGACGAACCATTCAGCATCTTCGATAATGCAATGGGGAAGACGATACCACCAATAGATGATCCTGCAACTACAACGCCCAGCGCAGCTGCTCGCTTCTTACTAAAGAATTGGGACACTGCTGCCATAGCCGGAAACTGTAGAAAGCCCATGACGCTACCTAGTAGAACGCCTTGGGCCAGCATGAACTGCCAGTACTCTTTGCACAAGCTAGTCATCATTATAGCAAAGACGTACAGAACTGCAGCGGGTCGTATTACCTATTCCTGGATTAGCGAACAGAGCTTGGTTGGTGCTAGAGAAATTGGAAAGATATTACATACCCATGCTCCGAAACTATCGAACAATGGCCCGCCGATGTTGCCTGACAGGAACTGGAGAAATACTGTTAGAGAACCAATCCAGGCCACCTTGTCCGGTGGTTGTCCCTTGAGCTGATGCGTCAAGTAATATTGTTCAAAGACTCCAAAGGCATTTGAGAAGCCAAGAGCCGAAAAGAAGATACAGCAGGCTCCAATAGTAACAAGCCACGCTCGAAGGCCCCCGTCGGGAGCTTCTTCAACATCAAGCACGTCGGTGGGTGCTACATCTTGCCCAAGCTCTAAGCTAGATACCGAGCTCTTTTCTCGAACTTCCGTTGATGAAGAAGACATTTGGTAATCGGCTGTGTCTTATTGTTTATCCTTGATCAATAATAGGGGGTTGATAACTAGTTACGAGACTTTGCTCGGTCAAACTTGGCTGTGGTGAAATGGAAGGCATCTCGAACTCTGGCTATTATCGCGACGATATATATCGTATATATCGTATATTGGAAATACTTCTGCCTTCCGACAAATATTCCTAATTTCGCGTGGTGGTGAGATCGTAAGAAAGAATCATGGTGAACGAGAACCTCAAACGAACAATTGTGGGGCGCGTGTCTCGGAGATAAAGTAAAAATCTCGGGGTCGGGGATCGGGGGTCGGATTCGGGAAATTGCTGACGGAAGGAATGCGCGACTCATCTCACATCTCATCTGCTTCCTTACACCACTCACAACGAAACTTATACACTTTCAATGTTCGTATACAGTTCATGTTAGCCAAGAATAAAAGCCCGGCGATTTCAAGCGATAAGATATGGCCGACCCCGAACGTCGGCGTAGAAGGCCGCCCGTGTATGTTGCAATTAGAACCCCTTACCCCCTAAATTGGTGGTGCATAGTGCTAACAATAGCGGAATGCCGCATTACGTACAATACAGTTCTTGTACCCTATGCAGGAGACGAAAACTCCGATGTAGCAGAGAGAGCCCATGTAGTAATTGTGTAAAATCCAGGAGTGGGAGTTGTGTCTACGAGAATTTCATTTCCCATCCTCAACAGAGAGCTGAGCTCGGGTTGGGTGTACGTCACCGAGAGTCTCAGTACTTAGCGCCTATCAATAGCGTTTCTAGCACAGCTACAGCGACAACAGTCGCTAACAATACGTCCCAATCATCGCCCAAGGCAGCCAGTTCGACCACAGGCTCAACTTCTGCCAGCCACTCATCTCAAGAAGTAGAGTCACTGAGAAGTCGAATTAAGCAACTTGAAGAACAACTATCCAAAATAAATCTGGCACCTTCTCAGCCTCCCGTCCCACTCTCGGACTCAAATATAGAGATCATCGATTCACGTATCAGTGGAACTTTTTACATCCATCATGAAGACGACTTTACTGGTCAACCTCGGGCTATATCACGCAGTGTTACTCACAAGACCCGCGTATTTGGCCAGAGTCATTGGATCACAGGCTTTTCACTTGTATGTCCACACATTATCCATTAGACGTCTTGGAGGGATATCAATTGATAACTAGTAGGTGCGAGATATAATAGGTATATTCGAACCCTATGTACGGGACGAGTCATCTAAGATCTCTGTCCTTATGCAGAAATCTAAGTGCTTGGCAAGGTCTATCAAAGACCGGCGGTCTGCACAGTGGCCTTCACCACCAGTAGCAGACCTACCGTCAAAGGATGTCGCCGACGAGCTTGTTAACCATTACTTTCGCACAGTTGAACCTGTTTACCGAATTCTGCATATCCCTACTTTCAAGAGAGACTATGAGGCACACTGGGTATCAACAAGCAGCGAACCCAACATACCATTCCTAGTTCAACTGAAGTTGGTACTAGCTATCGGAGCTACTACGTACGATGAATTATTTTCTCTAAAGGCTTCAGCCATAGGATGGGTCTTCGAGGCACAGACTTGGATTTCCGAACCGGGATTCAAACACAGGTTAAATCTTCAGTATATTCAAACCAACATCCTCTTATTAATAGCCCGAGAATTTGTTGATGTCGGTCCGGACTTAGTGTGGATCTCAGCCGGCACATTACTTAGGACGGCAATCTACATGGGTTTACATAAGGATCCTAAGCGGCTGCCGAAGATGTCAATTTTTGCAGCCGAGATGCGCAGAAGGTTATGGAACACGATTCTTGAATTATCTACGCAGTTGAGTTTGACTTCAGGGGGTCCGCCATTTATTTCTCTCGACAGTTTTGATACCGAACCTCCCGGCAATTTTGATGATGAGCAAATCACAGCCGACAACCCCGTTCCAAAGCCGGAAACCTCATTCACCCAAATGTCTACAGCGATAGCTCTCCGAACGATGTTTGCGACTCGTCTCTCAATTACAAAGTTCTTGAATGATCATAATTCTCGCGGTACGTATGGGGAGACCCTTCGGCTTGACGCAGAACTGAGGACAGCATATAAGTCTGTGCTTCGACTTCTCCGAGGATACAAGTCCGGTCCTGGGCTACGGCCGTCAGAATTCGAGGTGGATATGGTGAGCCTCCTGATGAATCGCTATATCTTATCTCTCCACAATCCATATTTCAATCCTGCAACGCAAGAGGCGGCGTATGCATTTTCCAGGAAAGTAATTATCGAGAGTTCACTCAAAGTTTGGCGTACAATGTATCCATCATCAACCACCATGTCATTCCAAACATCTAAAGAAACGGAAATGCCCCCTTCAAAACAACGCGACCTACCGCGGCTTGCGATCTGCGCTTCGGGATTTTTTCGCATCATCACACTGCAGGCTAGCGTCCTAATAGCGATGGAACTTATGACTCAATTGCAAGAGGAAGATATACTGGGACCTGGTCTTATTCGTCAAGATTTATTAACCATAATGGAAGAAGCGAAGACCTGGTCGTGGATGACTATCGAAGCTGGAGAGACCAGTATCAAGGGCTATTTCCTCGCATCATTATTAGCTGCACATGTCGAGGGCCGCTTACAAGGTCTTGAAAAGGACGATCTCCGCAAGTTTCTCGTCAAAGTCATAGAGGAAGCTGAAGAAAAATGCATACCGAAGCTTGAGGAAATGTTGGCTCGGTATCAGACCAAGAATGCCGTTGAGGAACTTGAGCAATCCCACTCAACTTCGGAACCTCAGCCCTTGGGAGACTGGGACTTCTCAGTAAGTACATGATTGTCGCAATGAATTTTTAATCGCTAAGAAAGAAATTCGTTAGATGTCAGATGCTCTCTTCGACTTCAGTAACCCGGAGCCAATCAATTGGGTATTCGACGAAGCTTCGCAGGACCCGCTTCTTTGGAGTTGAACCCTATCTCCCCTGCAGGCTGTGCCATATATGCGCTGGAAAGTACTCCCTAAGCCAGCCCTGGAGCCCTGGAGGCTAGATGGTATTGTACAATACCCAGGTAGGTGTTAGGGCTATTAATTAGCGCTAAAATGTGCCATGTTCATCGAGATATAGCACATTTCCGCATCCCTCTGCCCTATTCCCCAAAGCGCTATAGCACATTCATATTTAGGTACACTGCTTACTGCCGACGACCTTATCTTAGAAAATTACCAGGTGAGAATCATCGGATTTTCTTAGGTGCCTTCGTACTATCGCTTCAGGGTGTATGAGCTAACAGCGTTTATCTGAGATTTTTAAATTTTCAATTAGCACGGCATGAAGCATAAGCCAATAACGCTCTATTTCAAGTACCATTTTTTGGATAATCCAAGCACTCGTCATATATGGTTATCTCACATATAACCTCTCATCTGCGATGTTAAGAGGCCATACAAGCACAATAATATATACACTAATACTACATCCGTCCTAGCCATCATACCCATACTATCTCCAAGTTCTATTTCAATTAAGAAATAAGAAATGACTCTGAACGATAGTCCGCTCGATCACTCATAAGTGACGTGGCACCTCGCCGAAAACCCTTCATATTTCCAGCAGCGGAAGTTCGCCGCCTGGTCAAAGACGGCGTCCTCGAAACATCCTTTGCAGGCGTTCCAGCAATCAGGTGGGCTGTCCCAGTGGTGGCCCCAGGACTGGAAATACCTCTTGGTATCGTTGCACTTAGTCATCTGGCCGACCCATTGTCCTAGTCGAAGCTATTAGCGCCCTCACTTACATATTTCTTCAGGGGAATGAGCATAAAGTGCATATCTATATGTGTATTTTCACATAGACATAGGATATGAGGAGCGCAGCGACGGGGAGTAAAACGCGAAAGCGAACGTACCTTTATCCTGAAAGTCCTTATAGCAACCGAGCATGCGCTCGCGCTCTTCCGGCGTCAACTGCTTTTCATTGAAGAAGTTTCGTTTGCACGTAATATGCGACAGCCACGGTAGACCATCGATTCCCTTGTAGACGGTCACGTTTCCCTCGTCCACGGTCTCATTATACGATAATGCGGACACGGATGCACTGCCTTCTGTGTTGTTGGCTGTGGAGAAGGGCGAAATAGGGGCAGCTTGGCTTACGGCACCACCGACAGCAAGAACTGCCGACGCGGCGAGTACCGTGCGTGCGATTGTGATGAAGCGCATGTCTTCTCGTGGATGAGTTGTTAAATATATATCGATAAGATGTCTGATTTGGTGTTGCGATTCGGCGTCGCGCTCTTTGTCTCCAAATTGCCGGAATAATGCTTACTCGGATGGTATAGGGGCGAGATGGTAAGGGAGGTAAAGGAGGTAGAGAAGGCATTTATTTATATGTGATGGATACTGCCTCCATCAGGATACGTCGGATATAATTGGACTTGATGAGGCTCATAACTTCTAGTTCATTATATTTATATTTTATTTACCTATATTAACGTTCACAATATTGAATGTTTGCGCCTAGTTTCGTTGTTTGACGCCTACCTACTAGGCATTTACCTAGTAACGTTTATTAATCCAAACTCAACTTCATAGAAATAAAATCTTGCGTAGTGGGTTATAAAGTTTCTGGGCGTACTATAAAGTCATTTGACTGGTGCCCTAAATCTTACCCTGCCCTAGGAAAAAAAAACCTTCCTACGTAAAAGCTAGGCCATCCGATTTGTGTGGTTGAACTTTCAATAGGTACCCTTAGGTTTCAAACCTACAATACCTAGTACCTACCTACTTTGTCAATTTATTTTCACTTACAATCGAGCAACCTGTCATATACCATACCTCTAATCCAAAAACATAGTTGAAGTATTTGCCTGAGCGATACATGGATGCCATTATGTCGCATTAGAATTTCGCCGGCAATACGAAGATCGGGAGGCGATGGCAACGATCATGACATTCGAAAAATCAGGACAGATATGGATTACACAGCGATATGTCGGATCAACCTGTTTGAACAAAGACGAAAAGAAATTAACATTTGGACACGCGGCAAGATATGAATGGCATGTTAATTCATCGAATTCACATTTCTGCAGTAATAGGCAATACGGCAACAGCAATAGAAGCCCATCGGCAGCATGTGGTCCATCCGGTTCCTAGATGGAGGACCTAATTCGCCCCTTCTCAAGGTCGCCTTGCCTGTGAGTAGCCTCCTAGCCGATACAATGATCAGGATAAACCTGGTTATGGAATCTCCCAAGTCGTACAATAATCAGAAGGGAACTATGCCTTTGGAGTGCAAGTTCGAAAAGGTTTTTAGTGATGAGCATACCCTCTCATTTCTTTAGCAGCGAATTGCACCGCCCAAATCAAGGCATACAAGGGATTGGAGAAATATCAATGGCATCCTTCTGACGTTAACTCCGAGACTAAGCGTGCTTGGAGTAATCGGGTTTTGTGTCTATTCCTCCTCGGAGTCACTTTCCTCCTCACTCGATTCCGCAGGTCGGCTGTCCTCAACTTCGTTGGGTAGGGGCTCTTGACTACCGCTTCCCCCGCGCTGAAGTTGGGCTTTAAGCTCACGAAGCTGCTCGATCTTACGTTCTTGCTCATGCTTGTTCATTGGCTTATTCTTCTTAGGCTTGGCTGGGGCGTTAGCCTTTGCCTTAGGTTCGGGCTCTGCTGGTCGGCTAAATTCCGGTCTTCGCTCGATGCTCGTCCGAACGCTTGGGGCAGTCTTGTTGATCAAGTCATAGAGCTTTCGGAGAGCATCCGTGGATAGGGCATCTATGTCCAATTCCATTTCGCCATCGTCGTTCTCCTGCAACAAAGTTAGCTCATCTTCAACTGGGATAAAGACTTCATGGGATGAATGCAAATGTAAATGGATTCGAATGCTCCAGTACTTACATTCTGACCAGTGTCCCTCTTGATGATCTCAACAGCACGAGTGAGAGTGGCGCCATCAAGCTCGTTGATACCTTCAGCGATGACTGCCTTCTCCAGTGCTCCAACCGGTCGGCTCTTGGGAGCTGCCTTCTTATGACTACTATTCCCAGAGGTTTTCTTACCAGCCGTCGAGTTTCCAGCCGCTGCCTTCTTATTTGCAGCTGACGAGCCACCAGCCCCAGACTTCGGCTTACTCTTAGTAGCTTTCTTCTTCGGCTTAGGCTTCTTCTCTCCACTAATCACTTTCGTTTTCTCTTCAACAAGCCTTCGCTGGAGCATCGACACCATCTGTTGTTGGATCTCGATCATGGTGATATCTGGCTTCTTGGAGCCCACCATAGCGTTAAGCTTGTCTTGCTCTTCATCTAATCGAGTCTGTAGCGTACGGAAGGCCTCATTGCCTTCGTCGTCGTCGTTATCGGCTTCGCTTTCTTCCTCTGATTCATGAGTGCTTCGCTCAGGACTAGGAGCCGAAGCATTCGTCGTAGAAGGTTGCTCCGGGGGATAGTGACGTTTCATCCACACCTCTCTCTTTCCGAGCTCGGCCTTGAAAAGATCTTCGAGGCGCTTCGCTAATGTCGTGACATCGTGGCTTGGTCCATTGAAGAGTTCAGCGTTGTGTACTATCAATCGCATGTCCTTCTCAATATCCTTCACGTTCTTATACTCGCCTTCATAGTTCTTTTGCGTCATGGTAGCGAGATCCATTGGCTTTTTAACAACGCTGAAGTACGTCGGGATGTTCAAAGCTACGGGATCGACGGGCGTAAGGAACCATTGGTTCAATGCGTAATGCTTGCCTTTCTTAATCTCCTCCAATGCCACTTCGAAGAAACGCTGCTCAGGTTCTAACTTTTTACGATTAGCTGCGGCATAATCGAGGTCGCGATTCTTCGGGGGATGGATAGGTCGCTTCGGCCTATCACTGTCCTCCCGCGTAGAGTCGCGACGGATTTGAGGAATACCATTAGGAGGGATCGCAAAAGCTGGGGCCGAAGATGAAGGAATTGACTGCGTAGGTTGAGCTGGGGATGGACGTCTCGGCTTTGGGCTTGCCGCCTCTGGGCGCGGCTGCGACTGGGATTGTCTGCGAGGTTGGGTGGCTGCCCGAGGTTCAGTATGGCGTGTCGGATGCGCTTTGCCTTTCTCGGGTTTTGCAGGTTCCTCTAATTTGGAGATCTCAGGAAGACGCATGAATATTGCGTCTCTGACCATACCTGCAGCCACAGTGATCGCGTTTGCATCACCATTGAACGCGAGTGAATTCTGATGCAACAATCGAACATCAGCCTTAAATGCACCATAATTAGCATACTTCTCTTCACGCAGCTTTTGCTCGAAAAGAGAGATATCCACAGGATTCTCTATCTTCGTTTTATAGTCCTCCCATAAGGTTGGCCAGAGTCTTTCAACGGGTTGTCTAAAATTAAGCCCATTTTTTGTCTTCTTTAAACCTGCTAAGATCTGTCGGATTTGGCGATTCTGGAAGGGTGTGATAACTTGCTCATCTGGGGTTTGGTCTGCAGGTTCACCAGGTGTGGGCGCCGATGACAAGGAATTTGCGACAACAAGCGAATCTGCTGTCGGGCCATTTGTGTCCTCTTCTGTTTTTGCCCGTTTCGGCGCTCTCTCCTCCATTCCATCTTCTTCACGTTCTCTCGAGACTTTACCTGCTGATGTAGGCTGATCGGTCATAGGAGTATCCACTTGGGCAACCGATGCGTCAGATTGAGCAGCCTTGATGTCCAATTTAGCGAGACTAGCTGACGGTTGACTTAGGTCTTGGGATGATGTAGGCTCTGCTGTATTACCAGCCGTAGGCTTGTCCTGGGCGCCATTTTCCTGGTCAACCTTTACCTCTTCGTCAGGTTGTCTTGTAGGGGTGTCCACGTCCATTGAATCACCAATGTTCTCGACAACTGGATCCACTGCTGCTGATTCTTCGGTCGCAAGAGGCTTGTCGGATGTCGAAGGATCGGCGTTGTCTTCCTTTGCTGCTTCGGTCTCGGTCGGGGACGAGTTCTTCACAGTCGACGTACCGTTAACATCCGCCATCTCGACATCAGTTGAGCTTAGAGGGACATCAGTCGATTGCTCTGGGAGATTGCCGTTAGTAGCAAATGCTTTTTTGTTTAAGGAATCATCGGCGGTCGACTCTGTGAGCTCCGCCTTGCCGTTAGTAGTCGGTTTCTCATCCACCTTGGTTTTGTCTTCTGAATGTCTATGTGAATTAAATTTAGCATCATGATTCTAAAAGGTGACGCTAAGCATGCTCTTACCCATTGACACTCGACTCGTCGCCCACCTTTTCCTCACTCGGCACAGAATCTGTGCTCTTCTGAACCACTGGCAGTGATTGGGGTTCTTCGGTAGCCATGACTGCCATCCAACTACGTAGAATATGGGATTGCGACCGGTTGATGGTAATGAAGGGGATATGAAGAGGCAAAAGGCCTCGTTATTCTCTCGTAGGACTTGAGAGGTGTGCCTGAAAGTCAAGGTGACATTAGATGTGAGAAATAGAAAGAGTTGTGATATGCGACGTGAATGAGAATTGGTAGCGCATCAAGAATGTGCACATCACAAACTTGTTACACCTAGGTACGTGAGGCTTCGGGATAAGGGAATAAAAAAAAGTTGCAATTGATATCGGATAGAACTTGCGATTGCTTACCTTTCAAGATAATCAGCACATAAATCTTGGTATCACTAAAAACCGTAGTTAGTTAGTGATGATTGTAATCGTAGGTGCATGTATTGGGAAAGAATTGTGGTCGGGTGCGATGATGAATTGAAGTGAAGTTAAAAAAAGAAGTGGGAAAGGGAAGAATTCAACATTGTTAAATGATAAAAAAAAAGCTAGGGAATGAATCTAGTGATTTGCGATATGGGAAGGTGCCTCTGTTTGTTCTGCGTCGCTGCCGTGGTGATAGTGGCTAGGAGCTCCTGCTCGACTTGCAGACTGCCCAGCCTTGCGAAATGCGACAACCTAGAACTGTCTGGGAGGGGGAAATCGCAAGGTGGCTGACCAATCGGCGTAAAGTTAGAATGAATAAGACTGGGGAATTGTGGGAATATCCTGGTCGCAAAGGGAAGGTAAACTTTTTATATCAGTCCTTGCGATTCTTGTAGTCATCTTCTGATGTTAATCTGTGAGATTCGCACCTGCCAGCTTGTTTTATAAAACTTTTGGAGTCCTAGCGATTAGTATGATCAGACCGTGCGAAGGCGGCAGGGTCGAAGTATCGCGACAGCTATCAATCAATGGCGGCCTTGTTCTTTACCTACCTATGTACATCATCTAAATCCATTATTGGTATGGGGAAACGGGGGAGTAACCGTTCGTCTGAAATCACAATCGGCGGCCTGCTTATGGATACATTGATTTGAAGGATCGTAACGAAGAAGATGAGATCGTTATGTATATATATCCGACTAGGATGGAAAGTGATATGGGAGACAAGGAAAGGATGGCGTTAAAAGATGGAGGGATTGTGTAGAAGGGAGGGTGACGAGACAGTAGGAGAACTTGAATCTACTAACCTCTCAAAATCCCCAGACTAAAAAAACACGCCAGCTCCGAGTCGAGACCCAGATCTTGAAGACCGGGAGTTAAAGACTAAGAGTATGTAGAGATGAAGTATGGATGTGGATTGAGAGGAGGCGCGATGAGATGACGTCCTCTGAATACGCGATATGTGAGGATTGATATAAGGGCGTGGTAAAAGTGTAATGTGCAGTAAGAAGCGCGTTTGCGAATTATATCGTCAAGAGTAAAAAGTTGTTTGGTGCGTTGAACTAAATCAGACCAAACGAATGACGAGATGGACGAGGCTTCAATACCGTAGCTACTAAGCGACGATGAGGCTCACGACTAGGGCGATGAGGCGCGATCGCAACGCAACGGCAGCGGCAGGTGATGTATGCACGGGTGGCCAAAGCGGTAGTAGTCGCGATAGTTGCGCGATACTGCCGTTTTGGGGGAAGGATGGGAATGAATAAAAACTTAAAATATTAAACAGCGAATCGATGCGCAGCCTTGCACTTAAGGGAAAATAAGGCAAGACAAAAAATATTAAGCGTGAGAGCGAGATGGATGGATGAAAAAAAGGTACCTAGGTACTTTTCGTCGCGTGGTGCGCGTGCGGCGGTGGTAGTAGTGAGTAGTGGAAGTGGTTTGTGTGGTGGTGGTGAGGTATGAAATCAATTTCTGAAGATGCGAGGCGGTGTCGGTGATCGGAATATTAGAGGGGGGGTTGGGGTTGGGCAGAAATGGAAAAATAGGAGGAAGGGTTGTAAAAAAAAAATCTCGGGAATCAGAGGTCTCTTTTTTTTCTTCGTCGCGAAAATTTCTGGATTGGGGCCACTTTCCTATTTGTAGAACGCGCCTTCCCGGGCTGCGAAATCACGGTTCGCCATCACTGGGGGAATTACGACAAGGATTACAATGGAGAAACACCCACGGTGATCGTAACAAAGAAGCTCATAGCAAATCACATTATCGAGATATCGAGATGTGGGTCTCTTTGAGACATGGATCGGGGTGCACACTGCACACTTTCTCACGATTGTAACCAAGTATACCCATCTAAGCACATTGTGTGTGCAAAGGTTGTGTAGAGCTCCTGTAGATGAATCGGGGACAAAATGGTTACCTACCGTAGCTGAATTGAAGAACAGATTAGAACCTAGATTCTAAGCATCTCGAATTCCTTCTCTGTAATCCAATCTTTTCAAGATATTCGTCGGGCTCCGTTTGGGATGGATGCAAGATAATCTATTCAATGTTTCCATTAACGGTGACGGATAGATCTTAACATGTACCTATGTAGGTTGTTTCGCTGATAGCACGCAACATTGAAGCAACGAAGGACCCGGTGCTCAAAAAGATTTTGACGAGAAATATTGTTTGACGAGCTAGATATGGAAGGCCAATCAGAGTTTGAGCGCAATGATGACTTTCCGGCGACCGTCCAATCGTGACGCGTAGTGCTTTGGGACCCTTGCTCATTTGAAATGATGGAAGCCACTGGGTAGTCTTTTTTTGATGACTGCTGCTACCCGGGTGTGTAATTAGGAATAGCTCCTTCGTTGTTGACTCATCAGGATATTTGGTTATTCCGTTTTGGCCACTTCGTGCATCGACTATCACATGATCTAGGTTCTGGGATACCTAGAAAGTCGTCGTCGAGAATTCTCCTTATTTTCATCAAGACCTATCGATCGTATTGCTTGAGTACTAGCTGATGGATAAGACAAAAACAGAATGATCTTATCCGCTCAGGTTTCAGGCCAGATAATCGCTTCGTTTATGGGATTCGGATCCGGCACCATTTGGAAAACAGAACAGGTTGGCCTCAATGAAAAAAAGTTGCGGTGGAGGAAAAATGTTGCAGATGAGTCCCATTCAATCCGAAAAGACTTGATGGGGCGCTGGAGCTTTCAATCGAGTGCACAGTATGAATCACAATATACACATATTTAACACACGTTGTGCTAGTTCACTTGGTGACACAATTTTGCCAGCTGTTGTAATACCTAGGTACTTCTCTCATCCATGGTCCGTGCATGTTTCGGCAACGGAAATACCAACCGCCTATCACAGCTAGATGCTCGATAATGAGCCCCATTATTTTATGTTATCAGTAAAAGAAAGAAAAAAAAACTACGAGAGGTACCTCGCCATGCAACAATACTCGCGTGCAAAATACAAAAGATTTTTAAAGTCTTGCGCTGTCGTCTTTACAACATAAAGTTGTTTTTTTCAACTTCTAGCCCCGCTGATTCATACTTCATATTCGCCCTTTTCATCTTCCTACAGCAATTATAATATTGCGACTTCATTATCCAGACAGACACAATGTCAACTAAACGAAAATTGTCAACTAAGATTGCTCACCCAGTCGTTAAGCAAAGCGCAAAGATACCTTTGAAGGCCAGCATCAACGAATCCGAGACAGCTGTGTCAGTTCCGGACATTCTAAAGGCAAACGACGTTTCGAACGAACAAGTAATAGAGATCTCGAGCGACTCGGGCAGTAGCGAGTATGACTATACAGATGACGAGAAAGATAATGGAGAAGATATGAAATTGGACGACACAACAAAGTCTGACGCCGAGGCGCCCCAGGGCCAATCCACAATGGAGGATGCGCTACAATCACGAGAAGAAATTAACGGAGATGTCGATATCGATATGCCTTCGCCTAAGCCAGCAACCGATGGCGAGTCTGACCAAGAATCTACGCAACCCACATTCGGCGAGCTCGCCCGCGCACACGACACCATTGACGTCCCCGCCGCGATATCTACACAATCTCCTACCCTCCCAGCCCCGGGAAGAGCCCCAGTCCCCCCTAGTCTTTCTTCCCTCGGAACTGTTCTATCTCAAGCACTCCGCACCGATGATGCGGATCTTCTAGAATCTTGTCTTCACACCAATGATCTAACCACTATTCGCAACACCATTCAAAGACTCGACTCCACTCTTGCAGGGACACTACTTATCAAGTTAGCCTCTAGAATGCACAGGCGGCCGGGACGTGCTGGTAGTTTAATGACCTGGGTACAATGGACCTTAGTTGCACACGGAGGCGCATTGGCAACTCAACCAGGACTAGCCAAGAAACTCGGCGAACTACATCGAGTATTAGAGGAACGATCAAGAGGCCTAAATTCCCTCTTGGCCCTGAAAGGAAAGCTTGATCTACTTGAGGCGCAAATGGAATTACGCCGTGGCTTGCAACGAAATGAAGACTCCGGTGATGATAACGATGAGGAGGGCATCGTCTACGTAGAGGGGGAGGAAAGCGATGCAGAGTTGGCTAACGGACCTATGGACATGGATGATGACGACGAGCTGCCGGTCACCAATGGCGTGGCTGAGGACGACTCGGAAGAGGATGAAGAGTCGGGCGAAGAGGATGAGGTTGACTTGGAGGGTCGAGAAGAGTTAGACGAAGATGATGTCAACCATGAGGACGTTGAATCTGACGAAGAAGACAGTGAACCCGAGGTAGCAGAGCCTCAACGTCCAGTAAAACGGTCGAGAACGAAACGAAGATGAGTCTTCTAAGAGATGGCTCCTAGCAGATAATTTCGATCCAATTGACACGATACCCGTTTCTTCTGAATAGCTGTCACACCAGGCCTACACGACCAAGTTGCATACTCCAGTTGACATTTAGGGTGTCTCGGATATCATTCTTGAGGTTAAATTCCACGGGATGTGATGGCATTAGCGCATTAGTACATACGGAATTCTAAGGGGTGATGACAACATTGCAGCATGAGTGTTTCCTTGAGGCACAATCAATGAAGGTTTTCCTCATAGCTCTGCCTAAAAAATTGAATCTGTCAATACAGACTGGACGTATTTACATAATGCCTATTATACCACGCCTGTGACATCCATATGAATGCGAGAACCTTGCAGCTTCTAACATCAAATTGGGTTTAAAAACCGTTGTATCGAATAAGCAGGGTGGGGTTGCCCGCTAAGACCCGCTTACGTTCTGTATTGTACAGTGCACCGTGGACCTAGCTCAAGAAGCTACCCTTGACAGTTCCAAAATACGGGCTATTATCGATAAAGAAGATATATTACAGGGCTTATCTAATCAATTCGTCCCCATCCGAGACAATTAATTCGTCAGAGCGCGTCCTCCGAATCCAAATTATTTCGTGTCAAGAATTCTACAGAAGTTAAACGAAATTTAGGTTGAACCGTTTGATTGCTTATTGTTTCTCTATCAAATGGTTCTTTATTTTGTTTCTTAGAATTTCACACCCATTCTTCCTCCTTTGCTTCAAATTCCGGTCGTCATAATGGTTGAATGCCCAATTTGTAAGAAGCAAGTCCAATCCCCGAAGATCAACGAACATATCGATCAAAGATGCGAAACTTTTATTATTGATCCCTCGACAATCTCTTCGTCTCCTCACATGTCCTCCACTCAGGGACCTAGTGTTGTATCGGCATCGCAGAAACGGCCTGCCTCGAGTTTCTTCCAAACCCCCACTGCCAAACGCCAACAATCAACACCTGCCAAGGTCGTCACACCCTTAGTCAACGGAAATGGAGGAGCAGCGAAACTAAACGGAGGCCTCAAACGCTCATTCGACGAAGGTCCCGGCGAGGAATCATCTATGCAAAATGGAGGCAGTAGGGTAGATGACACAGCGCCCCCAGAGACCGGTCGGATATTAAAGAGGACGAAGACCAATCGAGCAGCCCCTTTGGCTGAGCGCATGCGACCTCAAAATTTTGACGATGTCTTCGGACAAGAACTTGTCGGCCCCCATGGTGTTCTGCGATCCCTAATCGAATCCGATCGAGTGCCATCTATGATATTATGGGGTGCCTCGGGCACCGGCAAAACCACCATCGCACGCTGCATCGCAAGTATGGTTGGCTCACGGTTTATCGAGATGAACGCAACAAGCTCTGGGGTGGGAGAATGCAAGAAGATATTCAACGACGCGGCAAACGAGCTGGCGCTAACAGGACGGAAAACAATAATATTCTGCGACGAGATACACCGCTTCTCCAAGTCCCAGCAAGATGTGTTTCTCAAACCTGTTGAAGCAGGCACTATTACACTCATCGGTGCAACAACCGAAAACCCAAGCTTTAAGATCGTCAACGCTCTGTTATCCAGATGTCGAACCTTCACTTTGCAGAAACTAACAACCACCGACGTTCAGCGCGTATTAATGCGAGCATTACAAACCGAACTCTCCACCACGTCATCGCCACCGTCCTCTCTCCTCGATGAAGAATTAATAACCTACCTCGCCAACTTCGCCGACGGCGACGCACGAACAGCACTCAACCTATTAGAACTAGCACTGTCCTTATCAAATAAAGAAGGAATGACAAAAGAGGGTATGAAGGCATCCTTGACGAAAACCTTGGTCTATGACCGAGCTGGCGATCAACATTACGACACAATTTCCGCTTTTCACAAATCAGTTCGAGGCTCTGATCCAGATGCAGCGCTTTACTATCTAGCCCGCATGCTCCAGTCTGGAGAGGATCCGCTATTTATAGCGAGACGCATGGTTGTAATCGCGTCGGAAGATGTCGGACTAGCGGATAGCTCACTTCTCTCTCTGGCAACATCAACCTACACCGCAACTCAGCAAATCGGCATGCCAGAGGCCCGCATACCTCTGGCCCACTGCACAGTAGCACTTACACTCGCACCGAAGAGCACACGTGCCTACAGAGGGCTAAATAACGCCTTCGCCGCTCTGAAAGAACCGGGTGTAGCGGCATTGCCTGTTCCGGTTCATCTACGAAATGCGCCGACGAGGCTCATGCGAGAGCTCGGGTACGGAAAAGAGTACAAGTACAATCCTAATTACAAGGACGGCAAGGTGAAACAGGACTACCTCCCGGACGCACTACTTGGACGCACGTTTCTGGAGGACCGAGACTTGGGTACTGAGTTTGATCCCGACTTGGTCATGGAGGACGCCTGATTATGGGGCAAGCACGGCAAGAATTACATACTAGGGTTTTACTATAAATTCTCGAGCCTATTGTACATTAAGCATTCTGGATATGGCCGGCGCGGATTGTACTATTACTGAGATTAGAAGGATACCCCGTGCACAAGTACATTTGCAATTAGGACAACTAAAATATTAAAAAGTTATCCATCTATATGAGGACACCCGAAACTGAAGTGGGCACTTACAGATACCCACGTACCCTGGCAACGAATCGCTCTGTGACACGAATAACCTCGATTCTAGGAACGGACAACTATCTTCGTCTACTGAAGAACCACATTACACGTTACTCTTCAAACATGGAGCAATGAAATGTAGGTGAGTTTTTTTTCAATCCTTAGCTCTCAAAATGTGACTAGTCTGCTAAGCATTTATAGTTGGCTGTCATTGGCTAAAATGACATGAGACATTCCAGATTCGGTAATTCTACCATACATGGGTCTTGGCTTTGTGTTACGGGGCAGAACTCCCATAGTTTTATTCAGATAAACTAACGGCTCCTTCAATAGCCTCTTTTTGTTTCTAGTCATATAGAAGTTTGTTTCATACCCGTTCAGCCTTTCGATCGCCAATATTCAACTCAACATTTGATGTCGACCATAAGCCCTGAATAAGGGTTTAGTAACTCAGTTGTGATAGTCTCAGTAAAGCAATAAATAGTGCTTGCTTAGAGGCGCACATCAAGGTGGGTGGCTTGCTAGCCCACCATGATCAGCTAATGTATAATCACCAATGCGAATTCCAGGTCAGTTCGCATCCTGTGCCTACCCAGGCATCCAGACATGCAAACAGGAAAAAGGCACCAGCCGCCTATGAGGTCCTTAAAAAGAGGCAGCTCAAATAGGGATCTAGCCCAATGAGAAAGTCAGACAAGGTCACCTTGTGATATTCAGTTCTCCCCTTAAACCTCGGCATCCCATCTACCATGGAAAGAGTTCGCCGATCATTATGGAGTTTAAAAGCCCATACCTAAATGATACATTCAGAGTCCAGTTCCCACATATATCATTCACATCACAAAAGAACACATATGAAATATCTATTCTCGATATCGCAGGCCTCAAATATCCTTAGGCACATCATGATCGTAGATCATGAAATAGGTGCCATACTCCCCTTTACCACCGTACTCCGTATCGTCTTGGATAACTCGCTCGACCTCCTTGAACCCAAGCCGTTCATAAACACCTCGGCCAGCCTTATACGACATCACGAATATCGGGATACCAGTTTCTATCGCGTATTTGATCCCGCTCTTAACAAGTGCGGTCGCAATCCCCTTCCCTTTATTCTCAGGATGAACAGCCAAATAATCGAGCTCTGGACACCAGTCAATACCCGAGCCTAGGCAATTCCATTACCTCAAGCCATCTTAAAGTCACCGAGTAGGTAAAACTTACTGATATACGACCTCTCCGACAAGATCCGATCCATGACAACATCATTCTCATCATCAATATGCCTCATCTCCTTCCTCCCATTCCACCACGCCCCCTCAGCCAGCTCCTCAAACCGCCTGCTCTCATCCTCCCCAACGTCGGGTACCTGCGCCGAAACCCACTCTGCGCCGCCACCAGCCGCGACGGAACGCCCGGTGGGGAGAATCCAGCGGGCGTACCCGACTAGAGCGCCCGTGGCGGGGTCCACCGCCTTCTGGTGACGCGTCACTTCGCGGTCTTTTAAAAGAAGGCGTGGATACCGCTTTTCGCCCTGTTTGATCAGGAATTCTCTGGTGATGTCTTTGGGCCATAGCAGGATCCATGTTGGATCCTCCCAGAAGGCGCTCATGTTGTTGCGCGCCATCGCTGCGGCGTCCGCGACGGTGCAGCCTTCGATGTTCCAGGATGTCATGGCTGCGTTATGGTGTTGTCGCAATTGAATTTTCCGGGTTTGCGAGGGTGAATGGGTAAGTAAATGCGGTCTTTGAATTAGGCTTATTTGTTATTATGGTAATGCGATTGAGGGGCTTGGCCGATTGATTACGGGTGAAGAAGAGGGGAGATGTCATTGAGCGGCTAACTTTCATGCAGGAATAGGAATACAGCGCCAACATAAGTACCCGTGGAGTGCGGACAATAGCGAGGACACGGTCGGACTTACTGGATACGAATACAGCAGGTGTTGCGTGATCTACATAAGGTAGGTAGCATTATCCGTTCTACATATGTAAGGGATTATGTCATGATTTCTCATTTGTTATGGGTGTCACTTCTAACGTCAACTACGTAACACTGGAACTGAAATTACAGCATGGATGGATTTGGTAAATGTTTTTTTTTCAATGTCGTCCTAACGAGTGTCCCTAGAAGCCATCTAGCATATGGCTATTCTTTCCTTGCCTCATTCATCCAGCAATTGTTCAAGACCCCCAAATTGTAATTGTCTAGGTAAGTACTGTTATGCGAAATTCTATGTAGTGGATTGTGTTAGGGGAGACTCGGTAACCCCTCTCCCCCAACATAAGCTGTTCCGCAATAACATTCAACTCACGAGCCATCTCTACTCGGATTGAGTAGCATCATAGGTAGCGTACTTCTGCTTAGATGGCTCTCGGCTCTCCACGTGGGAAGCATCGTAAGTGGCGTACTTCTCCTTTGAAGGCTCGCGCTTCTCGGCGTGAGAAGCATCATAAGTCGCGTACTTTTCTTTGGAAGGTTCTCGCTTCTCTGCCTGAGTAGCGTCGTAGGTGGCGTACTTCTCCTTAGAACGCCTTTCCGCTTGGGTGGCGTCGTAAGTAGCATATTTCTGCTTCGAGCGCTTCTCGGCATGGGAGGCATCGTATGTCGCGTACTTCTCCTTGGAAGGTTCTCTCTTCTCTGCCTGGGTGGCATCGTAGGTTGCGTACTTTTCCTTGGATGGCTCTCGCTTGTCTACGCCCTGGGAAGCGTCATAGGTAGCGTACTTCTCCTTGGAACGCTCTTCCACATGAGAAGCATCATAGGTGGCGTATTTTTGCTTAGAAGGTTCACGGCTATCTACCATGTCAGTCTCATCCCTTACGTATTATTGGTTAGGTGGTAATGTTTGAGCGCACCTGATGATGGAGTTGTCTTGCACTGGGAGTGCCAGTGTTGTGGAAGCAAGAGCTCCGAGGACCATGATAGAGGCTTTGAAGAAATGCATCTTGGATGAATGGGCTTTTTGTATGTATAAAGATACTATGTAGGCGGCAGTGATGTATTGTTGTTTAGTAGAATGATGGTGTGAGTCTGTATGTTGAAAATCTGCGGAAATCGTGTCCTCTTATGTCTTGATTCTTGTGAAGCGCTACAGAAGATGCTGCTTTCTAAAACCAATGTGTGTTTGATGAGCGAGTTCTCATGATTGCTAGACTTCGCCCATTATTCCCCTTCTTCGCTCTGGTCCTTTGAGTCTGCATGTTACGTATTTCCTGAGGTCGAATTCGCAATGTCATACTCCCCATAATCGGTTAGAAGGACCCAGACTTCACGCCGTATATGCAATGCAAGGTTTGCAGATATCACAGTCACTAAGAAGTATGAAAACGAATAGGATTTTGATATCCTGGCCCGAGTGCGAAGTTGTCTATCACATGGTACGGATTTAGGATTTCGGTAGTTGCTAGCTCTCTGTAGAGGCTTTATTGATGAACATCACAGTTATCAAGTCGGATAGAAGGGCCATTTTACCATGACAACTCACTAAGGTCGCTTAGACGCAGAGTCCTATAACCGAATAATCTATCTAGGGTTCATGCTACGGAACATAATCTCCATACTCTTGGCAATACGGCTCAGCTATATCTTGAAATTCGGTCCGTTAGAAGACACGCCCTCGTCTACAAGGTAGATATCACGCAATACTAGTTATTATTGCATCATGACCTATGTAGGATACAAATTCATATATACTTATACCGGAGTGGGACAATATAGATTTACGGCGCGTTAAGTCAGCGATATGTACATCTGATGCGAATTGTGGAGGCCTGGGTAACTTCTTTATGTACCTAGGTACGCAACTAAGTACCTAGGTAATGTGTAAAGTCTTATTGGTATATAATGATGACATTACGTAAAATCCATAGCCCTACTGTGAGAAGGTCTATTGAGTCGAGACAGCTGCAGTTAGAATGATCATTTGTGGACTTCCAGGGGCTAACCTAGATATTATCTTACACACCCACTCATGTTGGAACCAATCATATCTACCCATTGAGAGTATAGACATGCTTAAACTAACTTCACTTAACCTGATTATCTGAATTCTAAGGGAGATAACTCTTTCACTTTTCGGCTTATGGTATACTTGAGTTGCAGCTGTTGTTAACGTAATGTTGATATCTATGACTGTTAGATTTAAGGCATTCTCGTACTCACTCAAGGAGCCCTAGACCGGTTTAATGTAGGTAGTAGTTAGGTAAGACGTACCTAGGTACGCCGGTAAGAATTAACTACCATCCTCTACCATACGGGCCTTGCATCTAGCCGCATTAGCCCTATAATGCTCGGCTCGGACAATAAAATTCACGAACGTCCCATGTAAGATTTCATCAACAACTGACCCACTACACTATCTCGAAAGAGTTGGTACCTGTTTATTCGAGGCATATCTATTAGGATGGGATCCCCCACATTTTCACGGATCGCCATCCGGCGTAGCTAACGCCGCATTCCCGCAGGCCAGTGAACCAACAAGCTTTCAATGCCGGCATTTATTAGCTCTCACCGAAGGCTAAAATCTTGGCCAGAACTCCGTGGTGAGCCGGCTCTACGAGATCCACAATCTTCGGACCTAAAATCTCACCAGGTATGTCATTTCTGCAATAACTCCATCATGTGTTCTACGGTTTAGGAAAGCTAGGACTCAGCTTGAGGGATTTTATCCTGGTGAATGCCAAGAACTACCTAGGTATGCATGGTTGGGAAGTGTTTGCGGGTTCGACTTTTGAGGTTATAGAAGCCTATTTTCAGATGGCGTGATAGGGATAATTCTGGTTCGAGTGGGACTAGTATAGCTTCCATGGATATCGCCGTAAAGTTTTACTAACGTATGTGCTATGTGCGGGCTAATAGGCCCCTAATAGTTATATGTGGTGATAGACAATAACACCTTGAATTTGCGAAAGAAAAATTAGAACTTAAGACTTTAGGTCTAGCCCCCTTTCCAGCCATTTCCTGGGCCATCTTCACTCATCTTCCTGCAACATCTGTTTGAGTCTGAAATCTTAAGTCTTTCCATTCTCAAGATGGGTTTCCATTCAAAGGAGAAGGCATATGATCCGTTAGTCTCGGATGAGACAAGACCCTCACAAAGCTCTGATGGCCTTGAAAGCCAAGGAGAAGATAGGGCTATGTTGTCACGTCACTTTAGGCAGCGACCTTCTCGTCTTGCTTCTTGGGCAAGAGTAGGCGGCAAGGTTCTTGCAGTCGTCAACACCATTCTCTTGATAAGCATCGTCATCGTGCTCTCACTTTCTCGCCACGAGAGAAATGAATGGTCGGAAGCAGAATGTGCTGCTAAGACATCACACTATTGTAAGTACTTGAGATTCTGAGAGTGTATGTGAGATTAACAGTAACAGCTCCACTCCTAGAAAAGGATGCGGGAGTTATAGAGTACGAAACTCGTCGATTCCGAGGCGCGCTCGAGCATCAAAGTGTTTACAAGGGTACGCCAAATAAGGCACTTGACGAAGCCTGGACAATTCTTACGCACAGTAAGTTCCCTTTAGCTACCTGTAGTCTACACACGAATCAAACAAAACTCACACAGCCAGTGAACAACTCCGGAGTGAGTGGCGATGTCATCGACAAGATCGGAAAGTCGCGGATTGCGGTCAAGTATCCCGAATCCCAGGGAGGGAAATATAATATTGGCATAGAAGTGTTCCATCACATGCACTGTTTGGTACGTTGACCTTGTCCTATAACATTCGCCATGTGATATAGACTAATGGGCACAACAGAATATCATCCGCCAGTACACGTATAAGGAGTACTATTTCAAGCCAGAGAACGTACCAAAAAGCTTTACTGACCCCGAACACATCATTCGTGCTCATATTGATCATTGTATCGAAATGTTGCGTGAGACCCTTCTTTGCCAGGGCGACGTAGGTATTATCACTTATAATTGGGTCAAGCCTTGGGGTATATACCCAGACTTTAGCACAGAACACAAGTGTCGCAAGCTTGACAAGATTGTGGAATGGGCTGACAAGAATGCTCTACCTGATGGAGACCCGGAGCCCGATGAGAGCACAGTTTTTCTCCCAGGGCCACCGCAATAAAGGGCGTATTTGGGATAACCGGTGCAGAGATAGTACTTAGGGGGACTCGAAACTCCGATGAAAATCTAGAAGTCTTGTGAATTGTGTGGGTTTGGTTATGGCTCTTTCTCATAGCAGTATGAATACCTACCTGGTTAGGTTATCTAGTTCAGAATGTACCTAGGTAGTTTTCATGGATTACAAATAACTATATGATACTTACCCAGTCGTAATTTCGATAACAACGTTAAACTCAACGTTCTAGTTAAAACTCGGTACATGATTAGTGGTAATTCAGCTTATGACACAAACTTTAGCACGGTAATAGGTACATAACTACCTAGTATGCAGCCCGTCTCGTGAGATAGGTATATCCACTGGTCGTTAATATCGTGCTTACGGCAACTCTAGATTTCTAGGACTTACAAGGATTCGGAAACAGGCCAATGGGAATGATGTTACATAGGAATCTATAGACAATAGATCTTACTAGTAGCTCAATCCCGACTGGTTGACGGTATTCGCTGAAGAACTTTAAAGGGGGGAGATCAACTCGACTACCTATGCACTCAATCGCATGACGCTCATAGGCTACCAATACGAAGGTGTGTATGGTATAAGCACAGCTTTGGGCTGTAGGTGAATAGATGCCTAGAGAGATGTATGGACCTTGGTCTGGGCTGAACGGTTACCAAATTGGGGACTTGACAACACGAGTATGGAGGTCTATATTGGGTCAACTGTAAGGCGTGATAGAACACCATAGCGGGGAGGCCAATTAACGCTTACTTCCCTCGTGGAATAGGATATATTATATTCAGAATGTGGCAAAGATCACCTAATTCCATGCTGTCGCTGTACTGGGATCCCGGATAAGCATGACGATGCTGTGCCTCACAACTGCTTGCATAGTCGACGCACGTGTCTGGGTACCTATGTAAACTTACACATAATACTTGAAGTAATGCAGCCAAGAAATATAAGCTTCTATTCCGCGAGAACTTTCTGGAGCTAGGTAGGTAGTTGGTATATGTGGTGTGGGTAACTACCTTCTTACCACATAATCAACTTTACTGGCATAAGCTCAACCAACATACCTACCTATTTAGTCAGAGCTATCACACCATGTTCCACTTCTATATATGCGTGTAATAAGTAGTGATGTTCGAAAGCTGTATCAGAACTATACTCCCATATCATATGTCGGCGAAATTTTCAACCTAGTCACAAAAGGTCTTATGAAGGATTAGCCCCTCTCCATTCGTAAATGCCGAGAAGGATCGGGACCCAGATAATTCTCAAGTCTAATATTCATGTGCTTGATAGACCGAATCTACCTTTCGGCCAGTTCTACTTGCGCTTGACACACCTACTTTCTTCTTTTCTGCTAAACATACTCGGTACTCTTTTGACTCAGAAAATATATGCGAGGCCAGCAGAGGAGAAAGGCCAATTGATCCTCAATGGCGAGTTCCAGCAAGAAGTCAAAGGCAATACCAGAGAGCATCCGAGATATGTCGCAAACTCATCACAAAGAACAATACGAAAGTCTCTTAACTGAGTCTCACACCCGGCCACTAGATCATGATGATTTCCGCGCCCATTCTAGCAGACAGCTAGCCTGGCGGTCGCCTTTCTTTTATATACCTACGATATTATGTTTCTTTCTTGGTATAGCACTCGTCGCTGTATGCTCATCTAATTCAGCACGGCTAGACTCCGTCATCGATCAGATGGAAGAAAAGATCGCAAACTTTGAGGTCATATCAACGTCAAGCTCCTCATCACATAAAATTCCCTTGCCAGAAGGACTTCCTCCAACCCACCCGAAAACATCAAAACCAACAGGAGAAGAATTCGGGTCTTGTGGCCACTCTCCCGGCGAAGCTCAATCCCTCGGCTGCATATTCGACCCAATGTCATGGGCGTGGCAGCGTCCCGAGTGCTATAACGCCGAGTTGATAAATCACTTCCTAAACATTACAGACTGGCACTTTTACCCTAACAACGCGACACGCCCTGAGGAAGAGCTTCCGAGGGAAGTATGGGCAACTGGCGGTTATAATGGGGCCTGGGGTCCGTGGTCATGGCATATGTATCACTGCTCTTATAGCTGGCGCAAATTCGACATGGGCTTCCACCATGGGAAGCCTTTGGACGACGATATTCTTGATCCCCTGCATACTTATCACTGCAGCGTTCAGATCATCTTGCGAGATACGGATCGGACTCTTCATGCACCATGCCTAGATGATCCACATAGTTGTGAGATCACTCAGATGTGGATGAAGTTTAACAAATGTGGTTACTATTGAAGCTTGTCTTCTGTAGGTACCTATTCACATAATAAAATGGGGCCTACCGTTGAATATCAACATTATATGCGACTCAAGTGGTGTATAGGTCTATTGGGAATTTTTTTCTACCTATTTAATTCTACTCAATAACCTAAACTCAGCAGAGTGTACATATCTGTCTCTATTGAATGACTATTGCTTCAGATTTTGGACTTCACAAACGCGGCGGCTTCGGCTATAGACGCATCGAAATACTGAAGGTGCGCGCTGACATCTGCGCCTCCAGCACAAACTGGGTCGTCAACGAAGCACCATGAGTGTAATAAATCCGAGAACTTATTTAGAGATTCAAGTTCAGCCGCTGACCTTGGGAGAATCTATAACACGTGTTAGCTCCAATTCTAATGGATACCCTCCTGGACTACTTACTCCACTACCTGCTGCTCCGGTTCCAACGTTATAACTCTGGGAAGCCGTGTGACGTACATCTCCAAAGAAGGTCACTGCTACGACTATACGGTTCTGATTAGTACACCTAAGCACCTCGGTAGGTTGATAACCACTTACTCTTATTGCCTGGAGAAGTTTCAGGCGACAATGGCGTATTCGTTGGTTGCGTGCATCCTTGATTCGGGATTTCGCCTCCACCTCCTCCAAGTATATCACCCGCGACGTGTCCTCCCTGAGAATAGCCTGTCAAGACTAACTTCGCATTAGGGCAACTCTCGGCGTACGCCGTGATCTGGGCGGTGCCGTTGACGACGCCTCCGTATGCCGAAGCACAGTAGTTGTCGAATGAAGCAGGGTATATAATGTCCTCATATCCACAGCTAGACAGGCCCTCACAGACTGCGTTGACAAGGTCCTCTTGACGGCCTGGGTACGGTTCTGTTGAACCGCGGGCTATGAAAAAGTGTACGTCTTGGCAGGCAGTTTGTCGCCCTACCAATCCAGTTGCCGCCGCAGCGGCTACTTCCAGGAGGACTGTCGAGAAAAGAAGTTTGGTAGTCATGATGATGCCTTGGTTATTTGTGAGAGGGTTAAAATGTGAGTAAAGATCTACTCATCAACAAGGTCTTGTATTTACCTAGGAAACGGAGAAACATCTTATATTTATAATTCTCAATCGTAGAATCGCAATCCCGGCAAGATACGAGTAAATACAACGTCTCCAAGACTCGTGTCGTGATTGAACCGAGATCTAACCCCGGAGGAAGTCCCAGTTTCGGCTCGCGGACCCGGATCTACCGTTGCAACAGCCCCTTAATTATGCACCTATAAGAGATGGGGTCGCCCTGCCAAGGGACACAAGATCGTTAAGTTTATCCCACTCTACATCGAAACCATTGAGGATAACCTTATATAATAGTTACACCTAACCTATTAGCCTCGGACTTTAGACTGAAGCATATGAATGAACTACATGGTTCCCCCCGTGCTTTAGACCTCGGCTATTCTAATATTCATGTCCTATTTTTGACGGAATAAATTCGAAAAGGAGAATAGGAGACTTTCATACTTGAAATAAATTTCCGTATCTGGTTATACTAAAACTTTATAGCCACGAAGATCTCAGTTAATTATTTCGCACATTTGCTCATAGCTTGGCACTGTGTAAATTAAGATACTGGCGTACTGTATGAGGCTTTTCTTTAGTGGCTAAGCTCCCTAAGCTACAGCGGTCATGCACTAGAATTTAGGAGGAGAATCGCTACTAAGCCCAGCCCTGGAGGTCGCCGACACAGTATTATTCACCCATCATTTAGGTACCTACCTACCTATGGACGTCTGCGCAAGTGATCACGCATTGAGAAGGAGTTCCAGCAGACATGAAAATCCGCAAAGATTCTAATGTCACTTATGTCGTATATTCTACACTAGAACATCACCCCTACCGCCTCTAAACCGGATTGCCATTCATTAGTTCCTTGGGTATCTGTTATACCTGCAATAAGGGGGAGTAGACTGATAGTATGTAAGGAGTTACAAATCCGCTTATTAAGTAATTAGTTCAGCCAAAAGGAAGGGCTCAAGGAGCTAATTACCTAATGGCTGCCGTGCTTATATAATGTACAGTGGAAGGTATCCACTAATATATGTGGAGCGTTTACGTAATTGATGGAATTGGATCAGTTTCCGTACTAAAGCTCGCAGCACCCAATTAACCGTCAATTCATCGTAAATTTATGGTTTGACGATGCAAACGTTTGGAAAAAAAGAAACCGCCGACTGCGCGTTTTTTTATTCAATCGTTTATATTTTAGATTAGTGTTTACTTCCTTTCGAAACGTTTGGAAATTCGAAACGTTTAACATGAAGCCTTCGATGTACCTAGACGGGAAGCTGCAGGAGCTAGCGGATAGGTGTTTCACTTTGGGACCAACAAGCAAACGGATAGCTTTCTACGAGGCCTCCTACGTATGTAGGAGGCTATCTACGATTTCTACGATTTCTACGATTTTTACGATTTCTACGATTGCAAGATTACCTACCTACCTACCTACCTGCAAGAGCCGCAGTTGAGCCTCGAGTCACTAGCAAATCAGATAGGCTGGAGGTCCTGGAGATCCTGGAGATCCTGGAGATCCTGGAGGCGATCCTGGTGTATATGGGTAGATCTTTGGAGACTTCTTCAAAGACTTCTTCAAAGATTTGGAGGTTTTGAAGATGGAGAAGAAGAAGAAGGATTGGAGGTAGGTGGGTGGGATCAAGGTCTTATATAGACTTAAGGAAGATAGATTGGATCAAAACAACAACTGAAAGGGTTACACACACCAGATCAGGGACTTAGAATAGTTCGAGCTATCGTCAAACATTTATTTGAAAGAAACGTTGAACTTCTTTCTAACGTTTGAAAATATATAACGTTTAAATGCGAGTAATCGTTTAACTTTATAAATATTCAGATAGTTAAACATTTATAAAACTAAACCATATATTTATGGGTTTGGAAAAAACTACGCGTTAATTAGAATGGGGTGGCCTAGCTAAGTTCTCTCGTCCTTCTAGAAGCTGGTGTTGATGTTAACAAGGTCCACTAACAAGGTCCATTGCCTATAGGTCTTCCTTCTTACCACACTAAATGATATTGAACTCATATTGCTATTTTCAAAAAATGTAAGATAATAAACAACATAAGAGAAATTCCAATTGACGAGGACGAGGCTCTTAGATCCAGATGCGCGAGTTGGCGGCAAAGCCAAAATCTGAAAGGTCCAATCAACTGATAAAACTGACATACCCCGCTGCCAGGCCATGCAACTATCGCGACAAGCATCGATTACCTACGTAGGTAGGTAGCCTTACCACGAGAACTTTCATCTCAAATTTCCAATAATAGTAACCACCGATGAACCTATGAGAATTCAAATCTAGCATAAGGCGAGCGACATCGAAGTCTCATTTTTCGGTGTGAACGATCGGCGGGCATTATAGTGATGTCACATATGCCAGCGAGGTGTCGGCTAGGTGTGTTTACAAGGACATCATGCAGGCTGCTCATTAAACTCAGCAGAACCGACATAGGTAGTAACCAATTGGACTCGGAGTTGAAGCGCTGCAGCTACTCCAAAAATGAGGCCAGCAGCAAGATAAGCCGCCACAATTGAGACCTAACTAAAGATATTGACTGAACAGACCAGCCCAAACTCACATTTTCATTTAACAATTTACAGCTAGCTATCGGAATACTTCTAATCAGACAGGGTTCGCTGCATCTTGGATTGATTTTCCCCAAAATGCCGCCCTTTCAGCTCGCTCAGCCCTAAATTGCGAATCCTTCCCAAATCTCATTCCCAAAATGGTTAGCGTTTTCGAAGGCCCTCCCAAGCATGCCATACAGAACTCCCTCTGAAACCTTTCATGAGAGAAGTTTGAGGAAACTGTATCGGCCAAAAGAGAAAAAAAGAGAAAAAACCTTCTGCTAGAAGAGCAACATGGCCTCAATCCTGGAATATGCCAAATTACCTGAGCGCACTGGTCCAACTGGAGAAAAGAGAAGAACCCTGAACTACAGGCCCCCGTCACCCCGCCGAGACAAGAAAAATACTCGCGATAGGCTTCGCCATACCGTATGGAAAGCTCAGAAATTCCTGTACAGATATGATCATATTGAAAGCAACCAAGTACGCCTTATGGCCCTCCAGGCCAGCCAAGATTTCGAAGGAGATCTCGTCGCAGATCTTGTCACAATACCTATCGAGAAGTTAAAGGATTTCCCCTACGAGGCTCTTTCATACCACTGGGGCGAAAGCCAAGCAGACAATCCGATTTACGTCCATTCTGCGAATAATATGATGGGAGGTATGTCCCATATGAGCGACGTTGCGGCTATGGTCTCCATGCGCCTCTATGTTAAGGATAACTTATACGAAGCCTTACGGCATTTACGTGATAAGAATCATGCAATCATCTTATGGGCTGATGGGCTCTGTATGGATCAGGGTAACGAGGTCGAGAAAGGAGCCCAAGTTCCGAACATGGCGACCATTTATTCCTGCGCAACGAGAGTCTGCGTTTGGTTAGGACTAGCCGATCAACATGGCAGAACCGATAGAGCAATGAGCTTCATTCCCAAGATCGTTACAGAAGACATAGACTCTTTAATCCTGCCAGATCAAGCTAAGAATTGGCGCGACCTTATCTTCTTAATGAGATGTAGCTGGTTCTCCCGGAGATGGATCATTCAAGAACTAGCTCTTGCGAAGGAGGCTACGGTGCGTTGCGGTTCCAAAGAAGTGGATTGGAGAGACTTCTCTGACGCCGTTAGTCTCTTCGATCTAAATTTTCAGAAGATTCGAAAGCTTTTCGGTAACAAGCCTAAGGATTATATCGCAATTGCAGGGCTAGGACCTCTTGGAGCGAAGATATTGGTAGACGAATTGAGCAACACGTTCCTGAGGGCCGCCGATCAGAGCCCTTTCGAACCTATAAAAACCCTCGAGACTTTAGTATCGACATTGTCAACATTTGAAACAACCGACCCGCGCGATACCATATATTCCTTTCTCAACATCGCTAGGGATACATCCACTAAGTTCGGTATTTGGATTCCATCGAGTTCAACACAAGTTCAACCGCCGACCCCTGAATACACACACGATCTCCTTATGGTTTACACTGACTTCGTCCGCTACGTAGTCGATAGTAGCAAGTCACTTGACATTTTATGTCGCCAATGGGCCTTACCTGAGAGAAAGGAAACAAAGATTATGTATGAGACTTTAGTGGAGCTTCCATCATGGATAAAGACCGTTCCTGAGTCACCTTTTGGCAAGCAGGGAGAAGGGTTCAACGGTCGGAAGAATGGTGATAACTTTGTAGGACTACCCAATGCCAAGATCTACAATGCATCTCGGGACAAACCGCCTGAAGTTCGTTTCGGAATGGCGGTACGAGAGTCGATAAATTTTCCAGATTCGCCAACAACCAATAGTTTATCTACGGGAACAATTCCGACCGTGACAAAAACATCACACCGGAACGGCGATTTGATACCAAATAGCAACCCAGCGTCACCAAACGGCCTATCGCCTACCGAATCCCATTTTTCAGACGGCCTAGGTAGTGCGACATCTACCTCAACAAGGCGACCTAGCTTGCGATCCAATGACCGACCTAGGACTCCTGCTGAAGAGCGACAGAGATTGAGAGATAGGGACCCATCAATTTACGTCAAAGGGTTCATCCTGAGTACTGTTACATGGAAGACAGACCCTATACCTGATGGTATCATTCCCAAAGGTGCGCTTCAGAGACTGGGATGGTCAAACAGAGACGACGAAGTTTTCTTGGTCCCAGACAGAGTCTGGAGGACCCTAGTCGCTGATAGGGGCCCAGACGGGAGACCGCCTCCAAGCTGGTACCACCGAGCATCTCTTCGGTGCCTGGTACAAGATACCCCAAACGGACACATCTCCACCAAGAACATTTTGGAACAAAACTCAAGCGGCATCATGTATGACTACATCAGGCGCGTGCAAGCCGTGACTTGGAATCGCGTCGTGCTCGAAGGGATAGATGAAAACAATCCAAAAGAGAACTTGGTCGGCATTGGACCCCCACTAACAGAGATGGGCGATTTAATCTGTATAATATTTGGGTGCAGCGTACCTTGCATCATTCGACCTTGGATGTTTACCACGTTGGGTAAAAGTTCCGACATAAACCGACGCAAGCCTGACATCAGTAAGGGAGAGCAACCTGACTACTATGAGTTCATTGGCGAAGCTTTTATATACGGAAAGATGGATGGTCAGGCCATTGATAGCATCAGCCCGAAGGTACTTCAGACTAAGACCCGAGAATTTCGCTTGCGGTGACGTAAGGTGTCGTGCATGTTCCGTTCCATATGTCTATAGAGTCCTGTTAGACACGACGCGTAAGATATGAAGTTCAGGTTGATGGACAGGTATCTCGTTGGATATCAGGGTATTCTAGGTACCTTTGGGTTTATCTATCTCTACAGGTGGTCTTTTAGATATTTAATATGATTTAAACAATGGAGCGTATTTAAATGTCATCTCCTAGAATTGCTTAGTCATAAACTTTCCTTGTATTCGGTAAAGGGGTTGAGTTAGGGGTTTTCCGGACAACGAGAGCGGAATAATATGGGTAGATTATCTTCAATCGTCGCTCATCTGTATCACTATATTCCCCATGTTGTAATATTAACAACAATAGTTACATATAATACTCATCTACGTGTTTAACTATTTACCATGAAGAATTCCCAGATGACTAATCAAGATTGAGATTACAAATATGAAGTTACACAGATGTGATTTGAAGAAGCCCCCTTGCTTACTAAGTAAATATCTAAATTACATAACTTCTTATTAAGCATGTCGTCGTAAATCGTCTCAGTTACCGCCTCCCGTTTCATTATAATTATGTATCATATACCTTTGATAATTACTAGGCAACTAGCTATTACCTAAGCTATCTTCACATATGTTTCATAAGCGGAAAGAACATCGTGCTAGCATGGGATGAATAACGGCGCAGCAAACTATGAAGTCTTCAAGAATAGCAATAGTATGAGATATGGTAGCCAATCAAAGTTGATACCCATGGTCCAGGGTTACATCGGCCTTGCAAGGAACTCCCAAAACGGAAATCTAAGTCAGCTACGGGTTAGCATATCGTTCTACCATAGATATATTCGGTAGGAACTTCCTTCCTACTGTTCGAGAGATTACCCCCGTATCGAAGGCCTTTCGACTTTGGATTACATACTTCTTTTCTAGACTAGCATGTCGTAGGAATGAATGGGGCATGCGAGGGAGGCACATACTAGCACAATTCGGGAATGACTAGCAGGTAGGGGTCTTGATGACTTCGACTTCTGAAATAAGTAATGTCACACGAGAAACACGTAACAGCAAGTCCCAAAACACCATAGCAACTTAGTAAATCCGGGTCTCAAATCCGTTAAAGTGGGAAACAACCTATAAGTTGATAGAAATAAACGAAGGCCAAGCACTGGGTTGTCACGGACCATACTACTAAAGTCTCACCTTCATCTGATAAGACCTTGAAGCTCTTTGCCCAGATGCCTACTACCCCTCAGCTATACGATACTAGCACGAACATATATGTAAAGTCAGCCGCTCCCACCCAGCCAGCTGGTATTCCCCATTCCCCGGTTTCCCTTCAACTCTGTAACCCCATTTTTCTTTTTCTTTTCTTTACATATATAAACCTAATCGACTACCCAATAAAGTCCATTAATAGCCGTTGGAATATCCCAAGAGAAAAGTAAAAGACTTGGCCCCCACGACCTAGGTAACAATGGCGGGTGTTCTCCCGGGCAAGCCACTGGTACCAGAGCTTGACTTCAGTTCGCAACCTTACGGTAAACTATCCAAGAGTTTCGATAACGATGTGGTCGAAGCCCGAAGAGTCATCGAAGAGAAACTGCCGATTCTCGCCCAACTCAACGCCGTCGTCTCGGTAGCCTTCGGCACCAATTCACCACTCTTCGTCGACGCTCGAGCCCCTGACTCACCCGCCAAGCTTCTAGACTCGCCCCCCGAGGATGGGGCCGAGCCGGACAGTCAGGTGACCATCCAACCGGCTTCTATCGTCCAGTTCTCCCAAGGCCACTTAGAGCCAAGATTCGGGCTGTTCAAGGATGCGTATCTTTACGACACGGCGATGCGCAAGGAGACTATACCCCTTGCCATCAAGTTTGCCGACCTCCTGACACCACAAGGCCCTCCGGCCGAGGCGAAGATGCCATGTTCTGAGGCTCTTGAACGGCTGCCAGTCCCGACGGAGGATATAGCCCAGGTGAAACGGGATATCAAGGAGTTCGGGTATGGATTCGTTAAGAATGCACTTACACCGGTCCAAGTAGCTGTGAGTCTGATAACTTTTCTTTAGACTTCTTAGGATTCTCGTGGGAAACCGAGCATGATACCTAAGTTATCTCTGTTAACAAGTAGGATATAGGTTCTTAGAAAAGCCGTTGAGGAACAAGCCGCAGGGGAACGCAAAGCCGGGATCGCAAAGATGGATAGTGGGCCAGATGCCGGCAGCGGTCCAAATCAACGACTCTGGGTACTTACTAATAAAGGCGATGAGTTCCTCGATCTGCTCAACCACCCCTTAATTGACGAAATAGTACCGTGGTTAATTGTGAGTAGTTAGAACTTTTGATTCTTGTTAGATTTTGGGTTACCCCTGAATAACTTTTCTTAGCACCACTTACTGTCAAACCCGTCTCTATATCCCATCATAACCAAAGCATTAAGGTTAACCTCATAAAGGGCGATCACGCTCTTCTTCATGCTTACGCCGCGAATATCGCTCGGCCGGGGAATATCCCCATGCAAATGCATACAGATCAAGTCGCCATCCAGCCCCCGATCAGGGATGTAGTCTTTGGTGTGGTTAGTTAACTACCCGCATTCCATGAGTAGGATATGAAAGCAATTACGCTAAATACCTAATATCTCGTATAATAGAACATCATGTTCTGTCTTACAGACATGCATTCTAGCAACGGAGCCACAAGAGTCATCCCCGGCTCTCACCTAGGCCACGTCGCTCCGGCCGACATCTTCAGCACCGAAGGCACAATTGCCGCCGAGGCGCCCGCTGGTACCGCCTTCGTATTCGAAAGCCGGATCTGGCACGGCACAGGAGCCAATACCCTAACTCCGGGCTCGCCCGATTCGGAACGGCCCGCCATCCTCATGTTTTTCATGCGGTCGTTCATTCGCTCCCAAGAAAACTATCCCTGTACGTAATATCAAGAGCGGAGCCCCTATTAACCCTATCTCGAAAGCTAGAACTTCCTAAATGATTTAATTGCGGAGTTATAAGTATCAAGATATATCGAGTACCCCCACACAATTCATGGAATAGTAGTCTGACCAGTCATAGTATCATTACGCCCAGATGTCGCATCGAAGCTATCGAAGAGGCAAAGGAAATTCCTAGGATTCTGCGCCACGGGTGCTGTTGGCGGTCAGGACGGCGACATCCGCGAAGGAATGTATTTTGACCGAAGGAAAGACTGTCCTGGGGCTATCCGTGAGCCTCATGAACGACACATGTCTGGATATACCAATGGTGTTTGAGTAACATTTCTATATGATAATTTAGTGTAAGGAGGGGATGAGATTAAGCCTATCTCGCGTTACTAGTTATAAGAGCGACAATATGACACTAATGAGTGAAATAAGGAAACGACTTCTAGAAAATGAACCTATTCGATATCCAGTACCTCCAAGTCCAGTAAAAAAATTAGCATCGCCTTCCCAAACATAACAGAAGATCCAAGCACCTCAATTGACCAGAGAACTGAATAGAACAAATAGTAATGACATTGAGAACCACCAGGCATAACCGTCCAACACCCATCCCCGCGCCGAGCAGGATAGACGTAAATCCGCTGACCTATGATAAATTATATTTATCTAGGATTGGTGTAGAGGTTGGTGTAGAACTTGGTTGTGGATCATGTAATCAACTATCCGCTCTAGACTCTCTCCGCAGTGGTCACACTTATACCCCAGATCAAACTTTTCTACAGGCTCAGGGGTAATCTTATGCTCTCTAACCATATGATTCTTGAAGCCATTCCACAACAAATATCCATTGGCCCCAGTTCGTTTGCATTCGGTCTCAAGGCATGGAAAAGGGGTGAGTTCGTGGACCTCTCTCATATGTTTAATATATTCGGACTGTCTGGGGAAAGGAGCTTGATTGTATTTCTCGTCCCAGGAGAGACGTGTAAAGCCTTCACCTCGATGGAACTCACACGAAGTGAATAGGCAGTGATAAGGACCACCATAACCTTGTCTTTTAGTGGGGGCTATCTTTTCAATTTTACTGAAGTTGAATTTGTGATAACCAGTCAGATGTTGAATGAGATGATCCCGGCGACGGAAGCCATGCTTGCCCTGGAGATGTTTGCAGGTGGGGCAGGGGTACAGGCGTATGTCTTCGCGGAAGGAACGTTGATGACGGACTAGAGTATCAAGCCGTGAAAAGCTTTTACCACATGAACAGGCAACGGTTTTGTGTCTAGATAGCTTCGCATGTAGTTGGAACTGATAAGTGTTTCGGAATGAAGCGAGGCATTCATTGCATGAAAATGGAGTATACCCTTGAATTTGTTGATGGTCCGCGGTATCTGGACTGTGCTGCTGGTTCTCGGAGGTTGTCTGTATATCCGTGTCTAGAGCTGCGGCTTGATTATCGCGTTGAAAAAGCGCAGTCTCGGCTCGATTTTCGACATTTTGTGGCCTAACACTGTCAACTATGAATGTACAAGACAGGAGAATTATTTGGGTATGACTTACACGGGACCAGTAACGCAGGGAGAATGTTGCGGCTGAAGATCTGTGAATTCAGATACACCTATGACAGACCTCCTAATCACGGAAAAACACCCTTTTTGTTAGCAATCGGTAAAAAAAAAAAAGCCTCACGGTTCCATAAAGGTAGCATTGGCGTCAGGCAGCAGCGGCAAGTAAGCGTTGGGGGCGAAGTTCTGCTCCCTGTCACCAATCGGATTCGAGTTGCCCAACTCGCTGAAGTCAATGGCGTATTCGTCGGACTCTGGGAAGGCGTCAAAGTCGAAGAACTCAGAGTACTCAGACATCTTGGCAAGATGGCTTTGGTTGAAGCGGCAAGAGATTGAAAGGGTAACGAAGGCTTGATGAAAGCAATGATGCGGGTGGCTGAGTGTAAGAGTAGTATGCAGAAGTAAAGGGGGGGAACGACATATTTCTTTTCGAGGGGAAGATCTATCGCTGCTTTAAGAGAGCTATGTCAAAGGTACTTACCGGTACCTAGGTAGGTTTTCAATAGGGTGGGAAGGCGTAAATGTCTACTCTGATAGGTCGCCTGTCCTGTCGTCGCCCAGTTTGAGACATACGCAAATTAGGGTGGACGTTATTGAGACCAGGGTCGAGAAATGAGGCTGCATGATGGGTAACACAATACGGAGCCAAAGATCCCTCATAGCCAATAAAAGCTCCACGAACAACGCACCGACCTGACCGAGGGAAAGTGAATGAACTAAGGCACGGAAAAGAGAGGCTCTTGGCCAAGATCGACCTCGGAGTGAAGACGGAGAAAAGGGGGCAAAGACACAGCAATTCGATAGACACTACCATACCATGCTATGACAAGGCTCTACACTCTACCACGAGCCGAGCCGCGTATACTCATCCGTACCCGTAAACCCAAGGAGTGCATAGGTATCTCACCGCCCACTCCTAATCCTCCCCTCTCCAACCCCCGTACCCTCAGGCACGATCTGGAACCCCATACCCTTCCGGCTACGGCGTCTAGAGGCCCCTCCGTCGCCGTACTTATCGTCGAACTTCCGGATCGCCGTCAGCGTCGCCATATCCTCGTTAACACTTGCCGCGATCTCCCGGAGCGCCTTATCAAAGTGACGTGCCTGGAGGACTCGCCTCTTCATACCGTCATCGGTACCAGTTCTCTGTCCAGTCTTCAGCTGCTCCTCCAACTCCAGCTGCTCTTTGACCGCCGCCATCGCCGCCGCCACGCACACGTTCTTCAGGTCCGAACCGGAGTATAGCGGTGTTCTCTTCGCGATATCCTCGATAGACACCGTCTCGGGATCAAGTTCCTCTCCTTTGAGATGGATCTTTAGGATCGCCGCGCGGTCGGCCTCGGTCGGGAGGTCGATTAGCAGCTTCCGGGGAAGGCGCCTTAGCACCGCCTCATCTAGGTCGAACGGCCTGTTCGTAGCCACCATAATAAACGCCTTCATCTTGTCCATGCCATCCCACTCCCTCAAGAACTGGTTGATCGTCTCTCGTCTCGACACGTTCCCGAGCACTTCGCCGTGGCCGCGACTCCCTAGCAATGCGTCCGCCTCGTCGATGAAGATTACTAGAGGTTCCTTTTTCTTGGCTAGTTGGAACAGCGCTCTCACGCTCTTCTCGCTCTCGCCCACGAACTTGTTGTTGATGGTAGCCCCGCTAATCTCGATCATGTTGGCCCCGCTCTCTTTAGCCACCGCCTTCGCTAGTAGCGTTTTACCTGTGCCCGGCGGGCCGTAGAGGAGACATCCCGGGATCCTTTCCGTCGCGAGCACACCGTAAGAAAAAGCTTCAGGGCGTAGGAGGGAGAGCGTGGTCAACATTTTGATTGATTCGATCGTCTCTTTCGATGCGTGGATATCATCAAACGTTGTGCGGATGTCTTGCGTCTTTATAAGACTCGACTCGAGTCTCGCTTCGTGGTCATTTTCTGCACTTCCGAATAGGTTGGGCGGCGAGTGAAGGCCTCCTGGCGTTAATCTGTTCCACAGGTTCTTTGCTTCGTTCTCTTTCGAGGTTCTATCTTCCTCAAGCATGTTGATGGCGGAAACGACTTTTTCTACAGATTTGATGCTGAACACATCTAACGGGTTCGTGCTTTCAAGACGACCGATCATCATGGTAGCAATGCGGTATACCTCATTGAGCGGCAATATGCTACTTGTCCACGATTTTGGCAGTCTGATCCTATGCAGCCCAGATAGTCCTATTTCTCCGGTAGTCGCTATTGCAGCATCGGCAGTATCGGAGGGATATTCAACCATTGTGGACAATACCTTCGTAATATTGACCTCATTTTCCTTAATGTAATCCTTTTTTTCTAGAGCATCGCGCTTGATGTCGGAAGCAGCCCATTTTACAGCCGAGTCCGCGCGCGATGACGCATATGTATCTGACGGAGAAACCATACTGAGATTCACTACTCGCTCTGTTGATTCAAGTTCTCGTAGTGAGGCCAAATAAGAACTTGGCGCACGCTTGGTCGAACAGGAGCCGACTAGAGCAATTTGTCTACCATCTGTCCAGAGTCCGTCGATAATTTTTCGAAGTCTGTCTATGATGCTAGGGCGACAGCGTAGGTCCACATTGAGTGCATTAAAATCATCTATGTGAACAATAAGCGGCCTTTGTTCAGTAGACTCCGAATCGGCGCACTGGATTAATCCTTCTAGAGCCGTGTTGATCTTCAAATCATTCCAGAGACTTTCACTCTTTCCTCTATTCGATACATATAGGAATCCGTCCATTAGGGATTTTTTGTTGTCTTTCGTACCCGTATCTTCGGTCACTGCAACGGAAATGGCAGATATGTGTTTTTGCACTAGAGCGTCTAGTAAATCCTCCTTTTTAGGTTGCCTTCCACTGTTTATTGCGGCCTTGTATCCCAGTTGCGAGATTTCTCCAGGTGCTCGAACAGCATCTTGCCCAAGATAATCTCCGACGATATGCGCAATATCAACAGCTCTCAAGTGAAGGACGTCAGATTCTAGCCGATGGGCAATGCTGCGCACGACATCGTGAGGTACGGAATAACCCGAATAATCAGAGAAGTTAATAAGAGTAATGGGCCGGCGTAGCTCGGAAAGCTTCGTGTTTTTCGGGGCTTTGACTAGTAAGTCGGCACGGACGTAGGCCGTAACTTCGCTAACCAAGTCGGGTGAAAACCAGGAGACGGGATGTTCCTGCAGACCCGAGTGGTCCACTACATGCTGTATTATATCCCGAGCTTGACTCGGATGAGGTGTCTGGCGCTTATTACCAAGTAGCCGTGTATAATTGAGAGCGGTAAATAGATGCCCAGAGCTCGAAATTGAATTATGTTCGAATAATTCATCTACGGCCTTAAGTCCGTGTATCGCATGAGCTGACTTAATCACGGCCCAGAAAGCGGCAGCTACCAGAATATCGCCCTTTTTATGTATGAACTCTTCATCAAAGCCTATGCTAGATTGAAGAGCCCTGAGGGTTTCACTCAGGGTCTCCTCAGTCCAAGCCGCAGCTTCGAGTATGTAAGTGATATGCTCTTCAAACTTGAAGTATGCTTTTGGATGAAGTAATGCATTTTCCAGAAATGTACGGGCGTCCCTTTCGTCTATAACACTGAGCTTGGCGCTCACATTGATATCCTCAAGACGGCAGACAGCTTTAGAGACAAATGACTGGGGTATGATCACAAGGGGGAGCTCTTCAGGCTTGTGATTCCTAGTCATGCGTAACCTCAAGCCATTCCCGCCCTTTTTACGGCCGTGACTCCCATCAGTTGTCGCGAAGAGGTTCTCGTCGTCCGCCTTACCATCCTCTGGAGTCTGTATTTCATTCTCTGGTTTACTTCCGTCGCCTTTGGGTGTACTACTGCTATCGTCAGCAGCTCTTAGGCGGGTTGACGCGTGGAAAAGTCTACCGGGACGCGTCGCCAAGGGTACTGTCTGTAAGCCGAGTGCTGCCGAACGAAAGGCACGCACTGACAAATTATGCATTCAGAGGATTGGCGCTCGCAATGAGCGGGCGAATGCATAGCTTGCAAATTTGCAAGAACAGAGAAAGAAATTTCTATGTTGGCCGACGTTGACCGACATTGGCACCGGTCCGGAGTTTGGTTTGCCCCGTTACCGTAATGGTCATAGCGTTTTTATACCGACCCAGCCCGACGGTGCGGTACTGAATAATTACGTAATGGGGAGATATGAATCATGTGCTAGGCTAGGTACGTACCTACACACTCCTTCCAACTTTCGAGCTTCATTTTCATTCCAATTTTTAAGGTGGCCAATAAGGCCGAATCCGCCAACCCGCCAATTCAATTAATGTATTGAAATGTATACAGTATAAAACAGTCTAATAACGTATAGTCTGATAGATATTCCACACAGTGCCACTAAATCTTACAGGGGATTATAGCGCTAGAGGGCGCTGAAAGCCCCTACAACTTATAGGCTTTATAGCGCATAAGCTCCTTATGGATAACTTTAAGTGCCCAGTTTTTGGGTATGTAAGAAGCCCTAAAACTAGCGCTAGGGCATTCTAAGGTTATTATTAATATTTCAATCATTTCGAAAAGAATTAATTAAATTGATTAATCTGATTCAATCGATTAATTCGATTCAGTTGAATGCGTATTAATAGGTAGGTAAATAAGGATATACACGTAATAGTTCAAAACGAGGAGTATTACTAAGCCTTATTAGGAGCTGGAGGTACCTATGTAAAAAGGCTATACGCTATAACCCCTATAAATTACAGGGGCTTCCAGCGCCCTATGGCGCTATGACCTACTGGAAGATTCAGGGCACCGTATGTAATATGTATCAGACTGTACCTTATTAGACTGTTTTATACTGTATACATTTCAATACATTAATTAAATTGGCGGGTTGGCGGATTTGTTCTTATGGCCCGCCGTCGGTATATTGATATCAATAAATAGGAATTTAAAGTGATTTATTTATCCACTCAAGTATTGCAACCCAAACGCCAGGCTTAATGCATTTATATATGTCTAAAACAGATACTCTTCAAGCGGCAACGCAATTCGCCTTGAAGCCTTTGTCGTCGCCACATCATTGGTATAATTCCATTCCTGAAGCTGCCCGTGAAGGGTTTGAATTAGCTTCTTTGCATCCCGTTTCGGATTTGGAGTCCCCTTCCCAGGCTCCCGTACTCTAGATGGACCCCTTATATTGATGACCGAATCGTCTGACACCCAGTTATCGCAGATATCTCGGACCATGTGATTGGCAAATCTGTTGACGTGCTCGTTGGGCTGTAAAAGTGAATTCGGCGCGAGTTCACACATACCTCGAAAGAAGCCGTTGGTATGTACAATATTTGCCTGTTCTGATCCATTGAGAAGAGCGGACAAGTATTCACCGGCTGCTCGAGTAAAGGCAGTAAACGCACTGGTTGCCTCGGTGATCTCAGCTGCTACCTGAGAATCCGGGTTATTTATCAGGTACGCCGTGAAAGATGGCGAAACTAAGTTGAGGAAGCGCATGACCTGAATAAGGGCCAAGACATATTCTGCATGCAGTTCAAAAGCGTCGAGGCTCTGAAGGTGGTGAATGCTAGCAAGGCTAGATGCCAAAATGGCCAGAAGCCCATTCATGTCCTCCCCCACAATTGCCCTGTGCATACAAGGTGCCGTGAGAAGTTTTTCAAAGGCATTAACGTAGGCGATTAATATAATCCATCCTTCGGGTGCAGAGAGCGCAGTTTTTATGATTGCTGGAAACATCGTGCTTAACATGAAGTAAAACACGCCAGGATTCCCCATTCCTTGTTGGAGGATGACGCTTTCATCCTCAAGATTGCCATTCGCGAGGGCAAGTTTGAAATTGTGAAATAGCAGATAGAAGAGTCCAGGTGTTGCTTTAGTATCACCCTCTTCTAGCTTGAGACCCCATGATAGTATACCCGCTATTTGTAGACGAGGGTCTTGACTAGAGGGTGAATATTCCCGGCTGATTTGATAGAAGTAGGAGTCCACAGGGCACAGGTCTTGCGATCTAATCACGGTGACGATAGACCGGACGAACTCGATATAATCCACGTGCTCGGGTGAATCAAATGTAATAGACTTCAGGTCAGCTTTCATTTGGTCCATGGTACTTTTCAATGCCTTGGAGAACTGAGACTGGAGCTGCTGTTTCTGGTTTACTTCTGTAAATCGTAACGTCTTACGCATCATTGCGACGACACCTAAAAGACATCAGTATCCAGAAATGGCATATATATGCGGAAGGCAACTTACGGCTGAACAATTCACGATTTGAATTATAATCAGGGTTATTACCGATCTCGACGACTGCATTTTTCAGATACGGGTCACCGTGGCGTTTGATTGTTAGAGCAAGCCTGTTTTCATAGGCTAGAAAACTCATAGGCTTTACCAATTCCACCAAGAATAAATCAAGAATGGTCACGCCCAAATCCTAGAACGTGATTAGCAATGTTCGATCCAAAATGTAAAGGAATCTGGAGTCTAACCTTAAAATCATCTATACCCTGCTGAATCAGCGTGGTAAGAAAAAGGGCATGATATCTCCTTGAAGGTGAATTGATGACTTTGGACATAGTGTGAAATATGCTATGCCGCCCAGTAGCGAAGAATTGAGAGACGCGCTGTCACATAAGTTAGTTTCCGATATGATCCCAAGCCGAGGGTACCTACCAAAAGGCGAGCATGAACCAAGCGCGCTGCCAGCCGTCCTGCGAGCAACACGGCTTGTTCCATGCATATAGAACGGTCGCTTGTAGGACCAAGTCCACTATCTCGGAAATCCATCCCGATGATTGTGCGAGTCATCGAGAAGAAAGGCACGGCCATTTTATGTTCGAGTAGCTAAACAATGTTAACGAGTGCGATCCTAGGTTTATATAAAAATGAGGTATATTTACCATAATGGCATCCTCCCCATGCCATGAGTGATCGGCTGTTTCTGGCCCATTAATTAAGAACTCTTCGATGCGAGTGGTGTAGTGGTCGATAATATCTAGGGCAACTCGTAGGCTACTCCAGTCGAAGTCTTCGGATGAAAATGGGAAACGTGTGAAGACCTGATCTAGTTGATCTAAGGTAATTGTGTTAGTGGGACTCCTTAAGGTGATCGAAAGGCTAAACATACAATGATTCAAGGCAAATGAAGCGGCACTAAGCGTTGGAGCGTGCTTAATGACACCGAGGAAGCCTTTCATTGAGAAATGAATCACATCCATTGCACTCTTCCTATTCAGTTTAACAACCGCGTTCATCATATCCCGGCTAATATTTTTTGAGGCGTCTTTGGACATTCGTGAGAGTTGCTGTTGAATATCTGATTCGGCCGACAAGTACTGTTCTATCACTTGCTGAAATATAGATTTTTGCCAATCAGCAAAAGGCTTGTATGCGTCAGTACTTTCATCTGACGACATCACAAACCGGGATAATTGGCTCCAGGCTCGCAGGCTAATCAAACAGGCTTCTTTATGGGAACTTGCGGGCACGACCAGTTTTTCGATAGTCTGGACGGATGGCCGCAAACTCGCCGGTGCAGCCCAAAAGAGTGTGCAGAGGAGATCATGATGATTTCTAAGGGCGGCCAGGTCGCTCTCATGGATATCTTTTTCTTTCTCATACTGCCGATTATGGTTCGGTAATACTCTTGCCACCATATTTCTGACGTCCTTGGTGAAGCCCCGACTCTCCAAGTTCCTAATAGATAGTGCCAGAAGTTTCAGAAAAATATGGAAACATCTGTCCTCTGGTACAATAGCAAGAGGCGGGTGTCCTGTTAGACACTCCAGGAAGTCTGGCGACTTATATACCTCCTCGTTCCGCAAATGAGAGAGTCCTCGGGCAGCAAAGAAGTCAAAGATAGTCCCTATTATACCATTGGACTTTCGCCATCCCCACTGTTCTACGAGGTAATGGCAGCGACTAACGATGCCTCGACAGTAATCGTTAAAGCTCGGAGATTGTCTTGAGTTACCTTCGTAGAGCTGAAAAATACGTCGGAGTAGCGCCTGTGGGAGGGACCAACCCTCCAAGGGCGTAGTATGCCTAGAACCCGGCACAACAACACCAGTATTATCGAATTCACCCAACGGGAGCAGAGTAAATAGGTCGAACCAGATCCGCTCGAAGGCGTGCGCATCGCTGATAGAGGTCAGGCTTCTACTGAGCATGACAAAAGACACAACATCCCAAAACCCAGATCTAGGAATATGGGTTTCTTCGAGCACTCGGATGAGAATAACCCAGCAAACCGCCGAGTAGTTGTCATTGTGAATACCTCTCTCCCGGAAGGGCATGCGTTGTAGATCGCGGTACAAGTTTCGAACATCTACCAACTCTGTCTCGAGCAGTTGGCGGACTGTCCTCTTTGCGATTTTTGATAAAAGCTCTTCAAGCTGAAATATTTCCGATAGCTGGTTAAGGCTATGGCAAATACGCAAGACTTGGAATATGATGATCAAGCTGCGACTTAGAATTTCTATGTGAGATCGAATCCGATCTGAAGACTGGGGTTTCAGGTTGTCCAGGCGCTGCGTGAAGGTATGTAATATTTCCAGGACTCGGCTAGAGAAGTGCTTTTCACTCTCACCATCCGAAAAAGTCACGTAATCTTGAAGGTAATCTAGGACGAAATCCGCGGCTAGTACCAGACTCCTATCTCTGTTAAGGTCAAGAGAGTCAGAATGAAGATAATCCACCATCCAGTCAAAAATTATTCCCAATTCCGATGAAGTTTGTGCATCCCACTGACCCCATCGTAGAGCTTTTTCATCCAGGGTAAATGTAGCATAACCCCGGGAGCGATGTAGGCTATCGGGGGATCTCTCATATGATGCCTTGAGTAATCGGCCGCTTCCAAGAAGTGTGCTTTCATGAAAGAAAACTCCAAAGTCTAGTGGGAATATCTCAAAATGCTGAGTATAATGTGTACCGAATGGACCAAGCCCTAGTAGTTTGCCTGTAGAGTCCGTCGTATGCGTCTCTTCGACGATGGGACTTAAGAGACTCACTTCATGTGGTAGGGGGTCATTAGCGTGTGCATATTGAGGAGCGGTAATATCCACGTGTTGAGGTAGGAAATGCTTTCGAGGCTTTAGTCGCTTCCGTATTAATGAAGGACCAGTTCTTTTAGGATCATGATTTGATGCAAGGTCCTCGGCACATTGATTGGGATTTTCGATAAGCACGCTCCCGCCCACAAGTCGATCGAGTCCGCCGCTCGCTAGAGTTGGTAAGTTTCTGCGCGATTTCCGATACAACGCATCAAGGACTCTCTTTCGCTGATCAAAGGCATGTCGCCCAGCCCTTTCGCCAGCTGTTTCAAGCTGCGCGGGCCTGGAAGTTGCGTTGCTGTACGTCTTTGCTCGAGCGATTTGAGAACGTTTAGGTACAGAGACCGTAGAATGGAGGTACGTTGATGGATATGGTGTTATAGCTTCAACGGTCACGAAATTGTCGATGCTTGCCTGCTTGACCATTCGTTGGGGTTGTGAAAAATGGCTTGAGGGCACAACTTGACGGTGTCGTGGCTTCGAACTTGTTTTCGGAGCTTGAACGACAGAATTATTGGAAAGGGGCCGAAGGGACTTTGGTGGATTTTCTTGGAGCTTTTCTAAGGCGCCAGAAGACGTCCTTGGTTGAATACGACCCTTTTTCCAATCTCTAAGAGCACTGATGGCATCAACGTTGTCTTGGCGCGTCCCTAATGCAATCTGTTTCTTTGAGGGGCTCGATCTGCCCTTATCCTGTCTTCGGTTTGCTGTTCGGGCAGCTATGCGAATAAAAGAAGGCGCGCCTGGTTCAACGACATCCAAAATGCCAAGTCGAGGGGGCGGCGTAGACCTAGCTGGCGCCCTACCAAGATCTCTCATTCGATGAATTTTAGAGCTACTACTAGTGAGATGCCTTTGAACACTCTTCCCAGCTGATGAGCCCTTCGTCCTACCCAGTAACCCAGTAATCCTCTGCTGTCGCTTCGCTTGCCCTGGTTGGCCTTTAAATGTAGATTGTTGGTTTTTCTTTCGTTTCCGAGGCCTCTCCGATCCATTCAGGTGTGTATTGGTTCTTTTCCTTCCAGGCATCATAAAATCAATAGGATCATCTTCAATAACGGAGGCAGCATCGTCTTCAAAGATAGAAAAATCCGTCTGGTTGTTGATACGAGGTTCGTCAATCTCGTCGGCTCGTAAAGTCACGTCTTCGTCGTCAGATTCATCAAGAAATAGAGCCGCTCTATTGCTAGGCTTAGGTGAAATCTGCCGGCGTTGGGCTACACCTTTTCTCTGAGTCCTTTCTGGAGAACGACCTGGGCTCCGCTGCGGGATAGCTTGCGTACTTTTCTGGCGGGTTCCTTGCTGGTCAAGTCGAAGCCAAGATGCCGGCAATACACCACGCATTCTTCTTCTCATAGTAGCTTGTACCGTCTCTGACTCGCTTTCAGAGTCGCTGCTTGAGCCCGAATTGTGTTCACTACTTGTATCCGCCATGGCTGTAAGGTCAATCATGCTGGTGTTTTGGTTAGCGGGAGCAGGACTCTGATTCTGTGATGATACTGTGCTACTTCGTTTTGGTGTAAGCGTCGTTACAGGTACTGAGCGTCTAATGGCGGTAATAGGCGTAGCCGTGAGGAAATTCGGGCTAGTCTGAGGAGGTGAGGGAGGAATATCGAAGATATGGCTAGAATATGGTGAAGGCGAAGCCTCTCTCGTGAGTCTCGCAGGCTGATGCAACTTTGGGAGCTTTCTTTTCTTGGAAACTCTGGGCGAAGCCTGCCTCTTCACACTCCCAATCGGCCTCTTCCCCAAATTCCACTTAGCTACATCAGCAGGGTCGGGAAATTCATCGTCGCCTTGAGAGCTTCCTAACAAAGGCACAGGTGCTTCCTCTCGACGTTCTGGAGGTGGTGGACTACTTGCTGGGCCGGCCTCCCCCTCGGTATCCTCAAATAATGCTGCAGGCTGGATTTCTTGGCTCTCTCCAGAGTCTTCCTGCACAAATCCTCGCGCTGTCGATTGACTGTCATCTTCATAGTCTTGTTCTTGAGAGTCTTCTTCCTCCTGCCTCTTTCTCGCTGCCTCTTCAATTTGCACACGTAAGGGCCGTACACCATGAGACTTCAGAGTTTTGCTATATTGGGCGCTCTCTAGCAAGTAAGGATGTTCTTGAATAGGCTTCCTTGGTCTCAATGATCTCCCGAGTCGAGTCCCTTCCTGTGCGAAGTCAACTTCATCCTCGAAAGTATCCTCCACCTCAAATACGGCGGTTGTATACTGTTTAGCAGGCGGTGCTTCGGGTGCTTGAGGAGTATCTAGCTCCGCTTTCTCAGTCTCTGCAGGTTTTATGGAATTGTCGAAGTCATCAAGTGGCTCAGGGAGTGGCGATGAAAGAGGAGACGAATCGAGTTGTTGTATAGATTCCGGTTCGAGGGGCGCTTGAAGTGGTAGAGAATTCGGATATTCAACTGCATCGCATTCTTTTCCAGAATTTTGAGAGGAAAGAGGTATATCCCAAACAGTCCTCTTCTTTGTTTCTATGCCCCCAACCTCAAGTGCATTTTCGATGCCAGGATTGTCGCCAGGGCTGCTTGGTTGTTGTGGGAGTTCACATTCAGATTCTGAACTACTATCGAATCCGCTTTCGTCGTCCGAATCTGGCACCTCTCCAAGCTCCTTCCATGTCGCCATTGCGTCCGGGCAGCATTTCTCTACTCTGTTGAAGGGTGGGAGTTAGTCATGTTGCGCATGTAAATATGTAGATTAGGTAGTGGTGGAATAGATGGACTGGGTGGATTGGGTGGACTGGGTAATTAGACTGTGTGACAAAAGATTAGACGCGTCAAATGCATTTAAACGCGTAAAGTTTAAGCTGCAGGTACTGTAGTTAGGTACCTATTACAATTATTAGTGGGGCAAAACAGGCTAACGAAGGCATGACAAAGGCACGCCACCTTATTCCATTAGACGATAACCCTCGATAAGATGATGAAAATTAGGTAATGTGAATTTTCATTCAGGGTTTCTTCAGAATACACTGACGGCTTTTCAACACCGTATTGTGTTATGCTAGGCATGTTTCCAATACAATTCTAGTTCATGACATAGAGAAACCATGAGTTCATTTGGCCGCGCTTTCATTCCCATAGGTCTTGCTGTAGCCTTTGGAATATTAAATGGTATGAATTTGTCGTAAATTTGTGCATACCTTCACTTACAAGGTTATGGTCATCAATGATGCTAAATATCTCATACTTAACAGGATATTATGCATTCGGTCCTCTGCTCCAAGAGCATCAGAATATATCACAGCTTCCTACAGAAAAACGCAATCAGCAACCCGATAGCGTCGCTAAAGTGAATGATTCCACCCAACATAAATCATCAAGCTCGGAAACCAAACCAAATCGCTAGCTGTCAACTACCGCCAGACACCAACTATCTCTTACATGATCTAGATTCCAAATATGAGGAATCTAATAAGTCACGACAGTTATCTCGACAGAATTAGAAACCTCCGGGAATTGTGCCTCTACCCCAGTTACCTAATAGTACGACTTGGACTTATTCGCCATAGCAGTACAGGATGTTAGCCGGTAAATTTGGCAGCAAGTATGAAAGTGTACACAATAAAGATATACACGGAAGTTTGCCTACCGGAGTTCTCGTCGGAACTACGTAAAGTTGGAGATTGTCAGGTTTATTGAACTCATAAAATGCTGAGTTGTAAGATATCCATAGATATAGGGTTGAATACGGACAGAACTTCAGCATCAGCCAACATACTATTAATTAGACAATATTTCAAACGATGTTTCATGATATACACCTAGATTCCTAGTAATTTTCGTATCTGTACTTCATACTAGGTAGCTGAATGATATTAAACTCCATGAGCTTATAAGAATCGAGTATTTAATTCATCCGTTACTCATTTACATATGATGACTAAATATGAAATTACTTAGTAAACACTGCTTTTAACGATTACAAAAATAAATCTGGGTCAAGAGTGGTTGTGTGACGTCGCAACATATCTTATCTGTTTATTACCTTGGTCCGAAAATTAGCCGGACGAACCAAAGATCTGGAGCTATGGAGCTGTCAGAGCTGTTCCAACTGTCAATCATCGAATCGCAGCTGTGAGAGTGCCTGAGGCATTGAACGGCTCCTCCAATTGGCTCCACCACAATCATACGACCGTTCAACTCAATCGAAAAAAAGACTCTCAATTGAACTCGATAGCCGAAAAATCGAAGCACCCAACAACAACCTTATCGTCAGCGAGAGACCACCATCCGCGATCTCCTCTTCCACTTCCAACCGGCCGAGCGACCGCCTCAATTGGCTTCCAATCTCCACTCTTCCGATCGACTTGCACGGGATTTTCTCGACTTTTTTTTCCCGTTTCTATTTTCCTTGTTTTGACGCACACAAGTCAAGATGATGCGAACACCCGCAACCTCTCTCCTACGCGGCGCTCTCCGGGCCAGCAGAACGACCACCATAATTTCTCGTCGTGCCGCTACCACCCACGCCATCTCTAACCCGACGCTGGCCAACATTGAGAAGAGGTGGGAAGGTATGCCTCAAACCGAGCAGGCCGAGCTGTGGATGGCCCTACGAGACCGCATGAAGGAGAACTGGGCCGAGCTCACGCTTTCGGAGAAGAAGGCCGGTATGTAATATTACATTTTCCCGTTCATTCGTATATTTCGCGATTCGTTTTGAATTAGCCTGCGCTGCTTCCAGGCTTGCGTCCTAACTCTCGATATTGATATTGGCGATTACTCTTTGCGAACGGCACTCGGGAGGGTGGCACCGTTGAGCGGGACAGTGGATCCCCAATACTTGATCTAACCATTCACGCAACACGTATTTGAAGACAACCATGGACTGACGTCCACCGACAGCATACTGGATCGCCTTTGGTCCTCACGGACCCCGCGCCGTACCGGCAGCCGACGAGGGACGCAAGGTGGCCCTATACACCGCCATGGGTGTTCTCGCCAGTTTCGTTATCTTCGCCTCGGCGCGGTCATTCGGCGGCGCCGGCCCCGGCACAATGACCAAGGAATACCAGGAAGCCACTAACGAGTACCTCAAGGTGAGAACGACACTTTCCCCCAAACCTATCATTGCCTCGAACACACGAGCCAGCGAGTTAACGCTTAACAGAACCAAAATGCCGAGCCCCTCACCGGTCTCTCGTCCGAGGGCTACAGCGGAAAGGGCATGGTGCAGTCACCGCCCAAGAACTAAACCCGATTGTCGAAATCCCGTACCTACTCTTATCTTTTTCCTTTTGTCATTAGAGAACCGCAATGCAAGGCATCGAATTCCATGTACAAAACGAAAAGCAGCTAGAGTGGAATGGAGTAGCGGGGCCGGGCGGGGGCGCGTTGGTTATCCGAAACGATTCGACGATGAAGAATAGTGCAGACTCGAGTCCGGACGGCGGTAACAACAACATCAGCAGCACCAGTAGCAGCATGCATCAGAGACACTTTTATTTAATTCCAGTTGGGATGTGGTCCCCGTGCCTAGGAGAAGCCGACTTTCGATAGTTGGTCAAAGAGATGAGATCCAGGCGTTGTAAATATGTACAAGAGGAAAAGCAAACCTTCTATGCCGTTCTGAAAACAAAGCTCTTCCTATAACATTAAACGGAATGTGTTTAAGTCTAGGAGCCGTCCTCGCAATCTGCTCAAATTCTCTCAACCTTCCCACTCATTGCCGTCTCGGGAAACCACCAAAAACTAGGTTGCTAGCGTTGTGAAACCTGAGATAATTGCTAATGGGCAGATCGATGGATCATCTCGTATGTTGATTGTGCGTATCCCGTTCAGCCACAAATTGGGGAAGAACCATACAGCTGGAATTCTCCAACCTTCAACCTGTGGAACCCCTATAGATGATACTATCGTAGCTATACTAGACATCACACAGAGCCATAAGATCATAAGTTTAAGACTTACGCGTAAAGCATGGATATCTAGCCTAATTATTTTAAATAGGCAATCGTGTCGATGAACAAATAACTGGATAAAATGAGTTAATCAAATATATTTACATTCACTCTATACCTTCCCATTCAACTGCATATCAAAATGGTTGATCAACGTATTTATAGCTTGCCAAGTGACCTATAAGAGGCACCTGATATATACGCGGACGATATCAGGTCATGTAGCTCAACTCCGTTACACCTGCATGTATAATATCCCAGTAACTCCAGTCCGTTGGTAAAACGATCATGATGCGCAATATGCCCGAACCCAAATGACATCGAAACTCCCATTCCCATATCAACGCCATGCAGGGTTTTTCCTAGCCCCAAAAGGGAATAAAATAAAAGATAAAACGATTGACTCGCTCGGAATTTGCGAGCCCATACCCGTGGGTACCTAGGTAGTTAACAATAACTCGTACAATTAACTTTAACTGATGTTTCTCATGCGCCGCTCTCCCCAGCCTCGCGGTACTGGCCGAGACTACTCACAATCTCTCTCCCATGCTCGTCCTGCCCCGTCACTTCAGCCAGGCCGTCCTCCTCGCGTATTAGCCTCTCGATTTCTAGTCTGCCATCCTTCCCCCAGTACCCGACCTTCTCCTCACCGCGCACTGCCTTCTCGGTAACGAGTACAAAGTGGGTAGGGGCATCGAACATAGCTTCCGCTAACACACGCTCCATCTCCATCTTGAGGCCGCGAGCACCCGTCTTGGCCTTCTCGGCGCGCTCCGCGATGGCCTGTAAGGCCTTTTGGGTAAAGAAGAGGTTGGAGGGGTAGGTCTGAAACAATGCTGTGTACTGTGCAACTAATGAGTTGCGCGGCTCTGTCAAGATCCTTAATAAATCCGTCCGCGAGAGCGGTGAGAGTGCCACAATATTATGAACACGACCGATCAGCTCCGGAATAAAACCAAATCCCTGTAAATCCTCGGGCGTTGCTAGGTCGAGTGCTGTAAGTGATGATGTATCCTCGGCATCTAAGGGCCGGTGAGGGATATGAGTAAATAATGCTGGTGGAAGATCCGGCTTGTTACCAGATGTAGATCGACTCCTAATCTCCGAACCAAAGCCCATACTAGACTTAGACACTCGATTGAGTATCACCTTATCAAGACCAACGAATGCACCACACATAACGAATAGTATATTGCTTGTGTCGATAGTATACTGGTCCACTTTCCCAATTGGAGGCGGTGTTGGTTGTGGTCCTGAAGTAGATGTCGAGGATCCGGGGCCAGTATAACTTGTGGTAATAGGAGTTGCCGAACGAGACGACGAGGAGGTGCGATTATCTTTGACGTTGATAGAGATCTTGGTTCCCTCAACTAACTTGAGTAACGCTTGTTGCACACCTTCGCCACCCACGTCTCTTCCATTCATGGTCTCACGTTTGGCGATTTTGTCGAATTCATCCAGCACAACAATTCCATGTTCAGTAGCCCTCACATCGTAGTTGGACTCTATTAATAATCGCTCGATGCATGTCTCGACATCTTGGCCTATATAGCCAGCTTGGGTAAAGGAATTACAGTCGCATATCGTGAACGGGACGTTAATCTTCTTGCTGAGCGTCCTACGCATGACTGGTTAAGAGGCAGACACACGTATGTCAGCAAGTGATCACTTACTCAAGTATATATGTCTTCCCTACGCCAGTTGGACCAAGTAAAAGTAAGTTGCTCTTGTCGATCTTAACTGGCGGTGTGCGACTTGTATCCTCGGGTATGTAGAAGTCAGATTTCTGTTCAGAATGCTGCCAGGCCTGGTGCATTTGTTGTATCGAATCGTTGTGGCCGGGGAATTCGTCTTCGTCAAAATCGTCAGCGCGATACCGTTGGGACATTGGTGTCGGATGTGGCCAACCTTCAACTGGATGAGTTTCCTCCATATCTCTTGCATTTCGGTCGCGGGCAATAGCTTGTCGCATGAGCTTTTCCTCCCTCTTCCTCTCCTGCTCCTCTTGATATTTCCGCCGCCTCACATTCTGGTAGTGGTTAAATATGACAGACGATATTGACTTCTTTGCCCGATCTTGTCCAACTACGTATTCGTCGACTCGCTTCTTGAGATCTCGAGGGTAAAATTGTGGAACTCCAAAGGTGCTCTTTGAAAACATAGGCCCTCTTCCTTCTTCGTTCGGGTCATAACTGCTAGTAAAACCGGAGTTGAGCTCCGGAATACGTCTCGATGGGGCGCGGAGGATGGTAGATGTTGAGAGTTGTCGGTGATGAATTCTGAGGGCCGGGCTGAGAAGCAGAGGGGTTTTACGTCTTATAAGGACCGACCCCATATTGGCACTATTAGAGGTGGCCTCCAATCGACGACCACTACTTCTAGGAATATGAAGCGGTGATCCGCCACATAAGTATGTGTATCTACACCTAGGTGAGACGATTGAATAGTATTAGTCTGCCTATTAAACAAAGCTGCAAGAGTATACCGTGCCAATTAGACGAAATTGTGTAACGAGGTATCAAAGGTATTCTGTAATTTGAAACAGGTTTAATCGTCGGTTTGGATGAAATGGGATTTGATTGAATTACAATTATCGTCTATCAAAGAGCTTACGAGGTCTGTTACTCCTGTATCGGACATAAGTTGCGCGAGATCTCACAGCGATGATCCAGCATATGAGCTTTAAAGGTCGGGGGTCCCTTAGTTAATGGGGCGGGGCTTCCCTTGTTGGCGGGGGATCTCTGTTAAAGTCTGTTTAAATGCTTTATCCCAGCCGCTATTAGAATAGCCTCGCCGCTAAAATGGGTACCTAGGTATGTACCTAGGTAGGTTCGGTCAGTGCTTGAGCTTAAGTAATGCCCCGCAATGTTCTAAAATCAAACATTCAAGCGACTTCAAAAGCACTGAGTACATAAACCCAGGGCTGCTGTATTCGACGCCAGGGGGTAAATCATATTCAATAATACCTACCAGATAAGTAGAAATGTACAGACATCCCAACCTTGGGAAGACTTCACAATCATCAAATAAGATTTTATCTATTCAGTCCAATATGCCAGCTATCACTAAAAATTACAAAATAATTAATCCAATATTTACCTAGTCGTCTTGATAAACGAATCCATACAACTGTAACAGATAGAAGCTGTAGGTTATAGCTGATTGATCGATCAGATAATAAATGATCCACTGCCACGGTGCTACTGCAGCGTGAGTTGCCCCTCGACGTCATCAACATGGTACCTAGGTAGTTTGGGCTGGAATTTCTTCTCCTCATCTAGTACCTAAGGAAGCACTATTAAGGCAAAAATTTCATGAGAGAACGTACAAGTTAGACAAAATAAAATTCTCACGTTTAGTTGATTTTTTTTTCATATAAGGAGCGGAATGGAAGGCAAGAAAAAGTCTCATCTGAAGAAGTACTTTGTGTGCGTCCGTAGCTTTGCTATTGTTCAAGCATTAGGTAGGTAGCTCCCTCCATACCTTCCTAGGTTGTTTAGCGGGGAGATCTAGACCAATCTAACCTTGTTAAATAGCTACCAAATTTCGCCTGTTACGCTCTTCGAAAGCACCAACTCCCCCTTTTCCCTCGAACCTTGAATCAAGCCAGCCCGCCAACATGACTGCCGTGGTCGATAACTCTGCAAATTCTCTTGGCTCTGGCACCGCGCCAGAGGTACCAAATGACGGCACTGGTGCGATTTCTCTCTAAACCCCGCGATCATATGGCGCTAGTATTAGATGGGTAGTTGACAATATAATTCATAGGCGTGGTGCAGCTGGATCCTTGGCTATCACCTTTCAAGGAACCTCTGAAGCGAAGATATGCGAAAGCTCAAGAATGGATTAAGAAGATTGATGATCTTGAGGGTGGTCTTGAGAAGTTCTCAAAAGTTCGTTTGAACTACACTATCTTAAACCTCTCTCAGGGGTCTAGACAAATGCAGCTGCTTATATGGACCTTAGGGCACCGAGATCTTTGGTCTAAATGTTGACAAAGACAACAATATCGTATATCGAGAATGGGCACCAAACGCCACCGAAGCTTTTCTAATTGGAGACTTCAGTGAGTACCAGTCATGCTATCTACCTAGTTAGTAACGAAAACTACTTTACTAACCACATGTTCTCAGATGACTGGAATCGAGGTTCCCACCGTATGGCAAAGAATGAATTTGGAACATGGAGTATAGTCGTCCCTGCGAAGGGCGGGCAACCAGCTATCCCACACAAATCCAAGATAAAGGTATAAGACCTCATTTGAGTCAGTTGTCTCACATTTACTAAAACGAAATAATAGATATCTATGACAACACCTTCAGGCGAGCGAATTGACCGTCTCCCTGCTTGGATTAAATATGTTACCCAGGATCTTTCAGTCTCCCCTGCCTATGATTCTCGCTTTTGGAACCCGCCAGAGTCTGAGAAGTACGTATTCAAGAACCAGAGACCTAAGAAGCCTTTGAGTGTTCGTGTCTACGAAGCCCATGTAGGAATCTCCTCACCCGAACAACGAGTCACAACATTCAAGGAATTCACCAAGAGCATGTTACCAAGAATAAAGAATCTTGGGTACAATGTCATCCAGCTCATGGCTATTATGGAACATGCTTACTACGCTAGTTTTGGGTACCAAGTCAATAACTTCTTTGCCGCAAGTAGTCGATATGGCACCCCTGAGGATCTCAAGGAGCTAATTGACACCGCTCATGGTTTGGGACTAGTCGTTCTCCTTGATGTCGTTCACAGCCACGCCTCTAAGAATGTACTTGACGGCCTGAACGAATTTGATGGCTCAGATCACCTTTACTTTCATGAGGGCGCGAAAGGCAGGCATGAGCTATGGGACTCTAGACTTTTCAACTATGGGAGCCATGAAGTTATGCGCTTTCTGCTCAGTAATCTGAGATTCTGGATGGACGAGTATCAGTTTGATGGTTTCCGTTTTGATGGAGTGACCAGCATGCTCTACACACATCATGGAATCGGAACGTGAGTCATATATACACGTTTCCATACTCTTAAAGAATTCCACTGACAACTTTTAGGGGCTTCTCTGGTGGGTATCACGAGTATTTTGGTGCGGGAGTTGATGAGGAAGCTGTGGTTTATCTCATGATTGCCAACGAGATGCTCCACAGCCTATACCCAGAAATTATCAGCATAGCCGAAGATGTATCCGGAATGCCAGCACTTTGCTTACCGTTATCGCTTGGTGGCGTTGGGTTCGACTACCGATTAGCCATGGCTATCCCAGATATGTGGATCAAGATTCTAAAGGAAAAGAAAGATGAAGACTGGGACATGTCGAACATCTGCTGGACTCTCACTAATAGACGACATGGCGAAAAGACGATTGCTTACTGCGAGAGTCACGACCAAGCGTAAGTAAAATATCAGTTTCAGGCATAAGTTTAAGAAACTAACGTATTTGATTCTAGCCTCGTGGGCGATAAGACGTTGCTCTTCCATCTATGCGACGCAGAAATGTACACTAACATGTCGACATTGTCGCCTCTCACCCCCGTAATCTCTCGGGGAATGTCGCTACACAAGATGATCCGGCTACTAACACACGGCCTCGGCGGAGAGGGTTATCTAAACTTCGAAGGTAACGAATTCGGTCATCCGGAGTGGCTTGATTTCCCACGTGAGGGTAACCAGAACTCATTCTGGTACGCGAGGCGCCAACTCAACCTTACCGAGGATCACCTTCTACGTTACAAGGACCTCAACGAGTTCGACCGTCAGATGAACCAAACGGAAGAGCGCTATGGCTGGTTACACGCCTCTCAGGCGTACATTAGCCTCAAGAACGAGAACGACAAAGTGATCGTGTTTGAGCGAGCTGGCTGCGTGTTCATCTTCAACTTCCATCCCACTGAGAGCTACGCCGACTACAGGATCGGAGTAGGCGCCGCAGGCACATACAAGATCGTCCTCGATACCGACACTAAGGAGGTTGGTGGGTTTGCCCGCAACGATCACAACGCGCGATTCTTCACCACGCCGATGGAATGGAATGGTAGGAAGAACTGGACTCACGTGTATATTCCCAGCCGCACGGCTCTGGTAAGTCCTATTTCGACGAGTATAAATACCTAACCTACAATACATCGAAGCTAACATGACAACAGATTCTTGCACCTGAGAGTTCTTAACCTAAAGGAGATACGGAAACGGAGGAACTGGTATATTTCGGTATGATGGAAGGGAATGGCTTTACCCTACTTGAGGCATTTGATGGAGGTCGTCTTTGAAAGCATGGCGGGTTTAGCGAGGTAAAATGGGGGTATGAAGGTGGCAGGCAATATGTTCGAGGTAGTTCTCATTCACGAGTCGTGGCGATATATCGCATGGACTTAATAACTAGATAGAAATATTATTCTCTTTGAAGAGCCAAAAGCTCGCTGGGTATTGTATTGTATTACATATGCATATATACCTATATACATACGAGACGCTAATGAATTCGACATCACATCCATATCCCCCCTTCCTTTCACCTTCAACGTCTCGCTCATACCTCACTTACTCAACAAGCCACTCCTCAACCTCAACCCCCATACTCCGTCCCACCCCCCTAATAACCTCCCACCCAACACCGACCCTCCACTTCCCCCCCCGATCCATCGTATCCCCCGCCCCTCCCGCGCCCCCAACCCTAACCAACAACCTCAAGCTCGCCAGCGTCGCAATCGCCATGCCCACGTCCCCATCAACACCGACCTGGTCCTCATACGCGCCATCACGAACCCATTCACTCCTCGTCGCCGCGTATATCGCAACCATGCGCTCCAGCACAAACGCACTAGGCCCCAGCAACTTCCGCGCAATCTTCCGATGCTTGGCTTTCTTCGAAACCCGCGTATGCTGCCCCAGACTCCCGCCCCCGCGCCGCCGTCGCCCGGAGTGCCACGTGCTGAAGATAGTCTGGTCGTGGCGCGGCGCGTTATGCGAGGCTAGGTACGCGGCGACGAGGAGGAGGCGCGCTGTGGGCGGGAGCAGGGTTGCCAGGTCCTTAGTGCTTCTACTCCACTCGTTTTCGCCTGTCTTTGCTCCGTTGCTTGTGGTTGTTGACGAGGGCTTGGTGAGGGAAGTAGTGGGTTTCGAGGCGAGGGTTATGCCTGGCTCGAGAACGGATTCGTCCTGGAAGTAGGCGCGCGCGGCGACGAGCAGTTTTGTGAACTCCCGCGCGCGGTAGGTGCCTGCGGATACCGGGGCCGTGAAACGTGGCCATAGGGCGGCGCAGGACCGTGCGAGGCCGGGGAGGGTCCGGGATGCGGGTTTGGAGAGGGCGTCGTGGACGGCGGCTGCGAAGCGCGTCCATAGGTCTGTTGTTTCTTGGGCTGTGGTGTTCGGCAGCGGCGAGGGCGTGTATGGCGGACGAGAGAGGATTGTTACGTACTCGGGCTTCGTGTACGGTGGGAAGTATAGCTGTGGAGTCGATGATACGTGGAGGAGGGAGGGCGACGGGGCGGTGAGGATGAATATTGTTGTTAGATTAGGGATCTAGCAGTTGATTATGTTAGTGAAAGGTCTATGAGATATGCAGAAATACGGATAGGAAACACGTACGAGCTCGGATAACCTGGCAAGAGCAGGTAATAACGTAGGTGGTGCATCTCGTTGGCGGTCGATTCCGTCGAAGACTAGCACGAATCTCCAGTCCTTATCATGACGTTGGTCGTACGTTAGCAGTTTGGTTAACTCGACCGTGAGCGCGGCGAGTGTCTCGCAGCGTCCAACTGTTCCGCTCTCTTCCCATTGTAAAGCATCTGCCACAGAACCGACTGTTCTTTCGAAAAGATGCCGCGCTGTCACGCATTCGGCGGACTTGACGATAGCGTAATTGAGAAGAGAGTCGTCAGTGTCGGCCCGAGGTGAGGATAATTCCTTGAGAAGCCGGGCGGTTACAGTACTTTTGCCGGTAGCTTCGGTCCCGTGAACTATCAGATTGCGGCATGGGGCGGCCCTAGGATAGAGCAGTGTCGCAAGAGCTCGGATTTGAGCGTCACGGCATGGGAAGCTCTCGATGAGAGTTGCAAGAAGGTCGTCGGGGAGCTCGAAGATGCTCGCCATTGCTTCAATTTTCCGACTACACCAAAAGCTTAATCCCTCTCTTCCAATTCATCGATATAGCGTCGACTAAAGTTGCAAATGTACAATTCACGGTCGCGTTTGGATATTTCGCGACTCTCAAGTACCGATGTACTTTCTAAATTATGTAAAGATCGACGGTGCCAAGACTGGATGTCCGGCACAAGACGGATTATTAAGCATCTTAATATTTTTATAGCTAGGTCCACGTGTGGAAGGAGCGCGAGAGGTGGGCGAAGTCAAATCCGTGCCTCAGATGTGAATATGTGGGTCCAAAGTACGTCAGGCTGCTCGAATTATGTAGGACCGCGACGGGAAACTAGAAGTTGCAGTGTGGCTTAGGCCAGCAATGCGCTGAAGGTCGTAGTTCACAAATCTCCGCCAAAATCGCGTTCCTTCTCTATTTCTGGCTTTTATTCCGAAAACCTTATTTCTACTTAACAAGCATTATCTTATATCTTAAGCGAATCAGTCATATCGATTGATCTGATTGATTTCTTGTTTTTCATCTCGCTTACATTAAAAGGAGAGACCCCTTCTTGGCGAACCGACGATGAAACAAAGTTGACTAAGCATTGCGCGATTGACTCAATCGAGATGGATGAAGTAGAAGTCGATACGCCAGACGTCGACACCGGCTCTAACAATGAGTTGGATTGGAATGTTGACATCGACGACGCTCGCGATGGCAGTTTAACTCATCTTAAGCCCCCTCTTGAGTTTGATCCATCTAGTAGACATTCTAGCAGGCATTCCAGTGAGGGGCCAGACTCGCATAAGCCATATCACACAAAACGGCCACATAAGAAGTCACGAGCCGGATGTCAGCAATGTAAAAAGAGAAAAGTGAAGGTAATGAAATTGGATGATATAATATGAATATAATCTCATAAAGACTAACTCCTGAATTAAGTGCGATGAAGCGAGGCCAACGTGTAAGGCCTGTAGGCTCCGAAAGGAGAGCTGCGTATATCCGCCCTCGACGGCATCTGCCGCACTTGTTCCCACCCCGAAATCCGATTCGGAGGTTTCGTCTTCAGCCTCCTCTCCTCTATCACTCCGTGAAGCTGACACTGGCAATATGCTTGTTGTCACCGAGCCTCTTTTTAGGCCACGAGAAATGTCAGATGCTTTGGACATGGAAATGCTGTGGTTCTACACCACCACAGGATTTCAGTTCTTCTCGATTCAGAGTGGCCGTTCTGCTGTAGTCGATCATGTGCTCCAGGTAGAGGTTGTCAAGCACGCTTTCAAGTCACCGTTCCTCATGAATTGTTTGATGGCAGTATCATCACTGCATCTCCAAAACTTAAACCAACCCATTCCATCTCAACGCGCGGCGACTTATTGTTCCAAGGCGTTTAATGGATATCGAGATGCGATAGAGACGGCAAATCCTTCTGACTTTCCTGCATTGATAGCGACATCGCTTCTGATGATCGCACTGAGTAGCCAAATGTTCCGCGATCCAGATGGAAAGCCACTCTATGTTATAGACTGGATGCAAGTCTGGAGAGGAATCGGGTTGATTGTTGAAATCGTCTCACCACGAGTCCTCCAAGAAACTGGGATGGCAGTGTTATTCTACAGACCCCCGATAGACCTCGACAAGGCAACGCAGTACATTCCAAATAACCTCCTATTTATGGTTGCTTCCATAAGCCCTGGTGATGCAGACGACCAATACCAACAAACATATTATAACATGCTCAAATATCTCGGGTCGCTTTATCAAGAGATGAGAGATCATGGTTTCAATCCCATCCTCGACCTTCGTATAATCACTTTCTTCAGTACGTATTCCCTTATCTATACATAATTCATAACTTACTACATAATAAAATAGAGCGGTTACTGACTTTGTAATCGAACAGCTTTTATACCAAAAGATTTTATCCCTCTTGCAAAGGAACACCGGCCACGAGCTTTGGTTCTCTTGGCCCACCACCTGTGCTTCGCGAAACTAACCCCGGATGTCTGGTGGATGCGCGGTATTGCAGACCGAGAAATTAAGCAAATCTGCGAAGAAGTCGGGGATGAATGGGCACATTTATTACGCGTGCCCCAGATGGTTCTCAGGACAAATGACAAGACCGAAATCGCCCAGCTACTCATCAATAATCGCAATTGGACTCCAACAGAGATGGATCGATACGAAAGAGACCGAGACCCTAGATTGAAAACAGACCTAGGATTGTTCGACAATGAAGGCTCAGAAGTCAGCATTTACGATGGCCAGTGGAAGCGAAAATCGTCGATTGCGTCCATGAACCATAAAGTCACAGAGCTGGGGGATTTATTGGATCCCTTCCAGGTTCCCTGTAAGGGATCTATATCAAATTCAGCGTAAACCGTCTAGAAAACTACCATCGAATTCATTTCTAGGATAAGAACAGCATTATACAGCATGGGGATTAGAGAACGGGCATGGAACTACACAATCCACTACACGCATTTATGGGTTTATATTACGGAGATATATACAATGCCAATCGCGAGAGCAAATTTAGGAAGGAAACGACGTATCTTGAGAACATATAGTGGAGTTGGTGGCGTTTATCATTCACTTATACCCCCTTCAATACTTTTCAACCAGACGTTATTTTATACATGTAAGACAACTTTTGGTTTAGTTGTTATACATACTAACAGAGGCAGTCGCTTCAGATATCCGGCTACTATATTTTCAATATGCCAGAATATTACAGGCCGAACCATGCCTCGCTAGCTGTCAAATTAGACGGCACACTATGCCCCACACCTTGTGCATAAATGCCCTGGACCGAGTCGCCGTAGTTGCTGGTGGTGTACCCTTGTTTCGGGTTGTTCTCAACAGTGCTAGTTGCGTCCTGGCTCACATTGAAAACGGCGGTCCATTGCTTGATCTCCTCTTGATAGTTCTGCGGCGCCAACGTGCTATCGACGCTGCCGTGCCAGATTTGCATCTTTGGTCGAGGCCCCTCATATCCCGTGTACATGTCGAGTACGACCTGCTTCCACTTCTCGGGGGTGGCGCGCGACTGGCCGCCACTGCAGCTGTTGTTCCACTGGTCGACGCCGCCGGAACTGCTGACGAAACAGCCTGCTGCCACCCCGCTATATAGAGACACGGCTTTGATGAGCTCCGGGTAGGTCGCTGCGAGCACGTTGGACATCATGGCTCCGCTACTACCGCCGGTGACGTAAACCCGTTCCGGGTCAACTTTATACTCGGAAATCGCATATAAGATCATGTTGGCGATCGCCTGGGAGTCGCCGCCCCCGAGATGGGTTAAGGATTGCTTCGACGAAACATCCCAGCAGGTACCGCTGTTGGGCGAGGACGGCCATACGGTGATGTACCCCTTTTTGTCGGAGCCCGATTTCCACGGGATCGCATTGTTCTGGAAGTACGACTGTGCCGACGATTGGCACGAGTGGATGACAACTACGAGCGGCGGGTTCTCCACTACATTGTCCGGCTTGTACACGTACCTGTTACAATCATCAGTTTGGTGTAAAGGGGCAGAAGTGATAGAAGGGGCAATTCTACATCTGCGCCTTAGACGTGGCGTTGTTATTATAGTTCGAAACTTGCGTGAGCGAGGCCGCGAAGGCCGTGCCGGCCATAAGGCTCGTCGAGACAATCGCGGAGAACAACATTTTCAATCAATTCGAGACAATAGCTACGCAAAAATGGGAATGTCAACCTGTCTAGATATCATTTTAAGCCATTTTCTCCGAAAATACGTCGGGCGAGGACATTATATACCTAAGGAATGCAATAGAGCCGGCACATCGTCCCATCGTGACGAAGAAACAAGCTCTTTCCCCCCTTCCCCGCACCCTGCAGAATAATTGCCTCTGGATCTACTACAATCCCCACCGCCACCAGGGTCGACGAAGATCTCTCGCTCAGATCAGCACGGGATAAAGTAGCGTCGCATCTCATCGCGCGATGGAAATGAAAGGGAAGAAGCAATATTTCCGCAACGGGAAATTAGTCGTTTACGCATAGTACGGAAGTAGGCGAGCATGGCTCCCGGTGACGCAAATTGCCGTTTATACAAGCTTTGAGATCTGCCCTTTCTTGCTCGGCTAAAGTGGTGCTACCTTGTCCCTCCACGTTATTAAGCGGCCGCCGCTCTCCCCAAAACCCTTTTCTCCCGTCTAGCTGGTAATTGGGGCGCGAAAGAGAGGGCTTTTCGCTTCGTCATTAGGCGCCGGGTAGCCTCATACATGTACTGCTTCAAGCTGGAGCCAACCGGAGGTCGAGCTGGGGGTGCTGTTTTGGACTTGATTGGTGGACTTCTTTGGTCGGTACTTGCGTGTCTAATTCTTGAGAATGTGGTCGGGTAGGTGTGAAAGTTGATAAACGAGCATAGTCCGGGTTTCTTTCAATTCAGATAACGGGCTTCTCTCGGGCAAGATATAGTAGGAGACGGGGTGAGAATCATTATTCGGCCAGACAAGGTTTAGATCTCAAAGACATATAGATTTAACCTAGTTAAAGTCTATTCACAGGGCATATTTCAGTTCTCACGGTGGCAGACAAATCACAATTCAAGTAATCACTAAAGAGCACAGATCATATAGGGGAATTCTGAATTGGTGCAAGATCCTTAAGGGACCATCCAACATATAGTGACACTTGTGTCACCCCGAGATTATGCAAATATGCATCCAACCTAGTAACGCCTGGCGAGATGATGTTATCCGAAAAGATGTCGTTGATATGCAACGTGTGTTAGGCAGCCAAAGCACCCGGGACCTTGTGGCAAGATGGTAGATGGCGTAAGTATGTACAACGATTGCGGTTGTACGTCTTCGGATGTGGAATGCGAATCTGGTTTGCGAGGAAAAGCGAAAGAACTTATACCATTGTCTGTGATGTTATTCATGGTATGTTCTCGGAAGCGATAGTCGTAGAGGCGATATGTAGAGTAGGGCGGTGTTGCCGGTTCCTGGAGCGCAGTGCATCTCATGTCTAGCATAATAGCAGAGATCGTAAAGCGTGTGCAACATAGCATAAGCAAATATGAGGACTTCGGAGGCTTCTGAGCTCGGTGATCACTCCGAGAGTCGACTATGCTTGAATTTTACACCAGGTGGGTGATCCTCCATCTCGAACTTGCATCTCGCATTAGTACAGACGCCATTGATAGTACTGGGGCACTGTAGCGAGTCAGTATACGATAATTACAATATTATCAGGACGAGAAAAAAAGAGGAAGAGAAACTTACATGGTGTCCGTAGATGCAGTTGTCGACGTCGCAATCTTGTCCACTGGTGCATGGGTTCAATCGAGCAAAGAGCGCGATCACCTTCATCTCTTCTTTGGTAGGATTGTAGTCGTGCTCGAATTTACACTCATCTCCCTTCGAACAGGGGCCCCTCAGGAAATGATTGTTGCATAGCTTATCCTCGCCCTTCCTCTTCTTCAGTCGCTCCAGGACGGCTTGGTTGACGGCGATTGGTTTATCGAAACCTCGAGGGCCCGGATACCATTCAGGAGGAGGCGATTGAACAGGGCGTGCCGGCGCAGCAGTCTTCTTAAGGGCAATGGGTAGGGTGATTTGAGGCGGCGGGGAAGCAACTTTAGTCTGAGCAATGGCGGCATACGACGGACCGATACTCATAGTTGTTTGGGCACGGTCTTGTGGCACCCTCGAAAGCAACTTCTCGCTGCGGAATATAGTGTGACAATTCATTATGCCAACGCCGATGCTAACTATGGCTTGGACCGTTGGGGTTCCCTCGAGGATGGTGATGCGCTGCTTGGTAGTGTTGTTGTTAATCAGTCCATCTAAGAACGGGCCATATCCAGAATTATGGGAGATGCCCATAACTACTTGTTTGCAATTGAAGTTTCTTAGATGGAATCTTGCAGAATCTATTCATGGAGTTAGAAGATGTGAAACGAAAAATATAGTATATGGCAATCTGGGAAAATCTCACCGATGATCTTTGCATCTGCTCGCTCCTTGCCTTGGCCTACATCGACAAATTCGAAATCGGGTCTGATTTGGCTGAATCCAGAGATGAAATCGTAGAGGGTTATTTCACTTGGGATGCAACTATTCCATTTCATAGCTCGGGACAGACCCAGGACATTGGCTACGACCTTGGCGACGACTGTAATAGGAGTATCTCCGGTGTAGTTGAATTTCTCTAAAATGGCCGAATTCAGCTCGTTGGCAGCTTTTCGACCACCCTCGACGCCCTGCTTAACGAGATGGTCCTTGAACTTGAGGTGAAGTATGGTTAGTCTAGTACCTAGATAAGGAAGTCGGACGAGTATGGAGACATACAATCAATCCATCACCGTCAATCAAGACCATGATATACGGATTACGATCCTTGTAACATTTCTCAGTCAGTCATATGAACTCTTGAAGGAGAAGAGGGAATGGGGGTTGGTTTGAGTAGGAGTAATACTGGAACAAATCCCAATCTAACCTCCATGTCACCTAAGCGTCTTTTGGTTTCCTGGAGTGATTTCTTGACACTTTCCAAGTCCATATGGGCATTATTAAGTTGCTGACGTAGACTACCATTCTCTTTCAGCAGACGAGACTCGGTGTTCTCTGTATACATCAATAGGTCCTAACAACAGGTGGAAGAGCAGTCAGCAACGCAGAATCCTTAGACATTTAATGAACGAAGTAGCTAATATGCTTACTTTTATAAGCACGTCAGTGCGGTCCTTGTCGGCTTCGTATTGTTGGTATCGACGGAGGAACGCATAGAGGCCTTTATCCCCATTCTGGTCTTTCTGAGAGGATGCCATCTTCGTGGATTCACGTATGAGGCACTACCAATATATCGTGATGGACGGTGACTAGTAGCGCTATATCTCTGTTGATGTGAATGGGTAGTAAGGGGATATCTCAGATGGGGGAGTCGGTTGGTATCAGGAGGAGAAAAGCTGTAGTTGTATAGACGGACGTAGGTGGAAATGGTTGGATGAGAGAAAAAAAAAGGATATGCGCGAGACGAAAAGTTAAGGTCGGAAATGATAATTTCTAGTCGCCTTCTGTGATTCCAATCCCACCTGATGAACATGTGCGGATATCTATTTTTGTTGTGTGGGACTAAGGAAGGTTGAACTTCAAAGCTGGGTGGGGATAGATATTTTGGTAGGTAGTCAGGCGGGTTAGCGCGTGCAGGGCATGGACAGGAGAATAATGTATTCGGTGGCATTATGTACCTAGTATCGAAATATGTGATTATATCTTCAATGGTAGCGCCGATGAGATGATATATGGATGGTACATCCGTGCAAGCTGTGAAAATAGAGTGGGGTCCCTATAAGTCGCACCTGCCTCGGTAGGTCCCTTGTCAACCCAAAGAACCAAAAATCCGGGGTAGCAGGGTCGCTAGCTCCACTGAATCGTTCTAGACCCCGCTAACTTTCAGGGGTATCTAGACATAATCTGTGACAATAATCAGCCCTATTCAAGGTTGTCAGGTACGACTATCTAGGTGAGATCCATCAATGGATATGATTCGTTATTGGAACTACATTTTACGTACCTGCTAATTTTTATCTATATAAATATTATTAAACCAACCCAATTAGTAACACATTAACGTGAAAGTACCATGTGTTAGTATATATAAGGAAATCACCTACCTCTTTCGGTTTATCCTTAACATCACAATACCTACTTCTCATACTATGTACATATGTAGTCACGATAGCAACAACACCTGGCATGAATGACATGTCTACTTAGGTACGTTAGTAGGTATTATAGATGCCTGTTTATGAGGAAACTACTACCTCTATACCTTACATGGTACAGATAAGTATCTAGGTACTTATAAACAGCATTTCGCTTGTATAAGTGCACCGTTGACATCACTTTGAGTCAGTCATTGCTTAATAAGCAGATAATCAAATTACTTCTAAGTCAGCCAACTTTATAACCCTGATTAGACTAGAAGAATAGCTGAAATATTCACAATACTTACTTGGAAGTTAAGGTAGAGCTGATTATTCGGATTCCAGTTTCCCAAGAGCCTCATTAGCTATTAGAATCTCTACTCTTTTTTGACGTCCTCATCTTCTTTCATCCCATCACGAGATGCCATTAACTAAACAATCCTTTCGCAGCCTAGCAAGAGTCGTTTTATTAAGTTTCAATATCGAAGATCTCACACTTTGGCCTGACGTCGGGATGAGTAGGCATTACCGTCGATATTTGTTGTTACTTAGAGTAACTACGTAAAAGACACAAGTTGAAATTAGTCAAACGCATCATCCGATCCCATGGAAACGACACGTCACTTTCTAGATGCCCATCAGCTCACTTCGCAAGGAGCCTTTCAAAGGGAATGATGAATAATCCAGGAATTAGCGATAATGGCGATTGAGGAGATGTATATATCTAGAAGGATTGGTACAGTAGGGGTGCCGTCCAAGCTAGCCATGATGACATCGAATACCCACCGATGTAAATGTATGTCTCACGTCCAGCCGTGTCGGCCTAGATTTGCCGCGTTACCGATCAAATCGTCACCCAACTTGAACTGAGCGTGGTATACAGATTACTAAACAGAATCATGGATCTCCAGACTTGATCAATGTCATACCAGAATCCTGGCAAAAAAGCAATAAAGTGAACGGCAACATCAACTAAACATAACCCTACCAACCACGGCGATCGAACGCTACACGACACGGGTTAGTGCATCGGGATCTAGATTAACCCCCACATATCCAGCTAGCAAGGGCGCAGGAGGCGTCGAGGCATCGGGCATAACGATCGGAATAGCCCAAATTTCGGACTTAAGGCACCGAGAAGGCGGGAGCAAGAGGCAAAGCAAGACATACACAAAGAAGGGTACAGCCAAGTTTCCTGCACCCATGAATACGCATTTACAACTATTACTTTGGCACAATATTCTATTTCCCCATTTTGAGTAAAAATACCAGGAGTTGGGACATTCCACCCTGAATCGTTTATTTACTTAGAAAAAAGAATGCTCAGCTTCCTGCCTAGGTATTTGTCTCTCGTATATCGTTCATACATCCAACGTTAAATCGCCGACCAGCTCAATCAGTAAGTAGGAAATTGATTTAATATATTCCAAAGCGTGTCATTACCGAACTCGCCGCCAAATTGCCATTGCGCTGGCTGTTCTTCCCCTGCAGAGCTGGAAGGTATGCTAGCAGCAAGTCCACTACTACTAGCTGCTGCTGCCGTCGTCCCTGGGAAAGTCTCCGGCCAGGTCGTTGATGTTATATCGCCACCGGGAACGGCCGTTAATTCGTTATATGCGATATCCCCTATGGGATATATAGGCATGATCGAACTGAAATCAAAATCCGTTGGGAACGACCAATCCGTACCCGCAAACACGTTATTCTCAACCCCGGAGGCAGGTGTCAGTCCTGCACTTGAGCTGACACTTCTGCCTCGGTCCGTCGACGTGGGCAATGTCGACGGGGCGGTATTATTCGATACACTACTTTGATTCTGAGAGGAAGGCTCTGACAAAGAACTAGGAGTCTGCATATCGGAACAACTTCCAGATGCTCCACTACAGCTTGTAGTGCTGCCACCTACTTCGCTGGTTGCTTTGCAGCTATACCCGACAGCCTTCTTAAAGCGGATATAAATGGCATGCAGAACCCCCAGTGCGGCTTGTGCGAGCCGATTCCGGTTAGCCATCTTCTCGAAGCGTTCGATTGCCCATTCAAAATGTTGTCGCACCGTTGCCAACAGCTCCGCATGCTCCCTCGGGAATAAGATATAGATAGATGCTATCATTATCACGGCATCGAACGTTCCAAAGAAGAGAGTAAAGGTTTTATGTTGTTGCGGCTTCAATAGAGAAAAATATGTCTTCTGGGCCTCTAGCATGTCTAAACTTGCTTTGAGGGCCTCGTGGCGACTAGTAACTCGGGTGAAAACATACGGGCGATGGAGAGCCATGATGTTAAAAGAGATAAGTTGAGGTAGGGTCGGCCGCACGAACGGCAACCACCTGCAATCCGGAAGCTCATCAAATCGCGTGTCTGGGTTCTGCAGACGGAAGGGCGGCGGAGTTCTGGCTTGAAGATCTAGCAACTCTTGATGTATTTTTTCGACTTTCGAGAAATCCTTTGGAAACGGCCCTTCTTTCTCCAAGTCAAGAATATCTCGCAGCGGACGCATAACCTCCCAGGACCACAGGGCTCGTGTCAGCGGCGTGGGCGGGTCATTTTCACCACGCTGCATTATGGGCGATTTCCTTGTATCCTTGGGGATGAGCGAATCGACCGGTAGACTACGACTGACTAAACGGAAATCTACGCTCGTAGGTCTACCGAGGACAGCACCAGTGTGCAAGTCCCAGCCGAGAAGAGTCATCCAAACTCTCCGTCGGCTCTGTGCCATCCACATCTTTTCTAAAGCCTCCTCCGTTGAATCCTCTGGGCTTGGTTGTGGATCCATCTGGTCTCGGTGAAGGCCAATTTCCTGTGCGTCTCGGATGCTAGTTCCGACTTGGTGCCACTACTAGGAAATTAGAATAATTGGGTAGCAGGGGAACAATGAGAATGTCCACTCACAGCCTCAGTAACCATGCCGGTATATTTGAGGAAAGCAGCCCTCACCCAACCGGATAACACAGTTATGATAGACATCTGACGCTTGCCTAGGAGCGATAATATGGAAACGCCGGATTCACTATAATCGAATGCCAAGTCTTCGAAAGTCATATTGCTCGTATATTTCAACGACTCAAACGTCTCCTCGGTTCCTTCAGGAAGGTAGAGAAGAGACGAAGCTAGCATCTGGAACAAGAGGGCGGGGAAGGACCTCAACATAGGATCTAAGGCTTGAGGACCAGATGTTGAAAGGACGTTAAATGGCATACTATACCACTGCTCCATCAGTCTTCGAAAGACAGGCTCGTCAATGCTAAAGTACTGCCAATTGATGTCCTGGAAATAGAGGTCTGCTAGCTGTTCGACATATGTTCTTGCCGGTAACTGGCGAATCAATGTCTTGTATCGCTCGCGCATGCCAAAATTAGCCCCGTCAAAGGTTTCCATAGGCATTCCTGGCAACCTCTCTCCATCACCTTCGATCTTGCGCAATATTCCAAGAGTAGAGGCGCTATTATGGGAGTAACCGAAATCTGCGGATTTGATAGGTAGGTTTTCGATTGACTCGGGCGATCGCTCATTGCCGCTCTGAGAGGATCCTTTACGATCGGGCTTTGCAAGCGGTGTTCCAGTTTCGTATCTACAGGATGCTTCTTTATTTCGCGACACGCAATTCGTACATGGCATCTTACGGTCGCACTGGGAGGAGCATTAGTACCTGCTATTTTACAGCATGAATTAGATTATAATGAAAATAGGTTTGGATATAATAGAATATATAATTAATAAATGTAACTGTATCACCTTTTGCTTCCTCCTGTGACATTCTGTACAACTTATGACAATCCTTCTGCGCTTGCGAGGTGGCGCTTTGCCGTTCGTCTCGTGGCTCGTTTTATCGTCATCCATGTGGATGATGTGCTCGGCCACTTCCACTTCGGCGGCAGACATGGTGATAACGAAGAAAATAAAGCGATTCGAGTTTGAGTTTAAGTTGGAGATCGAATTCGAGATTTACTAGGACAAAATAATGCGACCCGATAGGTAGCTGAGGGGTAATAGATAGTTGTGTTGGTTCTTGGCTGGCTGGTTGGCTCTCACGGGAATTGCGCGGTGAGAAATCGTACCGTACAATATCGTAGGAGGTTGTAGGGCAAGGGAATGCGAATAGGTATTATTTGTATGGATGTTTTTGCCAGAACAGATCGGCGCGGAGATACCTGATAGAGAGACCTAGATATGGCAGTTATGCTTGCTGATATGGTAGGTGCTGTCTTATTCCATATAGTTTTTCATCATGTACCTTCCTTCTACTTACCCAAGCAATGGCAGGCGTAGACCATACGAGGTACTATTGTCCCATGTCGTTCTTTTATAGAACAACTTGTTTGTAGTAAAACGTACCTAAGTAGGTTGTATTGTAGAAAGTGGGAACCCCACCATCCTTTTCAATCAAGAAGCACCTGGCAATGAGTCGACAATGGTCAATGATAAACCTTGACGTTTTGTTACCGCTAACTAATACTGCCGCATCAGCCTATAAACTGCGGCCTGTACATACGGCTTTTCCCCGCTAACACCGTTGTATCCGAGGCTTACCTAATATGAGATTTAGAATCGATCCACGGACCCTCACATGTCTTTTCATTCCTCATATCAATGAATTTTCTACCTGTCTAGAAAACTCTGACGCTACACAATTAAATAAAAAAAGCATGGTTCAAGTAGACCTATCTAGTTCTAGCCCCTGCATTTCGAGTAGAGCCTCAAGGAAACTCGCATGGATAGGTAGCTGGCCAAGGGGTGAGGTTCATCACATGTATATATATTGCGAAACCTCATCATGACCCGTGGGGGGAATAATATTGCCATAAACTCCCTAATCGTTGCCAATAGACCTCATTATGTATGATATATGACTTGCTAATTTTCTTAAACCCCCTTCCAATTTTTTTTTGATCGGCCAGATTTCCGTAATAATGATGATTGTCTTATATAAAGCCGAAACAAAACTCCAGGCTCCGGGACGAAATGTTTCATCCATGCTTGATATAGATCCATGCGGCGCCAGACGCCTGTCTACTCTTATGATTGCTTCCCTATCCGGTTCTGGTATGCCTTCCACGCCTTTCTTCGGTACCGCTCAGCCTCCACCTGCGGAGATGCCGCCTTAAGAATACCTCGTCCAACGATTATAATATCGCTCCCATCCAGCCCAACAAGTTTTGACGGGGTATTATACTGCTGACCGAGACCGTCGCCTGCAATACTGCCTTCGTCCTCATCTCCCTCGGGGGGCAATTGGCAACCGGGTGTCATGGAAATGAAATCGTCCGTCTGTTCGCTGTTAAGCGTTTCCTGTGAAATAAAACCCATCACAAAGTCTTTGTGCTCTCTGGCAGCTTCGACGCAGGCTTGCGTGTATTCCTTAGTTATGAGGTTCCCCGCACTTGACATTTGTGCCAATATCAAGAGCCCTCGCTCCCATGGCGGCTCTTCGATTCCTGCATATACAAGCTCGTCGCCTTCGGCAATACCACTAGCAAAACGAGGCGAATCTACCGGCTCGAAAGATTGTGTGAGGGTCGTGATCGACACGATACTTCCTTTCCTGCCATTATTATGCGGGTTTGACGGAGGTGGAAGTTCCTTCGGCGCCGGCAGGGGTGTAAACGTAGGGCTTTCGTCCTCCTCGTCGAATGAATCCGAGACTGGGGTACCGACGGAGACGGACGTCCTCACTTCATAGTTGACACGTGAACGCCACCGCGCGGCTGCTTGCTGAAGTGCAGTCACGGCTGCCTTTCCAGGGATCATGTTGACATTTACGATATGTGCCCAATCTATAACACGGGCGCTGCCAGCCGTATACTGTAGTTGAACCGTGCTGCCAATGTCCCCAAATTTCCTGTCTTCAAAGATGAGGAAGCCGTGTCTCCTCGCAAGAGCACCAAGCTTAGCACCCGTGCCAGTTTGCGGATGAAAATCCCATCCTGCGACGAGATCGTAGTGCGTCTTGAGTACAACAATGGAAGGGCCAATTCGATCTGCTACCGTAAGGAGTTCGCGGGCGGTGGTAACGTCGGCACTGAGGCATAGGTTCGACTTCTTCAATTCCATGAGACGGAAGAGATAATTGGCTAGCGGATGGGCGACATTGCTGGCTCTTTCAGCGAAGCTCGCCCTAAACGTAGGGTGACGGTTCGAAGCTGCGGACATAGCAAATGAATTGGCAGTGGTATTCGCTAATTCGTTCTTCAGTTTTCGTTCTTCGGCTCGTAAGTACGAGGCAGGGCTCGAGGCGGCAATTGTGGACTAGTACGGTTCCGGCGAACAAGTTGACCCGGTCAGGCTCTACCGACAGGAGGGTCTAGGTATCGGGAGAAGCGATCGACGGTTGGTTGAGAACCCTGGACGTTGTGGAGCTATATGATGTCAATTCACTATGGAAGAGAAGACGTATCTAATTGAAGGGCAAAATGGGAAATAAGACAGATCGAGCAGCATCGAAATTCTGCAGCCGGAAGCACTCCTGATATATGTATTGGGCTAAATGGATCTCTTGATGTGAAACACAGTATATATAGGGACTTAGGTAAACAAGGTAAGGCGAAAATAACGGGTACGAATATGGGTATGGGTACACGAAGGCAATATCTTCGTGGAGAAACCGAACATACCTGAAAGCTGGAGACGCAGGGACGCAGGGACAGACGCAAGGTTCGTCCTCAACTCGGTGGACCGCCCTCGTACTTTTGGAAGCTGACCGACAATCTTGTGCATATGCTGTTCTCCTGTCAAGCCTTGAGAATCTTGAGAAACCTGGGGTCTTCGGGCCTATTTGTCTCCTAAGTGTAAATGTTTGCTTGTAAATCGGAAAATAAGGTACGAGGGTTCGGGTCCGAATTAGACGAATATCGGAGACGCCTATAGGTAGGTCTCTGGGCAGTCTTAAGAGGTATTCGCTAGAGGAAGCCAACCGTAGACTTCTTGACTTGGTCACTTGGGCACCAAGGGATGTTGTCCAGTCTCTTATCAAGTCGGGATGAAGCAAACGGACGATCAAGGAGAAGGGGGAGGAGCCGGGGAAGGGAAAAGGAGATGAAAAAGTAAAAAAGGCTAGGTAGAGTTTTTGAGGGGAAGCGGGTTGCGGACGGCGTTGGCGTTGGCGTTGGCGGTCCAGGTTTCGGTTTTTTCCAATTCTAACTTACCTAACTTAGGTATTTAAACAACTAACAGCGTACCAGTACCTAAGTTAGACCAATTAAAGTTTCTCGGACTATATTAGTTTGAAACTGAAGACTTCGGAATCGAGTCCAGACTTTTTTAGCTTGATTTGTTGGTTTGTCAATTATAGGAACAATCGTAATGACAGGTTCTAGGATATGTAGGCAGGTAGGGTCTAGGGTGAAGGCGGTGGGGAGCAAATTGGTAGAGTGGCATGTAGAGTGGTGCCGGTGGACTGGTGGGAGTTTTTGATGCAAGTTAGCCCACCTAGACTGTCACCGTCTAAGTGGGATGGTATGATAGTATTGTATGAAAATGAAAGTGAAAAGGAATGGAATTGATCGGGTCGGGTGTCACAAGAAAACGAGCGAATGATCAATTGTCCGTCGGTAAGGTACTTGCACCTACCTGTAGCCCACCCTGTGCCTTCCCTTCGTGAACCACAGCAGGCTTTTATTCGAAGAAGGTCCGAGGATGACAGTGTTAGATTTCAAGGTTGTCTTGATGAAGTACACACTTACACTTGCGTATATACGCATGTACCTTGGATATACTTTTCCGTCGACGCAGCATGTACCGGGAGGTTGCATGTACTAGCCGAAAAGGGGTGGATCTTAAAAAGCAAAATGCCATAAATGTGTTGAAGTATCATATGGGATTTGTTACAATCATGCCCCAAGTTAATTGCGGTAAGTATTAAGTATTATACATACACCTTGGGCGATATGCAGGCAGCCACTGTTGTAGATTGAAATCCCGTCGTCCTTCATAGGTGGAAATGAGGGTCTCTAGTCTAAAACGGTAAGCAATACTATGGTACATACCTGTATTAATACATAAAAACTTTAGACCATCCCCATTATGAGGCGCAAACAATGTAACTGGCTATATGTAGTCTGCTGACTGTTCCCCTCGGCATCCTTCTTCCTCGAGATGCATACTGAGTGAATCCTTTTTCTATTTCAGGTCGACCCTAAAACGAACAAGACCAATGGACTTGAATGAACTTGCAATGGTCTGACCTTTAAAAAAAGGCTGGAACAACCTTCTTACACACTACAACAACGCCATCAGGATTGGGTTCTCAGTCAGGTCCACCTGCCTCGATAGCTTATGGTTGAATCTTGATGGTCTCATTCGAGATATCGCACTTCTCCGGGACAATACCTATTGCTTATAGCCTCTCATGTTTTCAACGGGCGACATTATCGGGTAAGGCTTTGCCAAGGCAAATGATGTATACTACCTACATAGTATGAAGAAGGGCTATCGTGATGAATTGGGGAGGGAACCGGGCGACGTCATTTGTTAGTGCGCCATGACTCGGCAAGCAGCACATTCGGTCGGGCGAATCCAGCTGTGTTCAGTATTGGTTCCTCAGGTACAACAGCCTCTTATCGACATTGGCTGATATGCATGTTATATGCATAGTATAGAGCGGTAAGTGGTCTGAAAGGTGAAGCTGCTGACCGGGCTATGTCGTCTTGGTCGCATTTATCGCCTTTTCACGGGCTCAGTTACGATCAATATTGTGCTATGCTGCGCTATGCTGTGTTGTAGCTTCGAATGTCACCGAGATAGCGACAGCCACACGGCTTCATATCCATACCACCGAGGCATATCACCAAGGCATTTATAGAAGTATGACGACATTTTTGCGATACCAGGTGTTGGAGGGGAGATTGTAAGTTATGGTAGTAGATATGGGAGACGGGCGAATTGAAGATTGAAGATTGAAGCTCATGTCTCACGTGAAAGGTGTTGAAGGTGTGAAGGGCGGCGTGCGGCAGACAGGGTCAAACAGACAGGGAAGACAGGGAAAGTAGGGCGTCGATCGTCCCGTCCCGAATTCGAATTCGCAATATTATTAACGAACATTAATGCTATCAGTTTTGAAATGTGGGGCATTTACTTGGCCTACGTGCTGGATAGGGCAGGGTCGGCAGGCAGGGCACATTCTGATACTACGCATAGGCCACATGCAGCCTTACCTAATCTTAATAGATAAATTGCGGGTCTTACAGCCTCGACAGATCAATCAATCTCACTGGCAGCTGGCAGCTTCCACCTAGGCAGTTTTCTCTCTACGTCCAGTCCGTCCTTTCCGTCCCAGCCGAGAGGGACCCTTATCAGAAGACAACGTTATTAGAGTCTTTAATTTGGAACTCCTCCTCCCTCTCCTTTGATTATCTATCTACATATTACAACTAATCCGTTTTAACCTCTTTTATCTAATACTCCAGGTATCTATCTTCTTGAGCGATCGCATCTTTTCCTCCTTGATAACTCTTCCGTCTTCTTTCATACCTAGGTATTCTTTCACGGGAGGTTATCACACCATACCTAACTGAACATCACACCACGAAAAAGCCACCGAGTAACCCTACTACATACGCCGCTCGTGCATCTCAGCTGGGCGCTAACCTACGATCGTCCTTTCAGCTCCTTATCGACAAATTCATAAATACGTAGATCAAACATCGTTTACTCTTCCTTTTACGCCCCTTGCCGCCTTTAAGAGAACTCGTCATCATGTCCGAAAGAAGAACCAGGCGGCAGGCCGCTCTGGCAGCTGCCGCAGTCGCAAACGATACTCCTACGAAATCCAACAACAACGACGATGTCACCATGAATGGGAAAGATGTTAGCAATGATGGGAATGGCCTAGCTGTTGCGCCTTCGGAGTCTAAAGTTGATAACTCTCCTCGGGAGAACATATTCGTATTTTGGCCTAATATCATAGGTATGCGCATCTCCCGTCAATGCAAGGCTACATGCGCCGAGGCTGCGCAGATCTTTATTATATACCTTACACCTTGCACCTTGGCCTAATCTAACGATATCAATAAACAGGTTACTCTCGCATTGTTCTCGCTATCGCATCTCTATACTATATGCCCTTGCACCCTCGAACATGCTCGATACTTTATAGTATCTCATGTCTTCTCGATGCCCTCGATGGCTATGCAGCTCGCTATTTCGAGCAGTCCACCAAGTTTGGCGCCGTCCTTGACATGGTAACAGATCGATGCACCACATCGTGCTTACTCGTCTTCTTATCCTCCGCGTTCCCGCGATGGGCTATCGTATTCCAAGGGTTGATTTCCGTAGACTTTGCAAGCCACTACACACACATGTATGCGACTCTTGCTATGGGAGGCTCAGATTCCAGCCATAAGAATGTGGACAAGTCGAGGAGTTGGTTGTTGAACCTATACTATACCAACAAGGTTTGTTTCCACATTTACAAAAACATCTTCGCACTTCCGACTAATCAAATATTAGACTGTTCTCTTCATATGCTGCGCACTAAATGAAGTTTTCTTCATTGCTCTATATCTACTCTCCTTCTCGTCACCGCTTCTATCACCACAGCTACTTGAGCCCCTCGGTGAGACCAGAGCTAATGCCATCCAAACCGGGGCGCAAGTAAACAGCTCGGTACTCCGCCAGCTATTTACCAACCCTTATAGCGCCGGTGCTTTGGAGATGGCACGTGCAAACAAGATGGATTCCACGTTCCCCTGGATTCTCGCCGGGGTTAGTGCTCCAATCATGGCACTGAAGCAATTCCTCAACGTCGTTCAACTCGTCAAGGCGAGCCGATGGCTAGGCGAAGGCGATGTTGAAGCGAGAAAAAAGGCCGGTCTGCCAAGGAGGAAGAACGAATAAGATGACATATTCACAAGGCTGTGAAGCTTAAATGTGATGAGAGGGCTGCTGGCGATAGCGGCGGATTAGGACCTCGGGATGAACCTGAAGACGACAAAAATACGGTGTGGGTCTGTACGAGATGTCCTGTTTACGGAAGGCGTGAGGCATCGGACGGGCCTGAATGGTTTGTCCCAATCGGTTGCATGGGCTCGGGCATGGAAGGCATTAGAAATGGGATTGGCTCAACAATGGGTTTGCGTGCTACCCTACCTACCTAGGTAGGTAGGTAATCAAGGAGAGGCTAAACGAGGTGAACTAACGAGCATACCCCAAGGCCTTGAACACAGTCTTCGTTGTACATATGTAATCTTAATTAGGTATGAAATGGGTGAGGACGGAAGTACAGGAACGAAAGATAGACTAATGTGTGCACTTTGATCAAATACTAGAAGTCATAACGGTCTATCTGTATGATCTGGTGTTGATAGGGGTAGGTAGTTCGAATGATCAATGCTCAGTATCAAACCTACGCCCCTATTCGTGGATACTGCAGTGCAACACAGAGGGTTAAGATCTATCCATGGATCATACCTGTTGCAGGGATAGTGTTGGTAAAACTATGTACCTCCAAGTACCTAGCTTCCCCTATTTTGACTTGATGAAAAAGGTCGATAATGAAAAGCAAAAGTCGACCCATGACACCTTCGCTAACCCCCATTTTCCTCCAAATATCCACACAGGCTTCGCGCAAATTTACATCCATATCAATATAGTATAGCACAATGGCCGACTCGAACTTTTATATACATCCCCATCTAATATTTTTCGTCTCGATATTACGAATCAAGTTCTCGTACAGTAGACGAGTTTCTCTTCACCGAAACGCTGCCTACTTTTATTGCGTTAACACATTAACACTCACTGGTAGAAGTGCATATCGACCATTGAAGATACCACCTACTATGCGCCATAACGACCAATACAACAACGCCACCAACCGCACACATAAGTGCGTAGCACTATGCACGAAAGGACAAGTGGCCTAACAGCCTCCAAACGTATCACTCGCATTAAGACAAACGCACCTGTCCGTCAAGCGATGCAGGTCTGACTTCGGAAGTAAGGCCAGGATACCGATATCTGCAAAGAGGGTCGTACACATCACATCAAGTGACCTCTCGCACATATGTATATTCAATTTCTGCACGACCAGACCCGAGACTACGGAAAGGGACGGCACGTCTTTCTCTAGCGTACAGTACCGAGACAACCATACCTCCGCACACATTCTCCGTAACGGCACCGTCGATCATGGCGATGAACTCCGGTACCCAATATATCGAGCCCTTGGGTGTGGAAATATTTGTCTCTCGTACATAGGTAGGTATGCACCCCACAAATCATTGCATGTCATCGCCCCAGATCCGTCGACCAGCCAGCCTCACCAAACTCGCCGGTGAAGTACCCACCTAAGCTCTTTTCACCGGTGTTAACTTCACCATCAGCGGCGGCTTGTGCCATGCGATGTAGTTCTTCTGGTTCCCGAGCCAATCGCTGCATTCGGGCATCAGCTCGATGTCAAAGTTGTAAATCAGCTTAGCCAAGATCACACGAGTCTCCAAACGGCCCATCGTGAGGCCGATGCAATTCAATGGTCCCGAGCTGAACGGCTGTAATGGTCTAAGTCAGCATCTACCCGGGCTAAGCTCTTACGAATATCGTATTTTGGAATCAATAAATGGGTGAGTGGAGCCGGATGCTAAGCTTACTTGAAAAGTCTCTCTAGCGTCTTCCGCGTATCTCTCGTCGCCCAACCAGCGCTCTGGGACGAATTTCTTCGCGTCCCTGAAGTAGCTTTCTAGGCGGCCGATGGCGTGGTTATGGATACCAATCATGGAACCTTCGGGGATGAAATAACCGTCTACGGTGCAACCTCCTGATGATACCTGTCGGGGGTTGAATGACGTTGCGACCGGAGGCCAGACTCTCATGGATTCGTCGATCGCGGCCACAAGGTATGACAACTGAGCAACGGAAGCGGCCGTGATGTCCTGGTCTGAGTCGTACGAAGACCGAATTTCGCGCTCGGCCCGGGCCATGGTTTCCGGATGAGACAGTAGGAGGTAGAGCGTACTCGCGGAGGCCGTAGCTACGGTTTCCGACCCGGCCATCACTAACATCTGGGCATTGGCGTACATCTGCTCCTTGGTGAGCATTTCGCCGGCCTTGCTCTCGCTGGTGATAAATGACATGTAGTCCGGGTGGTCGGTCTTGCCAGCAGCCATCCTCTTATCCACAAGATCCAACGTGGTTCTCAGATGATACGTGAAAGCATCTGTAATTCTTTGTGGAACGATGAACCTCTGCCATATCCACAGAAGCCAGGGAGAGATGTCGTTGAGGGCGTGTACATACACCCCTCCAGTGAAGAATGTCATGCTGATATTGATCCAGGGGTGGTACTGCTCATTCTCGATACACTTGAATACATCCTCTCCGAACACAAGGTCGCCTTGGATATCGAATGTTGCCCACATCATATACTTCTCGACGTCGACAGGTTTTCCATTCGCCGTAGTATTTCTCAGCTTCCGAATCATGGAGTCAATATATCCCATCACTAGTGGTTCTTGCTCTCGAGAAGCCCTTTCCGAGAAGGCCGGATTTAACTGGCGGCGTATCCGAGCATGTTCTTGCACATCAGCCTGGAACATACCCACGGCTCCAAAGGTATCCTTTAGTGGTGCAGTCCGCGTATCACGAGTTAATGGTCCTCCTTTTCCATAACGAGGGCCATAGATATCCTTGAAAGCCGAGGGGCTAGCACAGGAAATTTCATCCGGACCAACTCGAACAATGGTGCCATACTTTTCGTGTAGTTCGGCATACGTATAAGGTATCCTACCCCGGTACCGTGACCAGCTTATGGGAAGAGGCGACATTCCATAGAGCTTTGGACCCGGTAGAGTAGCCAGGGGATGGAAGAAGACATTATATATAGCCTTGGTGATTCCAAGTGTAGAGGCCTTAAGTGAAGTTTAGTTCATGAAATTCTATTAGCCATACTCAAGGTAGTCTTACTAATAAAACAGCGAATGCCAAGAACTCCGATAGTGAAGTTTTAGCGAGGGGTTCTACGAAATGAACGAATTTCGTCGACATCTTGTCTCTCTTTTTATATCATTGGTAGAACTTGACTTTGTTGCCACGAAAATCAAAGCTCCGATACTTGCAGCTGAACACAATCATAAATACTCACCTACTATCAACTCTTTGTAGCTATATTCACATAATTAAGGATATTCCCGTGAGGGCGGGGTGGTGCCGGTGGCACATCATCCTCCGTAAAGAGAGGGATGGGAGCCGCGGTGATAGGTACGAAGCGAGGGCATGGCGACGGTTGGGGTTAATGTAAATTTACCCAGTCTTCTTCATTGATCGGATTCTGTTATATCGGCACTTGAATGATATCAACTCGATTATAAATCCGTGGGGAACGTTATAGCCAACGCTTTTTCACGAGATCGGATCTCGGTCTACTGGAAGTGTAGGCGACGACCTGATATAAATGCGCCGAGAGCCTAGCATGTATCTCACCCATCCAACGGCCACTCAGGTTATTTAGTGTTAGTTATTGTGTCACCGTTCCAACCACGTTTTTAATTAACGCTATCAATAGATGTCTTGTCCACCGTCGCCTCAAAGGACCGGATGTTGTTCAATTTGTACAACACGAGGCTAGACCTGGACCACATAAGGGTGGGGAGGAATATCCGAAGTCAGCATGCCGGCAGTTAGTAATGTCGTATGAGAAGGACTCAACTGGATGATCGTGACATCTAGCGATGACCTGGTGTGTGGAATCCCCAAAGTTTGGTTGGGAAGAGAAGTTTATTGCGAACACCATGCAAATGCAGGTGGCTGGCCATGTTGCTGGGCTCCCAGGTCCCTCACAGAGGACTGGGCGTGACCTCTCTCATTGTTCTAGCGCCAACATAGTAACAATTATGTTGAAGCTAAGTTAAAAGCCAGTTATTTCTAAGACCCCAGTGTTAAAAATAGAAGCAATGCGTTTTCCTAGACCTATTACAATCTAAGTTGCTTCTCATGGATGTCTATAGATACGAAAAAAGCGTCCCGAGTCTTAGTCTAGATCATGAAATGACACCAATAGGTTTTTCGCGAACTAGGTCCGTATGAAACCGATAAAGCAGGGCGTAGGTTGTCTCCGTTTATATAGGGCGTACTAATGTTAGTTGCACTATCTCGTTGCCTTCGAGATCTCCTTAGGAAACTCTTCAAGGGGGTATTTGCAAGTATTGTTAGCTATTTCGAAGTAGGGCCTAAGACCATGAGACGATTGTATGGACATCGGGTCTGAGGCTCGGCTTCAACTAGATCTTGAAATGTAACCGTCTTATTCTATAGAATCCAAGACATTTTACCGGCTTGGCTTGGTATTCTAAGGACTACCTAGCCCACAGCGTACTTCAGGGAAGATTGTTTGGCGATAGGATAATATTCACCCACTTGGCGGGAGGTCCAGGGGACTACCAATCCCGATTTCCGATGGCTCAATACCTCGGCCCTCTTGATAAGAACGATAGCCTGGGAGTTTGGGATGCGAGGCACACAGCTAGGATGTAAATAAGAAGCCATTGTTTCTCCAGGTTTATCTCTCAATCCGGGGATGAGAGATCAGGTCGAGTTAGGAGCATCCAGTTTTCCAGTTTGATAGAATTTAGCAGCTAGCTAGTCCTCTCTGTGGAATTCAATCAGAGCGATGTCAGCGACGAAGGAATTGCTCCCGGAGACAACAACGACTTCGCCGTGGAGGGTTTGGTAGAATACCAAGGCCACAAGCATGTTATAACAAGTAAATACCCCCAAGATCGAATGAACAATAATTATGAATTTGAATTTATCGTAGAGGAAGGGTAGCCAGGTTTGAAAATGTGTAAAGAGCCATAAAATTCCATCCTCAATTACAGGGCTCCTAGCGGACTCAACCCTTCTAACCAATTAAGGGCTAGCACATTTTACCCCACTATCAGGGAAGCTTGACCTTACATTTAGCGCTAATCTAATCGCAGCTCCAGAACCCCACATCCAAAATTCGACGTTTGTAGTTCAGTCCATCCATCCATCACCACACCTCAACCACCATCAAAACCACCACCACCACCCCAGCCCAAAATGTCGCACCCACGCGTAGAAGAAGTCTCCGACAGCGACCTCTCAGACCCAAGTGAAGGCGACATCGACGACTTCCTCGAATCCGACATCCTGCGGCAAAAAGCGCCCGCCGCCACTTCCTCCTCCGAGCCCTCCCTCTTCCCCAACCCACGCATGCAACACCCCTCCAGCGCCCCCCAACCGCAACAAGTCCAGCCCAGCGACATAAAAGACTACCAAATGCTGTACCCAGTGTACTTCGACTTAACACGCACCCGCGCCGAAGGCCGTCGCGTAAGCAAGTCGCTCGCAGTGAAGAACCCTCTGGCGCGGGAAATCGCCGCAGCCTGCGCCTCGCTGCGTCTGTCGCCCGTCTTCGAAGCCCACCGGATCCACCCCAAAGACTGGGCGAACCCAGGCCGAGTGCGCGTCAAGCTCTCCTCCTCCAGCAAATCCACTTCGTCATCAGCCCAGAACGCGAACCCGTTCGCCGCACAGGTGAAGAATAAACACCACCTGTACATCCTCGTCGCAAAACACCTGCAAGCGCACCCGACAACCGACACGTCGGACGCTTTGCGTCGAGTTCGTGTGCCGGGGCTGAACGCGCCTGAGGACGGGGAGCCGTGGCCGCGGCCGGCGGTGCCGCGGGGGTGGAAGATGGGGGAGCTGTTGCCGGCGTATAGTGCTGCGATGACGGGGGGCGGGGTGAGTGAGAATGCGTTTAAGGATATGATGAAGGAGATGCAGGGGGGTGGGGGCGGGGATATGATGAGTATGCTTGGGGGAATGGGTGGTATGCCCGGGATGGGCGGCATGCCTGGTATGGGCGGAATGCCGGGGTTGGGTGCTGGGCCGAGTGAGGGTGGAGGCGGCGGCGGCGGGAAGAAGGGGAAGAAGGGAAAGGGGAGGGCGTGAAGATCGTCTAGGGAGGTTTGATGGTGCTTATGACTAGGAGATGGGTAAGATACTACTACGTATACCCTTTGATATAGAATAAAAGGGATTATAGGGAATGGAAGACAACCGGCTATCACGGAGATTTACGTCAAATCTACGAATGACATGAAAGACTTCAAAGATGAGCAAAAAATATATCATGTATCTCATTCCTACCATACGCCACGTGATGATACACTGCAATGATAGACACGACGATACAATCCTCAGAAACGGAATGGGTATCTCACTGCCTCCTAATCTCCTGTCTCCAAACTTTCAAAATTCGTCCCTTCCTTATCCATGATTGTACACATAAGTTACAAAACCAGGGTTATATAGCCGGGGAAAGTTTTCCCTGCAAGTTCTGCCACTCCCTAGACCCTAGAACCTGGACCCCCTTGCCGTTGCCGCCAGGTATCATCTTACCATCAACATCAGGGAGTCTGATCTGAAGCTTAGCAGCAGCCCTACGCATGCTCCTAGCTTGTTCAGAATCCTGCTGCCTCTTTCGGCCTGGTTCGGCCCCGAGTACTACCTTAGACTTCTGCACGATAGAAGCTTCCCAACTCTTCCATGCCTCGTAATCTTCGTGTAACTTCGCAGAGTGGTATTGTGGTGTAGACTTCGCCGGACGCCACGCTTGCTTGTCCTTAGGCAGAGACCCTAGATCGAAGACATGAGCAGATGTTGCCATCTTGAGCAGCTCGCTTAGCGCGTCTCTACTCTCAGCCGCCACAAGTTGCTTGCGCTGTTCCGCCGCAGGTCTCGGTTTAACCAGAGGCTCAGCAAGCCAGTCATGCCTAGCTTGCTCCGTAGTGCGCGCGCGTCGGTTGTCTTCGCGTAGGTATCGGACTGCTTCCTGGAGACTGGCGATTTCGGCTTTGAGGGTATCCATCTCGCGAGCTGTGGCCACGGCGCGCTCCTGGCCAGCCTTAGCCCCGGCGGCGTTGTCACCCGCCTCATCTCCAAATGCTCTGCTGTCGCCAGCGATCTTCTTCCACTTGTCGCGATCGGCCTCAAGGGTCTTGGCCTCACGATCTTGCTGCTCAATGTCTTTCTTGAGACTTGCTACCAACTCTTGTGCAGCCACAATTTGCGCCTCGAGATCTGCAATGCGAGAAGCCTTGGTATTTGCATCACGCATGCGCGCTTCGAGTGTCTCGATACGGAGAGTGGCTGTGCTGAGGTTCTCATCACGCAAAGCGATTGTGCGACGAGCCTCGTTATAATGTTCCTTAACTTGTCGCAGCTCTTCTTCGGCATCGATCGGGATTGTCTTAAGAGCCTTAAGCTCTTGTGCACGAAGAAGCCATGGTGCTATGCTACGTTCGAATTCCTGTGTTTGTGATAGGTCGGCGCAGACAGCTGCAAGATCGGTGATTTGACCTGTAAGAACACGGAGTTTGGAGAGATAAGTGGAGAAAAGGTCAGACTCGGCTGATGAGAAGGTAGTCATTATTGTACGATGAACCGTACTCTGCACTTCAGGATACGTAAATGGCTCCGGGCGACCTTCCTCGCTAAGTAGCGCATGAAGATCGATGCCAATCTTTCGGGACATCTCCGCAAGCTCTTGACTTGAGGTTTCGCACTGCTCGAATGCCTCGGCAGTATCGGGAGTAAGAGCCAAGGATCTCGCTCGAAGATCCTCTAAAGATCGCACTGCTTTGCTTATAATAACCTTTGCGCTACGAGTTTGGCTAATGACGGCCTCGGACTTCTTAGCAAAATGTTGAGCAAGCTCGTCTTCATCGTTGTTGGGTGGTATGACTCTTTGAACCATATCCTTCACCACATTAAATGCAGTAGCAGCAGACTCTAGGTGACTTTGCATCAAGATCGTCTTCATCTGCATTTCATCGGCAAAGCTCTCGAGTCCCTCCGAAATGTGCACCTCGCCTAGGTGTGTCATGAGGGCGATAGTGCGTTGCAATTCGCTGGCACATTGCTTCTCCTTCAGCTCGTCGCGTCGTAAACCATCGATCCAGGCATTCAGAGCCCTCTCAACCGGCTCCAGTTCGTACAAGGCACCTTCATATTTGGCAAATTCCTCCAGCGAGCAGTGGCTAATAGCATTAACAAACCGATCGCACATAGAAGATACCCAGCTAAGTTTGTCCAAGGCGTCGCAGCCAGCGAACACATCATCTTCGTGACCAGGGTGCGCTTGTCCATTGATGCGTTCCTTAACAAATCCATGGAGCAAGTTCGCCTTGAAGGCCAGTCGGCGGAACCGTAGCAATGCTAAGACAGAATCCTTGTCGGTATTGTAGCTCTCGGGCAAGAACAATTTGATAATCTGGAGATGCTGTTGTGCTTCTTGGGCATCCATGCGCTGCAGCTCTAGGTCGATAGTCTTGACTTGTGTCTTCGCAGCCGAGATCTGGAGCTTCTGGTTGAGATCCATCATAGCTCTTGACTTACTATTAAGTTGTTCAGACTCCGCCTCATTGACAGCGTGAGAGGCACGTATATCTTCCAAATCGGTCTGAAGATTCGTGACAAGCTCTCTGAATCGGGAAAGTGTGTACTCCAAATCGGAAATGGTATCGTCCCTTTCGGCAGTTCTTCGAGCCTGTTCTGCAATGACACTATCTTTGAGATCGAGCTCCTCTTGCATTTCCTTCTCATTCTGAACGTGGTTGATTTCAAGCTCATCGTTAATTTCCTTCAATGCTTCGAGGTCATCAATCACGGCCTTCAATTCGTTGATGTGCTCATACTGTTGTAGTTTCTCATAGCTCAGTTGTTCGATCATAGTCTCTGCGCCCAGGTTATCATCGAGCTGCTGTCGGAGGTCTTCGGCACGCGTCTCGGATTCCAATAATTTCTCCTTGGCGATTTGGTACTGTTCCTTGATAGCTTCAAAATCTGCAAGGTCCTTCTCCAATGCCTTGATTTGTGCCCTAGACTCTTCTTCTTGCTGCTGGGTGAGATCTCGCAGTCTGATGAGAGCCTCACGTAGCCGCTCATTGTGGCGTTCCATCTGCAGCCATCCTGCGCTCGCTCGTTCTTCAGGAGACATCCCCTGGGAGTATTCGGTATTCTCCTCGCGCAGAATTTCAACCTCGAGCTCTAGCTCTTCCACTTTCTGTTTTAAGGCCTCGAGCTCCGCCTTGTAGACTTCAGCTGTTTCTTCGGCCATTTCTCGATCCAATGTTGCAAGTTCCATGACGGAATCATGTTCAGCCTGTAGAGTCTCAATCTGCTCTAAGCGTTCTTCGGCTTCCTTGAGTTGCTTGCGCAGGGCGACATTCTCCTGTGCCGTTGTCTGATATTTGCCCTCAATTTTCTTATTGATAGTTTCGAACTTGTCGCGTTGTTCTTGGAGCCTTTCCATCTCTTTCATCTTCTCTCGGTCCTCCGATCGCTTACGCTCGAGGACTTTCAGTTTTGCCTTCAGGTCCTCATTCTCCCTAGTAACTGCGTTGGAAGCGACCGGACGACCACTGGGACCCGCGCTCCCGGGAGTCCTTGACGGCGCTGCGCTACCCATTGCCGATTTCGAAGACGTCGCTGATCGGCCTGCGGATGTGAGCCTTTCTAGGGCTCTTGTCCTAGATTGAACAGGACTCGTTTGCTCGCCGTCGCTCTTGAGAGGCGAACCTAAGCCGGATCTGTTTCCACCTTCTCCTCCCGATAGCGAATCCCCTGACCTTACTCTTCCGGAAGTAGGACGGGCAGCACCGCGACCAGTTATGGAAGAAACTCGTCCGCCAGCAGGCCTCGTAGCGCCACTTACAACTCTCCCCGAAGTAGATGATGTCGAAGCTTGTCTTCTAGGTCCAGTGGAAGGTAGCGGAGGTGGACCCATAGACGATCGTCCTCCACTAATTGAAGCGCGAGTTTTGGGAGCAATTGATGAGATGCGAGCATTTGATGGTGTACCGGTTCTCGAGTTCGTAAGGCTAGATGGACCTGTTCCAAGTTGTTTTGTGGGAGATTTTGTAGGAGACTACCAATGTCAAGTTAGGATTGAAAAAATAAAATAAAAATGAAATAAGGATATAAAGCTAAGTTGAACATACTCTCCCAATGCTAGAAGGTCGGGTTCTAGATACTGGGCTAGGGCTGGGAGCATTAAGGCTCATCCGCTTCGGCATGGTGGGATCGGTCACAGAACTTGATCGTCCCGGAGCTGTGCTTGTGCGAGAACCCCTTCGAATAGGGGCTGTAGACTTCGGAGGTGGTGGTGCAGCTTGTAACACAGTGACTGTTATAGGGCGAACAAACATTCCTCTTCCTTGTGGACAGTCGAAGTATCGTTCGCCTTGAACCGCTCCATCGTTCTTCCCGCTGTCGTCTTCGAGCTCGACACCAACCCAATCACCTGCAGCAAAATGAGTCTGTCCGACATAGCGAACGGTAGCATTGCGGCCGTCGCTAAGACGAATTGACTGCCCAACCGCGATGTCCGACATATTGGGCAGTTAAGCTATAGGTTAGTACATTCCGGAACAGAGTGTTGGATGTTAACCGTGAAGGTGAAGGGCAGGTCAGTAGGTGACGGATAACGGCAATAGCTCTTTGTCTAAGTTTAAGTGTTTAAATGTTTAGGTGCACGCGTTTCCGAATTCGTAACGCGAATGCTGCTTACCTAAGTACATTCTTTAATCAAGGTTATGGAAATCTCGAGAAACTAAATGTGGAGACAATGCTTACGTGCATAACAGCTTACGGCATCATTATTCGCTAAGTACATAGCGTGTCCACTGTGTTACGCCTTGCATCTTCGTCACATGTTTGATGTTTCCAATATCAACTTCACTCCACATTATCAAAAGCATTGTTCGTCAATATCGAGAAATTCAGATTCTAGAATTCCTAAGAATATACCTTTGACTTAATTGACCCCTTAACTCCTTCCAAATAGTTATGCTTACCTAGTAGTAGGTTCAAATCCAATTTATAGGACAACAATCCTCCACATCTCATCTAAGACTCAATAACCCGCTTCCCCTACTTCGACCTTCTAAGACGTCTCACTTTTATCGACATTGTAAACTCACGAAAAGAAAAGAGTCAAGTGATCTTATAAATTAAAGGCCGTATGTAGGGCATGTCTTTGCATTTACAACATATCCACATGTCTCCTTTCATTTCACCCATGATCCCTTTCCTCCATACGTACAAGTGTAAAATATTTATCAGAAAAGCCATGCAGTATCTAAGGTATTGAACATCGATACATCCATCATCTTCAATCATCTGGGTAAAGAGCATCCTCTACACTAATTCTATGACCGTGTCGCAAAGCCAGCCCTGAAACTACCGTTCCGCACCCACTCGAGTATCTCAAAGCCGAGCCGCCGCTCTAGCTTCTCATCTACGCCCTTATTCTCAGCCATGCGCAGTACCATGACAGCTGAGTTTATGAATTCGACGCAGTTATTTCCTTGGATCTCTGCTGGCTCAACAGCTTTCTTGACATATATAGTCAGATCTGCTCCTATGATCCCACGCCACAACGTTGCTACCCATTGCCAGTGGTCGTCTGCACGGTATGCATCATTGACATGCAACGAGCTGGCATATCTGTCTGAGACAGTCAGACTATAGCCGTCTGATACGACCGCAACTGGCAATCTAGCATTGGGCTTCGAGGACATGTCTTCGGCGGATTTATCGCCTTCTCCCATCTCAGTATCTGTCCCGCTTATTGGCGGTGGATGACTCGTCATGTACTTGATCAAGTCTTCGGATGTCTTATGCCACTTCAACATTCTGGCGACATAAGTTGCTAGTGGGCTCATGAGTCCCGATCGTTTCGAGGTGCTCTTTTCTGCTAATTGTTTGTTTTCGTTTCCATTACTACTTTTATTTCCATCTGTTTCTCCTCCGCTCGACTGTGCCTGGGTATCATCTGTCCAAGTCTTCACGGCGTATTCTCCCGAGACGGATAACGCCTTCTCCACCACAGAAGCCACTTCCTTTAGTATGGAAGAGGCTGCACCTTCAACAACAATAAGAGGCCCTCTCGTTTCAAAAATGGGTCCTCCAGGACCTGGTGGTTTTAGAGGAGGTCCAATCGACCGCAATATCTCGAGCTTCAATAAGAATGACCAACGCGGAGGTACCTGTTGTGGCTGTGTTTGTGGTTGCGGCTGTTGCCTCGTAGGAACGTTTCCTCCGTTAACAATTCCCAAGCCAGTGCCATGGGTAGATTGAACGGCTGATGCTCCGCGTGCCGATCCTGCCTCTGAGCTCACCGCGGGCGAGTTTGGAATCTGGGTTTGTAAGGGGGGTAATCGAAGCGACTCATCAAATGCATTACTAGGGCGGCTCGACGTCTGAACTGGCTGGTACGCCATTGGAGGCCGTGGTGGAGGTTGCATATGAGGGTGATTGGCGTAATTAGGCTGATGATATTGTACACCCGGTCTAGGTAATGGACCGGGTCCATAACCAGCCGCTGACATGGGCTGTCCGGCTGCTGACGATCGTTGGAAACGTGGGTCACGGGGGTCCGCCGAAATATAACCCATAGGAGGCGATCCAGGGACAAAGATGTTCGGCCCGTTAAACCGGCGTCGTTTGGGATCCACCGGTGCTGCCATTGGGGACATCATCGAGTAGTCATCTTCGATGTTATGTAACTGCGGTTGCGTATACCTACGGTCGTGGTCAAGTGACATCGCACTGGAAGCAGATCCACGCCGGAGATGGTCCGTCTCAATCACACGAGGATTTGGTGTTACATAAGGAGGCATATTTGATGTTGGTCTCACAATATCTGGTGTCGCCGCACTGAAAGGGGTAGAAGGCGTTCTTGGAGTCGCAATATAACGGCCACCACACTTTGGACAATGGCCTGGATCCTCACCGGTCGCGGGCAAGGGCCTACTACTAGCAGTCTTGCCTCCTCGTCGGGGCTGGTATCTGTAGTCGGGGTATTGGCGTTGGTGGCGAATTTTCTCTTCTTCGGCGAGCCTCTTCCAATTATTTTTTATCTCTTCGGGCTGTTCTCGCCACTGCTCGCCGATGAGCTTAGAAATCTCCGGGTTGGCAAGTCCCGGATGCCGAGCGGCGACCTGGCCTTGGTAGTGTTGCCGATAAAGGATAAACGCTGTTGAGAGGGGAAAAGCAAACACAAGAGTTAGTCATACGCCCTCTCTAACCTAAACATTTTTATTACGATCTGTGTTCGTGCTGTTGTAAGTTGGGGGATAAGACAAGAAAATTAGGCCTCGACCCTTTCATTACCGCCCTTTGACTCCTTGATACAAGCATAGTGCGCCGGACAAAGAGATACCTGCCCGAGTTGCCCGTCTCGGGATGAGAGTACCTCCTACCGAAACCCTGTCGTGTTTATGGAGAGGAAAGAAAAAAACGTTAAAGAAGTAGGAGGAAAGGCGGTGGGGAAGATTCTCGGTCCAGAACACAGTCCCAGACCTCAGTTCATTCGGTGGGGATGAAAAGAGAAGAGTAGGAGAATAAAATTTCAACATACCATTTCGTGGTCTTGGAACTTTAGGTGCCTTCGTACAGAGGCATATCAACTCCCTAGGCCCATCACTCGCGTTCGATGTTGCTGTGTTAGGAGTATAGAGTCGAAGATCTTGGATTCGGGGTTGGTTCGCCTCTTCGACGTCAATAGAGTATGCCCGTTTTCGATGCGGTTTTGTAGTTTCGGTTGGATCATCAGGGGGGTGTGTGCTTGATGCTGATAGGAGATTTGACCTTGATGACGGTGCTGTCTTTTCTGATGCTGGCTGTTCCTCTCTATCATCTCGACGACTCATTGCCATTGCGGCCTGCTGGGTCTTACTTCGTGTCGTGGGACTGTTGTTCAGTGTAGTCGATAAAGTTGGGAGAGACGACCGGTCATTTGGAGAAGTGGAGGGAGAAGATTCGCTGCTACTAACCCCAGTCATATTCTTCGCAAACGAGGGAAGTACCAATCGAGATGTGTCGGTGTGTGGGGAGGACAGGCGGTCCAAAGAGCGGAGTCCAATACGGCCACATACACGACAGTACAACTACAACCAAAGCCTCAGGGGTCCAACGTCTATCATCTAAAGGAAAAGTGATTCTGTGAGACGGTGACGACGATGATATGATGAGCTAACTGCCTCTTGTGGTAAATGAATATGTGGCTGTCGATTTGAAGAGACATGAGACATGAATAAATGACGCGGGCAACAACCAAGGGCTTGTTGAGATTGTTTTCTTTGTTGGTATACTTTCCATTCATAAGGACTCCTGCCAGGAGACAATGATCCTAGGAGGTGAAGGCAGCTGGTCAATCACCTTATGCCCTAACAACTGCCGCCGCCACTATCGCTACCACTTCTACTTCACACGCAATTTCAAAACTAGCGTTGGCCATTATTAAGAGGGTGTGTGTGGTGAACGCAGTTAATGGCGAAATAAAGTGAGGGAGTGGGTATCGTCGAGAGGGAAAGAGAAAAAGATAGGTTCCTTTTAGACTTGTGTCTCGGGAGTATACTGAGAGGCCCAACTTGTTGCAGATTAGCCACGCATCTTTCTCACATACTCTCTAACTTACCTATCTTTTTTCTTCCTCTTTTCTTTGTCCAGCGTTTGCAACAACTGGCCTTAACAACCGCGCTACTGTTCGCAGTATGGCTAGTAATAATAAGCTAGCCATACTAAACAACAAGGACAAAAAGTGACAGGTATACAAATAACAAAGTCCTTTCCCAAGATCAATGGTCAATAGTGATAAGTGGCCTTGTCTGCCATTATTAAAGGGATTTTGTGAAGTTGGTTTTCCTTCCTTGGCTGCTTGACACAACAACAACAAACCCCTAGTATGAGGCCAGTCATACACGCATACACTAAGGAATGCTCTGCCCGTCCTCCGGCTGGAACGGAGAGAATGTATGCTGTCTCTCACAAGCCCCCTCTATTATGGCAACAACAAAGACAATGTCAACCGAAATTAGTTTAGGTACTAGGTAGGTACTTATCACGCGGGCTCATATTCATTTCATTATTCGAACCAAGTTTTTCCGCTGAAGAAAATTGAAAGTCGTTTTGCAATGTCTTAAAGTCTCAGGGGTGGTTGTGGTGGCGATTTAGGAACCAACCAACGAACCAACCAACCGGGTTGTTTATTGAGAATATACGATCTCAACTAAAATAACGTGCATACATTTGGGAACTCCGAAACCCCTCCGTAACAGATGTGATTTTCCTGACCCGATTACCTTTTAATTGCTTCGCTGTTTTCCGGGTGGCCGTGGCCTTGCGAAATTAAATTATTATGACGGGTCCGGTTCCGTAGTTTAGGTCTTCCCGTCTTGTGAGACATGACGCGTTTATTGGATGAATCCGCGTCCTGTCTCACCAGCCAACAGGTCGGCGCTCCGCCGTGCATCGAGGAAAAGCTCCTCGCATTCTGCAACGTCTTTGACATCAATTTGGCTGCGACCATTGACTCGAGCCAGAATACTAGTTTGTCTGTTAGTAAACGGTCATATTAGATGTGACAGGGAATAAATACCTTGCGGGAGTCAACAACTGGAGACAGTATCGAAGACTGATACGCACGCCATGCTCCGCAATCTTGTCGATGGCAGCATCTGTGATCTGAACGCCTTCTGTTGTGGCTCTAATGCGTACGATTCTCTTGATCTCCTCGGCATCGTACGGCGTGGTGGGGATGATGAGGAGTCGGGCAAGGAAATCCGGAGGGATGCCATGCGCAGCAACAACACCGTCCGTGCCACGAATCGTGCACATACCTCGGTTCGAAGCGAGTACGACAATAGGCGAGATAGTAGTTTCCAGTGCTCGGTTGAGATATGTGAAGCACTCTATATCAAGCATGTGTGCCTATAAATAATTAGCTTACCAATTCATAAAGTCTCGGCAAAGCGGGTTAGAAGTACCTCGTCGATGAATAAGACGCCGGGAACAAGCTCGGCCACACCTTGGTCAATGTACTTGCTGACGACTTTGTTGATCTCTCCTCGTAGCTTATCGGTGATCTCCGTCATCTTGGGCTTCATAAGTTGACCCATCATGCTCATAATATCCTGGCCACCTTGTGGTCTAGCGTTGGCGACATCAAGGTCGTGGAGTGTAACATCTTGTACTATCTCCTTCTTCTTGTGCACGTCACCCTTCGGAATGGGAACGTACTCCTCCGCCTCGAGGTCGAACTCCGTCGCGTAAGCATCCGATCGTCCGACTCGCTTGCAGGCACCTGTGTTTGCCTCGATATAGACGACATCTCCGACAGTAACTCGCTCCTTTTGGATGGCCTCATATATACTTGGGTCTAGTCTCAGCTTCTTCTGACCTCTTGCGCTCTTCAGTCCTATTAGCAGCGTGCTAATAGTCTTGCCATAGCCACCCAATGGGTTCTCTGCCTCCTCTGGAGTAAGTTCTGTCACTTCACCCTCGTACACCTCCTTCGTCTCGCGCACTTTTAGGCCGATCGCTCTTCGGAAGTTCTCCATCAAGACCTCGGTCTTCTTCACTTCGGTCGAGTAGATCTCACTACCGACGATCGGGCAGAATGGGATTTTGGTGCCGAGCTCGTGGCTAAGCGCAAGCGCAAGCGCTGTCTTTCCGGTTCCGGGTCCGCCAGCAAGCAATACACCTCGACCAGCCATCTTCTGAGCACGAATAAGATCGACGACAACACCAGCAGCCTACAACCCAAAAAATGCATGTCAGCCTCGTAAATTAGCAGGTAAATAATATCGGAACGTACCTCTCGGGCCTGCTGTTGGCCTACGAAGCCACCAGCCTGCTTCTCAGCTGTTCCATCGGATTTGAGGCCCAAGCCTCTGATGTGTGTGTGGGCTGCGGTGCGATTTTCGCGGTTGTTGCCCTTGACCTCACTAATTTGCACCATGTTGCCGTAGAGATCCTTGTATCGCTAAAAATTTAAGGTTCGGGAAGATTGAGGGAAGTTAGCGACCGTTGTTGTGATTACGGGAAGACGTTTATGATTGAAAGGAAAATCATAAGCGAATTGAAATGAGGCAGAAGTTAGAAAGTTGAATGTTGGTATCGCATCAGAAATTATGATCTTATCAGAATTCAGAGAGCTTGGATTGGAAGTTGGAGCTCTGGAAGTCGCGAAACTTTTCTGGGGCGCGACTGCACTGACAGTGTTAAGACTGTGCACGATTACTGTACATGCATAGCTTCGATAAGGAAGCCACAGCTCCAGGTAAATCATTATGTAATCGTTATGTAATCTCGACTTTCCATTTCATGATTGAAATATCATTCAAATACTTCTTCAACCTTCAATTTCATGTCTACAAAATCTCAGTCACAGGTATTCATCTATCAGGGGCCATTTATATCACACCCTTCTACCTAACGTATATACGAACCTGTTATCTCACATCCGTCTAAGCATAACGCCCTCTTCGTCCGTATCCGTCTCATCGTCAATCGTGAACACACTCTCGTTATCCCCAGATACCACAATAGGCACAATTCCTATTTCCGTATCACCGTTGTCACTCTTCTTCTCTTCCCTCTTTGTTAGAGCAGCCCAAAGTGCGCTACCCACAATAAGTCCACACCCTGTAAGACTCATCCAACCCATCCTGTGGCCAAATACCCAACGGTCAAATCCCGCCGCAAAGAGCATATGTGTATACATCATTGCAGTGGCGCGGTTGCTTTTCTCAACAGCTAAACCGGATGTCATGAGCATTTGCATGATTAATCCTGAAGCTCCGACAACGAAGAGGAGACCCCATTGCCGTATAGTGTCTGGCAATTCGAGACGTAGCTCCGGCTGCGCATAATCGAGAGCAGGGGCCACTGAAAGTATAGTCGTCGTTACAAGCACGCACCATGTGCCAAAATAATTGACTGAGACCAGAGGATGAGCCCGCTTCCCTATACACCTAAGCGATGTAATAGCTCCAGACGCCCCGAGCACACCAAGGAGCGCAACCCCGATAGCTTTTAAGCGCTCAGCACTTGTTGGAATATGTCCTCCGCCAGGGTACGAGACTTCTTCTGCTGTGGCATTAAAAACAGCCTCCGCCGCTATAATGCTCGGGGCAGTCTGTGGGGGTGAAGCACCAGAAAAGAGAGATAACGGCCGCGTGATGAGCACCACACCTCCCAGGGCTATGAATGACGCAAGTTGTTCCCTCCGCGTGAAGGAGTCATGAATCAATATATGACACATATAGCCAGCAAGATTTGGTGCTAGAAAGCTGATGACGGTTGCTTCGGCCAATGGTATATACTTGACCGAGTACCACATACCATATATACCGAAGAAACCGGTGAAGCCTCTCAACACCAACAGCCACCTAACATCTTTAGGCCCTAATATTCCGTGTGGTATCCTCTTTCGCCAGATATATATCGATGAGAATATGGTCGTCATCACCTGTCTTACAAAGAGCAATTGTATAGGATGCATAGGTTTTTCATCGACTTCCAGTAGACGGGCAGTGAGGTTCATCAACGCTCCGAAAAACTGTGCCGAGAACACCAGCAGTGGTGCTTTGTTCTTTTGCCAGGTTGATATAAACCATCCACCAAGCCCCGAGTGGCGCGCCTCAAAGGGTTTCAGGGGAGGTCCGGGCGACGGACCCCTTGAGCCAACCGGAACGGCCAATGCATCTGAAGAGAATGCATATGGTTCAATATCTACAACAGTAGATACTTCTGACTCGAATGTGCCCTTCTTGTCGGATTTATCGATCGCGGTAGGAAGGTAAGAAGGAACGGTTCCATCTTCGTCGTTATCGAAGACGTATTTAGTCTGGACAGCAGACACTGAAGATGGCATTGTCATTGATGACTCAGGCGCTCACGCTAATCAACTATATGAACTCCATATACAGCCACGCGGAATTTAAATGCAACGACACAAACAGAACATAAAATGGGTTTATGGTATAGTATATCTTCTGTGTCTACTAAGAGGGTTTCTAGGTAGACTATTCGAGGTGAAAGAAGATAAAGCAGCCCACATCGGCCAAAGCTGGACCTCTCATATGCGGGGGGCGGCAAACAATTATTAATAACAATGTTGCCTCACGCCTTTGGACCATGCCCAATTCCCATACAACCATAACCTACAGAAGTAGTCGTGTGCCGCCAAAAGCTTATGTGGAGACTAACCAACTTTTCCGTGAACGGGATACGACAGTTTCATCGGAAGTGGGAAGACTAAGGATGCATCCTCAAGAACAAGCGCTACCAAGAATGTAAAAGTCTGCCCTGAGGCTGTCGGGAGACCTGAACAGGATCTTCTGTCGCAGCTAGATATGCAGGCTTATGGTGTGGTCACCTTTGTCCACCCCGATGTCGCGGAACTGTCAGCGAATCGGTCGCTACCCCGCGTGTCCCGCAAAGCCGAAATAGTAATCGCTCCATCCGGGGTTGTAGGTCTACGACGATCTCTGGGTCGGTAAGGTTGCAAGATTTTCAAGGCCCGATGCAATGGAATGTCAATCAACAGCCAAGTGCCTAACCTAATCGTCTCAACAAATGACGAAGGGCAATTGCCGAAAGTTTGAATAAAAAGCGACGGATGTCCATGTAACTGAAGGTTAAAGGGACAGCTGACTTGACGCAGATTATCACCTAGTTGGTTAGCTCAGGAACGGGTTCAATCAAGAACATGCATTGGGGAGTATAATCTGGCCCGCTAAATTTACCCCATCGTCATCGGCACCGTTGAACTCTTCAGCTATAAGGTTGCAAGGGAACTCGGCTATACTGACGTAAATCCAATATAGATAAGTATTCTGCCAGTTCTTCTGAAGCAATGCCGAGTGTTAATATATTCTATCCGTTGGAGGCGTTCTTGGACGGGAATGCGATGGGAATATTGGACTTAATTAACCGTCACGCAAGGGATCCGATATCCTACCGAGTATCCGAAGCGGACTTCTTGTATTATGTAAGTCAAGTCATCCCTTGAGAACCTAGATCGTTATCTTAGAAAACAGTGATAGAGTTGTCGTAGAATTACATCTAGATAGGTAGTTGAAATGGTATTGTCAATGTCTATTGAATGTTCGAGTAAAACGGTGATATCCTCAGTTAGATGATAGATGCTATTATGTTTAGGAGGTAGGTATAAATGTAATGAATCCGCGACAATACGGGTAGGGAGTAACGACCCAAATGAACACGAAACTAGGAGGTTATCTTTTCGCTTATCTCGCTTCTTTGTTCAGTCCAATGTGCTTTCATGTTGTCCATAACTTATCGAAAGTGACATAAAATATTGACGAGTAGGTATTCTAGGTAGGTTTCAGCGCTGGCATGCCCCTATTCGAGATAAAGCGCCGACATGGCAGAGTCAAGAGACAATTTGAATTATTTTCGATACACAGTATATCAAAGTGCAATGGATGTAAAATAAGACTGTAGAAGAAATAGTCCTTAAAAATTACCTAGGTGTTAATGGGAGAAGAAAAACTGGCGGTAGGTTCGAACATCTCAACACCAAAAAACTTCTTGAAGGCCCAGCTCAGGTATTGTTGATCGGCTCCTGACTACTGCGCCCCCGCTATTGGGTATTTCTTTGCCACTCCATTTCAGGCCCCTCAGATTGCTTTGTTCGATTGTGTATTCGATAGTCTGTTCGATTGTTTTTTTTTTCTGATTTTTTCTGATTTTTTTTCTATTTTTTTTTCTATTTTTTTTCTATTTTTTTTTTTTGCAATCTTCAGGAATCGAACCCTGGACCTCCCCATTTCAGGGGCGTCGTTAAAGGGGGTAAGATGTGGTGTCTGAGGCACATAACCAACTAGACCATTGCCAGCAAGGCCGTTGATCTAATGCCGCCGATAGAAATTTGCGACTGTATTATAGTATATAAGCCTTGGTACGAGAGTCGGGCAAACTGTTGCCTGGGCTTGACAGTGGGCATTAGCCACTGTGGGCGCGATAGTTGTATAGGTGACACGGTACGCGTTGCCATAGTCATGGGTTGGTGTTCTATGCGTTTCTGTACGTGTTTGTCACTAAGCTGTACTGTGACTCGCGCTCAGATCACGTATCCAAAGAACCCCTATCTCCTGGATCCCATATGCCATATGCCATATCCCACTCCATACACCGGCCCCTAGTTAACCAAATAATCGGACCAACTCGCAATAGCCGTCCCGTTCAGCGGCACACAACGCCTAATCGTAGACCCGAAAGGCACCGCCCTGCCTTTGCAGTTTGTCTCGGTCCATCCCGTCAAGGTGAGGTTATTCGGCCACTGATTCCAGGACAAGAGCGCCGACCCCGTACCCGGGACCGCGATGTTCTGGCACGAGCCCCAGCCATAAATGAACACTCTAACGCCACCGGTGGTCCAGTTGCAGTTGGCATTGGCGGTGAAAAATTTTGCGTCGAAGATGACCGGTTCGTCGGGTACTAAAGTTGGGGACGGGGATACGGATGAGGTTGTGGTTGTGGTTGCGGCGGATAGGGAGGTGAATATGGGGAGGAAGAGAACAGTGCAGGGACGCATCTTGTCTATTCGTCTTGACTAATCGATGCCGTTGTTCGAGGTGTGAGACTTGCGTCAAAGCCGGGATTTGCGTGCCTGAGAGAAGGGACGTAAGAGTAGAGGTGGTTAATCGAAGAGTTGAGATACCTACCTACATTACGAAGCAGAGGATTCCTGATTTATAAGATTTATAATCTAGGGCAGACGTCCTTCTCTGGAGGTCATACTGCCTAGACACGTCTGGACCATGGTAATGTTATACAGGTCAGTCTCGGCCAGGCCGTCCTGTCTTAACCAGACTGAAGATAATTCGTAGACAACTCGACTTCGGACCATTAGTCAAAGCTTGTAATCCCATTGTTCAACGTCTTTAATCTCTGATAGAAAGAACTAAGACAAAAGTGCCCTGCTTCGACGGGGTAATTGGCGTTCCTATGGTCAGCACTTAATTCGACAATCCACCTTCTGAATACAGGTAACCCCAAGGCTAAGACTAGGTAGACAAGCGCATGGTTCGTAATCCTTCGACTCGACGGGAAAGGCCAACCGTTCGATTGCCGGGCCGCCTCCCCATCTCGATCCTCGTCTTACACGATGGATCGCCTAGTCGAAAGCACAGCAGCATCTGAAGCAAGCGATCGGATTACGTGAGGTCATACAGCTTGGTGAAAAGTAATAGTTAATTTTAGTAGAAGTGTATCAATCTCAAGTGATAAGAGCCCAACCTGAATAATCAGGACTCTGGAACGCCGCCTGGTATTCCGTGTCCATAACGCCGGTGCTATGCATATGAATCCAGTTTCATCCTCGTCGTAGTTTGCGGTAGACCATCCCGTCGTATCCCAACAGAGCCTACCACACACCCCTCAACGACCCTCCTACTTCGCCGGCCTCTTCCTCTTCCTGCCACCCGTGCCCTTCGACGAAGTATCTCGCGTAACCACCAAATCCTCATCCGCCTCATCCAAGCCCAACAACTCGTCCTGCTCAGCCTGAGCAGCCGCCGCCTTCCTCGCACCGTCCTTAGCGGCATGTTCCTTAGCGATGTCGTCGTCGTTCTGGTTGAAGGTGCGGCGCGCGTCCTTGATCTCCTGGCGCTTCTCGATCATAGCTTTCACGCGGCCGAGGTACTGCGGACTGTGGCGCAGCGCGAACTCGAAGTCGTCGAACTTGAGCTTCTGCCGCCCCGCTACCTGCGCGTGCCGGCTCGCTTCGAAGCACACGCCCTCCAGAAACTCCGTCACGATCTCGTCCAGCACGCGAACCGTCTCTTGAAGCGGTTCTTTGACGTCCCCGTACGCGTACAGGAGCTGGCCGACTGTGGGTGGGGAGGTTAGGTTTGTTTTTTTGTTTGTTTATTTATTTATTTCAGAGGGGGGTTGAGGATTATAAACTGGAATGGGTCGGAGGGGATGGGGTGCGCGTACTTTCTTTCGGACTGAAGGTCTCTTTTCCGACATTCTTGCCGGCGCGAGCTCGAGGCTCCATGGCGAAGAACGGTGAAGGTGGATGGTATTCTTAAGAATAGTGTTGCTGCAATTGACTCGGACTCGATCTTCGGCTTGTGTATATAGGTTTCGAGATACGTGACGCGTGTGGCGCACGTAGCGTTGTAGTACGGTCGCAACAGTTGAAGTCGACGTTGAAGTTTGACCGAGAAACGTGGAAGGTGAAAGATGTAAGGCTGAAGAAGTCGCACCTCTAAAACTCGAGGTTTGGTTTGGTATTAGCTAGTGGGGTTAGATTAGTGAGCACCCCGGTCCGTGTAACGTCTTAGCTAGAATTAGCTTACCGTATCCACTCCGGACCCCTGCCTTTCACGTGCGGGTTATCGTCGGAGAAATCGTTCTTACGTAACTACGTAAATCTGGCGACAGTTGAATCAACATGACGCATCTCGTAGCTTAACAACTTCGCATATCTGTATAAATCGATACAAGAACACTCTATTTTCGCGCATTTCGATACGGGCAATCTCCTTTGACGATCAGATACAAGCTGCCGAGATGGTACGTTCAGACTCGAACTAACTCATCCCCCTTGTTTAGTTTGATAGCTAATAGTCAATACCAGTCCGCACTCTTCAACTTCCAATCCCTCCTACTCGTCATCCTCCTCCTCATCTGCACATGCGCCTACGTACACCAAATATTCCCGACTATCTTGGACAGAAATAAGCAAGGGTAGGTTATCTACCGCATAAATGATACAATAGGTACATTGCGACGAAGACTAAACATGGTTATAGTTTGATGGGCATCTTCTGGAAGGCGGCGAGAGTAGGAGAGAGACTCAGTCCATATATAAGTCTATGCTGTGTTGTCATGGCGGTAAGCTATACATCTTAAAGATTAACCCGTCCCCTTGGACCTATCTAATGGCAACTAGGCCTCGATGGTTGTTGGCAATTAGATCGATTGATTGCCTTCTATATGTTTCGCATAAGCCAAACGGAGTTCGGTTCGATTCATGGAGTAAAAATGGAAATAGGGATCTGGGTGAAACAAGTGCCGTACTAGGTTATAAGTGAAATGATTGTCTATCCATACGATGGTGATCCCGGCCATATATCCGTCAGACCACTCGAGAGCATTCATCAGTTCTACAGCGGCAAACGATCAGTCTACTCATTTCTCCTCACCCTGCGACAGTAGCCAAGTTCGCCATGGTCGTTATGTGTGGCATCAGTTGTGTACCCCCATCGCCGAATAGAATACTATGAGCAAAGATGAGAATGTGGTGTATAGGTTTAGTTAGTCAATCTAATGAGCTCGACCCCGAGATCATTCGGGTCGACTAAATACCGACCAAGGATATAGGTTGGAGAGGTTCACGAGGGTAGTAAAAGGTCATTTGCCTAGATATCAGAGGGGTGGTCACCCCCTACCCATCTATGAACGCAAATTTGATAGTTATACATTATTTCTCAACAGGAACCCCTCTACCCGAGAGCACGTTCCTCCTACATGGCTCCTGTCAGCTTTGGTCCGAATCCCACGGACTGCGCGGGTCAGTGAAAATTTCTGGTTGGATTTGGGTAGCATTTCTCCTTTCTCTTCTTCGTATACCGAAGTGACTACCATCTCCATCATTCGGGGGACCGAAGTCCTTTTAATGTGTATGAATAGTCGTGGAGGGGGGAGGGACGTGATGTTACGAAGCACAGGATTCGAAGAACATTGTTACACTGCATTCTTTTCAAACTTCGGTATCCCTTATTCAGCACCGCTTACCGCCCTCTACAGTCTCTTCTCCAACTTAGACGCGCATTTTATATTCGTGACCATCCTAAGATAGGTCTGTGTGAGAGGAGAATAGGGGGTGTTAAATATATTAGAGGCAATCCTGGGCTATATTCGTGATAGTATTGGTAATTATGTACGACAGTCACGAAATATTTAATATGGAGATACCGAATCAATGGGGGTGGGTGACATTCATAGGATCAATGCCAAATTCTTCCTGACTATAGATAAGTATTACACCAGAAAGAGGCTTACATGTCTTACTCATGTTATAAATTATACTAGAATTGTTTAACTGCGAGTTGATGGTAACTAGGTAGGTATGTATCTATATAATTCATATTATGTGCGTCGTAGATCCGTCCTGATTGGGTTCCCGAGAAGAGAATGTTCGAAGAAGGAGGATTGTGATTTGTCGAGAGCTGATTGATCTCAGACAGTAGACAGGAAAGATGTGATGAAGATATGCTGACGGCAGCTCTTTAAAATGTTCTTACACCCTCAGCCTTGTATTGACTGCATGTCAGATTACGGTTTTACCACCTTATGGAGATCGACCTTTTGTCTTTGCATCTTTGCGTCGTTGCATCTCTGCATCTCTGCATCGTTGCGAATGAGTGAAGTATGTAAACCCCTATTCCCGGGCACCGGGGAACAGGCGCATAATTAATAGATGCAAACACGGGTTCGTGCTCGATCCTTCGGCCTGTCTCCGGCTTTGTTGGAGGATGACTTGCATATGGCTATGAACTTGTGACGTCGCACGACCTTGGATTTACTTGATAAAGGGTTTGATAAAGGGGATAATTATGATGTTATGTATGTCGTGCTGTGTCGAGTTACAGTGGGTTGCGGAGAAAATCGAAATTGGTCCATCATGCAAATTGATGCAAATTGATGTGATGAATACAGAATAGATTCATGAACAATTGTGGTAGCGCCTCGATAGTTTCTGGCATTATGCAGTCGCTAGATGCACTATGTCGAAACTAAGACAACAACAACTCGGAAAGCGGAGAGCATAAAATTAATACCTTAGTACCTACATAGTATAATCGTAACTCAAAGTCTTCGACGTCATGATTGAACATCTCCGAAGTAAGAGAGCCGCGATGTTCTGTTCCGGACAGTCTGGATAGTCTAGGGGGCGGATATGTCCGATTTTAAAAACCTAGAAACCTCTAATACAGATCTAGATAATGGAGGCGGAGATCGTCATTCGGTATATAAATGGTGAACGGCGATGTGGATATCATTAGTTGATCTGTTATGAGTGATAAGCACATTCCCGAGAGCGTTACGGGATGCGAAAGACCATTGCCATCGCCTATCCGGGAATTACGCCGCATCGTAAGCGGGAGCCAGCAGAGCCTAGTGGCGTCTCATCCGTGCCCGCTCCGTTAGCTCGTCCATCTTACAATCTGTCAACTTGAAGACTTGAACTGGAAAACTTCCTAGGTAGGAAGTCCGGAGGAAGACTCCAAAGGAGTCGGCATAGCCGTAATACCAGCCGCGGTTTGCACGGGATTGTCCGAGTACCTAGCACGTTAGGTCCAGTTAGTTACCCCCTATTACCTAGTAGTAAGCTATCCTGACTCGTAGACTCGTACGAGATTCTCGTCATTCGCGACTATTATCGAGGTCGAAAATGTAGTAAGTACGAAATAGTAGTGGTGGTGGTGGTAGTAGAAGAAGCAGTAGAAGTAGTAGGTAACTAGTGCAATGGGTTAGGGGAGACTTCAGACAATTCCAGATGTAGTGATGCAGCTTTCTGGCGAGCTGCAGACTCAATGGATACATGCTCCCCGAGGGCGACTGTTTCAAGACTATGTAGGTACATGACCTTGAAATGGCTCTGATGTTATCGTGCAACTGCTGATGTTGCGGTAACACCAGAGTAGCAAACATGTTACATGCCAGGAACGAAAACTTGACAAGCCAGTTTCAACGAATTAGATGACACAATAGGGCTCCCGACTTTCCTATGTTGGCCATATGTTTGTAACCGCGCCGACTTATATGACCAATTTAGTAAACGAACAGGTCTACTGTTTACTATATCGGAAGTTAGCTGTACGAAGTAAGTAATAATAATTACCTATTATTGTAAAGTTACTTTGAGTCAAGACCAAGACCAAGACCAAGACCCAAACTCAACTCAACTCAAGACAACCTCAACAAACGGGAATATGATTTTCATTTTCTTCCTTCAGCTTTCTCGGAAGATGAAAGTTGGGTATCCGGGAAGGATGGTGTGAATGTGCTATGGCGGTTATTTCTTTTTCTTTTTCGTTTCACTCGAGTCTTATCACGGGTCGATGGCATCTTTAAGGTACGATTCTTGGGTAAGCGGCATGGCGCCGGCGCTGGTAGGCTAGTTGCCTGCGTTTCCACCAAGCCCGCGCTGCTCGGTACGGAGTAACAATCCTACTATGTATCCTAGAAGTTGTACTCCGTCAAAGGGGTACTTGGTTAGTACTCTAGTGTCGCATATGTCTTGTATTCTTCCACAATAAATAACGTAAGGGAACACTTCTGATTGCTGAATGTTCCAGTATCTCCAAGTATTAGAGACCGCCATCTCGTTTCCACTCATTTAGACCGCCGATTCCAGCCCCGTTAGCGGCGCAAAAGCTGCAGAAGCCGCTCGCCTCACTTTTTTTAAGCATCCGTATTGAAATTAATATCGAACGGCATGGCCATCCACGCAACAGGTTGAGTCGTGAAGGAACAGAATGTCCCAATGTCCATGTGTAGGTAACCAACTGCAACTGGCATTACCCATTAATAGGCAGATAAGTAGAGAGGAAACTGGGACAGCATCTCATCCATCTCATACACCGCTAGGTATATCCTATCAGCTTAGGTGAATCGGAAGTCGACGCATTCCTTCCCGGCAATATGTAGTTCACACCATGATCGCCGTCAGACTCGTGGCAATCTCATGGTTGTTCTTTTGAACTCCAGTCCCTCTCCTCACTCCTCACTTCTTATGTACTCCTCATCCAACGCCCAACGCCTAACATTGAAGGTTTCCGGCCGAGCCAAAGCACCGCCTTACTATGTAGATCTTTAATCATTGCTTTTGCCCTGTTACATACCACATCCCTAGTATATATACATACACATACCTACCTTAGGTCCTACATATGCGACATCATGCCCACTAACTAGCAGCCCATATTATCACCACATACTTAGTACATATAATCACTATCACCGGCCGCCTTGACTCTGGTCTCAATGTTGGGTTGAACCATACAGCCACCAAGCCATACTTCTCACCGACAGGTGCATTGCTTCTACCGCTACCGCTGCCGCCGCTGCTGCACACCACGACTGGCCATCTGGGCGACAGGTCATCGAAACACCTACTGCGCCCTACTGCATTGTCTGGGGATGCTCATTGCTCATCGTGGTATTCGTATTTTGTTAGTTACCAACTTGCCAGGTCTTTGTCAGGCATTTCCCACATATCTGAGAAATGATAGGGTGTGATTTGCAAAAATGAATCGATGGCTGGGCGAGAATCTTCCACATCTCTACCACGCCTACCGCATATTCTTCTACCTTGTCTGCTTCATCCCTACACCATACACCACACGAATTACTATATTATCATGCTTCCAGACGTTTGCGAGTCCGCGCCCGCGTTTGCGTATGCTGCATCGATCTGGCTATCCGGTAAAATTCGTCGACGATATCTGATACGATGCTAGATTTAGACGTCGAGTGACACCTAGATCAGTGATATGTAGGTGCAGGTTGAAATATTAATATATCGCATATCGACATGAAATATTAGGATGAAATACTTCGTACGGGAAATAGTCTAGAAGTGCATGAGAATACCTACATAGATACTACTAGGTATGTACATACGTACCTAGGTAGGTACCTAGACTGGGTAGTAGCACTTGAGATATTGGAATTAGGTTATGCAATTGACCATGCAGGGACGGATTATTACGATTATGATTCCTGAAAAGGTATTGGCTTGTTTCGTTTCGCAAATTGGACCTTCCACGGGGGGCATGGATGGTGCCAGATTAGTCCCGGACTTGACCCAAATCAATGGAACTCAGGTCCAACCCTTTGAAGCCGCAAAGCCTTAAGAGAAACCACGCTAGTACATACACCACAGCGTAAAGAGCCCTGGAGGGTAACAACCTTGGAAAGTAACGATGTACCTTGAACGAAAGCAGACAAGGTAACTGCCACGGGTGTCTTGCAACTTGCTGCTGCAGCTAGTGAAAAACTCGCCTAATCTTAGGGCGACACCCCCCTGAGCCACTATCTCTGCCACTTTTTAGTACATAGCAGTTCCCTGGTCTAAGGGATTAGGGATTAGAATTTAGGGGAATTTATTCCCTGAACGAAACAAGTCGAAACGAGATTTTCTCTCGCTTCATCATTTTTTTCTTCTATCTCTTCACGATTCCGTCAACAACCCACCACATCCACTGCTTCCTTTTCCGTTCTAAAAGTCTTCGCTTGCTGGCTTGGGACAAAGTCGTCTCCACGGACCATTGCCTAGCACGTCCTTTTAGGGTCCCCGGACGCTAATTAAAGACCGTCATCGGAGTCTTTTCCAAAGTCGGTGTCAGCTAGGCACAGCAATGTGCAGATCGGTTGGTTGACTAAGTGCTTTTGGAGGGATCTTAATTGTTACCCATCCCTTCCTAGATCCCAATTTGAACCATTATGATGATATGTCCTATCCTAAAAAGGACGAAGAGTGAAAAAAAAAAAAAAAAAAAAGACAAGAAGAAAAAAAAAAGAATCCCACCTGGATGCAAGCCAAGACACACCGGTCCCAGGCCTGACTAAAGAACAAGGGCAACGCCTCGTGTGGTGTGTTATGTATTATGTATGCGTGCGTATGCGCGTTTGCGTGTCTGTTGTACTAATGTATTATTATTATCATTCTTGCTCTGCTGGCGCCTTTTTTTTATGCTGATCGCAAGTTCTCGTCCCTTTGCGGCCCTCGGAGAACATGACTCCTGAGTCGTGGACCGAAGTAGACCAATCCATCTACGTCCGGTCTACCGGTTTACCAGTAGTTTACCGGGCTATTATTTACTACTATCTCTTTTTTTACGAGAGCACAGAAAGCCTAGCAAAATCTTTTTTAACATCGTTTTATCATTCTACTATGCATACTACGATGGTGGCGATCGACTCATCCCTGGGGCTCTTACTGCATACTACATACTTAGGGGCCCCCTTGGATCACTTGGATCGTTTTGAAGTCCCCACGCCGCCACCGCTGGATGAGGAATTTCTCATTCATACTAGGCACTATCGTCTCAGCCAGCAGGAAGGAGGCGTCCAAAAGGTAACCAAAAAGTCTCGCCCTCTGCAGGCCTAGGAGCTGTACGTTCCAGCCATACCTACTAGGTGTGTTCAGGAGAGAAAGGCATAAGCACCTTTGCATCTTAGCATCCTAGCACCTGAAAATCACCTAAAAATCACCTAAAGCAAAGCCTGGAGATCTAGCAGGTGGCACTTAGGCATCTTGAACTACCATCATCCATGATGTGAGCCCATAAGCCACAACACGAACGACGCAACACGCACGACGAACCATGAGCTTTTAAGCCATAGCCATAGACTACTACTATGCGTACATGTTCTATGAGCCGCGGAAGGATGTGGTGTGGATGCAATAGCGCATTGATGAGTATCAGTGCTTCACATTTCTCATTTCCCCCGGAACCATGTCTATCCATTGTCCACTACACACCCCCTTACCCGTAACCCATCACCCATACCTACACCCATAACACCCATAACATCCATAACACCCATAACCCATACATAACCCATAACCCGCCTGGGCCTGTGGACCGTGGATACATGCTATGGTACAAAGTACGGTACTATTACTTTATTACTTTCTCTTCCAAGTTAATAAAAATAATAATAATCTACTTTCCCGTGATTGATTACTGCTTTTAGTCTCTTAATACCACCCTTGTCCCTTTTTTGTTTTTCGTTTTCTAACTTTCCCTTCCCGCCAACAACCTACTTACATAGATATTATTATTATTGATCGCCTCGTTCCTGTCCACTCGCGATATCTTCTTCCTTTCCTTCCCCTTTGTTCGGCCCTTCCTACTCCATACACCCACCTCTTAGGAAGAAATACAAAAAATAATAATAACTACCTACCTGTAGAAAAGAAGAAGAAAAATAAGGAACCAAGGTACATATTCTCCCAACTCAGCTCCTTGTCCTGAATCGTTCCTCCAAGGATTCCTACTGCAAACATACATATTACATATTCTTCCCTGACCGTAACTGCTAGTTGCCAGTCCTTTTCAGGGTTGGCTTGCAGCATCCTCTCAAATCATAGGCGGCCAAGTAAGACCTCTAAAACCCACACGCTTTCCCACAGATGCAACAAACACCACTCCTTCACACCTCTCGATTCCCTTGTCTCGAAGTACACAACAGGCGAGCTAGGGGTACATCTGCAGCCATCCGCTTTCACGAGACCATTCCGTCCAACATCGGAGCTGTTTGCCAAATCTCTAAAATATAGAACCCGTCCACTGACCAACTACCCGATTAGTACTCATATCCTTCCTCACTTGGCCATCTACCAAAATTTCGTCGAAACCGTGACTTGAATTATAGCGCAGGAACGAAAGAAATCACACATAACCAGCCGAAAGATCAGTTTTTAAGCCTCGATCGAGCTAGTATAGGAACGCCGTGACGAGTCGAAATCACGGTAGAGAAGATGGGGGATCAAGGAGCCGGTGGAATCGAGAGTCGGGGCGTTGAGAGCAACACAACAAGACGAATGTCTGAGCCACGACCAAATTCACACGACGACCAGATCCAGCAAAAATCTTCCGAAACGAAGGCACCTAATACCGAGAGCGAGGAGCAAAAGTATGCACAGACTGGTCCCAGACATTTGGTGCCTGTGCACCCCGGAAATCCGACGTCGAGTGGTGGGCTTTCGCGGAATCCGTCTACAAGCTCTAACGTCTCTAGAGACTCGCGTATCTTATTTGAGTTTTCTCAAAGACCTCGAGCTTCAAGACCGTTGGAACCACCGGTAACGAAAGCTACTTTGAGCGAGTTGGATGTAAATAAGATTATCCACAACCCAAAGTTACGCCACGATATAAATTTCGACCCGGACCTTCATTTCAGACCCAATGTTGATGGAGAGAAGGGCAGACGAAAGCAAGAGAAGGCCAATCAATTTTGGAATACACTCACGGAACAATTGCAACTATTTATCATGGATCGGGACGAATTCATGGCTAGGTTTGGACAGGGCGAAGAATGGTGCCTCCCGCAGTTACTAAAGTCGGTTAAAGAGATCATACAGACATTGGTGCCGCAGAGGGATCGTATGTACCTGGACGAAGGCCTAAACGTGGATTTGATCATGCAACAATTTAGCAAGGGGATGGCAGATTTGGAAAAGCTAGCTTCGTGGTTGTCTGGAGTGCTCAAGTCTCATTGCGCCCCTATGAGGGACGAATGGGTAGACGAGATGTACAACCAGCTAACGAACGGTAATAAGACTAATGATATGGAGGAATTGGTACAAGGAATGCGAAGCCTCTTGAGCGTTCTAGAAGCCATGAAGCTCGATGTTGCCAACCACCAAATCAGGTGTCTACGACCGATTCTGATCGAAGATACGGTCCACTTCGAGCAACGTTTCTTCCTGAAGAAAATCCGGGATCGCAAGATGGACCCAAGTCCGGCTCAGGCGTGGTACTTGACGGTGAGTCAGTATTATTCCAGAGATCCTGCGTCTGTCCAAGCGTTTGGAGAAATGGGTGTATTTTTCGAGGCGCTGTGCAAGATGATACTTCCCTCGACCGATCCTTACTCGCATCCGGACACATTTGTATTCGACGAAGAGCGAATGGCCAAACTACGATCCGATATGCTTGATGCAATCAACCTTGAAATCTGCATGCGTCTATATGAGAACTTAGAGAGGAGGTACAGATATTGTGATTCAATGTCTAGCGTCAGCTCCATTCCCGCGCCTTTCCTATCAACACCATTTTCAGATGCTTCTGGCTTCCTAAGGACAGAAGATGATGACTCAGCACATTCGAGACCATCCAGCCTGGTATTCAGCTCTGCTGGATCAGCTCACTCCTCTCCACGCGCTTCCCTAATATTACCCACTCAACCAGCCGCAAATCGCCCAGAAGATCAACAATCTAAATCGAAAAATCTTTACAATTCGCTTGTTGCACTGCTCCAAACCTCCCCCGCCAGCTCACGATCAGTTTCCCGATGGAAGGCTATGAAAGATTCCTTAGCTCTCCAAATTTTCCGATACACCAACGCCCCAGCACAAGACCTTTTGCAATTCGAAGACGAGCTTGATAACCACCTATCCGAACTCTCCTCCCCGCTCTTCCAGCAGGTAGAACAGTACTACCACTATCACCTCCTTGTGGAAACCCGACAACGTGTCAAGGACTTTAGGGGGCTAACCGGTGCTGCCCTATTCTCGGTCGCTACCGGCGGTCGTTTACATGGCCCTAACCGCACCTTCGACGGTCCCCGCGAGAACACAACTCGAGAGCGTACTTCTCTGGAGAATGCTATCAGGGAAGCGCGGGAAGAGGGCGGCGTCGAGGATATGGCCACGCGACTAGCCCACATGGGTCTGCTCCATTGGAGAGTCTGGTCGCATTTGGCGTACGCCGGAGACCTTGACAGTATCATGGCCATACCTGATATGCCGATGGCGATCTAATTATTGACGTGTCACGCATGAGATCCTCTTCGATTCTTGGAAGTACCGATTTTCTCGTTCACATGGAAACACGCCTTACATTTTTAATCAGCTCCATCTCATCACCTTTCTCCCTTCATGATTGCGTTTCGGGCGATACCTCTATGGCGAGTCGACATTATTAATACCCATTATCCATTACACCCCACTTAATCACATGGCATTGGTCGTTTACCGCTTGGGACGCCTTTTATTTTCTTTTCTTCGATAATTCTGGACCGGCATCTTTTGTCTTTTTATTGGTGTTTGTTTAGGAGTAACGGACTTCACATCTGGTTCGGCGGGGGTCGTTCACACAAAGGCATGGATGAGGCATAGTCAAGTTTTTAGATTTGCAACCTCCTTTTTTCACGTACATTTCATACTCTCTTCTGGTTGCAACGTCTCTTTTTGGCGAAAGGGTCTGCATTCAAAACACATACCCGGTCTACATTTTCAAAGGCGTTATGTGTGTGTCTTATTCTTCGGCGGCAGGCGAGGCGAGAGAAATTGATCATTACTTTTGCATCATACATAAGAATTACAGGATAGCTTCTTCATCCTTCGCCCGCGTCATTATTCTGGAGAGCAAAGCAATGAGGCGGACTAGGGTTTTATCATGAGGAGGAGAAATTATTTTTACGCCTCTGGGGCGTGGCAAATCATAGTAGGCACGATGGTTGCGGTGATGACGGGACGAACCATAGTCTAAGAAAGAATTCCTCGCCGCAAGGTTGGTGTGTACAGATGTTATTCGCTTTTCTCGGTGGAGCGGGTCGAAAACGAAGATGCAGAACGGAGCCAACGAGACAATAATACCAGACCCAAAATCCGTCTACTAGTTTTTTATCGTAATGGAGATGATCATTGGTGACTATCGTGTCTTAGGTACATACGAATTTACCGCCTTACGAGGGCGGCGGAGGGTCCCACTCCCAGTGCTGGCATGATATAGTGGCAGTGGCAGTGATGAATCCTAATGTGTAATAATCCCCGATGTGGCTTTTTTACAACACGGACGTACATGAGTTCGTTGGTGACGAAGTTTCCTCAGCTGTTCGCCCTTCTAGGATTATGGGTTGGGTTGGGTTGGCCAAGAGCCGACCCAGCATGAAAGAAAATCCATGTGATTTGTGATATTTTGACTCTTCCCACCCCCTTTTTTTTCCCCAAGCAGCCCAAGTACCTAATAGAGAGAAAAGAGAAAAAGCGCCGCCAAATTGGTCAGTTTTCAAAAACGAGAAAATTTCCAAATCGGTCCATCCCGCAGATTTTCAGCCAACCACATTCCGCGCGTTCCTGAAGATCGCATCTCTAAGCCACCCAACCCAATCAAAGGGGTGGTGGATGCATAATATGGGGACCGCTTCGAAAGCTGAAAAAAATTCTAGAACTAAAAATAAAAACCTTCCATGAGTTGACAATGCGCTGGGACCTGGAAGCTGGGATCTGGACTTCCCCCCCGTCTTCTCAGCTGAGGCAAGGTGTGTTTGCAGCACGGATCCTAGCCGTCGCTCGGACGGTGGATTCGGGACGCTTCGCTTCGTATTATAAAATCAAAAGGGCTCGCATAGACATGCCGTTGCATCGGCGCCTTTTTGTATGTAGGTACATATGATACATGTATGATCCATATGCAAGCCAACTTCGCCCGAAAAAAAACAAGACGTCTGCGTCTGGACTAACTCGATGAGGCATGCTATAACCTACCTGCAGCACTCCTCAGGTACTCTGTAAATTGATACCTAATGCGCATACATAAAACCTGTTACAACTAACGGCATACCCGAAAATCCTCTATAACAAAGCGTGCAGTAAGGGAGTATAATCGGATGTAACCACTTTCTCATCTAAGATACTATTCCAGCCAGCCAATTTCAGCTGACCGCGGCCAATTATCTAAGCAAAGTCATTCGGCAGGAATATCGACGCGCATAATTTGTCTTATAGTCATTTAAGAAAAATTTTCGTGGAAGTCATATTGTCGCCATAATAGGCGCAATAGTTGACGCAATATGCAGCCCTTATGCAGGATGACGGCGACGGAAAAGAAAAATAGAAAGAAAAAAACGCCACGAATTGCCATTATATATGACTAGTTCTTATACACATATAGGTGTGCCTCACCTGCCGGCGTCTCCTTTGGTCTGAATCCCTTACTCGGTCTATCAAAATAATAGCTGGACTTTATTGCTACCTGCCTACTTAACGTAAGACAGACAGACTATACTCATGAATCATCACCTCCGCGCGCCGGTGAAAGCTAACTTACTAACCAGAGACTTGCTGATAACATCATGCAGGACATCAATTATACATACATACCTACCAGGTAGATCGACCAACCGGCGGTTAAGTTCTAATTTAGGGGCCGCCGGGGTGGTCAGATTACCATTGAGCCGCAACCCGGCATATATGGGGTGCATATTGACGTATAACCGCCGCCAAAATCCGTAAACGGCGCGGCTAGGGATGATGGCGCGGATAAAGAGTTTTTTTTATATGTCCAACGGCACTCTTCATAGCCTATATGCTCGTTGTGATGGAGAGCATGTATGTAGTTGCATTCATGGATATATTCCTAGCATTCCTTTAAACTGACGACCCTATAGCGAATTAGGGGTTCAAGAACAGGGGCTGGAATAGTCTTAGGATGGGGTACATTCCAATACTATAGGAATACGTACCTAGTATAGACCCTAGATGAGTTACCAGTATACTCGTCAATATACCCTTTACCATTACTTCGTGTCACATAACTCAAGTAACACCAACAGTATACAAAATCCCCCAACCACATTACCCCCTTCCCCTAACCCATCTACCCAGTAGCCTAGCAAATATCAAACATCCCAACACTAGGATCATGATCCGAAGTCATATCCCCATACGCAACCCAAGTATTTACATGAACATGCTCGAACCCTTTCGTCCGCGCCGCCAACGCCGGGCTTACGAACACATGGTCCAGTTCCTGGGAATTCATATCGTAGAGATACGTATACCGCTCCTGTTCCGCAACGCCAGCGACGACATCGAGGTCCTCGAGGCCGGAGAGACGCGCGAAGTCGGCGATGGGCTGGGCGAAGGCGAATTCGTTGAAGTCCCCTAGGACGGCGATGTGTGCGGCGGGATCGCTGGCGAGGAGGGCGGCGATGAAGGTCTGGGGTTGGGGTTAGTTATCTCAGTTGCCTAGTAGGTACGGAAAAAAAGGAGAAAGGGGCAAATCCAAACTCACAGCCGTAACCACCCCCTGCTCCCGTCTCCCCCCCACGCCCCCATTAACAGGCGGTCTCGCATCGCCATGCAACGACGTGCTCCCGCCCTTCGAAGTCCAATGCACATTGACCGTAAACAGGGTCCTTCCCTCGCCTCCCACCATCTCCCACGCCGCCGCCAACGGCCTCCTGCTATCGGTCCACGCCGCGTTCGCGGGGTCCACGTAGCCCGGGTTATATCTCAACTCCGGACCGGGCAAGACCTCGTTTGCCGCTGTCGCGTTCCCTTTTTCCGGGTTACGGAGTTGCAGGACGGATGCGCGGTAGAGGTACGCGACGCGGATGTTGGCGCCGGGGGCGCCGCCGGAGATGTCGTTTAGGGGGCTGATGTAGGTGTAGTTGTAGGCGACGCTGCTGGTGCTGCTGATGGCTGCGACGAGCGCGTCGAGGGTCTTGTCTGAGTCTACGACGCCGTCGTCGGTGGGGCCGCTGTCGTCTTGGATTTCTTGGATGGCGAGGAGGTCTGGGGTGTGCAGGAACTCGACGATGTGCTTTGCGACGGCCTGGACGTGCGCGGTGTCCCCCGCGTGGAAGTTCTCGATGTTGTAGCTGCCGATTGTGATGCCGCCGCATGTGCCGTCGCTGAGGAGGGAGGTTGGTCCCGGGACTTCTGGGGCTAGGGATTGGATGATGGATATGTTTGTTAGAGGTAAGATGCGGTAGAACCCGAAGGCTTGGAACACGACGCCGGTGATGGTTTCGAGGTGGTCGCCTAGCCGTGTGTCCGTCGGGTTATCCGAACCATCGAGCGGGCTGCCGATTATTATGGCCTCTGGGTTGCCGTCTCCGGAGGAAACTGTAAGACCGGTTCGATCATTATCTCCTGTAGTTCTCCAGTCTCCAACGACCCAAGTGTCACCGTATTGATTCGGGCGCCCTACAGCACGGGGGTTCTCAATTGTGACCAATTCACCCATCAGACTCTCCCAGAAGTCCAAGCCATATAATTCCGGTTCTAGTTGAGGATTCTCGACCGAAACCAAGCTCTGGTTGTTAGGCACCGCAAACACATCCCCCTTATCTAGACCGGAATATTCTCTCGTGGGTGGACAGAGGCCCCCTTTGCCGATTACGATTGGATCGACATTCTTCCCGTGCTCTAGAATCGCTGCTACTTTCGGCGACGCGAGCTCTGTCATGTACAGATAATTCTTGTTAGAGCGATACTCGCTTACTTTGCCGTCCACAACAATAACGTCCCCAACACTAATACTAGTATTCTTGGCGAGTGCTGACCCGTACACATACAGGCCGTTCGAGACGCGCTTATCGTGTCCTGGCTTTATAGATCGAATCCAGATGCCGTCGGGCCCCTTCGCTGTCACGATTCCCGTCACATTACTCACGCTCTGGCCATTGAGCGCCGATAAGAAGCGGTCACCGTTAATCTGGGCAATTGTCTGAGCTGAGACACTGGTGATCGTGAGAAGGGTGGCCACAGCCCGTTGGAGAAGTGACATCGTCGTCTTCATCGTGCTGGAGAAGCTACCTCTAATATGAAGATAGTCTTCTCTGACCTCGTCACCGAGGAAATTAGTTCCAAATCTGAGAGCCTACAAACCTCAAATCCAACAGAGAAGGGGAGCGCATCATATTATATGCTCTTATCTACCACAATCTACGCGCAGTCTAACGCGCGGAGATGAAAAGTGGGCGTAAACCTTGGAATCTACTTATCATCAGAATGCAGGAACGGAGAGATCTAGATCTGAATCTGACGGCCATAGAAAAGAAATCGATGTACGACCTCCCCATTGGCTTCGTGGCTACGGGATAGGTACTACGCAGCACAGGGGAAAGGACCAGTCGTATCGGTCAACCCAGTCCACGTTGCATGCCCATGGCCTTGGCGACTTCCGGAAACCGAAGGTGGGAAGCTCGCCCATCGTCTACTAGGCAGCCTCCGACCTTGGCGTCGGCGAACCAATCTATTGGCGTCGGGTCTGATATCATTGACATGGAATGACGACCTTACCCTAAATTGATAGCTGAATTGTAGATATGGCAGACATAAAGTAGCGAGGAATGGGCATATTTAAGTAATCATCTTCTCATTTTCATCTTCGAACACATCCAATTGTTCGCTAAAGTTGAACATCCAAAACATAGTAATAAACCCGATTGCTAACCAAGTCGAGTGGTACAGTGTAATCCAAGAATTTTTCCAATCGCCATCCCAATGCAGATAATATCTAAAAACTGAGCCGAACCACTGGCTAAACTTTTATACAATAATAGAAAAGGGGAAAAATATGCCTTTGACAAAAGGATATGTGTGGGTATAATATTCAACAATAGAACGAATGACTGGAATGTTGGTCTTACCGAGGGCTTAATGGGCTCTTGCCAGGCCCTTGTGCCCTCTTCAATGTCCTTAGCTCGTCCTCGAGCTTCCTCCGCACCATTTGTTCCGCCTGAAAAAGGTGTTAGTTGAGTTGAGTCACGATAGGGGGAGTGGTTGTAAATGAGACATACTCTTAGCTGCTCCTCGTACTTCTTCCTCTCGGCCCTCAAGCCTGACCTGTATGAATCGGTTAGGTACGAAGTCTTATTGGTACCGCCCGGCGATAATGGCATCCGAGCAGATCCCAGTCGCTCCTTGTCGAGCTCATCTTGAATCTGCTCCTTCTCCTTCCGAAGCCTTGCGATCTCGTTGCCAAGGCTTTCCTCGATATCGGTAGTGGCCTCGCGGAGTCGCCTCTCCAGTTCTTCGTTCATCGCATCCTTCTCGTCCTTGATCTTGGAGCGCTCAGCCTTGACTCGGTCGAGCTCGTTTTCTAGTTCTCCTATCTTCTTCTCGCTCTCGACCGATTGCTTGACGATGTCGGTAAGATCTTTAGCGGTAGCTTTTAGCTCTTTCTCTAGGATATTAACTCTGTTCTGCATCTTACTCGACTCGGAGTTATTATGCAAAGCCGCAACCTCTGCAGCCCTCTCTTTCCTCGAGCCATAGGCACCATCGAGTTCAGCCTTGGCAAGAGTGGCTTCCATCTTAAGTTCAGCAACCATGCCTGTCATCTGTGCGAGTTCCTCGTCCTTGGCCTTGAGTTCGTTCTCCTTATCCTTAACAGCCTTATCAGTAACATCTCTAGCGTCGCTGGCTTCTTGTAACTGTGCAGTGATGGCTACAATGTTAGCTTCTGCCGTTACCAGACGCGCCTGTACATCCCTAGTGCCAGCCTCTAGCGAAGCGATCTTGGCATTCCGTTCTTTGAGTTGCCCTCGCGCTTCATCCATGGCAGCAGATTCTTCGGTTCGGTCCTTCTGTGACTTTTCGATGTCTTCCAAGGCGATCGAGAGTTGCGAACGAACGTTATCGGTTTCCTTCTCCGCTCGGTGGAGCAACTCTCTGATCTCTTCGATTTCGTCCATCTTGTCTCTTAATGCTTGATCTTTCTCCGAGTCGGACCTGCTGTTAAGTTCGCGCTGTTGCTTGACCTGTCGCTTCAAGACACACTTCTGCTCTTGCAGCTTGGTGGCTTGCCTGTATAGCCACTGGATCTTAGTCTCGAAAGCCAACAATGAAAACGGTTCATTGGCATCGAATGACTCGCCATCAGACATTTCGTCCTCGTCTGGATCTAACCCCTTCTCCATGCGAGCCTTTCGCCGTTCTTGCCTCCGTTGCCTTATACCGGCATAGCCAGTTTGGATCATGTCCCAGAGTCCCATAAGAACCGGCTCGGACTGTGCCCCCTGGCTTTTGCTGCCACCTTGCCGCAACTCATCCTCAACTACCTGCAGCGATTCCCGCAAGTAACCAAGCTGATCCTCAACACCTAAATTAACGTCCGGTGGCGGTGGATAGGTTATATTGGCCTCTAGGAGTACGCCTTGAATCTGAGCATTGACTGTTTGTATCTTTCCTGCCATCTGCACGGTGTTGCCTCGGCCTCCAGAAATGGCAGCTAGAACATTTTCAAGGTACTCTAGATGGCTTCCAATCATATCACCAGGTTCAAGTTGACCGGATGGCACAGCCATATAATTGCCATTTTTTGCAGGGTCTGCGTTCACAACCATATCGCGTAGTTGGCGGTTGAAGTTCTCTAATTTACTTTCTGTGTCCGAAATCAGCTTCCATTGAGTTGAACCCGATCCTCTGAGTAGCGATTCAGCCTGGGCCCGGAGCTCTCGGTTCTCTTCACGCAACCGCTCGCTTTCCTCAGTAAGCTGTTTGTTTTGTCCTCGAATGGGCGACTTCATGGGGATCTCGATGGTGCTCTGTTGAAACTGATTGTTGAATCTATCAGACTGGTCAAAGGACCGATACAAACTTGCTTCGTCGAAAGTAAATCCGTCTTCTAAGAAGTCCATTCCGAGGCTGTCACGGCCATTCGATGTTGTATACATGCTCTCGGGACTAGCAGGAACGCCGTTAAGAAGAGGAACCCTAGGAGATGGATTCGCCGATTTCTTCGCTGTTTTATGCGTAAGCTGTAGGATGCCTGCGGTATGTTCTAACAATCTCTTCTGGGGCTCCATGGCGCGCTTTTCCAATGACCATAGTTCGGAGGCCAGATCCTCGCACTTCCTCTGAATTGTTGTGAGCTCATGCTCTGCTTCCTTCGCCGCATCACTCGACCCGCTGTGCCGATGACCTAGAAGACTCCTTCTCTTCGTGTCAGGTCTCGTTGGAGAATACAACTTAGACATCGATATGGCGGCATCGCGGTATTTGGACTGGATTGCAAGGTTGGCCCGAGTCTGCTCGATCCGCTGATTCAAGATCTGACACTGTTTCTTTAAGTCATCTACTTCCTCCTGAGATAGAATTTCATATTCCTTGCTATCGAGTAGGGCGGTTTCGGTAAGTAAGTGTACCTGGACAGGGTCTTTTAGGTCGACTAGTACTGAGCTTTGGACACGATTCGGGTTCATCTGGCAGGTTATGAGTATATTCCAAGATAGACGCGATAGCTAAGGTAAGAGCTTACTGGGTTGAACCGCCGTGGATCTTTCTCAAAGCCATTCATACCGTCTTCCCTATATGACTCTACTAGCGCCGGACCCCTCGGCGCAAGCCTAGGAGTCAACCTAGGGCGCAGAGGTGGCGGCGCTACGGATTCGAAGTCATTTTGACCTCGACTTGAAAACCCGTTCATTCTTGTCACTTTCGAGTCGACGCGCCAATTATCAAATACATTATACTATGAAAGGGTTGCGCAAAGACGCGGGGGTGTTCGAAATAGGCGTGGGCCACTTATGTCGCTCGAGTCAGGAGTCGGCGCAGGATTTCTGTCGTTACGAATTCAAGAAGTTTAAGAAACCAATATGAAGCCGTAAAGAATCAGATACAAATGGATTTTCAAATTCAAAAAACAACTTCTTCGAGAAGAGAAAAAAATGACATCCAAGAAAGGTAACAATGGGACGATTGCGCAAGAGGAATGCAGTCAGAGCCCAAAATAAAAAACGTGGATGTGAGTTGGGCAAGGTTGGTGATTGGGATTAAAAAGGAGTTTTAGCAGATTGAAGATCTACGGAATTACAGGGAGGACATGACATTATGAGCTAAAAATGATTAAGTAGCGTACTTTGTCAAGCAATGGAAAGCACGCGCTTTCACGTTAGGGCGGCAGCGCTAAACCATGCTAGGTAATCAACGTGAGATTCGCCCTTTCCTCGTGGCTGGGACGGGCTGGGGGAATCAAACCGATGTACGTGTACCCGGTACGTAGCCGCCGCGAATAGCATCCGGTCCTAGTGTACCACGAACACATAAGATACGAGTCTATTCAGTTTGGCATGCACCTTCCTAGGGCTGATAGGTATGTATAAATATGAAAGTACTATTCTATCTTATACATTGTGTTTGCTTCTTATAATGATATTCGTGACGTGACTATATTGTTTAGTAGCAGGTAGATAGGCTGATAGGAGGTATCTAGGTATGAATGTGGTATGGTATGTGATTTATTAGATAAGAGGTTACGTCTTACGCACGTATGTACAATTTGCTGCAGTATGCTGCACTTTAAAATAAAGTCGATCATTACCCCTGCAGTAGTCCGCCCACTTCTCGTTGCTCCCGGACTTTTCAATGTTCTTGTTTTTTATGATATCTCGCTGCAGTGTTAATAGGCACTTCATACTGATCATATACGATGCTGCCGATCGGAATTGTGTCCGAGCATTGTGCTCATAAGTAAAATGAAGGTATTCGGCTTATAGGTATCGTAATCTCGGCTTTCGCATCTTGGGATATTGATAGGGTTTCCTTACCTACCAGTCTATCTGACGTGTGTATGTAAATTTCAATATTGTCTTTGATATCCCGTGAAAAGAAAAACCCCAATCTCCACGGCTGGGCACATCCATGTAAGCAACGCCTTCGTGGCGCAAGTAGACGACTCTTATAAATTACAACCCGTAATTTCCAAATAGGGCACTCTACTATGTATGATATCCTAGGTACCTATTTGGCCCTTTCACTTCTGACATAATATTCTTTTTACGATTAATCCTAAATAGCTAGACCTATGGTATAGTTGCTCTCTGAAGAAAACTACTGCATTCATATCCTGTAGTCCGGAAGAATCTGGTCTGTGCCAACCTCGTCCAAGAATACATGGATGAGACTATTTTGATATATTCAGCCGCAGTGGCTTGTGCGGGGCGAACACATTGAAATCAAAAGCCATCGTGGATGCGATTATAAACTGTCGAAGATACTTGATAGGGGAAGAATATACTAGCTAGAATTAGGACATTTCTTTCCCTCGAACCAGTGCCTACGTAGTATATTAAGGTAGTTACCAAGCAATTTTAGAATGCGCCCTGAAACTGATCCATAACTTGTTGGCCCACGGTCCTACGTCTTCCACTTTCACTTTCACCTTGGCTCTGGGCTCCGGTTGCTGCCGCCGTAGGTGCGCCTTCTCCCTCGAGTCTTCTACGCAATCCCTCAAATTCTTGGCTTCTCCTCTGTGTTCGCATTCCCACAACCCATCCGGGCAATCGCCATCGTATCAATGATCGCGGCAGAGCCTCCGTTCTCCATGATAAGCCTACCAACCAACCGATGAGTGCCCCGAGCAGAGATCCGGGCCATTGGAAGAGGGCTAGTTGGAATGCAAGTAGGTATCGGTATGACTTGTCAGAGAGAGTAATACCCTGAGCCTGGTCATCTGTTGATGCGGATATGGAGGTCACGACCTTGTATTTATATATCGGCGGTATCATGGAATGGTACTGAGCTAGGATTGCGAATACAATGGGCGTCGGCCCAGCCGGAAGGTAGTTGAAGAGGCCTAGAGTAAGTGGCCTGAGTAATAGGGTCAAGATTATGGGCGTTAGGATGCTCGTGAGTATCAGGGTGATGAAGACGAAGGTCTGTATATTATGCATCATTAGCTAGCCATACCTTCATTCAACGATATTTTACTCTTACAGCAAATTTCCTTGACCCCCACATCCTTTCAACCGCCCGCATGTTGTAAAGAGTCATGGCAGCAAAGAGCACCTCGGAAGAATTGGTGTAGCATAACTGGTAGATGAGAGCTCTCCATGTTTGGTGGAATCGCCAAAGATGCAGGTCAACTAGTATGTAGAAATAGTGCTTTATATCCAGCAAGCTGACTGCTATGGATATTCCAACAAGACCATAGACGAGGCTGCGAGTCACTGGCGCATTGGTGAAGGACATTGTGTTGACAATCTTAACGATGTATGTTTTGCGACAATTATCGGCGCATCGCAGATCGTTAATGGTCGATACGACACGACCTCGGCCTGTGAGCTTGATTACAAGCTATGGTACTTGGGTGGGTATGTAGATGCTGAAGATGAGGGTTTTTTCGGTTTGTTAACCGTTAACATCGTTATGGACAAGGCATCAAGTATATAGACATGTACTTGCACATGCAAGCATCTCCGTTACTTTTCATTTGATGGTCATGGACAAGGTGTCTTTTAACAGGTCCGTATAGCGTATCATGGATTGTTACATATTGAATTCGTTTATCAGAGCCTGATAACCCGCTATTAAATCGTTAAAAAGATAATGACAGGGATAAATTATCGTTCGATGACAGCTGAAACTCTAAAATGCCAGGTAGCTAACCTTATCGATTACTAAATTCATGAACTGGCCACAGCCCGAGCTTTAGCTCTTTTTATGTACCCACGTCGCGCCAAGATAGGTCATTCCTAGCAATTCCCATCGCGAACTCAATTCATTGAGGCTGAACAGCCACCATCGTCGTCATCATCCTACGATGCAAAGGACATAGCCTTCTTTTAAAACGTTCTTTTTCAGTTTATTTGTTTTCCACGATAGTCTAAAAATTCTCGATGAAATTCCTAATTCACATCTAGTCTACTCCGATTCTTCCAATTTCAATCCCCACCATGTCCGACCTCTACCTTTCACATGTCAGGAACTGGATCCTGAAGTCTCCGCCGGCGGAATGGGTAATTAGAAGTGGACGAGAGTTGCTCATCGGCACTCTGAAGCAGGGACCGATCCCCCAACATGTTGCGTTCGAGATGGACGGCAACAGGCGTTTCGCCAAAAATCACAAGATTGAAACCATCGAAGGTCACCACCTAGGTTTTGAGGCGCTTGCAAGAGTTCTGGAAATTTGCTATAAGTGTGGTGTCAAGGTCGTCACTGTCTACGCGTTCAGTATCGAGAACTTCAACCGACCCAGGCACGAAGTCAGTGGCTTGATGGCAATGGCTAAGGTCAAACTAGAACAACTTGTTCAGCATGGCGAGCTTCTTGACCGTTACGGAGCCGGAGTTCGGGTGTTGGGAGAGAGGGATCTGATCCCGGATGATGTGTTACCTTTTGTCGATCGAGCCATTGAGATGACAAAGCATAACAAGGAGTAAGTTTCATCCAGCTTATTAACCGCCGGGTATTTTATTATCTGTAGCTAACTGCATATTATAGCGCTGTACTCAACATCTGCTTCCCTTATACTTCAAGAGCTGAGATGACTAGTGCCATCAAGGCTACGGTTGACGAGTACACTAATCCGCCTCGACCCGCAAGCACCCCATTCTCACAGTCACGGATCACTCAGAAGATCCGATCTAATAGATCCAAGAAGTCAGGCTCGTCCTCGCCCAGAGATTCTTCCCCGGATGGCAACGGGAAGTCGGATGTGGATGATTCAATGTCTTCGACTACTGCTCTGGATCCTGAATCACCACCTCTCTCATCCACACTAGTCAAGCCAGTCAAGTTCCAAAATCCCGAGACCATTACGGCCGAGACTATTAACAGTCACACTTACACCGCAGAGTGCCCACCACTAGACATGTTCATACGGACCAGCGGTGTCACAAGATTAAGTGACTTCATGCTATGGCAATGTCATGAGAACACACAGATCTTCTTCTTGAAGTGTCTATGGCCAGAGTTCGATCTATGGCACTTCATTCCTATCCTTCTCGAGTGGCAGTGGCGACAGAAGAAGCTCTCGGAAAAGGAGACGCCACGAAAATGAACAACCGTACAGCACGGCTTTATATCATTCCTGGATTGGCGTTGAGGCGCAGTATTAGACAGTACCCTCTTGGCAATGGTGATGCATTTTCCTTAGGTATTTGAATCAACCTAGGGACTAATACACAGCAAATGAATTCATCTCTGGAGCAAAAAAGAAATCTTTCTCATATATGTGGTTATGTGATTATACGAGCATGCTGTGGCACTTATGTATAGCATTATGGCATCATAGCAGCTAATGTTTGTAAGAACGTTTCGATGGTACCTGGTAGTCGTTAGATCTACGTACCATTTTATACTCCAATACATTCATCCCAAGGGAGACCTACTAGTAACTAGGTACATATGTAGGTACATATATTTGCAGTTTGTGACACCAGTTCGTCACATACTAGGTATGTATGTAGGTATGTATGGTATACATGTGGCATACATGCATCATCGCTTGCAGTACCGCCTTCTTCTGACAATTCCGGTGCTGGGCGGGCCCACTTTATTTTCGCTTTAGCCCTTTTCAGCTAATAGAATCTGGGGTTCACTTAACAACACAAGTGCTCAATCTCCACTAAAAAATTTTCCAACCAATAGCTGTTTGAGGGAATTTCTTACTAAATTCTTATGTAATCTTCTTATCATTCCAAAACTTCTTATCGGACTGTTTTTGATACTAGAACTAATAGAGCCTCACTTCTAGGCTAACTGTAATTGGTAAAACGTACATTAAAGTGGGCCCGCCCAGCACCGGAATTGTCAGAAGAAGGCGGTAGATCCAAGTCAGGTAGAATAGGAGAATACGGATTAGGTAACATGTGGATTCTTCTGATGCCGAGGCGTGTGTACGTCCAATATTATGTAGCAGAGTTTGTGGAATGACCCAGCGTCATTGTTTTTTCTTATCTTATCGCGTCGAGGACGGATTAACTCTCGGATCAATGGCGGCTTGACCTGGTCACAAGTGGATAGAAGTGGGTATTAAGCTGTCCAATCAAGCCAATAGAGACACGGCTTTTGATGTCTAGCGCAAGCCCATGAACATTACCAAGAAACCTTGTGTGCCCGCCGATAGAAACCCGCGCGCAATTGGGGACCCTGTGCAACAAGTCTTAGCAGTAAAGTCAGTAAAGTGCTGCTAATAAACCTGGCTCAACTTTACAGTCTCATCCATCCAACTCGTCAACTCGTCCACCAGTCCGCCAGTCCACCATTCTACTTGTTCACTTCATTTCCTACCTATGCTTTGCGCCTCTCGTCTACGAAGGTCTTTTCGCGTTACTTTACATCCCATTTCTAGAAGCATCGTCTATTTTGTATCGCAAAATGACATGAACTTCATTATTTGAAGCTTGTCTACTTACTACTTCCGTAAAGTCGCCGATATTTTTGTTCTTAGAACAACCCACCTGTCTTCCTCGTCCTGCGCCCTCTTTTCCGACCCAACATACTCATTTTACAACTCTTCTTATTGCCCAGAATAAATATGAAGACTGCGAAGCCACCTCAAGGGGAATCTGGTCCCTCAAATCGGAGGGCTCAACCTGTTCGCCAGACTCGAGCAAATCCTCCACGAACATCGTCTGGCACCACCCGCACCTTCGCCAACAGAGATTCGCTCGGTGGCGGCCATGTTCACGATCAACCCATCGACGTATTCCCAGCAATTACCTATTTTACCGATGCTATAGCATCCCTTCCCAAAGATCTCGTCCGACATTTCACGCTTTTAAAGGAGGTCGACGCCAAGATCTTCGCCCCCGAAGAGACACTCTTTCAGCTCGTCGATGCCGTCCTCAAAACAAGCCCTCCAGAGCCTAGAAATACCAATGATGCATCCAGCAGTATTGTCGCGGCTTCGACGCCAATGAGCGCCCAAAACAGCTCGAGCGGCTTCCCTGCGAATGGCAATCCTGCTGGATCGACCGATGACAACTACAATTCTCCTGTATTTGATCCAAGCAACCTCCCGCGACGACAGCTATTTCGTCAAACTGCCTTTAAGGTTCAGGAAATGCTTGTTTCCTTAGAAGAAAAGAATCACGTTATATCGACCGCGAACGAGGCGCTTTCTAAACAACTGTCTCGGATCAACGATGTATGGCCACACCTAGAAGCCGAGTTCAGCGACGAGGCAAAATGGGGAAGCACTACACACTGGGCGTATCCAGAGAATCGAATAAATCGAGCAAATCAGGCTGAGCGATCGCGCCGAGATGGTGCAGCTACGATCACTGCCGCAGCCCAGCAGCTCGCGGAAGAAGCCGCGGCACGGAGCGATGCTAGAAAGCAAGCCCTCATAGCCAAAAAGGGTCTTAAGACACAGCAACATCAAGACTCAGATCTAGATGATCACGAGAACAAGCACAAGAGCGAATCGACGAGAAAGGCGCCCAACCATGGTAGTAAATCTCGCAAAAATGCTGACACAGCTGCGCCTATCGGATTGGGTATTACTTCAGGCGCTGCTGCTACTACGGCTGCCACCACCAACGGAAACCCTCCGTCTAAGAGACGAAAGGTTGAAAATAGCAAGCCGGTCAATGGAGGACAACCTATGGAACGCGCAATGAGTTCAGTCTTTGGCGCTACTGTCACAAAAACCAAGAACGCCAGCCCAAGAGCAACGCCAGCACCTGAACAACCGAAGAAGCGCAAAGCCCTTCCCACCGTAAACGGCGCCTCGAAGAAGAGGTGAGCATACCTTAGTTTTACCAGCTTTATAGGATGTTCCATTGCTAACACCCCTTTCCACAGCAAAACGAACGCCACAGCTGCTGCGCTGTCGCCGTCAATTGCGCCGTCCCCGATCCAGCCCAACTTCGACCCGAAAGTCATTGCTCGTGGCTCTCCCGCCCCTTCTACAACCTCTGTGCGCCCTGTCTCATCTCGAGCAAGACAAAACTCCATACAATCTAATGTAGAAAACGGTCGACAACGACCAACTTCATCCGCGTCCAACAGACCCAACGGGGTTGCGACTGTAACACCTGAGCTCGCGGTGCAAAATGGCACTCGGCCCCCAGGTGACACTAAATCAAATAAAGAACCTACGGCAACCGTCAAGGTAGAAGCCTCTAAAGAGGAGGCAGTCCTTGCTATCGCCAGCGCCAGCAATGCACCAACAAACAACAAGACCATTACGAAGGGAGACGATTCTGAGCCTAGAGGTGACGTTACACAAACACCAACTGCAACAGCTACAACTGTTGTCACGACCAAGAGCGGACGAGCCAGTAAGCCGTCGACGCCAGCATTAGGGTCATTCCCAGACCCAACACCAAGATCTCGGTCGTCAAGGAACGCATCGACGACTAACACAAAGAGAAGTCATAAGAAGGGTGCAGCTCAGCTTGTGGCAGCTCGAGTTGCGGACGAAGATGCGAATAGTAGCGTCCAGGGTGACGACGAGGGCGATGTCGATGCTGATGAACCACTATACTGTTATTGCAATGGTGTTAGCTACGGAGAAATGGTGGCTTGCGATGCAGATGAATGCGAGCGAGAGTGGTTTCATCTGGATTGTGTTGGCCTTAAGGCAGCCCCTCCATCAAACAGTGAGTTCTTCGAATATTTAGACGTCGAAATGATTGGCTAACAATGTTAATAGTGAAATGGTATTGCGACAATTGCAAGGACCGTATCAAAACTGGGAAGAAGGTAAATGGCAGGTGACCTGCTTTACATTCATATGTACACCCCTGTGCTTCTACTCTGCTTCAATGGGTATCGAAAACGCCTACTTAGAATCCACGGAGTTCATGGTGTTCATTCAGCTCTCGTCACAATAGGCGACATCCGGCAGGGTATACCGGAACTTGGGGATGCAATATGAGCTTACGTATAATGGCGTCTCGGTTATTTTTGAAAGTACTAGATCAGCATGGCTAATCATGATATGGAGGATACTTGCTTACCACGGGGTCAATCATGTTCTAACAAGTTCATATTACTATCAACTCGGGATTATGCCTAGATGCTTGGGCAAGGAGTCCGATATGAAAAGACATCCATGGATGGGTTAAATAGATAGTATTGTTTTTATGTATATTGCTCGAACCCTTTAATGTCATTAGAGGGTCACTTACTAAGCTAAGCTAAAGGTTGTCATCGTTGCAGAGTATCGGAAATCCCCAAGAATCCTATGGTTGACTCAAACAATACCATCTCCGCACGAGACCGAAGAGGTTTTCCCATGTTTGGGTATCATTAGATCCCCTTAGTAGACACAAGCTAACAAATACATACATATGTACTTTTTGCAACGCAACTCGCGGCTTAACGATCAACAGATATAATATGTTGCAGAAAGCCAACTACCTAGTACCTAGTAGCATCATGGATCTCCTGCTGTTGACTAAATGCATGTCTGTCATATCCCCTTTAAAGCACCTCTTACGTACGTGGTTCCCCTGTCTTCCATATACGGACATCCCGTTGTACCTGTTTCCCTAAGAATCGGAATATGAGCCGCAAGTTCAAACATGGAGTAGAAAGGATGTAAGATGATTGGCCGTCGCAGTTCACCAACAAGACATGAGGCTATTTCCCCGCAAACAACTACGTATGTTCTAGGTAAGTCATGCAGGTCTTAGGTCGGCACACCCGGTCGTGAAAGCAAGGGTTAGACATTAAACGTTGCATGGCAAACGAGGCTAATACCTAATATTAATAACCATATGCCGGACCGGAGATTTTGTAATGGAATAGCTAGCATGTTTGTTTGTTCTTAGCCTGGCAGCTTACTTAGAACACCTGATATAATAGATTCTAAGAGACCCCCTTTTAAGGTCATGTGAACTTGACCATATTTGACCATGAGAGTAAACCAAACTAGCTTGGGTTCAGGAACGAGATCTCTAGTTCTAGACTACCATATCCTGGATATCGTACTATATTATGTAGCGGTTTGAGTCGGCCAAGATTTAGGCTAGGCGGTCAAAGACTTGATAGGTTACTTACGATTCTTCTCGCAATCCCTCCTTTCTTCGATCCTTCAATTTCGGCTTAGTCAAGACAGACGATTTTGGCTATAAATCCAGCTTTGTATAACCGGGTATGAATGCTTACGAGATATAATAGAAAAGGCCAGTAGATCAAACCTTCCAATTAAGGAAGTAATGTCATAGGAGATAAGACGAAAAATCTTAGATGATAATACGCCTCTACGTAGTAAGATGATGTGGTGGCACTGCGATATCGCAGCAGCTAGCCAGGCACGGATACAAGCATGGCGAACCCAAGTCCGCGGAGTGCTGCACATACCGATATGTACAGTATGTACAAACCAGCAAATCACACAAAACATATTCTCAATCAAAATAAAGAGCTGAGAGTATGATGTAGCGTTTTCAGGTCCATGAGGTGACTTCGATTTAACATACGAGATACAAGTACATATAAATGTATGTATAATGCAGGGTTCATCGAGTACATCTACGTAAATGGTAAGTACATGCATATATATGTATAATCGAATCCGGGGAATGAGGCGAGAAGGAAAGAACGTCGTCCTATGCCAATGTGCCAAGGCAGTAATGACGGACCACGAACTGACCCACGGAATAGACTATCGCTAGGCTCGGCTAGACGCAACCTTTTCAACTTTTAGCCACCCTGCCACTCTACCAGTCAACGGTCAACTTTACCTCCGCAAGATTCAAAGCCTTGGACTTCCAGCACTCTCTTCCCACCCATTCCGCCAACTTCCCCAGAATAAAAAAAAATTAAGAATTCCCACATCGCAATGACGATATTTTCCCGTAACAGCAGACCCGGATCGTCTGATATTCTCATTACTAAATAGCTATCCAAGCGGAGCTCGTGGCCAAGGCACTTTCTTTTTTATCGGACTTCCCACCATTTGCCGCCAGTCTCGATGGCAACAAGCGTTGGTGGGTATGGCTCAGGTGACAAAGAAGAATCCATCTCTATGCCATTTTTTCATTTCTATTACCCAATCCATGAACAATGGAATCATGGGAGGTTTGCTCAACCCATACCTAGCCACTTGCGGGCCTTTTGCTCGCAAGCTGATGCTCTATGGCACCTTAAGGCTCCAAGGTACAGCACCTAATAAATTAGACGGTGAAGAACAAGACACGGGCGACCGTTGATCAGAGCTTAGGTATTGTATTGTACTATTGACATTGGCAGCCCAGAAAGAAAACAGAAAGCTGTACACGTGCAAACCTGATAGCTCCGTACTTGGTGTTTTTATTTTATTTTCCTGTGTCAATATTCAACCCTGAATACTCCAAATCCAATACTCCATACATCTTACCTAACACACGAAGAATCCGGGCCTCTAGTATTCACCGACGAAGAAGAACGACAGCAAACGCCCCGTCTATTTGCGTATTCCGGTACGAGAATCCGAACTGACAAGGACAGAACAGGGCAGGGACAGGGACAACAGACCACGTTCATTTAATAGCTATCTATTTAAACGTTGTCATCATAAGAGATATTCTGGCGGCGAATCCGCGAATCCATCTCATCAGTCCTTCCCCGCATTGCGCCAACGAAATTTGTTACCTAAGAAATCGGTGTTTTGACTAACAGAAAAGCCCATCCGGGTCGGCTGGGACCTAATTTGCAGCCTCTGCAGCCTTTACAGCCTTTGGTGAAACCTGGTCGCCCTGGTGGTGCCCAGCAACTTAAGGAAGTTATTAGGAAGGACGGTTCGCAGCCGCGCCGTTGTCGTACTGGGCAAGGAAGGAACAAGAGCCATTGCGCTATTGAGTCTACATCTTGCATCTATCGCCTGTATCGCCCGTATCGCCTGTGCAACTTGAGACTACTGCTACCCTGGCTCATCTTCCGATAATGGATCGGACAACCCTCTCTCATGTCGTTGGACGCTCAATCCACCAACGCATTACCAGTACCAGCAAACTTAAACAGAGCCCTACTCCCAGCATCTCTGACAACATGGACCAATCTGGTAACTCAACTCCTCCGGACAAGTCTACTCGCTCATCTTTCTCTTCCGTCCGAGAGATCGATTCATCAGACCTAGCCCAGAATTTTACCAGTACCAAAGTATCATCTTACTCCAAGTTATCTGAGGAGGCTGTCGACGACTTACCATCGCCCCCGGAAATGGCCACACAGACCCAATTCATTCCACCTATTACACAACCCTCGAGCAGATTGCACGGTTGCTGGTTTCCTGCTGTCGCCGCAGAAGGCTTTCAGGGCTGGAAGCAGATAGGTGTAAGAGGGAGACAGGCGAGCAAGAGTTACGGTGATTTGCAAGCCTTAAAGATAGTTTGGTCGGCTCCAGTTCTTCCGCCCAAGGAGAAGGATCCTGAAAGGCCAGCTCCAGGACAGTCAGCCATCGAAAAGCTCCCCGCAGAATTGCTAGGTAAGTCTAGAGAAATTTTGCCATGATGATTAAGGCAAGTATCTTACAGGTTAAATTCGAAATAGGCCAAATCATTGATCACCTTGTCCTCGATGTTCCTCCGAACGGAGTCTCCGCCCGAAATGTGGATTTGATGTCATTGTTGCTTACATCAAGGACACTCCACTCGGCAACGCTAAACGCACTCTATAAGAACATCACGATCCCACACTCGAGGATCTTCCGGAAGTTCTTAACCCACATCTCGCAGAATAAGGAACTCGGGACTATAGTACGCCGCCTGGACTTCAGCCACTTCAACCCAACCACGCTTTTCACGACGGCAAGCGAGCGAGCTACTACCCGCAACCTTACCCCCGAAACATTAATGCAATGCTTGGAGTTGACCCCTTTCCTCCGTGAGTTCCTGGGACAGGAGTATATCGAGAATGAGATCGACGCAAAGGTTCTACGGAAGTTGTTCTTTGGTCTTGATAGATTACAGGGTGTCGATTTCTGTGGTTGCTCGTCTACTGCTTTCAAGAATGAGTTCCAGTCAATCCTTCTATCCGACTGGCCGGAAACACTCACCATCTCTCGACTGTCTCTACACAGGTGTATCACTTTACCCCCATCCGTGTTTGAGACCTTGCTCCCAAGACTAGGCAAATTGACCCATCTAGATCTTACGGGAACTCGCGTGACGAATGAAGCTCTCCAGTCTATTCCACACAGCGCAAATATCACGCATCTGAACTTATCCAAATGCAGATCGCTCACCGCCGACGTTGTCATCGACTTCCTAACAAACCACCCAGCAGTGAAGGGGCTTGTCTTCTTGAGCCTTGGGGTGGACGCCCGAAGCCATCAGATGTTCGAAGAAGATGATTTAAGCAGGCTGATCCCAGCTCTCCCCCAGAGCTTGCGTTCGTTGAGCTTAAAGGGCAGCAAGATGATTGAATCACACATTGATCTGCTACGTCCGCTAACGAAGCATTTGGAAGAGCTTGCGTTAGGTCGGCGGTTGAAGATTCCAGATATTGATCGATTATTCGTGCCCGACGAGGACGATGGTGAAGATCTAGACCAGCAACTAGAATGGATCCCACACACACTCAAGTACCTGGACCTTTCCGATTACACGACAGCGGAGCTCGATCTCATCACGCTATTTGGACGAAACACGTCGATTATGAAGAAGTATTCCTCGCCGCTGGAGGTAATCGAAGTAACGGAGGAAATGTACGCCCGTCTGGCAAAGTCACCAGTCGTAAAGCAGCTGGGGTGGACAGTGATGGAGAACGGAAGCAGAGCTTGGCTTGTCCGTATTCACGACCCTGAGGACGGACCTCGTGATTCCGGTCTCCGGTCTTGGAAGATGGGTGCTTCGTTCTGGGGTATGCGAAAAATACCCATCGCTTGTGCGGAAGTTGGCGGCATGTACGGCTCTTATATGTTTAAGCGCAAGCTATGAGAGGCGATACGACCCTCATCATCCCCCCTCGACTCCCTTTACATCTCCCCTCAGGATGTCGCTCATAACCATCCCTTTTTTTTCTTTCATTTTCTTTTTTTAGAGCAGCGCAGCACGAGCTCTTAGCACTTGGATACCTGTAATTGGCATAGCGATTTGGTATATTGGATTAACGATTCACGGATGACATAAGATACCAAAAGTCTGGTTACTATCATATATACGCATAGGGGCAGGGATAGCGAAAATCGATACCACATAGTAATCATAGCAAATAGCGTTGTATGTATATGTCAGATTAGTTACCATCAGCAAGTCTACTTAGCCTGTTTTGAAGTGAGCCTATATAAGAAATGCTGTAGATATCTATATCTATCTATTTGGTCTTTTGGGTTAATTGTAAGAGAGTATTATAGCTGCATGTTGAGTGATATAAGTGATATATTGGCGTTATCTGTTTATTCTATTGCTTTTGTAGCGACGGTGATATCCTGTCTATATATCCACCCACTGAATCTACGTCTTGTATGAGGACTTAGCTTGCTGTTAAAGTAAAGTGAGGGTTACTTCGCATTAAGGGACGCCGTGTGACGTAGTGCTGGAAGTTTCGGTGGTTTTATGGAAGTTAAAACGAGTTGTTGAATATGTTATTCTCGTGGAACTTTATACCTAAGCTTCTCCCCCTTTGAAGATAGATAGTCATATACTATGCACATGGGCTGTAAGGTAAACGCCTAAGGGTTCGGCGGGCCCAGGTGGGTATTATGACAATGAGTAATGTGAAACTTCGTATGAACAATGAGGGTGTCTTTTCTTATAGAGGGTCTCGTAGTAAATCATTTAGTATATCTTCAATCTTCATGCTCTTTTTAGTCATTATCTAAATATCAGGTAAATAAATGAATTACCATGACCTCCCATGATGGAGATTTCAAGATAATAGAGAAAGGTAGGAATTGGAACTGGCAAAAACGACATGCTGACATAATAGCTGGCAGAGGAATCCATGCGCCACACCAACGCCTCGTGACTCTAAGCCACACGGCGGACCGAGCCCCCGAATTAGTAGCGCGGCCCCTGTCAAGGCAACGCTTATTCGTTTCCTCTCTTAGAGCTCTCATTTCGCATTTCCTCGTCACCATCGAGAACGAGAACGACCGATCTGGTTTTGGAGAGCTTAGTGCGCCCTCACCATGGCTCCTTCAAAGCAGTCCATGTTCCGCTCTGCGGACATGAGCATGGTGCAGCTATATATATCTAACGAAATCGGGAGAGAATGCGTCAACGCGTTGGGAGAACTTGGACTGGTCCAATTTCGAGATGTACGCCATCATCCCCTACTATCCAGCCATCTCAATCATGCCCCCCATCATCCATCAATGCTGACAACAATCTAGCTCAACAGCGAAGTCAGTGCATTTCAGCGAACATTCACTCAAGAGATTCGAAGGCTTGACAATGTCGAGCGCCAACTTCGTAAGTGCTAGATCATCGCAACCTCTTAGACCACCGTGTCTCGTCTAACATACATACTACTACTAGGCTACTTCCATGCTCAGATGGAAAAGACGAATATTCCCCTACGAAAGTTAGATCTCGAGATCGAAACGCTCGCTCCTCCTACTACTACCGAGATAGACGAACTTTCCGAGCGAACACAAAGCCTCGAACAACGTATCTTTCAGCTGAATGACAGCTACGAGACGTTGAAGAAGCGCGAGGTTGAATTGACCGAATGGCGATGGGTTCTTCGCGAAGCAGGTGGCTTCTTCGATCGCGCTCACGGTAACGTCGAAGAGATTCGAGCATCGACAGAGGACGACGATGCCCCTTTACTCCAAGATGTAGAACAACATAACCAGGCTGGCGACGTTGAGCGTTCCTTCTCTGGAATGAACATCGGCTTCGTGGCTGGCGTCATAAATCGCGACCGTGTAGCCGCCTTCGAGCGTATCCTCTGGAGAACGTTGCGTGGAAATCTTTACATGAACCAATCCGAGATCCCCGAACCTCTTGTTGACCCAAGTAACAACGAGTCTATCAACAAGAACGTGTTCGTCATCTTCGCTCATGGAAAGGAGATCTTGGCCAAGATTCGAAAGATCTCGGAGTCGATGGGAGCAGATATCTATAGCGTCGACGAAAACGGTGATCTTCGCCGAGACCAGATGCACGAGGTTAATGCCCGCCTCAACGATGTCCAGAACGTCTTGCACAACACGCAGCAGACCCTCGAAGCCGAGCTGACTCAGATTGCTCAATCTTTGGCAGCTTGGATGATTCTAATAACGAAGGAGAAGGCTGCCTATCAAACACTCAATCTCTTCTCCTTCGACCGACAAAGGCGAACCCTTATCGCTGAAGGCTGGTGTCCTACAAATGACCTACCTCTTATTCGCTCTACTCTCCAGGATGTGACGAACCGCGCTGGTCTATCCGTTCCGTCCATTATTAATGAGATCAGAACAAACAAGACTCCTCCTACTTACCTAAAAACCAACAAGTTTACGGAGGCTTTCCAAACCATCATCAATGCCTACGGTACTGCGACTTACCAAGAAGTCAACCCTGCTCTACCCGCAATCGTTACCTTCCCTTTCTTATTCGCTGTCATGTTTGGAGATTTTGGTCATGCGTCCATTATGTTCGCTGCCTCCGTAGCCATGATCTACTGGGAGAAGCCTCTGAAGAAGGTCACTTTTGAACTCTTCGCCATGATTTACTACGGTCGATACATCGCCTTAGTCATGGCCACTTTCTCCCTTTTCACCGGTCTTATCTACAACGACGTCTTCTCCAAGACGTTCACCTTCTTTGATAGTGCTTGGGAATGGGAGGTTCCTGATGGATGGCAGCAGGGCCAACCTCTCATTGCTAAACTCAAGGGCGATTACCGATATCCGTTCGGTCTCGATTGGTTTTGGCACGGCACGGAAAACGATCTGTTGTTCACCAACAGTTACAAGATGAAGATGTCCATCATTCTTGGATGGGCACACATGACATATTCCCTCTGCCTGTCCTACTTCAATGCGAGGCATTTCAAGAAGCCAATCGATATCTGGGGTAATTTCATCCCGGGCATGATCTTCTTCCAAGCTATCTTCGGTTATCTTGTCATTTGCATTATCTACAAGTGGTCTATAGATTGGTTCGCGATCGGAGAGCAGCCCCCCGGACTGCTGAACATGTTGATCTACATGTTTTTGCAGCCTGGCACGTTAGATATCCAGTTGTACCCAGGCCAGAAGAGTGTGCAGGTCATATTACTGCTCCTCGCCTTTGTCCAGGTCCCCATCTTGTTGTTTTTGAAGCCATTCTACCTACGATGGGAGCACAACCGGGCTCGCGCTCACGGCTATCGTGGTATAGGCGAACCTTCGAGAGTCTCGGCGCTTGATGACGAAGATGGCGACGGACATATCCAAGGCAACGGCCGCCCTAGTGTGGACACGGATGATGGTGAAGGTGTTGCTATGATCGCACACGGTGGCGATGATGAGGAACATGAAGAGTTCGAATTCAGTGAAATCATGATCCACCAGGTCATCCATACCATTGGTAAGTTTTTGCCGATATCATACTTCGATATTATGACGAATGCTAATCCGTTGACTAGAATTCTGCCTCAACTGTGTTTCCCACACTGCCTCCTACCTACGTCTCTGGGCCTTGTCGCTCGCCCATCAGCAGCTGAGTGTGGTTCTATGGGACATGACCCTCGGTCCGTCCTTGGCCAAGCCAGGCGTCCTCGGTGTTTTCATGACTGTCGTTGCTTTCTACTTGTGGTTTTTCCTTTCGTGTGCCATTCTCATTTGTATGGAAGGCTGTAGTGCCATGGTAAGTCTTATTCCCCTTTGCCTCAAACCACACAAAATGGCATCGACTAACAGTTCTTCTAGTTGCATTCACTCCGTCTGCAGTGGGTCGAGGCACAGTCGAAATACGCCGAGTTCGCGGGTCACATGTTCACACCGTTTTCCTTTATCACGTTACTAGAGGAGGACGACGGCTTAGCCGAATTTAGAGGTTAATCATTAGCATGGAATCGGGGCGATTAAGTGTGGTGTATGAGTAAAACTTGTATTATGCGAAATCCGTAGCTGTAGATCTAGATGTCCTACAATCGATACTACTGTAGCTTTATGATGCGGTTGAGATATGTGATTTGTGATGATGTCGTGTTTTGGCGATGTGTGCTTCGTTTTATGGGATGCTGGTTTAGTAAGATTCCAGAGGGGAGTGGTGCTCTTAAATATGATTTATTGACGGCCTCTATAGCGTGGGACTCGTCTGTTTCGATAGAGTGTGTAGATATCTGAGCTACATGTGGGCGCCGGTGCTCAAGAAGCGACTAAAATTTTGCGTGGTAGATGGAAGGATTTGAAGTATGCTAGGTAGGCATGTTACAATAAGGCTGCTTGTGAAATTGAGGATGCACTGAATGTGCGATGAATATCGCAGAAGATATGGCGGCGCTGGAAGCTACGAGAGGGCCATTCTAGAGATCGATGGGATCTCAGTAAGGCCATTAAAGCAAATTATCGCAAGTACTACTATCTCATGGCTCTAACAAATCATCAATATCAGCACGAAATACAGTAGCGATTAGACTCGGGACATGGCGATTGATGATCATTCTTCCTCACATCCCCAGTCAAGCTGGAGATAGAAATGAAAAAAGAGAGGTTCGCGTCACCTGGAGGCAGTGTAATACCAGGGACACAGTGGGAGCGATCATGCGCAAGCACAGAGGATGCGCTCCCGAGGTATAAAAATTAGAATAATCACGATTGAGTCCAAGTAGGACTCTTTCAGAGATTAAACTGAAAAGAACAGATACTACACTTGATCTAAGCCAAAAGGCAAAGAGAGCTGGAGAAGAAAAAAAAAAGAGAAGGAAAGGAAGAGGGGAGGGGCGGGTTTATATAGACTTGGGAAACACATCGGTGGGCGGTGGCGGCTGGTGTAATCAGTATCGCCGGCCGGCAGAATCTGGCACTAGTCCTAATTTGGATGAAATGGAGGGTGGTTGGTTTATTTTTGATTGGCTAAAAAACCCAGGCAGAAAGGTACGGAGTGACTCACTAGAGTGGGTACGTACCTTATAGTGGTCTGTTGAGCCGCATATCTTGACCATAGGTACACCGGTACAGTGCAATATCTAGCATTTTTAGGCAGTCGCTATGAAAATTTTACTCTTTCTAAAGGACGCTAAGTCATTAGCAAACAAACTTTTATTAATGACAATTCACATCGGCGAATCATATCGCAAAGAAATACAAGATTGGAAAAAAAAATAAAAAGTACATATGTACTTGAGCAAACCAATATATTATTTTCTGACCAATGAACGCACGCAAAGCGACCCCACTCCAGCAGAAAAATTCTGCCGCCGCACACCGCGGCTGATTGCAACGCGCGCACGGGCCCTCCAGCCCTTCTCCCAGAGTCTATATAAACCCGTCCCTCCCCCTTCCTTTCCTCTTCTTTTTTTCTTTCTTCTTCATGTCGACAATACTTCAGAGAATCATTTCTATAGTATTCGTCCCACTCTGTGTTCCCTACAGGAGCCACAGATCCCACCCTGGTTGATGAATGATATCCCCGTTGCTCTAGAGTGAAAATCTTTTTACGGGAGCACTGAGGCCTTTGGTCGCTTTGCTCCTTACTCTCGATCTGCCCGCAAGGGTGGCGGTATTCCTAGCAACAGGATGCTGTATAGAGAGTGGTGATGATCTCAACCCCGATTTGTCACGGTCTTGCCTTCGGGCGCGTGGCCGGGGTGGGCGATGGTGGACGTCTGACAGGTTTTATTTTCTCTTTTCGTTGCTTTCGTGCGCTTGTCGTGCGAAGTGAGGAAGAGCCTCATTGTGTTATCGTGACTGTTGTAATTGACTTGGCCGTGCTTTCAGACCACGCGCTATGTGTCATCCCTATCTCTCATTCATCTTGAAGTCGACCGCATCCAACCGTACGTACATCTACTTGCCGTCTCCGTGCCTGTACCTGAACATCCTCACCAACGCGATGCTTCACGTCGATATTGGTGGCGCCTTTGCGATATGTATGCATACTATACCTATCACCACATAATCATTTTCAAATGCTTTATTCCTTATAACCATAGATCAAACATCCAAACACGAACTATCTCTTGTGTCACCACCTTTATTAACTCCGCTCTAAAGATTTTTATGAATGCTTCTCGATTTCTAGAGGTAGCTGGAGCTCGACGTCTTCCAACATACTAATATCCATACCACGTAAATCCATCTTCTAATCTGGTTTTCTGTATAAATCCTATGTATACCAAAATACACATATCCTGGAATCCCACGAAATCCGCACAAGTTAAGAATATCATGGGTGCCAACGACACTCTGTTCGGCAGTGAATGTGCTAGCGCCTTACCAACAAAACCCAAGTATTCGTACGCCACCATATTTTTATTATCGTGTTAGGAAACAAGCTGATATGGTGTCTATGCCATTACCATTGATATCATATCACAAACTCCAGTTCAACCTGTAATGGCGAAGCACTCATAAATACTAATTATACAGAGTACAGCATAATCAAGTCACCTAATCCGCAAGCCAAATCATGTACACAAATACATTCAAACCCAAGCCATTATCATTTTCATACAATATAGGATCTATTAAGGATGTTAATCTTATATACCCATTCCGCCTCGCCTCGCCTCGCCATGCCCAAATGCCCGTAGACTAGAGAAAGCAGTCGTCAAAACCAGCCCCGATTCGAAAAAACCTCGTACCAAGGGACCGAGACGACCGACAAGAACATCCGTACTCCGACATTTATCTGACACCTAATTATGCAGTGACCGTAACATGAGCAAAAAAAAAAGGAAGAAGGGGTAACTAGGTAGGGATATCACAATTACGTAGAGTCAAAAATCGCGATCTGGATACCCGCGAACCGATCGCGGCCATGTTACAAAAAAAGGAGAAAGCTCGTCAAACCAAGTTGCGACAAGCTTTTAAAAATCCACACCCGCCTCATATGCTCGTCCGCCGGTTCCCTGCCCAATCGTTTTATAGCTCTGCCAGACGCCGTTTGGTCCAAGGGTGTCGAATCGGCTCACACCCGCCTGGCCCATCTTAGCGTCTGTGTAGCTAGAGAAGTAGAATCCAATCACAACGACCAAATACGTTAGGATTAGAATGCTGCCCTTGAAGTAGTTGCTCTTCCCTTCGCCGTACATATAGCTTAGCAGGAACACACACAAGATAACAGTGACCATGTCCCACTGTGGAAATAGGAGACTGAAGGTCCAGTGCGTGGGATCTGTGTCGCCTGTTGGCTGCAGAGGATATACTGCCGAGAAGAAAACTAGAGCGGGGATCTGGAGAAGGCAGACTTGTAGGGCGTATGCTGAACCGATCTCCATTGACAACGCAATGTTGCCATTCATGGCGAAAGAAATAGCGTTCTGTAGAAAAATTAGTCACAAGTCTATAATAAATCTGAATGATTGTTGCTTACCAAAAATTCGGTGGTATTGGGTACCAGAGCGAATAATGTAATACCGAGGAATTTCGGGTCGATTGCATAATTGTCCAAGACAACATCTACTGTGTCCACCAAGATCTCGGCGACGATTGCATAGAGAACAGTAGCACCCATCAGAATGACTGAACTCTTCGTCCGGCTCCAGTTTGGCGCATCATGCCCTCCACCTTGAGCAGCTTGGGAGTGCTCACCAACTTCCTCCGGATCAATAGGAAAAGTGGACGAGCGAATAGGAGTAGGACGCGCTGCCGAAGTGCTGGCTCCTGCGTTTGATGGTTGGCTGGAGAAACGACGTGACCCTCCTCGAGCATCGCGGGCCGCAATAGCTGCTGCTGTGGCGGCCACCTCAGTGACGCTACGAACAAGGCTGCTATTCTGTGCATCGGAAAAGCCGGGAATATGAACATTTGAACTGATGCTATCTGGGGCTATCTCGTCCTTCGGGGGAACTTTGTGTGGTGTCTGAACACCGCCATTTATCGGAAACCCCTCCGATGGCTGACGCGAATGGCGACCCTCGTCTAGTCCGACTTGTTTTAATGATTGACCCAAAATGCGTTTATATAAATTGCTGTCTCGAATATCGGTACCTGTTGAGTCTGCAAGATTCCGTACCTCAGACATCCGTGGCGCATGGTGCTGGATTTCCTCATGCTTCTTCTCATCGATCTCGGTGTTCCAAATAACAGCGGCATGTGTTCTAAGGGTAAACCACAAACCGATCACATATGAGAGGAAAAGACAGATGGCAGCCGCATAGCAGAATGGGCGCACTGCCTCGATATAGAAACGGTCATCGAGTGCTGGGACTTGAGAATAGTAGCAACGGCGACAGTCTCGTTCCCCGTTCCACATGAAATCGGTGCAGCTCTGACATCGAAGTTCGTGAGTGCCATATATTTGGTAGAAAAGTGTTGGTCCAAACGCAGCAACAGTAGCAAAGATAAGCATAGTTGAGGTGACACCAGCAGATCGGGCATTGAAGCGCTGAGTCTTGCGTTTGATCGCACCGAAACACATAGACAATCCAGGCAGGAAGAGGATACCAGCAAATATGCTCCCGATGATGCTGCCTTCGACTAGCTGGCCCTTGCCATCCTTGAGCGCAACACAGTAGAGGAAGACCTCAACAATCGTCGAAAAGAAGGCATTGATAGCTGCACCTAGGCCCATGGAAGACTGGGCGGAAATAGATGCGACAGCCTGGCCGATGAAGTACGCCAGAGGGATAATAGAGAACAAGCCTGCCACGAACAAGAAGCCAGGAGAGGTTATGAAGTTGTCAATATGGAGGATAGTATCAAGCACGAGCCAGTCAAAGATGACGAAAATAACGACGGCCATGAGGTTGATGAGGAAGATGTTTGTACCATCGATAGTATATTTCCAATACTTGGGACCAACGGCTCTGTACGTGCAAAGAAGGATAGACGAATGCGGGCCGTCGGAAGTCCTAGCAATACTGATGTCAGACTCGAAAGATAAAGCCAACGGATGCCTTCTAAGGTGATCGAAGAGGAGGTTTGTAACTTTGCCCATCGGAATCCAGAAGACTAGAAACCAGCAGATGGCGGAAGTGATGATTAGGGAAGGCGTGATGAGACCCCAGAAGAAGATGAAGAAGATAATTCGACCAATATTCCATTGTCCTCGGCCGAAAAGACGTCTCTTTAGCCTTCGTCCGGGGTCAATCGAGTGTTCGTAGCGTCGTGAACGTGGAAGGAGGCTATCTGTCTCGCTAGCTTCAGAGTCTATGCTTCTCCTTGATCGCCCTATGATCGAACGGTTTCGCTCGGGGCCAAAGAATAGTCGGCCATATTCCAAGTCGCCGCTTTGCCATTGTTCATACTCGCTAATGCTCCGGCCCTCACCTTGATCCTCATCAAGATATGCTTCATCTTGTTCGAGTCGTACGAACTTCCCGAACGGATAGAAGAGATAACCGGCCAAACCCCATAACACGCGACCGTATTCTCTCCCACTAGGAGCTGCCGCGAAGATGAAGCAGGCTCCCGCGCCAAGGGCGGCAAACAAGGCCATCCACCAACCAAATGCCAATGTCCATATGATGTTAAAGAATAGCAACCAACTACTAACCCGACCTCCAGGAGATGAATGAATATCACCCTCAGCAGTCTTTTGAACTGATCGATCTTTCTTGTATAACGCAGGTTTCCAAATCCTGATACCAAACGGGTGCGTCTCGTTGATGGCTTGTTGACGGTCCTTCAAGGTGAAACTCTCGGCATCGCTAACATCATCGTCTTCGTCTCCAATAACACTAGAGTCGTCGGGAGGTCCATCTTGCGATGCAGTATCTTCATGCGGCTGTGATGGTAGATGTATTTCATCGTCCTCTTCCTCTTCCTCTTCTAACATCTCATCGATACCTTCCTCGTCGGGACCGGCACTACGGCTCGAGTGTACTCGGGATAAAGCGGGTGGGACCATGCTGCGTCGTCTCAGTGTAGAAGGTGGTCTTGCCGGCTCACCACTGTAGGCTTGTATGGGAGAGAAGGGTGTTGATCGTGCAACAGGAGTGGTCTCCACCTCGTTCACGTCGTCGTCCGTTGAGAACACCTCACCGCGATGAGGAGCTAGCGTGTTCGACGAGGCTCTGCGTGGCATAGCGGGCTTTCTAGGACGCTGTCGGCCACGGTCCGGACCGAGTAAGGGGGAACGGGGTTGTTGGGTTCCAGTTCTTGAATGCGATCGGTCGTGAGCAGTGGATTCACCCAAATATTGCGCGCTGCTGGTCGCAGGCGGCGGTGTTTGAAGAGTTCCTGGCCATAGAGTCAGGTTAGTCAAAGTCTACGCTAGAGGGGCTTGGTATGACATCGATCGATTCCCACGAGGGTCGGGGATTAAGTTTAGGGACACGGCTATGTGGAGGGAAAAGATATTTAGATCACGGTAACCTACCATAGGACTGTTCCGTTCTTCTCCGCACGGTCTCACTAGACTGATAACTTTCTGGGGCCAACTCCACGTTTCTAGCTTCTCTAACTTCGCGTCGAATGGGTTGTTGTCGCGTATCAGTTGGCGAGGGAGGCGCAGTAGAGCTACTGCTATCTTGCGAGGGGGGTTCCATCGCTAGAAAGATATGCGAGGTCTTCGCTGCCAACGAAGGAGGCGTATTAAAACTAGCTGTGGGACATATGAAAATGATGTTTTTCTCTGAGACTAAGACAAAGATAGTTCAACTGGATGAGGGAAGACAGTATCCGAATTTAGCTTCAACTCTGGCAACTGACCAAAGACAAATGACGAGGAGAGCTGGGCGATGTTTCGATGGAGCCTTGGAGGGGATGCTGTAAGGAATGTATGGTATGCCTTCGGCTGCAGATCTAGCGTGCTGTATGTTGCTGCAGCATGTCTCGTTGGCGAATCGCGATGTGGAGATCTTCGGATGATAAACAATTCGGATGGACAAAACAAGCACTGGGCAGTTTAGGTAAAGAAAGATAAGAACATGGAAGGAATGGAAATAGGATGGAGGGATGGATTAGGACCAAGACCAAAAAATATTCCGATTTTTTAGGTGAGTACGTAAGGTAAGTAAGGTTAAACAGGTTTAAACAGAAAGGACTGGAATTAAAAAGCTGAAAGACAGAAAGACAGCTTACGGCAACCGACAACCCTTCAGTCAGATCTCATGCAACACACAGAGCATGGCTTAAGTGCTATCACGAACGTACTATGTAGCACATGGCTGACAGTGGATGTGGTGGATGTGGAAGGGTGGACAGCGATGGGTAGATGGATTAGGTGGTGGAGTGAAGTTCCAGACCAGTAATCCAGTAAATCCAGTGACGGAGGTCGATAGTTCGAAAATCCGCCATCCCGCCAAATCATTTTAACTTATGTATGTAACAGGCTTTATAATATGAATATATAAAAAAGAAATACAATTCATGTTACAAATAATATTATTTATAATAATTTATCGATAAAGGCGTAAATTTTATTTAATAAACATTAATTATCGGGTTTAGTTTAATATTATTTTTTATTTTTCGTTATTTATTTATTTATTTAAATATTTAAATAATTTTAATTATTTTTAATTTTAAGTTTTATAATAATATTATTATAAAATATTATTATTAAATTATTAAGAAAATATCGTTATTAAATTAAAAAAAAATAAACGTTTACGGTTTTTTTATATTTTAATTATTTTTATAAAACGATAAAATTAAAAATTTATTCCGATATATTAACGTTTATTATTTAAATTATTTATATTTAAATTTATTAATAAATTTATAAGTTATTAATAAAAAACTTTATTATTTTTTTTTATATTATGTTTATTATATTATAATTTATAACGTATAAATCGAAAATAAAAAATAAAATTAAAAAAATAAACCATTTATATCGAAATTTATAAACGTAAATAAATTTACCGTGGAAATATTTAATAATAATATATTATAAAATAATAAATATTACTTTTATATTTTAAATTAAATTAAAAATATATTATATTTAATAATAAATATATTAATATTTTTATCGTTTTTCGTATTAATATTTTATTATAAAATAATATTTTTTTTATTTAAATTTTATAAATTAATCGTTTCTTAAAAAAATATTTAAAATATTTATTAAAGTTTTTTTTTTTAATATTAACGAACCGAATAAAATAAAAATAAAATAATTTAAATTATATACGTTTTTTTTTATTATAATATTATATAATAAATATTATTATTTTAACGGGGTAATTTATAAGTTAAAGTTTTATTATATTATTTTAAAATTAACTTTAAATAAAATATAATTTAAAAAAAATTATATACGTAATTACGTTATAATCGAAAAATTTTTATAAAACGATTTACTTAATAATTATTTTAATTTTTTACTTTTTCGCAAAAATATTTATTAATTTTTTAATTATAATAATTTTGTTTTTTTCTTTAAATTAAATGCTTAAAATAACCGTTAACTTCGTTTACGTTTTTATACGTTTATAATTTTAAATAAATTAACTAATAATAACTTAAAATTAATTATATATTATTATAATAAACCGTTTTTTTCATTTAAAAAATTATTTCGAAAATATTTTTTCACTTAATTTACGTAATTAATTTTTATTAAATAAATTATGTTAATTTTTAAAAAATTAAACGTAAATAAAATAATATATTTTAATATATTTAAAATTTAAAAAAATAATAAAATTAAAAAAGTTTAAAAAAATTTTATAAATAATTATTTTTAACCACGAAATAAAAACTATATTAATAAATTAATTAAAATAAAACGTTTTTATTTAAACGAATAAAATAATAATAAAAATAAATATAATATTAATACTTTTTAAAATACATTTAACTTTATTTATTATAATAATTATTTTAATAATATATATAATTAAAATAACTTTAATAACGATATTAATAATTACGAAAATATTTCGATTTAATCGTATAAACGTTTATATTTTTTATTAAAAATAAATATTAAAAATAAAAAACCGGGAAATATAAATAAGAAATTAATTATAAATAATAAATTAAATATAATTAATAATTTAAATTAAATAAATAATTTATTATACGTTAAAAATATTTAAAATCGAATAATTAAAAATAAAGTAAATAAAATTAATAAAAATAAAAAATTTCGCATATTTAAACTTAAAAATATTAATAAAAAAACTTAAATAAAAATAATTAATAAATTATTTTTAACTTAATAATGTTTAATTATACGAAGCAAAATTATTAATTAAAAAAAAAAAGTAATTTATTAAATATAAAGTTAATTTATATATAATAACGCGTATAAAAGTTTAAATATTATTATTTATATAATATTATTTTTCGTATTTAAAAAAAATTATTAATTTAATATTTTTATTATTAAAATTTAACTTAATTTTCGTTTTAATATTTTTTAACTTATTAAAACGATCGTTATTAACGATATTAATAATTAATAATAATAAATTAAAAATAAAGTTTTAATACGATAAATTAATAATACGTTTTAATTTACGCTTTTTATAAAGTTTTTTATTATTATTATTATTATTTTCGTTATATAAATTATCCTCGATTTTTAAAATACGTAAATTATATTTTTTATCGTTAAGAAAATTTATTATACGCTTTTTAAAAATAAAATAAAATTAATAAATATTTTTATTACGGGTAAATTTCGAACGTTTTTTACTTAAAAAACCAGCCGTTTCGTTATTTTTAACGGGTTTTTAAACGTTATTTTAAAAAGTACGAAATTAAATTAAAATCCCGTTATTTTAAATAATTAAGTTTAATTAATTAAAAATCTTTAATTAACGAATAAAAATTTTAATATATAAACGATTAAATTTAAAAATTTTTAATATTATATTATTAAATAACGATTATATAAATCGAATAAAAAAAAACTCGAACTTAATATTAATAATTAATTATAATAACCGGTTATAATATAAATCGTTTTATTCGAAAAAATATTAAAATTATAAATAAAATACGTGTAATAATAACTTATAATTATTTTTTTATTTTTTAAAAATAATAATAAGTTTTTTTAAATCGAATATTTTATAAACATTAAAATAAAAAAATAACATATTATTAATATTATTTATTTTAAGAAAATTCTTTAAATTCGATAAATATTAATTTATTTAATTATTAATAAATTAATTTAATTCGGCTTTAAAAATAATATAAATACGCTCGTTATAATAACGTGTTTAAATAACCCGGTAAAACTCGTTTTAAATATAAATGGTATTAATAAAACTTTTCGTTAATAAAAGTATTTTCGACATTAAAATAAGAAAAATATTTAAAGTTTATAAAAATGGTATATAATTATAAAAAAAAACTTAATGTTAAAATTTAATAATAATAAAATACGAATTTATACGTAATATATTAATATTAATAATATATAATAAAAAATAATAAATAAATAACTTATTAAACGAATTCGTACGAACATAAAAATAATACGTTTTTTCACGTAATATACCGTTTTTAAATATATTAATTAAAAAAATTAAAAAATTTCGTAACGTAAATAAATAATTATAAAATAAAATATTATTTTTTAATTAAATATTTTTAGTTATAATATAATAAACGTTATAAATAAAAATATAATAATAATTCCCGTTATTTAAAGTAAAAAAACGTAATAATATTTTATATAAATCGAAATACGAAAAATAATAAACATTAAAAATAAAAAAAATGTTAATATTACGTACATTAATTAAAAAAAATACGAACGGATTAAAAGTAAATTTTAATTTTATTTTAATAAAATAAATAATAAAATTAATAATTAAATTAGTAACGATTATATAAAAAAAACATAATAAATTAATATTTACATTATAAAATATAATACGAAAAAAAATAATAATATTTTAAGTTAAAGTTAATTAAAATGCGAGGTTTTTTTTATATAAATATATAAAATTATAAAAAAAATGCGTATTATAAAAGTTATAAAATAAAGATAAAAAGTTTTAATTAATCGAAAAAAGTATGTAAAAAAAAAATATAATAATTTTTATAACGTACGTAAATTAAAACCACTTAAAATAATTAATAATACCACGTTTTATTATTATATTTATATTTCGTTTTAAAATATAATATTAATTAAACTTTATTTAATTAATAATAATTATTATTAATATTAAGTTACGTTAAATATAATTAAATATACATATAATCGTAATTTAAATAATAATTATTTATACGTAATAATATTTAAATTAAGTTAAATATTTTTTTAAATATAAATATTAAATATTTATTTATAATTTTAAAAAATCATTATAATATATATAAAAAAATAACCCGAATTAAATTAAAACACGCATTTTACGCGATATTAAACTTTTATTAAAATAAATAACGCATGGCTTTTTAAATAAAATACTTTTTTTTAAAATTCATTTTAAATAATTTTAAAATATAATCCGATTTTTATTTATAAATTTTCTTTTCATTTTTAACCTTTTTTTTTATAAATTTTTTTATATTTAAAATGCGAATATTAATTATTTAAATTAATAAACCTTAATTTTTATATTACATTTTATTTAAAAAATATATATATAAAATCCTTAAAAATTATATATTAACTTTTTTATTATATTATTTACCGTTTTTAATTTTAAAAATAACCGAATAATAA